GAGCAGCAGCAGGACAACCACAACAGAAATAATAATGGCATATAAATGAAGTAACAAACATTGTTTTCCTTTGACATAACTCATTAACCAGCAGAGACGAACACAACCTAAAGCACAAGGAATGCAACGACGATGATGATTCTCGAGGACCAGCCAGCAGCCAGCAAAAAGATCCTCAGAGCCCAGTTGAGTCAGGGATTCGAATTCCTGACTGCACATTCTAGTCTGGCGCTGCATCACGTGCCACGCTCAAATTAATGGCAACCGGTTTCGGTGGCCAACTCATTTTAATAGACCTCAAATCTACCAAGCAGCATTCCCAACTAAAATTTCTTAATTAATACAATAAGCAGTCGGGAGTCGGCGGTAGTGGGGTAAATGGTATGCCTGGGTCCTGGTTCTGGGAATGGGCCACAAATGTCTGCAATTATTTTTGCATGGCATGCAAGAGGGCACAACACAGCCAGCAGCTGGCAAAAATCTAAACCCCAACATCGCGACCACAACCGCAACAAGCCGTCAAGCGGCTCTCTCTCTCTCTCTCTCTCTCTCTCTCCCTGTCTCTTTCCATTTCTCCCAACCGTTGTGGACGGTTGTCTCTGCCATGTCAGCAACTTTCACCGCAAACCGTCTCCTGTAAATGAAGAAATTCCTCGTGTCGCCCTGTTGTCTTCAGTTGTCTCAGGCCCTCAGCTGGAGCATCAAGCTGATTGAGGTTTCTTCTACCACTACACAGAGAGAAAAGGGACTAGGAAACTATAAAACATTTTTAAGAATGAAAAAAAGTGTCTATAAAGGATTTTTTAAGAAGTCTAGTAAGTCTTAATATCTTTGAATGCATTTCTCTTTTCAAAAATTGGCATTTTTTCAAGTGCATCACTTTTATGACAAATGAAACTCCATGATGGGTTGGCAATACTGTGCAGTACCGTTGATTCGACTGCCATGAAATGGCAAAAAGTGAAGCTCTCTCTGGGGGCCACCTAATTAGGCCTTAAGCTTCGGACTCAATCAGCGTGTAAGCAATTGCCAATACGTGATTTGCCAAAACAAAAACTTTCACACACGCCCTGGCCCATCCCATCCTGGCTTCTCGATTCTGTGTAGAGGAGGTCTAGGGGTGGGTCAATGAAGGCGTGGCAGATCACAGCTGCGTAATCGATTTTCAAGTGTGAAAAGCGGCCCTACTTTCTGGCCCCAAAGCTATTTGCGGCCATTTTTTAATCTACACTCGAACGCTTGCCTGGCATGCGGCCGTATTTGCTCAACGTGATGAGATTTTGTGGTCTATCTCCCCGGGCCCCACTCCGGCGGATTTATATTTTCGTTTTTTGCCTACCAGGCCTGGCGGGAAAACTCTATTTACATTTTTTTTGCTTCTATGGCGTATCGATCTTTTGGCCAAATCTTTGACTCCCTTTATGGCCCAGGACTTGGTTTGGTGGTTTAGTGGTTTCGTTCTCTCTTAACGCCTGAAAGCAGACAACAGCCACTGCCTCTAAGCTCGAGTCACTTTTTGCTGCCCCCTTGGATTCTTGTTGCTTTAGCCTTGTGATTTTTTTTTGCGTTTTATTATTTGGTAGTAGAGGAAAGGGCCAGGCCAAGTCCAGGGGCTGGGTGTAAGTACGCAACAGCTGCCAACAGCCGGCGGAAGGCGGAAAACTTTTCTCTCAGCCAACAAAACAGCAGGCGGCTAGGAAAATGCAAAGAAGTATTGGAAAACAAAATTTTCAAAAAAATAAAACAAAACAAAACAACGAGTAAGCATGCACGTAGAAGATTATTATCAATATCTTATGGGCCTCTAAGTAGATTTCAAGGTATTTCTTTGTGATAATGATGATGTCACAAACTCTAAAACTACTTGCCAAACATTAGAGGCTGGGTCCTTGAAATACTTTATTTCTAAAGCAAAATGTAACTTCAAAAGGATATCTGGTTATGTCGAATTTTTTTTTTGCCCATTTTCCGCCCCGCTTATTTTGACTGTTTTTCCCTGTCAGTCGCTAACCAAGCAGCAATGCCATATTTTTTGGGGGATTTTCTATTAGGACATTGCATATACATCAACGGCAAGGAAAGGCAAAGTTTAGTCTAATGCTCTTAACGCTCATGTCTAACCGTTGATCCCACTCCCCTGCTGCTGCTTCCTCAGTGTGGATTTGTCGCCTGTCTGTTTGGCTTCGTCTTAGCCCACAGAACTCCCACCACCCATTCCCCACGATCTTTCCTACACACTATATATAGCTCTGCTCACAATTCTCTACTTAACACATCGACTAACGACAGACGTCGCGCAACTTTCGACATGTCTTCCGAGTTGTAAGGCCCTGAGAGTAGTTCCATGTCCGAGAGCGAGTGCATAGTTATCCCTTCAATGTGTATTAGCACTGGGAAAAAATATTAAAAAAATTAAAAGACTATATAGATCTAGGGATTAGGCACAAGAAGCCACTCCTAGGCTTTAAAGTATCTCAACACTTCTTTACTTTAAACTTTTTTAAATTTTAACATATTTATTTCTTCACTTTTTCTCACTGTGCCTTTTTGCCAGCTGTCTGTCAGATAAAGCATAATTTGATATAAATGCATTTTAATATACAACTGCTGCTCATTGGAGAAGCTCCACGCCAGGCCAGCTCGGGTGCGGCGAATTTATGTTTTTGCGTAAATCAAATGAATAATTTAAGCTCTCTGCATGGCCAGTGTCTGTCACTTAAAAATGTCAGGGCTGACATCAAAAATTTCCGCCGTTCGCTATCCATTTTTTTTTTTTTCGTATCTGATTTATATCAGTAACAGTTTGGGGTGAGCAGGACGGGCAAGTGGCCAGTGTAAGCTTTGCGTAATTGCATTAAATGGCATGGAACTGAATCCATCACACCACAGAACAAGAACCGGGCTATACTGACCGGGTAAACAAAAACAAAGAAAGTTTCAACTCCAGAGATACTCAGATGTTTAAATACTCTTTTTAAAATGTATTTATTCATAGAATGCTTAAATTTCATATTAAAGTCTGACCATTTAAGGTCTATTTGTCCATTTAATTGTTTTTAAATTATTTAATTATTATTTAATTATTCAAGTATCAAACCTTAACACTCCCCATTTTCAAAGAGTATAAATATTCATGTTCAACATCAGCGCACAAAATTCCAATTTATTTTAATTGATTTATTAATGATTGAAATGTTGCATAAATGTAGCAATATAAATGTATTTTTCGGCTACCCCGATCTCTCAGCTCTTTTCGATGAATTCTCCCCTTCAGTTTTTATTGTTTGTCTGATGAGGGAAACCAATTTTCAAGACAGAGGCATGATGAAAAAAAAGCGATTATTGTGGTCAAAAAATAATAAAAAGTATATACATATTTTCCATTCCAATAGATTGTTAAATTGTTGATTTTAAGGTGGATATTTTTTCTTAATAAAGCATCTCTAAAGAACAGTATCCATTTCCTTTTGTAGCTAAACTCTCAAGAAAAGGGTTTACCATTTCCTTGGTTGCACATTTGCGGATTGGCCCCAGGATTGGGCATAATTATGCAATTTCCTCCTTAACGCTCAGACAGGCAGGCACAAAAAGAGTTAAATTCAATAAAATTTGCATTTAACCACAAAAACAGTGACTCCTCCAAACTCGGTGGGAAAGCAGCTGCAGACACAGACAAAAAATGGGCAAAAGTTAAGATGAGAGTCGAACAAAGCGGGAGAAAGCTCAAAGGGAAAGCGAAGTCTGAGACAGAGACAGAGACTTATGTAAATTGAAATTCAAGAGCTGAAAAACCAGAGAAAAACAACAACAACAACAACAACAGTGGGGGGGAAAATAACAAGAGCATCAACAGCTGAAAAACTGACTGAAAAGACAAAAAGAAATTTTCATTCATTTCGAATTACGCTGTATGAGTGTCAAAATGGCGGTACACCAGCACCCCCTCTGGCATAATTGAAGGCTTAAGGTTGGAGAAGTAGGATATAGGAGGAGATGCAGGAGGTCCTGGGGTAGGTGTGACCCCGGAAGTAGGTGCCTGGCAGGGTGGGCAGGGTGGCAGGAGGCGGTGGGTCAAGGGTGGCAATTGGCTGGGCTTTTGTCGCCTGTCGCTTCTGCTGGCGTTGCAGACCGAAAATTCAATTTCATGCCGCGTGACACAAAGACAAAGCCAAAGCCAACCCAAAGGCAGACGCTTTTCCTGGTCGGGGAAAGTTGCGAGGCAGTGGCAGCCGAGGACACCCAGCGGAAAAGCTGGAGAGCTGCATTTGGGGGAAAAGACGCGAAAGGACAGAAAGTTGACATTCAAAAATGTGCGCACTTCGCTCAAAAGAATTTCAAATTAGCCACTTTTGCTTAACAATTGGCGCGGGCCAACAAATTAAAAGGCAGCCAAGTGGGTAGGGATTGGGTAGAGAGTGACACCGGGTGGTGGCAGCACCACAAAATAAATGGTAAAACCGGCAAAGTCAAGTCAAGTCGAGAGTATTCAGGTGGTCAGAGCGCAGTTGGCGACAATTTAAAGTCAAGTACCCGTGGGGGAGTACGACTATTGGGTATAAAAAATAATTGCCGAGCAAAATGCACTCGAAATCGCAGACAAGTGCCAAAAGGGAGCTAAGATAGGGTGGTGGCAGTGGGTGGTGCCAGTGGGTGGTGCAACTGATGTGAAGTTCGATCCGGCATTAGCGTCATTGCCACAATCGTGTGCACCGCGACCTGAGCTTAGTTAACAATGGCCCCGGCGTCTGACAAACTAAGTGGCAAAATTTCCATAGAAAAGCGAAGTAACCGCAGAAGTCAAGGAGGAGGCCGAAGGCAAATTCCCAATTGAAGGTCCTAATGGTCGCAGCGGACTCAAGTGGCTCACTTTGGGCATATGGAAATCTCAGTGTCTAAAAGTATTCAAGTTAGAGCTTCAATTGCAATTAATAATATAATATAATGCTTCGTTTTATTTGAAACCCTGATTACCAACACCATATAAATCTTTAAAATAAAATCTAAGGCAACTGGACATCTGACTGGGATGCGGTAGTGACCTCCACATCCTTGTTGGCCTGCTTAAGGAGCTGACGGCACATGTGGATTTTGAAGGCAGTCTCGCACTTGTTATTGCCACGAATCATGTGGCAGTGGCGCTCCGGCCAGTGATCCGGATTACTGGCTTCCGACAGGAGGCCCAGGAAATCGCGCTCCACAAAGACACCGTCGTGCATGAGACCCATCTGCTCGTACAGACAGTGAGTGAAGCACTGGGTGGACTCGGAAGGACTAGAAAAGTCCTGCTGCTGGAACTTGTTCAGTTCCCGGAGAGATAGGTCGGTCTCCTCGCCGCACAGCCGGATCATGTCCTCGGTAAGTGGTTTGGGGGATTCATCGGCCACAGTTAGTCCCAGATTGATGTTTACTTTGGCAAAGCGAGCCTTAAAGAAATAGATTATTTGAAGACTCTCTCTATTTTTTTTTAATTTTTTAACCAACCTCGCTCAAAGCCAACAGGCTAGAAGCTAGTAGAGCCACCAATACTGGATTCATTCTTAAACTTTTTAACAAAATTGTTGAAAATACCTCCCACTACCAGCCTTATATACCGACCACCTTTCGATCATTAGTCCACCGGAAATGTTTTAATTGCGAATATCAATTCAATGAGCCGAATATATTTCGCGTTTTCCGCGTCCAACGGCCCGAAAAAGTTGAGGCGCACTCTCCTCAATAGCCAAAAAGTAACAAACCCAACCAGCCAGAACCCAAATCGATGCAGAAATGCCAATTGGCATACCGAAAGTATCTTGAGAGCTGCTTCAACAAATCCTGACTGCCGGGCAAGTTCTTCTCCAGCCATTGAAGAATTGGAAGGAGCCAAAAAAAATACAAAAGTTGCAAAACAAATTTTTTGAAACAAAACAAGAAGAAACTCGAAGGAAAGAGTCTCAATTGTGGCAAAGACGAATACTGGTTATACTCTATATTCTTACAGGAAAAACAAGAGTTAAATCTTAAAGTTGATGCTTAAGGTTAATTTAATTAGAAATCACTTTCCTAAATACACTTTCCCAATAACTCGATATTATTTTAGACCAGTCTACAGGCTCTAACTCTAAACTTAAATACTAATAACCAAAGTAAAGCCAACAACTTTGGATATTCATACTTGACTTGGTCTTTATGTGTGTGTGTACCTAAGTGTGTGCTTGTACAAGTGTGTTGGGCACTTCCGTTTGGCTGTTGCGCCATTTTGACTGCGACTATTTCCGCTGGTCGCATTAACTGCAGGCGCATAACTTTTCCAATTTGCTTTTGGCAATTATTGATATAAGCCAGCATCCAGCAGCCAACAGCCAACAGCAACTTGAACGAGCTCCTCCTGTCTGCCACTTCAGTTGGCTTCCCACTCCTCCCACAATCACGTTTGCATTGGTCCGAGCATATTTTGCTGCATTCTTGCGCATATTTGTGCAACATTCCAAAAATTCTTGAACAAAGTTTCGTTATTATTGCCATTTTGCCGACTCTTGGGCTCGTGGCTGGGAGGTTGCAGCTTCCAGCTTGCCACTTTGATTACTTTTGCAGTTGCCGTTAGATGCAATTAGTTGGTTCATTAGAAAAACAACTCCTCCTACCACCGCCTCTCAAATGCCCCACTCGATAGGAATCCACACACTTAATTAGCAGTTGCTGTAGGATGGGAAGAACTCTCACTGATTGCAGGACTTGTATCTTGTATCTTTGTATCTTGAAGATGGCCCGAACAGCTTGAGTATGCAAATCGGTCGAAAGTGAGGTCGAGGCCTGAGTGATTTGGCCAGAGCTCTTTTGGTCTTTTGGCCCCGGGCCGGCTAAAAATTCTCACATTTTCTCGCAAAGAATTTAAGATGCAAGTGGGCATGTGACCCGAAGCTCCGAGCTTCGAGCTCCAGCTCTGTTGCATATTTGTTGCATAATGCCAACTTATGCACTGGCACATTGTTGACCAGTTCCACCGGAATCTATCTCAAATCCCATCCCTTCCAGCCCCCGATTTACATTATTCGCCGCTCCTGTGTGTGTCCTGGCAAGCGTTTTTGGGTTGAAAAATCTACAAATCGCATGCCACAAACAAAAGCAAATGCCAGCCAAAGGATGTGGATAGCTGTAGGGATGCATATGTAGATGCATAGACCAATGGATGGATGGATGGATGGTTGGATGGATGGATGGAAGGATAGATGGCTGAATGCTTAGGGGGATAAATGGTTAGATGGCTGCTGGCATACCAGCATTATTCCACGTCACTGCCGTCCAGTGCACATTTCAAATTGGAATGGAACGCTGGAAAATAGTCCTGGCGAAAGGAAGTCGGCTAAATTCTCGAGCAAACTCTCTCATTCAATGCGAAATAAATAAGTAAATAGTTGAGATGCCCTTGCCATGCCGCTGTGACAATTCACCCTTCTTTTTCCAGTCAGCCTTCCTTTCCTCCTTGCCCAATCTCTTTGCGGTTTAATTTTCCCATCCCGTCAGCATGCAAATCACACACAATCAGAATGAAGTAAACGTGGGCCAAAGGCAAATATGACATTTCAGTCAGCCAAGTAAATAAATGTTAGGCGGCACAAATGGAACGTGCCAAAGTCGCTTCACGTCGAGGTCGCCACCCCATCCTCAGTTACCTTCACCTGGTCGCTCCATGTGTCTGCAGGTCTAAGCCACAAAATGGTATACCCTTCTCCTCCTCGACAGGCCCCTGGACTGTCAATCCTTTGCAAACAAATGTGAGGAGTCATTTCGCAGCCCGAGAATTGGGGAGCTCTTGAGTTGGATTTAGCTTCCAAGGGTTCAGGATGGGATGTCCAGTTGCCTGGCTCTCATCTTCATTTTAAATCGGAAATACCAATCCTAGATTAGACTTTTATTTGAGTTTATTATGCTAAATTAAGTTTAAATAAACCACAAACTATATTTTATCAAAGAAGCTTCTTTAAATCCTTCTTAAATATCCTCTTCCTCCATTAAACATCCATACATTATACCCATTCCATGTCTTTTCTTCAGCTGCATCGTTTTCTTTTCTTTTTAGCCTACAAATAATTGTATTAAAATGGGAATTTTTTTCAATTTGAGAGTTTTGGTCTGACAGGACTCCACTCCCGGACATGTGACAGCCGGGACGTCGAAAAGAAGGAGACAGAGCGCGGGACAGTCGGGAATGAAGTTGTGGCACGCATTGTCTGAGCCCTTCGACGAGGAGGTGGGGAGGTGGGGAGGTGGGGGCGAGGGTGGCAAGGAACAGCGACATTTTAGCCACCAACCATGTGGGACAGGAGCAACTCCTTCCGCCCCTTCGGGTGCCTTGCCGCCTCCCAAGTTGGCAACGAATTGTTTGATAATGACACTGACATGATGCTGCACTGACAACTAGGCAAGAAACTGGCTCCGGCTGCAGCTGGAGTTGGAGTCGGAGTTGCTACTGCCCCTGCCACTGCCCTTGCTCCAGCCAGAGGCTTTACTCCTGCCACCTCCCACTCCTCACAGTCGTGCTCCCACTTTTTCTTAACATCCCAGGCATTTGTTGTCTGGCCCACGAAATTATATACGAAAATTAGTTGAAGCGACCGCCGCTGGCGACTTTTCTATGTGAGCTTTTCCTTAGTTTCCTCCTGCTCTGCCAGCCTGATCCTGTTTCTTGTTACTTTTCTTTTTATTTGTTATTTTTTTCCATCCCATTCTTTTTTTTTTTGTGTGTGTGTTGATTTGCTTTTCGGTTTCGGCCGTATATTTGGGGGGGCCAGTGCAAGCGGCGCTCTAAATTAAGTTTTAAGCAACATGTCTGCAAAAATCATGCCCCAGGATACTCCGGAATGGCCCGGCCGCCACCCCATCGTCCCCCTGGAATCCCGACTGCTGTCGCTGGCAGTCGCAACGTTTTATTCTTGGTCTTCAGCTGTTTTTTTTACTTTGGATTTCGTTTTTTTTTTTGTTGGATTTCTATTTGAAGAATGGAAATTGTGTTTTGTGTGTGTTTGCTGCAGTAGTGGTCTTCCTTGTCCTTCGTGCAGTTCCTTGAGGAATCCCCTGCCAACTGCTGCCTGCTGCCGCTGCAGAAGTATTTTATTTTATTTATTTTTTTTAAAGATTTTTTTTATTGTATTTCGCTGGCCGTGCTATTTGCACTGGCGCAGTCAACAGTCGCCGTCGTCGGCAGTTGCTTTTCCTGTGCCTATTTATATATTTGCAGGACGACGGATGCTGAGGCGCTGGGGAGCGGAGACCGGGGAGGGGGGAGGGGGGCAAGGACCAACAGAGATTGTACTTCTTCTTGGCTAGGAATTTGTATTTGTGTATTTGTCTTTTAGTTTATTGTGCGGCAGCTAGGCAACTTTGCCTTTTGTATTTGCGCTCCATTGAGGCAGGGAATTCAATTTTAAAATCGCCCAACCGCCGACGTGGGTTTCAAGTCCTGGCTGCATTTGATTACAGTGCCGAACGCTTCGTTTAAAACGATCGGAGCCATTCCCATTTCCACCATTGCCAGGCTAATTAAACGTGGCGTATACTTGATGTGCGCTTAGTCAAGTATACGCCACGTTGAGCAAACAGGAAGCGGCGAACGACGGAGAACAGCGACGCTCAGAGGGCTTAGACAACGAACCGACTTAATCGGGGATAAACCAGCAGCCGGCAAACACTTGGCTGGCAATTAATTAAAAGCCACCCAGCCAGCTATCCCAGCTATCCAGCCAGTCAGCCAGCCAGCCAACAACCGCTAAAATCCAGCCAAATATTAGCTTCTTAAATGCAACAACAGGAAACAAAAAGCGGACAACTTGTGAAATCCGATTTTATTGCAAACAATTAGCAACAGACCAAAAAAATACAAAAAGAATAGGGGGAGACACCTATATGTTGCCAAAAGTAACCTTCAAGTCCTTCACCAGCTGCATCGCGGCCGCTGTGCAGCCCACCACCCCAAAGATAAGGCCAATCAGGATGAGCAATAAATCCCGCAATAGCTTCCACCGCAACCGCCCATATCCATAGCCATAATTCAGGAAAATATCGATCAAGGCCGGACACAGGAAGTTCAGATTGCTAAGCGAGAGGGCTCCCTCCAGTTCCGTGAGAGCCGCCAAGTTGGGAACACTCACTGCCACCACACCGGTTAGAAGCAGAAAGATGAATCGCACCACGTACTCGAGCATCGCCGAGTGGCCCTGGCTGCGGTCGGTGCTTCTTTCGTAGTCACTGAATACCACAGTGATCACCACAAAGCCGTTTAGAGGATAACTCAGGAAGATTCCGATGGCTATGAAGACCTTGATGCACTGCGAGAGACTAAGGATGACCACTTGGTTAGAAGACTAGAGGAAGGCGCAGGTTTACCTACATTTCGTCCCTCGGAATATTCAGAGTGATGCTGGCATGTACTTCCTCGCCAAATCGCCAATACCCCACGAACCCAAAGAAAATGTTGGATATCAGAATAAAAAAAACAGCCAGGTTAAGGACCCCAAAGATGCCCAGATAGCTCTGTGGATGTGCCATATTCGCCTCAACTACTAGCATCTAAAAAGCAATCTTCAAGATCATCACAAAAACTTTCTTTTTAAATATCGACTCACCGAACCCACTGCTGTTAGGGAGAAGGCGGCAATACCAAAGAACTCGATCCATTGGATTGGAGGCTTGGCCAACTCCCGATCCCGGATATCGGGCAGGCCGCTAAACAAATAGTACATGATGAGAGCAAACCCGGCATAAAGGACAAAATTGGAAATCAAGTTTAAGGGCACCAGGTACTTCAGACGCCGGATCATGAAGATCGGCAGGAGGAGGATACAAGCGCCCAGGACGTACAGCCGCTCATTGTAAGACTCGGCATAGTGATCACCGATTTCCTTGAAGTTCTTCGCCACAAAAACCAAATAAACGGTGCACAGGAGAAACTGGCTAAAGACTATGACAATAGTGGTCATGATGCTGGCTGTGCGGCCCAGCCATCTGATGCAGGTGGGACCCTCTTCGTAGGCGATTTGGACAGCCTCCGGCATGGAGACCTGCGGCACCAGTCTTCGCCGGCAGCACTCGGTCATTCCATGGATCTGTCAATAGGGCTTAGGTAATTCAAACACCACTCTGATAATTGTGAAGTAGCCACTTACAGACCAGCAAATGAATGGAGTAAGTCAGTATAATCATCAACAGGATGCACATGACAATGCCGATCACAATACCAGAGCAGCGAAAGGCCAAGGGCATGGCTAGGACACCAGTTCCAATCACACATTTTAGCAGGGAAATGAAGGCATCACAGTTGCTGAGAAAAAATCCAAATTGGTTATTCAAAAGGATTTTTAAAGTTAATTCTTACGTCAATGGCACTTCCACGGTTCGCTTTTCATAGGGATTATATATATAGAACGATGTAATGGACTGGCTGCAATAGATCCAAAGATTAAGATCTCATCTGAAGCTGGGACACACTCACTCACGAAATACTGGGCGCCTCCTGATCATTGGACTTTTGGGCCTGATCCTGCTGTTGCCTGGACTCCATTGCCTTGTCGAAATGTTGTCGAGCTTCTTAAAATTTTTAAAAAACAAAGCCAACACTTTTGACAACTATTTCAAATTAGTTTAGTCGATTCCCCCTGCCCAGTCCCCTAGTCCCCGTCGTTAAGCACCCCTGTGACTGTAGCTGCGCACATTCAATTCACTTACAGGATAACTACGATTGCAGCTGCAACGGCAACTGGAAGCTGGGGGCAGTGCCACCGCACCGCAATCAAAATGGTTGCACATGCGCGCCCATTATCATAATAAGTGCAACTTATGGCCAGCTTCGCGGCCCTGTATCCCATAAAGTTGGCCAACTAACGGTGCATTGGTCCTGCGACCGGAGGTTGGTAACTAGATGAAGGTTAGTCTGGTAGTGGGAATGGGTGTTTCGGGGGTCCGGGTGACAATTTGCCAGCGGGTGCCACAGTAAGGATAACATGAAACTGAACCCTTCTCTACAAAAATCCCTCCTCTATCCTTTTGTGGCCAAGCTCCACTGTAGACTTTAGATAGCTAATGGCAAAGAATATCCTGGAACGTTCGCAGGAAGACGATTGTCATGCCAGAATGCGCACTTCCGCGTCCGCATTTAGTTAGTTTGGCTGTGCTGGTGTTGGTGTGTCTCCTCCGTGTGAGTTTAACAGTAAATTGAATTAAAATTTATTGTGCAAATTGCAGAATTCCGAAAGCGCGCAATTCTGCGCACAGGACTCGCCGCGCCAGCCGCCAAGGCAAATCCAATACAAATAAAATTAAGTAAAAATGCACAGAACTTGCCGTGGTGGTGGGGACTAGATTGGTAGCAAAGCATAGCAGGGGCTTGGGCCGAATCCCCTTCCACTGTATGTACAAGTGTCTGTGTTGGCACAGAAATATGCAAATGCGATATTGTCGCTGGGCGACATTTACAACAATTACAATAACAACGAAGGCACCTAACTGCGTGCGACATGTGACACGATATTCAAATAAAGGCGCATTGCGAGAAGGGGGCGTGCCAAGGCAAGGCAAGGCAAGGAATGGCAAGGCAAGTTGCCTTCATGGGTGGGCGGGGCATTTATAGCATATATTTTGCATAAAGGGAAATATGCAGCAGCAGAACCAGAACCAGAAGCAGAAGCAGTGGCTGTAACTGCTGGAAAGCAAAAGAAAACGACCAGGAACAGCGCAGAAATCAAATAAAACAAATTTGGAATTTTACAGCAGACAGAGGAGCATGCGGCGGCAAAGGCATCGAAGAAGCAACCAAAGAACTGCTTATGTGCGACAATGCCCTCCTCGGCTTCTGGCTGTTCTCGTCCTGCTGCTTGTCCTCGTTTTGGACCAGAAGGATGCCTCCACATGTTCCTTAAACTGTCAGCAATGTGCGAGTGTCATGGGCGAGTGTGCGGGTGTACGGGTGTACGGGTGCCCGGGCGTGTATATGTTATGGAAACAAACAGACTGACATTCAATTTAAATTCCTATACAAATAATTGCATGGCATTGGCGTGGGTCATGAAGACAGAACCAGAGGACGAGCGAGGGGACACAGGATCTCCGTGAAAGGGGCAACTGTGATTGCTTGCCGCCTGCTCACAATAGATTGCAACTTCTTGATAAGAACTCAACCTGAACCAAACTAGACTGACTCTTCGCCACTATTAGGCGCCGAGCACATAAAACAAAGGCTCTAGGGATGCGAATCGTTTAACAAGTTAGACTTTTAAAAATAGATAAAGGAATCCTTTCATGCAAATATATAGCCATCACTGTGGGCCATATTCTGCCAACATGCATTTTTGTGCTTTTTGAAGGGGACCCCCCAGAAAATTTGACAAAAAATGTAAAAATTAATTTGTTATCAGATTTTGATGCAGATTTTCAGAGAATTGATCTACAATTCGTTTAAGGTATTCCTCTTAAGAATCGGTATATTATTGGCAATGATATAGCCCTCACTGTGGGCCAAATTCTGCCTACATCCATTTTTGTGCTTTTTGAAGGGGACCACCCAAAAAATTTGATGAAAAATGTAAAAAATAATTTGTTGTCAGATTTTGATGCAGATTTCAAGAGAATTTATCAACGATTCGTTTAAGGTATTCCGCTTAAGAATCGGATAATTATTGGCAAAGATTCAGCCATTATTGTGGGCCATATTCAGCCCCCAAAGCATTTTTGTGCTTTTTGAAGGGGACCCCTCAGAAAATTTGACGAAAAATCTAAAAAATAATTTGTTATCAGATTTTGATGTAGATTTATAGATAATTGATCTACAATTTGTTTAAGGTATTTCGCTTAAGAATCTGATAATTTTTGACAAAGATATAGCCATCACTGTGGGCCATATTCTGCCAACATCCATTTTTGGGCTTTTTGAAGGGGACCCCTCAAAAAATTTGACGAAAAATCTAAAAAATAATTTGTTATCAGATTTTGATGCAGATTTTTAAAGAATTGATCTACAATTCGTTTAAGGTATTCCTCTTAAGAATCGGTTAATTATTGGCAAAGATATAGCCATCACTGTGGGCCATAAGGTATTCCGCTCAAGAAACCCATGAATACTGGAAAATATATAGCCTCGCCTGTTTCGCGTAGATAGTCCTTCTTTCCTTGCATACTTTTGGACTGAATCACTTTATCTCGCCTCTGCAAGGGATAAGAATATCTTGAATATATTTTCACCATGGAAAGCTAAAAGCTGGCTCTGATTTGCCTGGCTCAATGTCAATGGCCAGACGTTGCCGAGACGGAGCAGAAAGTCATCTGGCGAATAATTACAAATTCCTGGTGTTATGCGTGGCGTGGCTGGTCTGGATATAACCAACGTCATTATCCCTGGCTCATCATCAGCTAAACCGAAAATAAATGCCATTTGGTGGAAATTTCCCAATGCAGCGCACGCACCGGGCGACAAGGATGTGCCGGCTTTTGTCCTTGGCGATTGCTGGCTCACTTGGCTGGCTCACCTGCAATCCGGGCAAGTCGAGCCCCGAACATTATCGCCGCGCTTATCGCGTCGTCATCATCGACGTTATCAACAGCTTAGCATCGCCGCAAAAACTTTGAAAGTGCACCCACGTTCCACAGCAGTGGCTGCCACGCCCACAGGACGCTTTACACTGAGAACAATTTTGCCAATATATGACAAATCAATACTTATGGAATATAAACTAGAATTTTATTTTCAATTTAACAAAAACTGAAAGGTTATTTTATACAATTATCTTCTTAAAATCTTTTAAATATTTATGAAGTTTGTAACTCATATATTTCTCCAAGTATACAATTCTCATTCTGTCCGCCTCAATAATTTTGATCAGATTTTCTGACGCGCTTGTCCAGCGATGCTGTCGTGTTGCCATCGCTTTTATCCCCGCATTCTGCTATATTTTTGCATTTATAATGCAATTCATCGTTCATTTTTCATACTTGCACAAAGTGGATTTTTATTAGATTCCCTTTATTCTTTGCTTTTTATTTTTTGTTCCACCCAGAACGGCTTGGTTTCTTTGTGAACTTGTTTTTCAATGCGTAGCCTGCACTTTGCCGGCATTAATGTTGTTCGGGCCATATGGAGACCACTGGCCAAAAGCGTGTGAGAACGAATAACTATCATGCTGAATCGGTAAGTGCTTCAAACTCGTGGTTTTTCGATAAGGTTATCTAGAAAGAGATTTCTAAAGTTGTAAATGAAATGGTCTGTAAAAAGGATTAAATGTTGTAAAGATTAATAAAGGATTACATATTTATGAGAACAAATTGTTTAATAAACCACATAGTTTTATTCTCTTGACAATTGCAAAGTACAAGATAAGATTGTGATCTATTCTTTTTAGTATAAAAAGGGGTTAATTTCAGTTTCAATTTCGATAGTCAATATGAAGTCAATTTACTTATTAGTCGTGCTGTTCACTCTGTGGCAAACTTGTTTTGCTGCTGCCGAGCAGTATTATTCGTCCTGCGAAGAGGCTAAGCTACAGAGAAGCGGAGTCCAGACAATTAAATTAGGCAACGACACCTTGAATGTGTATTGTGAGACCCCGAGAATGGGAAAAAGTGGCTGGTTGGTGATCCAGAGAAGAGTCAGTGCCGAGGAGAACTTTTATCGCAATTGGACCACCTACGAAAATGGTTTTGGCGACATAAATAACAACTTTTTTATTGGATTGAAAACCTTAACAAATATGATGCAATTAAAGCCCCATGAATTGTATATTTATCTGGAGAACTTTAAAGGGGAAACACGATATGCATACTATGATTTCATCAATGTAGGGGATGCAAGCTCCAAGTATAAGCTGGAGTTAGGAACCTATTACGGAACTGCCGGAGACTCAATGGATGAACACAGAAACATGATGTTTAGCACCTACGACAGTGATAATGATAAAGTCGTCGAAAATTGCGCAGCTATGTACACAGGTGCCTGGTGGTACAACAGATGCTACCACAAGTAAGTCAATAAATACCTTGAAATAATAATATTACAATTTTATTCTTTCAGCAATCTGAATGGTGCCTATCTAGGGAGCGGTATATATGATGGTCAATATTTATTTGGCTCTGGTATAACTTGGAAAACATTTCAAGACAATAATTTAAGCTTAAAAAAGGTTGAGATGATGGTGAAGCCTAAGTGGTAAAAACTATTCTTTTAAACACCAAATATACTAACCAGAAAACAATAAAGCATAGAAAACTTTATTGCCATATTTTAGCGTCTGTCAAACAAATAGTCCGTGGTAAATAAATTGAATTAAAATATTGAAAACAAAATTTACTCTTTTTTAATGACTAAAATACAAGGATAAAGACTGCAAAGATAAGCTCTATCTTAGGAAGATCTTGAAACTATTCTTGCATTTATAAAGCAATTCATCGTTCCCTTTTGTACTGACTCAAAAGTGCATTTTTATTAGATTCCCTTTATCTTTTCTTTGATTTTATTTATATTTTTTGTTCTTGGATGCACTGCTTGGTTTCTTTGTAAACATGTTTTAGTATGTGAAGCCTGCACTTTGCTGGCATTAATGTGGTTTGGTCCATAAGGAGACCAATGGCCAACAGCTTTTGAACCAAGGGGCAGCTTGAAATTTTAATATGTGATCTATATGTATACTTCAATACTACACGAAGGATGTCAGACAAAAACCAATAAATATTCAATAAGCAAAGGAATGCATTGAAAATAAAAGGAGTTTTGTTATGATAATATCGAAAATCATAGAAAGGAAATAGAGGATTAACTTTTACAGAGAAGAACATTTATATAAGTGAGGCTAGTTTCTTCAAATTTATTTGTATTTTGTGTTTCCCTTACTAGTGAAATAAAAACGCTCCAACTCTTAATAACCGAAAACGTTCGAAGTTCGTGGCTTCATTTATTATGCATATTTTCCACACAATTTGTCACGAGGGCGGGCCGTTGAGGAAAAACTACTTGGAAAACAAACGCAACGCAACACCACACACAGGACTCCGCGCCTTACCCAGTGAATTTTCTATTAAATAAACTGTCAGTCATTGACGTTGGTGCGTCGACGACGTGCGGATGCGAAAGTCATACACGATGATGTTCCAAATAATTGCAGATGCAGGGGGGAGGGGGTGCCCCCTCAGAAGATCCTTGGCGAAGGGGCTCGCTGGTAGCTATATTAACGGCATTTTAGTGAGTGGCACGCAGACAAAGGATAAGAATAGGAGTCATTGGTGAATGGCGAATGCCACCGCAGCATATTATTTAAACGTCTGGGCCGTAATTGAATGTTACACGTAAAATATTGGAAAGAAAGTGAGCTGGGTTCATTATGGGGTCACAAAACGTGAGCACCTTTTTGAGTATCGAAATTATTGACAATGAGTGGCAGAAAACATATTGACTTGGGTAATCCTTAGATCTTTTTAAAATTGCCGGCATTACTGGGAGCAAGGCCCTTAATACAAGACCTTTAAGCATTTAAAATTATTATGGAAGAGTTAACAATAGTAGTAGAAACAATCCCACGTTGCGTATACTTAATTCAAATATTTCGAGTTGCCAACCATTAGGTTGTGAACCTGGCTTTTAGTACATTTTTTAGTATTTAGTGTTATGTCTAAAAACTTTATGGTATTTTTCGCCGCTACTTGCTCTGGTTACACTACAGCTATCCGCGTGCTCTATTTACAATTTTTCGATTAGTTATTTTATAATTTTCTCAACCAAAAATGGATGATGAGGCCGAGACTTACAAGCTATGGCGCATTCGCAAGACCATCATGCAGCTGAGCCACGACCGCGGCTACCTGGTGACCCAAGACGAGTTGGACCAGACTTTGGAACAGTTCAAGGAAATGTTTGGCGACAAACCCAGCGAAAAGAGACCTTCCCGCTCGGATTTAATTGTTTTGGTGGCCCACAACGACGATCCCACGGACCAGATGTTTGTCTTCTTTCCCGAGGAGCCCAAGATCGGCATTAAGACCATCAAGACCTACTGTACCCGCATGCAAGAAGAGAACATCCACCGCGCCATTGTGGTTGTCCAAGGAGGTATGACGCCCTCCGCCAAGCAATCGTTGGTTGACATGGCTCCCAAGTACATTCTGGAGCAGTTCCTTGAGTCGGAGTTGCTGATTAACATCACGGAGCACGAATTGGTGCCGGAACACGTGGTGATGACCGCCGAGGAGAAGCAGGAGCTGCTCAGCCGTTACAAGCTCAAGGAGAACATGTTGATGCGTATCCAAGCTGGCGATCCGGTGGCCCGGTACTTCGGATTAAAGCGAGGGCAGGTGGTGAAGATTATCCGCTCATCGGAGACGGCCGGACGATACATCTCGTACCGCCTAGTTTGCTAAATTCCGACCCTAATCCTGTAACAACCGAACTGTAAATGTAGCTTAAGGAATCTTTTATTTAAGAGGAAGGAAGGTGTTTCAATAAACAGCAATCTTTTCTAGAAATTGTTCACTTTTCATGGAGAATATTTTGGTTTTTTTTATGGTTTTCCCCCTTAACAGTATCTGGCGGTATCTAGAGATGGAACTAAAACTATCGAATGCAGTATTTTCGCGAAAACGCCCACCAGTAACACTTTTATTATTATTATAAAACCCTAGGTTTGCAGCCGTCCAAACGGCGATCCAGTGGTCCTCCGGAATGGCCATGTTGACGCGGTTGACCAGCAGTGGCACCACCACGGTGACCCCCGGATCGCCAAAGGGGTTGCAGCGGTTCCAGAACTACCTGGCCGCGTTCCTCTGGCCTGGGACACAGCGTCAGCGAAGGAAGTCGACCCAGTTGGACGCCATCGACTGTTTCACCAACGACCTAGTGACCAGGAAGACGCAAAAGTGGGAGGAGTTACGTGACAGTCTGATGAAGCGACCGACTGCTACCCAGGAGACAGACGCCAACAGCAATGTCGCACTTGGAACGGGGAAAACGGGCACCACCAGCACCAGTTTCAGCCAGAATGTGGGCCTGATGTCCAAGGGAATGATGAATGACCTCAAGGCCCTGCGATCACCTCAACTTGGCTTAGATATTAGATCGCTATCGCAGCCGCAGCTGGATAACCTCTTGATGGCTACACTGGAAATCAAAAACAAGCTGGACTTTCTCTACCTGATCCGTCAGTGCATCCGCTGCAACTTACTTCCCTCCAACGAGGTGTTCGTTTCCTGTTTAAAGTACCTCAGTGCCCAGCGCAAGCTTCAACAGATTGAGGCGCTGGCGGAGACATGCCGCCAACTGGAGCACCCCTTCTCGCAGACCTACGCCGATTTGGCTCCTTTTCGTGCTATCGCTCTCTGGAACAACGGGAACGCAGATGTGGCTCTGATGACCCTACATCGCGGCTATGGTGTCAGCATGAACACTGAGGAGGGACGAAAAATGGCGCGAACAGCGTTCCGTACCATTTCGGAGGAAACGTTGGCCCAGAAGAGCGAGGCAGTTCTGGTGTCACTTCTGGAGGTGGCCCGTGCCATTCACCGCGAACACAAGGACATTTTCGTAGTGGCCTGTGTTTGGAAACAATGCTTTGTCAGCGATTGGTTCTGTGACCAAAAATCAGCGGGGGAACTCTTCGAGCACTACAAAGATCTACAGGAACTCGTGGAAAGGAGGTTAGATACATTTTATTGAAAAAAAAACTTGAAAAATATCTATTATTGTTTCATATCCCAAACAGAGCCGGTCCCTTATGTACTTCATTCTTGGGTCGCAACAATGTAGATGCAGTGCATCGCCTGATCGAGGTATTCTTGCAGCACAAGCAGCGCTCCGCCTGCTCTAGCTGTCTCAGCCTGCTCTTTAACTATCAATGTAAGTCTCTTCGATTTTTAGGAACTCTATTTCAAGCTTTTATTTATTTTAGATATGCGTAAGGACTTGCGTGCCTGCGCAGAGATTGTAAAATCATGCAGCGAGCTGGAGATGCCATTAAACGAATTGCAAAACGAGCAGTTCCTTAGCTTGTTCCTCGACCAGAGCGATCCGTTGGAATCCAACGGAGGCTCAGGAGCAATCAGCAAGTACAAGGCCCCCAAGTCCTTCCAGTACAAGTTCTAGTTCCCGTTCGTGTTCCCCACTGTTTGGGTCATTGTCACCGTAGTGTTAGCACAACCAGTTGCACCATTAAGCAATATGCATACCAACCAAAAAAAATAAATAATAAAGTAGCGTCACTTCAATAAAAGTTATTTAATGCCATCGTTCAAGTGTCCTCGGGAATTTGTTCTGGCAGTATTCCCACGCACTCAAAGCAGCGGGAGATCAGGTGCTTGCCACAGCGATGGGAAAGACACTGTTGGCACCGTGTCCTTGATTTAGTGCCGCGCTTAGTTTGGGTGCAGGGCTTGCAGCGACGGTGCTTGTCGCCGTGACGACTCGCCAGGCTTACCCCCGGCGGAAGATTCATTTTATCCGGGTGCAGGACACCCACGCTGCGAGACCGCTTCGCCTCTCCAGCAGCTTCAAAGAGCAGGCGCTCGTTCGGTTGGCCCAAAATCTCGCAGATCTGCAGTCTCGTTACCAGGGATGTAGTCGATTTTCGCTGAAGGCGTCGCTGCAAACGCTGTTGCGTGAGGAAGAGCCCCAGCTGCCGTTGAAAGTCTCGCTGCTCCATTGTCACGTCCCCCTTGGGCGCCAGTCTTAGTAGAATCCAAGCGTTCACGGCTGCCTTGTTGAGCACCAGGTGCAACAACTGCAGGAAAGGATTGCTCTGATTTTCGAGAGATGGCGGAGTGGCATGGGCTGTGCTGTACCGCTGAGATAAGTCATGAAATTGCTGGCAAGCCTGGGAGGTGCTGTGATAGGCCTGAAGTGTATCCACCTGAGAGCTGAGACCGCAAGCGTAGACAGCTTCCGTGTCAAACGGTATGAGTTTGGATGGGCCACTATAGAGAGCACTTTCGTTCGGCCACTGTCGTGGCCAGTCGAATGAGGAATCATTTAACATGCCCAGTGAGCTGAGCTGCCGCTGAACCATCGTTTCGCATTGTTCCGGGTTCAAATGTCGTGCTCCCATTGTTACATTCCTTCCCGTGGTCTTAAAGTCACAGATCAGCTCTTCGACATCCTTAACTGGTACCTTCTGCTGCTTGTTGACCATCGCATTGGTCATGTAAAGAGTCCTGGCATCGCAACAAAGGGTCAATCGCATGTTATCTACGGAGCAGGGAACCTCGTCAACGGTTAACCAGCTGCTGCAGCCATAATACGATCTGCTATTAATGAGGAGCCGTTGCCACATTTTCTGGGCTTCAGCCATGCCAAAATTACCGCCCAGACACTCTGAAATGCTCTCAAAGCGGGCCAAGGTCATGGAAGCACGAAAAATGGCGTTGCCCAGCTCTAATGTCCAGAGCTCATCGAGAGGTCCGCTATACTCGGCATTGCGGAACACCCCACAGAGGTAGCTCAGCCCTAAATAGGAGCGCAACTCGATTATATCCAAAGGGCGGCAAGTACCTTGCGGATTTCGCTGCTTACGCATCTGATCATTGGCGTGGCGCAAGAGGGATTTAAGCATTTCATCATCAAATAGAAGCATCCATGCTTCTACTGCGTTAGATATTGTTCGAGCAGGACCCTTTCCACAGGCTTGTTGTCCCAAAATCGGCAGCTCTTCGACTGCCTTCTCGATGTCTCTGTTTGAAGTCCAGATTTGACCATTTGGGGATGTGTAGTTTCCAGCTGCGACAGGCGGTCGACCACGTCCCCTTTTAGCGGGACCCGGACGGGAAGATACCTCTTTCTTAATGGCCTCTGCAGCTAGTTGATCATCGGTCATCAGAATATCACTTTCCTCAAATACCCATGGAAAATTGCAGGTTGTTACAGTTTCCTGCAGCGGATCTGAGTCTTCACTATTGAACGATCTATCCATTGTGATGGGTTCTGGTGGCGGAATTTCCTCTTCCACCGGCATCTTTTCCTCCTCTTCCGCATCTTCCTGGTCGCTGCACTTAATATTGGCCAGTAACTCCTCGTCCAAAACACCTTCCATGTTTGTTTACAAAAACATTTCATCCTTATGCCACACTTGGAAAATGTGTTGCAAAATCCATCTAAGCCGCCAAAAATTTGAATTTAAATTTAAATATAATTTCTTTTATTAACTAACATAAAATAAATGAAGAGGTCCAATTGGGAAGTGCTTTAAAAGCAAATCGCTTTATTGACTAAAATAAACAATATTCCAAATGGGTAAGTTCTTCGAAATCGAGTTTCAACAATAAAATAAGCTTAAACGTGATTTTTTTGTTTGTAAGAGGATTTAGTATTGTTAAAAATAGTTATGAAGACAATCTATTATGTTGTAAAATCAATATTTTAGTATCTTCAATAACCCAGTAAGTTTTACAAAGTACAAGGTAAGATTAAGATCTATAAAATTTAAAACAAACAGTAGTATCATTTCCGTATAAAATATATTTTTTGATTTTCCTGGAAACTAAAAAGTATCGGATAAGATTGTGATGTTTACTTTTACCTTAGTACTTGTACCTTAGTGCCTTGGTAAAAAATATATTGTTTACTTAAATAGAAAATTGAAGAGGGAAACGTTATACGGAAGTGGGTCAACAAGGAATAACTATCTTTCTATATTTGAAAAGTTGTACAATTCCGTAATTTAATGATAAAGGAATCTGAAAATATAGTGCAAGATAAGATTGTGATCTATAGTATAGAATTTATACCTTTTAGTATAAAAAGGGTTCATTTCCGAATATAATTCGAAATTCAGAATGAAATTTATTTATTTATTGGTCGTGTTGTGCACGCTGTGCCAATCTTATTTTGCTGCTACTGAGCAGTATTATTCGTCCTGCAATGAGGCTAGCCCACAGAGATCCGGAGTCCAGACAATTAAAATTGGCAACGACACCTTAAAGGTGTATTGTGAGACACCCAGAACTGGTAAAGTTGGGAAAAGTAGCTGGTTGGTCATTCAGAGAAGAGTCAGTGCCGAGGAAAATTTTTATCGCAACTGGACCACCTATGAAGATGGATTTGGCGACATAAATAACAACTTTTTCATTGGACTCAAAAACATAAACCTAATGACGGAATTTAAGCCTCATGAACTGTATGTTTATGTGGAGAGCTTTGGTGGGCAATCAGCATATGCATACTACGATTTCTTCAGTATTGGGGATGCAAGCTCCAAGTATAAGCTGCAGATAGGGACCTATTACGGAACTGCCGGAGACTCAATGAAAATACACAATAACATGAAATTTAGCACCTACGACAGTGATAATGATAATAGCACAGAGAATTGTGCAGCAAAGTTCACCGGTGCCTGGTGGTATAATAATTGCCACCATAGGTAAGTTAAAACATTCTTCAATAAATACATTTTATAATAATCGTATTTTTATAGCAATCTGAATGGTGCCTATCTAGGAAGCGGTGTACATGACGGGACCTATTTGTGGGCCTCTGGTATAGTTTGGAAAACATTTCAAGACTATACTTTAAGCCTAAAAAAGGTTGAAATGATGGTGAAACCCAAGTGGTAAACAATTATTATTTTAAATACTAGTTATGTTAATCAGAAAAGAATAAAGAGTTGTGGTAGTGTGGAAACTACCATGCAAAAATTTTAAATTTTTAAAACCTGTTAGCGAAAATTATTATTATAACCAGAATAGTGCTGCCATTTCCCAAATGGATCCCAACTATAGTCATTTAATCGCTTTGCAACACTAAACATATTAATCCAAAATTGTAGGCTTATTAAAAAATAGTTCAAATATGGTAAAAGGTGTAAATATTACAATCTTAGTGTCAATATTCATAGACTAAGATGAATATTAAGTTTCAGATATATTTCTTAAAATATTTGTTTATCCTACTTGTACACCTGTTTCACATTTAAAAGTGCCGCCTATAGTAATCGTTTATCGCACTTGACAATCAATCGGGATGTATCACGGTAATACCATCACCAATATTGTTGTTTTATTTCTGGCCAAGAAAAAGAGTAATTCGCAAAGAATCACCAGATAAAACCAAAACCCTTTTGACCACGTTAAGCATTGCGGTCAAGAATAGCCCCTGTTCAAAAAGGAGTATCAGCCCGAATGTCCTGACATAAACCTTCAGAAGTGACGCCCGTTGTTATCTGCTCGCGTCACGGCCCTGTCTGGGGGTCGAAATTCCAGAAAAAGCAAGTGGAAAGTGCAATTAAATGTCAGTGGCAAATGATCGGATATTGCAGGTGATGCCAAAAGTCCCATTGATGCCCGTTATTTACGCGCGCATCGAATTTGTCAAACAAAATTGGGCGAAAAGTGTCAATTTGACGTTCAGTGTTGGTCACCGCTTGAGTATGTGTGTTGGCTAGGGACATCTGCTGTCGAGTAGTGTAGATTATTTCAAAATTTAAATAATGTCATTTAATTTATTTGAAGGATTCCGCCTGAGCCAAGTCTCGATTGCATTACAAAATCATCAGAAATCGATTTTGGAAATCCATCCGAGTGGGCCATGATTCGAATGTCTTGACATTTTGTGCCCTTTCGTCAAAAGTTAGTTTAATCTCAAAGCCCGAGCTGTGAACACAAATCATTTCGATCTCTGTTATAGTGCAAAACTATATATTCTTTCTAAGAAAATTGAAAAAATAATTCGTAAATCCCGTCGCCTTGTATCGAGTTTTCAATCAATTACTGTGCTGTCGTTTCAGTCGGTGGTTTCCTGGTTCATAAGGATCTAGGCTGGCATGATCTCTCCAGAGCAACAAGAGGTCAATCTGGTGCTGGATCGCCAGGTGCGCCAGAATATCCATGATATGATGCATGAGGCTCATGTTCAGGCTAGGCTCTTAGAGAGCGAGGGTAAGTTCATTTTTTTCAATAATCCAAAAAAAGAAAACTAACCAGAATCTGTTTTTCATTTCTAGGACGTGAACGCTTTCACTCTGATTCCAGTGGAGATTCGCTACATGCCGAGGATACGATGGCCGTGATGGAGGCACTTTCGGGAGACGGGATCGTTGAGGAGGATCTTAGCTCCGAACGAGCTCATGCTGTGGACTCAAACGAAATTCAGAATTACCATGACATGATGGTGGACAACGATCACCACATCGATATCAATGGGTCGCTGCGCAAACGGCGTGGCAACCTGCCCAAGCATTCTGTTAAGATCCTTAAACGCTGGCTCTATGAGCACCGCTACAACGCGTACCCTAGTGATGCCGAAAAGTTTACACTGTCGCAGGAGGCGAATCTAACCGTGTTGCAGGTTTGCAACTGGTTCATCAACGCACGTCGTCGCATACTGCCAGAGATGATCCGACGCGAAGGTAATGACCCCCTCCACTTTACCATCTCGCGACGTGGCAAGAAGATCAGCCCGGGCTCATCTGGATCTGGGTCCATGGGTATGAATGCTGGCAGTACCCCGAATCCTATTACTGGAAGTCCGGCTTCCGAAGTGGTAAGATAGCTGACCTTTCCATATATTCATTTTAAACTATCGCTTGTTTTTCATAGGTTGTTGGAGCTACCGAAGAGGTGGATGGCGCCGGGGAGATCCACGAGGGCATAGCCAACGTTCTCACTAATTTCGACCAATATGTTCAAGGCCCCAACGGACAGATAGTCAAGATGGAGCCCGAGTACGATGATAGCGTCATCTACAGGTACCTACAGGTCGCTATGACCAAATTATTTAGTTTGATAGGTTGAGTGTTGTACCACCTTCCCACCTTCCCCTCCCATCCGCATCCATTCCAAAGTTGGCAGCAGGCCATTGCAAACAATCCGATGGGTTTCCAAAGTCTCCACTCCTCGCTACAAGCAACCATGATCGATAAGATCCAAAACTATCAAATGCGCAAGGCAGCTGCCTTGAAGAGCTCCGGATCCAGCACCAGTAGTGACGGCAGCTCAAAATCAAGCTCCCCTGGGTCTATATTACCGTACAGTCTCTTTGGTAAGCTACCACCCGAGTTCGATGACGACAAGAAGCCCCCTCCGCCCAAGCGGGGTCGCAAGCGTCAGTCCGCCGGCAAGAGTGCTGGAGGGAAGACTAAGCAGCCAAAACGGGAAAAAGTGATTAAACAAGAGGTCAATCTGAGCGATGCGGCCGTGTACTGTTATGAGGACGAATACGGAGGCTACGTGGTCGCTCCTAGGTACAGCTACTACACCGACCGATTACCCCATATTTTAAGTCTTTCAAGAAATTATTCTTCGCTTTAAAATATTTTTCTCTTACCCACAGATCCGAGGGCGAGGAGAGCGGCCAAGGGTACGAGTCCTGTGAACACCACAGCGAAGAGGAAGTGCGCTTCGAAACCTCCGACGACTGGCAAAGCGTAATGAAGTGAGTAAATAGTATATAGCCTTTTTTTTATAAGCTCATAACGAATGATTCCTTTTTAGGACCGTTTTCAGTACCGAAGAGGTCGCTACTACTGGTGGAGAGAATGTAAGTACTGCGGCTAAAAAGCGATCAGCTAATAACACCTCTTTTTGGAATACCAATCAGCCGGCTGTGGCAAAGCGCAGTGGTATGTTAAACTCTGCTTAACATTAGTTTAGAAATTAATTGTTTTATTATATATATCAGGCAACCAACAGGTAATGGTTTCCAATAATGAGCTGAATCAGGTGGAGGAAACAGTTGTAGAGGACCCAAATCAAGTGGAGGGCGGGCAGGAGGAAAACTTGCAGCAGGAGGATGTGTATACCGCTACCGATGCAGACAATGGCCAGACTCAGTCATCACCACAGCCACAGAGTAAGAAATCTGATGAAACTTAATTAAAAAGATAACTTTTCTCATTAAAACCTATCAGATGTTAGTCGGGATGAACGTGACAAGTACAAATGTCTTTACTACCTGGTGGAAACGGCTATGGCTGTGCGTCAGAACGATGTCCAGGAGGATGAGTTTGTTTATATGGGCAACTAGTTCCACACACCACTAGACCATGATGATCCCATGTATAGCCAGACCTCAATGTATATATACTTAAGTATTTCGAAGTTACTGCAGATTCTGCATGTCCTTAGATCAAAAAATTGTGCTAAGGCCTACAGTTATGCTGCTGGGCCGTCGAAAAATCTGTTAATTCAGTAGGTTACTAAAAAAAAATGTACAAACCAATTAGATCAATTTCAAGACCCAATCGCCCAGTCAGGTACGCATATCTACCATGTCAATTTACAAAGAAATCGATATGATTATGTCACACTAATTTAATTATGCAAACTTCTGGTACCCAAGAAAACCAAATACATGTGCATTTTAGGCACCAGCGCTTAACTGGTGTCATATAGGCAAATAATATTTGTTTTATTTTAAAACTGGCGGGCTAGAATTTAATTACGATCAAAATTTCAGTATTTTTTCAGGCCTTTTGGTATTTTTCTACTGCAATGGTTGTGTAGGATTTTTAAGTTAAGGGGATACGGTCAGTCACCGATTTTGTTTTTTGTTTTTTGCAATAAATGTTTGTCCCGCAAATAAATTATTAACAACTACAGCAAACACGGGACTTCAAATTGTTCAAATATATAATGAGCGTCATTCCAGTAGCCGGCTGCTTCGAGAACATTGCAATGAACGTCTTCTGGTGATTAGAGTGAATTTTCCGCATTGGCAGCCAGTCGTCGCCCCGTCTTCTTTTGTCTCTTTCTCTCCCTGTCTGCCGTCGTGTTCACTTTGTGTAAATTACAATTTAAAAAAAAAAACAACAAAAACAAATATAAGTTGGTTTAAAATGTAACGCTAGCATAGCCTGCAACGCAAAAGGCAAATAGCTGAGAAGGTAGAAGTCATTTGGAGAACCACCTACTGCTTCCAAGTGCTGGCCAAGTCGGCCACACCTGCACCGCTTGAAAATCTCACGCTTATCGCACACCAGCAGCAACACCCTAGATTCCTCCTGCCACGCCCCTCCCACCGCTCAGCTTGCAAGGAGTCTAGCCGCAGTTGTCCTGGCAACGGTCGAAATCAGGACATGCAAAGAGCAGTCCCATCTGCAGTGTGGGTAAGTCTACATCCCTGGGCATAGATCTGTATGTGTTTGTCTTTGGTTGATTGGGAGGCAGAGGCGTCATCTTGGTGGGGGGTTGGGTCATAACACTATATATATATAGTTTGTTTTTAAATCTATTCTTTTTCTTCTTTTTTTAGCCTTAAATTTTAATATTTCAGAATTTTAATTGGATCTAAAAATTCAGTTACTAAACTTTATAAATGTAAATACATTTTATTTTAAATATAAGCTTACATGTATAAATAAAAACAATTATTTGTATAAGAATTATAGTTTTTAAAACCCCTTAAAATAATAATACCCATGTCCCTGTTTATACCCTGTATATGTTAGTACACCCGTACGTGTACTGGCATTTTTTTTTTTTGGCTATTTACTATTTGCACTTTTACTTTCGATTTGGGGCTCTTCTTTGTGACTTTACCGACTGGCCCACTTGCGTCATGACATGCTTTATTTGCCGATGCCATAATCTCTACTTTTTCGAACGACGGCTAGCTGCTGTTGCAGATACCCTGGGGATCGTCTAGCAAGCTGGTACCATTAAGATATGGAGCACACTGCTACCCGGCATCCATAGATTTCTGGCTTATCGCTCCACATTTTTAAGTTCGAGGCTTGCCAGTAGCTTGCCAGTTTGCGATTATATATATTTTTTTGAAATTTAATCTAGCACTTTATTTTGTAAATATTCTATTAGAAATTCTTATTTTTTTAAATCCTAAAATTCTATTCTCAAATATGTTATTTGAATTTTTAGGTCATAGCCGTTCCAATTGCCAAATGGTTTATATTTAGTGACCCATTGGAGTCTATTTTTAAGCACGTGCCTGGCACTCGTTGCAGGATGATGATGATGATGCTACTACTGCTGGCTGCCAGATGATGATAATGATGATGATGATAATGAAGATGACATCGGCGTAAGTGGCTCGAGTAGTTTGGCCCGATGCCCCAGCAGGAACACGAGTTTTTAAGCGGCAATTTGCAGCAATTAAAAATACGAGAGGCTGTTGGCAAAGTGCTTGTGCCTGCTGACTGGTGCTGGTGCTCACATCTTACACCTCTCATTTGCTCGCTCGGTCGGCTCACCCTCGGGTGTCTCATGGCGTTATTAATAAATCGAACCGGGGACGGAAAGGGTCAAACGGTGCTGCGCAGTTTGCGGTGAACAGCGGTGAGCGGTGGGCTGTGAGGCGGTACCCCAGGCTTTATCAATTTTCACCCAGTTCAGCCGAGTTCAGTTCAGTTTCAGTTTCAATTTTCAGCTCTCGTTCGCTCTATTTTGTTTGGCCTCCACACACCGACACACACGATGCCGACACCACACCACCACACACATTAGCTGGCGTCTGGCGGTGCTCTCTTTTCTATCATTTTCCCAACAATTTCCCTGCCACCCAACATTTGGCCCACTCAGCTGTGGCTGCCACTCGGCTATAGCTGCGGCTATGTGGCTCTGGCTATAGATGCGACTTGTTGTGCCAAAAGCATCGGCATCAGACGCATCGCTCGCTTTCAGTTTGCAATTATCAACATCGCGCGCTCCTTGCCGGAGCATCGAATTTGTGTTAATTCGCCGGGCCGAATTATTGCTGGCATGGCCATAAATAAACCGCAATTCAATTCATTCTATTTATTGCCGATACTCACGTGAAACTTAATCATCGAACGAATTTTAAATGTTGCTGGCACGACGGTATGAGTGTTAAATGAAATCATACATTTAGTTTTTGAAAAAACAAAACAAAACAAAGCATAGTGTTACCTGGTAATGTGGATTAGGCTTTTGGGCCACCGATCCATGCATAATTGCCAGCCCCTTTTCAGCAATTCAAGGTTGCATAAACGCTTAATGTCCCTCTCCCCCGTGGCCGGCTGTCAAATGAAATTGTGCACAATGATGAGAGCCACTAACAAGTTTCTTGTTACCATTTCAATGTGGCACGAGGGCAACAGAACGGCAGCAGAGGCACAAAAACAAGAGATCTCTTTCTCCGGCTTGCCATCGCTTGACCACACAAACAAACCCAACTCAACCCAACCCATCTTAACTCAACTGTTATAAACGATTTGTTTTTCGAATGCCCTGAAAAGTGAGAGTTGAATGGGAATACGGTGCGTATACTTGATATTTGGTTTGTAGGTGAATCTAAAATTTAAATAATTTGAAAGGAAAAGCCAGTACTGCCTAAATAAATCAAAATTCTAGGAGTATGAAGTAGCCGATATGGCTGTAGCCATACCGTGCGTATACTTGATATGATTTTTACTGATACACAGTGCGTTTACTTGATAGGTGGTTTCCACTTAATGTAGATAAACCAAATAAAACCAAAGATTATCCTTAAAATATATACAATATCCTAGACTATCATATGGCATATAGCCGATATGGTATGGTCATACAGTGCGTATACTTGATTAGTGTTGTACTGATAGGCAGAGCGTATACTTGATAAGTGGTTTCTACTTGTTACTTACTTGTTATATCTCTTTTAAATATTATATTATTTAAGTAAAAGCAAATATCCTAAAATATATACATATATATATATCCTAGAGTATAAAGTACCTAATATGGTCATACAGTGCGTATACTTGATGAGCTGTGTACTGCTAGGCAGTGCGTATACTTGATACGTGGTTTCTACTTACATAACTTTTTTAAATATATTATTAAAATAAAAGCCAATATTATATTAAAATAAATATATCCTAGAGTATCAAGTAGCCGACCTGGTGACACCTTTTCCCCACCTTCGCCCTCCTTTCGGCATGCAAATCATCCAGACAGAGAGACACAACTGCCGTGCTGTGTCTGAGGTAAATGCGGAGCAGAAGGATAAAAAAAGAAAAAAATAAGAGGCATACTGGGTGGGTGGTGGTGGGTGGAACTAGTGGGTGGCATTTTATTCCGCTTGTTAGCCGCTGTCTTTGACGATTTGTTCGCATGCCATTCTTTGCTCTGGTTTCGTTCTGTTATCGCCTCTCGAGTTATTCGCTCAACATGCCTCTGTCTCTACTGTTCTGTATTTAATACAAAATCAATCGGCATATGCATATTAAGGCGAAGGCCTTCCCCGATTCAGGTTACTTGTTTATTTCAATTACAACTCTTGATTTAATTTTTATTTTTGAGTACGAGTACGAGTATTCGAACCGAACATTCATAGGCGGATATGCGCAAGGGGCTTAGCTCTAAACATTTAAACATTAAAATTATTGCGTTTAGATAGCGAAGAGACTACTATTAAATTGCACTCTTAAAACTTACATAGTATGTTTGCCATAGGTCTGAAATAATATAACTCAAGTCATCTTAATCCTTAATTTTAGTTAAAGCACACTTGTGGTTTACTGAGTATGAGAGTCCGAGTCCTCATTAGGCTCACACATAACCGCTGGACTCGAGCTTGATGGCACCCTCGTATGTGGGCAGCCCTGATCTGTCAATGATTTTGCTCATGTCCATGCTGATGATGCCGTTCTCGTTAATGGTGTTCAAGTCGGCTTCGTCCTCCTCTTCCTCCCCCAACCGCTTCTGGTGGCTGCCAGTGGCTTGTTCCAGATTCTCCTGCCTGCCACTGGACGTGGCCGCTGGTGTGGCCGATGTTGCAGCGTTGTCATTTTCGTCGGTGACAGCACTGATGGGCTCTTCTGGCGGGCTTGATTCCACAATTGCGGCCTGGACATTGCCGTTGGCCGCATCCTGCAGAGTGGTAATGTCAGGAGCAATGCTGTTGCCATTTTCGCTGTCGCCGGGACACGGACACAAAGCCACTGGATCCTCCAGCTCCTCCTCGGGCTCCAGCCGCTCCTCTCTCCTGCCCATATTCAGGCCGCTCTCCACGGACAAGGCGGTCAGCGGTTCATCCTCCGCCTCGGCTTCGTAGCGGAACTTGCCGCACAGCGGGCAGCCCCTCCGGTAGTGATTGGCGCTGTGCTGGTGGCTCTGTTGCAGGTATCGGCGCCCGAAGGTGTTTAGCCGCAAGTTCTGGGCCGGCTTGCGAGCCTGCAGGGCCAGCGGAAGGGAGGGTGGCGGCTGCAACACCTCCATTTCCAGGCAATTTCCGCTGCGAGCTGCCACCGCCGCCGCTGCGGCATTCCACATGCTCTCCACTTCCGCCCGCTGCAACGAGCAGCAGGACTGAGCATTCAACGCCAGTTGTAGCTGCTTATTAACCAGCAGACCAGGACCCGATCCTCCAGTGCTGCCACTGGCCATGGCATCCACGCTGCCATCGGGCGTGCCCCTACTGCCGCTTGCCCCATTCTGATTGCTGATGTCGAGGGTGGATCGGTAGCCGGGCGGCGGAGAGACGCGCTGCATCAGAAGCTGCTGCTGTTGCAGTTGCAGCTGCAACTGTTGCTGCTGGTGCTGCTGCTCCAGCTGCTGTTGGTGGAGCTGTTGCTCGTGGAGCACCACGGCGTCGTACGAGGGCGGCGGTTCATGATGCAGGGTGGGGACAACGGCCAGGCCATCGGTGGAGTCGCCTAGAAATAGGCCCGAGGTTTCATAGCACTGCGAAGAAAAGGGGAATATTAGTAGGGTATATAGTATAGTATATAGGCCCTACACCATTTTTGGATCTATGGTTGGATGCATCGCAATTTCCTTGCTTAATGGACACGCGGTGGACAAATGAAATTTACGCGATCAAATAAAAAAGTTTAAATTGCACACATCATAAACTTATTTGTCTTCGCTGCGCAATCTGCCCCACCACCCAACCACCCAACCGCCGACCTGCCACCACCAATTTGCGACCTCCAGCCCCCTCCCCCCAGACCAGCCCATCCTGTCAGCAGTATCGCCTTTTTCTGCCCGCAGTTGACATTTGTGCCTGGACAGGCTAACGTTGATTTACGCGGAGCCTTTTGCCGGCCCGGCCCGGCCTGGCCTCGTCCCAGCGGGCCAACAAACAACAATGAACTGAGTGATGGCATAAGGCAGTAGTGGGTGGTTTGGGCCCACCAGTAGGGCTAGTAACTTAATAAAGCCGATGGCCAAGTGAGTCCGGCTTCTGGCCCACTTGCATTGTCGTCCGGCAATTGTCGCGTCCCCCCCTTCTTGGCCAAGTTAGTTCGCACCTGTTAAATGCGCCGCATAAATATCCATTACTTGCCGCCTCCTTCTCGGCGGAGACTTCGTGAAATGTTGGCTTAAACTTGAAAAAGGACAATTAGGGTTGGGTCCAAATTGGACGTGATGTCAAAACGCGGGAATAAACGGCTATACAACTTGGTCTTAATTGTGATTTTAACCGATAATTGGGATTTGAGGTTAACACAATTGAGTGAAAGTTGTTTGTTATTAGCCCTTATCCTTAACAGTTTAGATCCTTGCCCTGCATGACACTTGAATACTCTTCGAAATATAATTTGTTTCATATCGATTTTGAAATCCTTTATTAGAACTAATGAAATCCCCGAGGATTTGAATAAACCTTTGGTCTCTATTCTATTCGAAATGTATTTGACATCCGTATGTTGTTATTAGAGCTCGACAACAAAGCCCAAAATGGAGATGGGAATGGAGATGGAGCTACTAAACTCACCTGCTCGACGCTGTATATTTCCATGTTGGGATCGCCTTCCAGCCACTGGTGCTGCTGCTGCCTGTAGGCGGCCTCGGTTCGCTTTTTGATGTTCCGATGACAACAATAGCAGACCACACACAATATGGTTGTCACCAGGGTGAGCATGGCCCTGCAACAATAATCGAATTGAATATCTGGATATATATATGAGAGTATATGTGGATGTGAATGTGATTCTGAATGCAATGTTATTCCACGAGTATCAGTCACAGACACGTGTATTTTGTCGAAATGTTTGTTTTGTCCATGGAATGAATGATTGCGGAGAGGAGGAAGGGTGGCTGGCTGATGAGGATGGTTAGGATAAATGCCCTCTCGATAAATGGCCATCATGATAATATTGTATTAATGCCGTTTTTGGCATTTATTAATTCTATCAAACAAATTGCAAATGCTGTCTGTTTATTTATTTTGGATTGTAGTTGTCCTACGGCCCTGCTTATTGGTAGAATATATTCCCAAAACAATGTTGTCCTTATTCGGTTGCTTTGATACACCACCAGAGCGGAAATTAATTTACAGCACAATTCTGACTTTAATTAGCAGAAAGCACTTGTTACTTAAACTTCCAAGGAACAATGTTTTAATTTATTTTCCATTCGGAGAAGTATGAGGATGTGGTGCTATGTTTTCTTTACTTTCTTATTTAAATAAACCTTTAGGTCATAGTTTAAAGTAGATTGAAGATTACTAATTATTTGATTAGTATCTCTTATGAACGGAAATTAAAATTTCAATCATTTTCTTGAAAGTGTTGAGCCCCCCATTGCCTTATCCGTTTCATAAGTTTGTCAATAAATCTGAAAGGCCCAGCCCCCCACCTATCAGGTTGATTGCCAGTTATCATATTTTCCTTTTAGCGCTTTCGGCCAATTCATGTCGGTTTATTGAAACTCACTGGTTGATTTCAGGCCGGAATGGGCTTCGTGTCGATTTGGTTGCCCAAGGAATTTCAATGACGTCACTTAATCCACTTTAGAATGCAACATTGTGCTCCACTTGTCTGACCAGTGTTTGTTTCTGGCTCGTCCTTTTTTTTGTGGCTTTTTTCCCCGGCTCACGCAATTTCTCGCATGTCAACAGTTCATTAAGGACCTTCTTTTTCGGGCCGAGCTCGGTCGGAAAGAGAGACAACACAACGCCGATGTAGAGCATTTTTTTTATATATATTTGAGAGCTATTTTCAATGAATTGGCCCGAAACAATCGATAAAAACGTAGTTAAAATAAAGTTTTGGCTTTGGGCCACGCGTCGTGTTTACACACATCAAGCCACAACCACCATAAAAACCGTGTTGACAATTTTTAGAATTTTTTTTAGAGCCCTACCACAGTCCTGGAAGGAAGCTCGCCTTACAAACGAAAATAATAAATTTTATTAACCATCTCCCGCAACAGCAACACTTTCCTTTATTTTCTTTTAAAAAAGGATGTCCCAAAAAAAAGGGGGAAGATGGGAATAAAAAAATGGCTTAGCGCAATTATAATTATTATTTTCCTTCAACACCAGAGCCGGAAAAGCCGAAAAGCAGTTGACAGGACGGAGGAAGGACAGCTTGACATCTTCGCTTCCAGGCGCATAAAATGTTGATGTTTATTAATTCGTAGCTCCAGCTCATAAATCAAGCCCCACAACATAGCCCCAGCAGTATGATCTACGAGAGCTACTCTAAAATGGCTGAAATGTGTCTACAAATAAGGGCAATTACTGTGAATTAAATTGAACGAAACGACCCGCAATATCACAAAAATTTAAATGATTTATGCCTGGTTTATTTGTATTTTTCCAGCCATAATTTCACTCCCCCCCGCCCGACTCTCATGAATTCATTTCCAAAGTGCTTGTGAAAATGGGCATATGTTTGTCGAAAAAGTACCTACATGCACTACCGCCACATGGAAAACAATTAACCAGAGCCAGAGCCCGAGTTGGAGGGAACTTGGACGGGTTTATTTTCCACTCAAACTTTCTTGCAGGCCGTAATTAATTAATTGCCAAATCACATGTGGGAGTGCTAGGCTAGTTGCCAAAAGTTGCATCAGTCAGACTTACCCGCCGAGCAGCAGATTCACATTCCCATTGACAACATTTGCATATGTCTGGGGTCCACCAGGTCCTCCACCGCCACCGGCACTCGAGCTGATAGCTCCCGAGCCGCCGCGCTGCTGATGATACAGCCCCAGGCCGCTGCTATAGTAGGTGGTATATGTGGATATGGACGAGGATGAAGATGCCGATGAGCTAGAGCCATGCTCCTGGGACTGGGACTGGGACTGCTCCGTCTCCTCGGCCGATGATGTTGAAATATCTGCTACCGTTGCAAGGAGCGATGATATTGTTGTCGAGGAGGTGGTGCTGCTGGCCGGGATGGTGTGATTTGGACCGAAGGCCGCCAGGAGAGTTGCATAACGCTTTAGAGACATTTCACAGGGGCTTGAAATCGAAGCAGGGCGATTGCATAACGATTAGCACGGCGCACTCATTACAATGAGCCTTTTATTAACACGCACACTCGTACATTTGGGGGCCAGGACAGCGCCAGGACTAAGGGTTAGCCTTTAGAGAAACCAAAAAGGCTCTAGACGGCAGCAAGGACGAAGAGCGACTGTTAGTTGGGGAGTTAGCCCTCGCGAGCGACGACCCGAAGGCAACACCACTAACAATGCTAACACTGACACTAACACTTAAAATAAGAACAACAACAACAACAGCACTACACAAAGACAAATTTTTTTTTAAATTTATTATTTATATATTTTTTTAATTTAAATTAGAAGGAGAGAAAAGTCTTTGTTAAATAATTATAGACTTTGTTGGAAATAGAGTCTCATTTTGTTAGTTTTTCTTAGTGAGAATATTTTGGTTTATTTTAAACACCATTTTAAAACATGAGAAATATTAAATTAAATTTAAAACTGTCTTGTTCTTTTGTTATTTTAAATATTTTTATTATAAATATATTTATATATACATTGTAGTTCTTTTAATATTTCAAATTTTAATACTTGATTCTGTAGTTACACTTTTAAAATATTATTCTTAAATCCTAACTAAGATATCTTAAATGCTTTTTTAAAACACCGTTTTTTATAAAATTTCTTATTTTTAATTTATTATGTTTTATATCTTTTTATATTAATTTTTTCCACTGCCTTAGCTTTTGTAACGATCGATGGCCAAGGCAAGACTATTTCCGTAACTTTTAGTTTCTGTTTTTTTTTTTTTTTTTTGGCCGCGAATTGCGATAACGGTTATAGTAATGGTAACACTAGCTGGTAGCCCGACTGCCTAGCTGCCTAACTGCCTCGCTGTGGCAAGTGGGAACGCGTGCGTCTGGGTGAATGCGTTGCGCTGTTGCAACTGAGCTCCGGCTTGACTTGCTGACTAGTTTGCCGTCCCGAGGACTTGGCTTGGCTTGGCTTATCCTTTTGTTGTGCGCCCGACGAAGTTGCCGTGGTTACCGAGCGACTCAGCCTTCGGCCTGGTCCTTTACACTTCGTTTATTACCGTTAGTTCTTACTTTGGCTGTTCGGTGGTATGTTGCTCCTTCTGATGTTGCTGGTTGCCTGTTACAAGTTGCGTTGCCCATTTTTCCCTTGATGCTTTCCCTCTCATACTATTTTTGGAGGGGCGGATGGGTGGTGTGGGATGTGGGTGGTGGGAGTAAGGAGAAGCAAAAGGAAGAATCAACAACAAAGGCCAAGCTGAGCTATTTGTATTGAGCTTCCTTTTATATCCCTTTCACTCTGGCAGGACTCTCTGTTCCTCTGCACGTTTCATGTCAAATTGAGCGCCAAATGCTTTTGTATGCTCGTATGGGTTGTCATTATGGTTGCCACTGTTGTTGTTTTTTTTTTGTTGTTGTTGTTTTTGTTTATAGCTATAGTTGTTGTTGTGGCAACCGTGCATGCCATTTGAACAACACTTGTCGCCAACTGAAATTTTTCACGGCATGCGGCCATAAATAATAATGCGACTCAAAAGCAACAGTCCATGCCGCGCATATTGAGCATGCAACATGCTGCAAGTGCATGCCACACAAATGCAAGACAATACATATAAGAAACTGTTGCATTTAAATGGTTTATTAAAAACGATAGTCTAGGTACTAATACAAGCCTTAAAGCTTCCACAACTTCTTCTATAAAAATTTAAAAATCATTAAAATTTTTTGCAACATTATCCAACGAATAAAATATAGAACATTTGCATATCTGGTGCTTTTATAGGCACCAACCATATGCCATCATCATTATAATGGCCCACCGTTAGGGACTAATTGAAATTCACGTATTATTTTGGCAAATTTGCGTTTAATTTATGGCCCTATCCCAGTCTCGTACAAACATTTAAAATAGGCTGCCATGTTGGCCAATATTCGGGGGCGGTAGTGTGTGGACTCGGTGGATCAGCTTCTGGGCACCCATATATACATATACCTTCCTATGCCAGCTGCACACAATCGCAGGCAGAGTCGCCCGACTGGTTCAAGAACATATGTAAATAGTTGCACGCCATTTTTGCCGCCCCTCCTGCGGTACACTGAGAGAAAGGCAGTGGTATATATTCTGTTAGGTATTTAGATATGTTAGATCTTTTTCTGTTTATTTTTTTTAGTGTTATTTGAAATCCTCTTGCTCGCTCTTTTGTGAGTTTTTGGCCATGCCAACTGTTTGTTGGCGGCGTCGGTGGCGTCTTGAAATCCGTGCGACGTCGGCGGCTTAACAGCCCCACAGTTTTGGGCCCTATATCCGTACTATATATTCGTGAATTCGTAGTTGTTGCCTACACCTCGAGTGTCGCGCGCGCTCAAGAGCCCAGTGAGGCGGCGGCCGTGAACAAGAGACACACATACACACACACACACACGTCGCACACACAAAAGTTGCCACAATTTTAGTTTTCCTCCAGCTCTCTGGCATAATTTTAGATTTGTGCAAAAGAAAATTTGTCAATTCAGGAGGAGGACAACCTACCAACTACCATATAGAAGGAGAAAAGAGGTGGCAGCGGTCCACGTTTTTTCTGTCACGCCGCCCTTCAACAGTTGGCATCTGGCAAACGTGACTCATTAGAGGCGTCTCGCACTTGGAGGCGGAGGATGCAGGGGTGGCTGCCACCCGCCGCCACCAAGCCCACCACTGATGATGGATAGTTTCGGTCGCTTCTGGTCACTTTTGGGCGCCGCATTGCGCACGCGTTGCGGGTAAGCCCTGGAAACCAAAACAAGCCATGTCTAAAGCCTGTGTGACAGTCAACTAAATGGTCAAATAATGGGAAGGGCTAAGACTTAGAATGAGTTTAACAATTTGTACCTACAGTTTCCATTAAGGACATGCCCTTAAAAGCAAAAAAAAAAATCTTTACCGCGAACGCTGAAATGTATGCTATACATTTTCGACTGTCTTTTGTGACTCTTCTGTGCTGTGTGGAAACTAATGAGGCTGCCACAGAATGGCTATCCTTTTTTCCTTCCCGCATATCCCCTTTGCTCGTTTTATTATTTCAAGCATTGACAGCATTAATTATGCATGCCTGTTGATTTATTATGCACGACCATCAAGGTAATGATGGGACCAGGCCAGGCCAAGCCGGGCCACAACACGTCCACTGCAATGAAGCACCTCTTGCCAAAGCTAAAAAAAAGAAACTAACATAACATACTTTATATATAGAGGATATCAAATGGGAGGTTCACCTGCGTTGCATGACCTGCTAAAGTATTTCATATTTTCACATGTAGCGTAATGAAAATTTTAAGGTCTCCCCGTTCCAGCTTCGATTGTGGGAATCACACGCAAAGGTTGCATGCCCCCGCAGCTTTTTTTCTTTTGCATTACAGGTGTGTACGACACACACACACACTATATCCATATGTCACGGTACCTGGCACCATGTAGCAGCAACGTTCTGGTGGCAAGGTCTCGCCCTCGTTCCGCGTCTATGCAAAGTTTAAAAGTGCCACCGCCTGCCACTGTCGAACCCCAAAAATATATAAAATCTTATTTAGGTTTATGGGTGCTGCTCCACTCTTTGTTGAGTAATTTGATTTGAAATCGATGAGGAAGCATAAAATGTTAAATTATAGGTTACTTTATAAATACGATACATGGAGAGGATGTGGGGGATGTCTATTCAGAGTAGGGGGCTGGAATATTAAAGATATTTAAGCCACCAAAGCATGCCACACTTTCACATCATTCGGACTATATTTTTAAACAACTTAATCTATTATGAGATATAGATACCATATAGAAACCATATATATTCAGTAGGAAGGTAGTAGTTGAGGAAGACAAAGCCATGGCCGCGAAAGTATGTATGTGGAAGATTCTTCGATTTTTCATTATGTTTCCATCGAGGCGCCAGTGGAGTCACCAAGTCCCTTGCGTGTGCCAAAGGTAGATGGGCCATGTGTGCGTTTGGTGTGGTGTGGGGACTAGGACATGGCGGTCGTGGAGGACAAACAATTGCCACTAAATGGCATGCGGCGGGGCCCTGTGTTGCGCGCTTTTCCTTTGATTTTATCGCTCGTCAAGCCCAAGTCGCGAGCATTGATTAAAGTTCGATGTGCCCGGTGTCGCCCCTGACAGGACAAACTGAAGCGTAACAGTAAAGGAGGGCCCGGCCCATTGTCTTCCGCCATGACCTGCTATTGTGCATTATTGCTTAACCGTCTCCGGTGTAAACACAGATGATGTCAACCTGAGGGCGGGTCGGGATTATCCCTTATTTTTGGGCGATTTAAGGTCATAAGTACTTTGGGACTTATTATTAACTTCTTATAGTATTTCATAAAGATTATTATTTATTTTGCAGCCTACGTTATCTGTATAAGATGTCCTTGGCTGTCTCGTTGCGTCGAGCTCTTCTGGCGCTACTCTCCGGAGCCATATTCATCCTGACGGTGCTGTACTGGAACCAGGGAGCCACCAAAACTCAGGCCTACAATGAGGCCCTAGAACGCCATCCCAGTCATCGGGATGCCAGTGCCTTTCCCATGTGAGTTGTCGAGTTGCCATTCCATCCTTTCATCCAAGCATAATCACTCTTCATTTGCAGACCCGTCGAAAAGTCCTGGACGTACAAGTGCGAGAATGACCGATGCATGCGAGTGGGCCACCACGGCAAGTCCGGGAAGCGCGTCTCGTTCATCAGTTGCTCCATGACGTGCGGCGACATCAACATCTGGCCCCATCCCACCCACAAGCATGTCCTTAGCTCGCACACCCACAGCTTCTCGGTGGACGATGTGCAGCTGCAGGTGGACACAACGCATCGGGAGGTCCGCAAGCAGCTGCAGGTTGTCTTCGATTGGTTCCTCAAGGATCTGCGACAGATCCAGCGGCTGGACTATGCCGGCAGTGGCTTAGAGCCCGCCGCTAGTGAATCATCTTCCTCGAAATCCCGGCGACACACCCAACAGGATTCGGAACCAGCAGCCACGCTTTTTGGCGCCACTTTCGGGACCAAGCAGGCCGGGGATTTGTCCATCGTGCAGGTCAAGATAGCCGTACACAAGTCGGGAGACCTTAACTTTAGTCTCGACAACGATGAGAGCTATCATCTGACATCGAATAGTGAGTAATTTCCATAATTTTTGGACATCTTTCCTTCAATCCTAACAACCCCCCTCTTATGAACAGCCGATGGACACCGCTTGCTGGTGGAGATCACCGCGAACTCATACTTTGGCGCCCGTCATGGCCTCTCCACGCTGCAGCAACTAATCTGGTTCGATGACGAGGATAGACTCCTGCACACCTATGCCAACTCCAAGGTTAAGGATGCCCCCAAGTTTCGGTACCGCGGCCTGATGTTGGACACCTCGCGGCACTTCTTCTCGGTGGAGGCCATCAAGCGAACGATCATGGCCATGGGCCTGGCCAAGCTCAACCGCTTCCATTGGCATCTAACGGATGCCCAGAGCTTTCCCTACATTTCGCGCTACTATCCCGAGCTGGCCGAGCACGGAGCCTACTCGGAGAGCGAAACATATACAGAGCAGGATGTACGCGAAGTGGCGGAGTTTGCCAAGATATATGGTGTGCAGGTGATTCCGGAGATCGATGCTCCGGCCCATGCGGGCAACGGCTGGGATTGGGGACCCAAACGCGGCATGGGTGAGCTGGCCATGTGCATCAACCAGCAGCCGTGGAGCTTCTATTGCGGCGAGCCGCCTTGCGGCCAGTTGAATCCGAAGAACAACCACACCTACCTCATTCTGCAGCGCCTGTACGAGGAGCTGCTGCAGCAGACGGGGCCCACGGACCTCTTTCACCTGGGTGGCGACGAGGTGAATCTTGATTGCTGGGCGCAGTACTTCAATGACACGGATCTGCGCGGCATGTGGTGCGATTTTATGCTCCAGGCCATGGCCAGGTGGGATATATATTTACATTCTTAGGAATAATTATATAAATGGTTTATTTTCTTTACAGGCTAAAGGTGGCCAACAATGGAGTGGCGCCCAAGATAGTGGCCGTCTGGTCGAGCGCCCTCACCAACACCAAGTGTCTTCCAAACAGTCAATTCGCCGTACAGGTGTGGGGCGGCAGCACCTGGCAGGAGAACTACGACCTGCTGGACAACGGTTATAATGTGATCTTCTCGCATGTGGATGCTTGGTACTTGGACTGCGGCTTCGGCAGTTGGCGGGCCACTGGCGAAGCTGCCTGTGCTCCCTACCGCACCTGGCAGAATGTCTACAAGCACCGCCCGTGGGAGCGTATGCGATTGGACAAGCGTCGCAAGAAGCAGGTAAGTTGGCTTACAAGCTGGAAATAGAGAAATATTTATTGAGAACTCTTCTTTTTGGTAGGTTCTGGGCGGTGAGGTGTGCATGTGGACCGAACAGGTGGATGAAAATCAGCTGGATAACCGGCTGTGGCCAAGATCGGCTGCCTTAGGTGAACGCCTCTGGTCTGATCCCAATGACGATCATGACATGGATGTTGTGCCGCCGGAAGTGTTCCGCAGAATCTCATTGTTCCGAAATCGCCTTGTCGAGCTGGGCATTAGGGCAGAAGCCCTGTTTCCCAAATACTGTGCCCAGAATCCCGGCGAATGCATTTGATATTACCTCTAAGAAGTAAAAGGAAAATCCTTCGATAACACCCCCCAACCCCTCCCGAAATGTGCGTTAGTTAGTTAATAGTCTAATTGTTATTTTATACGGATACCTAGGCTTCGATTTGCAAGTAAGCAGGCGACTGTTTAAAATGGTTTCTGGCATAAACCATAATGACTCGAATTTCGTTTTCATAGAACAAACAAACACACCATATACACTATAAACACAAACACTATACATACACCCACAAATTAGTACAATTCATTTTGAATTATTGCGCACACAGACATTACAGATTAGAGAACGTAGACCGGATAGGATCGGATGTAAGCAGGAAGACCACTGGTAGAGAATCAAGTTGAGGTTGACGATTAGGGCTCATAGACTTAGTTGTAGATTTCATACGCATCAAAATCACAGACATAGGCTTATGATATATATATATATATACAATTGTATTAATATGTAGACTTAGATGAGCAACCACGTATAAGGAATGACAAACTTTTTGATATTTTTAAAAGCTTTATTCGCAGAACATTAATTGATAAGTTAAACGTTACATCAAATGATCTTTTATTAGTTTTCTTTGGTTTTACTTTTCATTGACTTTGTCGTGTCTGCTTAAGTTACAAAATACATACATTTAAATTACATATTTTCAGTGATATAAACAATGTGACCTTAAATCAGAAAGAACAAAAACTGCTAAGAGACGAGTAAAACTTAGAATTAACATTAACAATTAATAATCGTTACGAAAACATTTTTGCACGCATTGGCACATAACTGACACTCGACTAGCAAATTAGTAGCTAATTTAGAATCTACACTAACTGGGGGAACAATGGTTGGGGTATTCACAGTTTTGTTTATGATTTTTGCAATTCAAAAAAATAATTCTAAATACATTTATATTTTTTCTTACATTCGGAATGATTAATTAAATCCCTATGTTAGCAAATTGTTTCTCGTACTTAAGACTTTGAGGAAATCGAATTCATGAATCTGCATTAATTTACAATTTTCTGCTGTAACTCCAAGTCACTTTCGAAAATAAATTTCAAATCCAGTCTAAGCAGGTTTTAGAATCCAATGACATCTCTTTGGGTTTTGGCTTTGATTTCCAGAAGTATATTTTGATATAGGAACTCTATGAAGTTGGGAGAAGTTTATCTAGTCTTCATGCTTTTCCTGATGGTGAGTTTCGATGTGTGTTTTCAGAGACTGGAGTCTGCTTTAAGTCCCACCTCCAGCTCGGAGTAGAGATCACCCAGGAACAGCCCACGCCGCTGGCTAAGAGGAGAGTGCCTCGCCAAGATGAGCCCGGGCCGGATGCCAAGGGCGATCTGAAACTGTTGCATGCACCCTGCGAGTTCGATCTGATTAGGTACGCCTCGATCGACTACTTTCCCAGCCACTGCCAGCCCGTTTACCAGAACCGGCACGTCAACGAGGACTGGTACCGCCTCTACAGGACCTACGATACTGAGGGGTTTGTTTTTGGCCAGTTCTACGAGCGCCTGCTGCGCCACGAAGTCGACTAATACAATGTCTGGTTGGAATGACTAAAACCTCTAAACAAAGTCTGTGATGTCGATGCTGTGGTAGCGCTGCAGAGGCCCCAGCCGCGTATGGGGCGACGGACGTAGACAGATCACACACTCCTCCGTGCTGAAAGTCGATTTGGGATTAACATGACAAATAACAAGCGATCTGGTGTTTTCATTATGTATATAATAAAAAAATATAATACTTTAATCTGGGTTCTTAGGGTGTAAACTAGCATGCAATACTTATGAACAATAGGGATATGTATAGGGGGGGGAAATCTCGGTCGTATACATTATTTATGGGTGTTTGTTGATCATTCGTAGTGTCCGGTGGGTACGGGACTTGTTGATGTCAGTCTACAAGAAATGGTAAACAGAAAGAAGGAAGCCCAAAATCAGAAACAGGAAGAAATTATAAGAAACATTAATCTAAGCTACCATGCAGATACAATTAAAAGTTTATAAATAAAACCATCTATCAAAAGGACTGCAGCATGGCATTTGTGTTAGTATTTTAAGCGAAAGGATATTTAAGAAACAGAGTTAAGATAGAGAGATAGGCAGAGAATTTTGGAAAAAGAAGATTCTACATGGACATTGCGTATACGCACCGTAGACTTTCGGTTCGCGATCTCAGCGAGTAGTCTTTGGAGGCGCGATGCCTGAAATGGAAATTAATTGGTTAAGTGACAACAACAACGACGATGGCGGCAACAACAACAACAACATCAGCAGCAGTTAACAACTACAATGGCAGCCATAGCGAAATCTACTACAATTAATGCAAAGTGTAAAGCCAGATTCTGTATGCCAGGGTTATAGCCAAACAACACCAATGAGTTAGAAGGCCGAATGAGTGCAATCATCCTCTAGAGTCTAAGAATCTCACCTGCGATTTTTGATGGAACTGCTTCGGTTGATATTCCGACTCTCGCGCCACCGGATGAAGCGATGCCTCAACGTCTGGCGCACCTCCGAGTTGAGGAAACAGTAGAAGAGCGCCACAAAGAAGCCCTGGGGCGGGAAAAAAATGCATATATTAATGGGAGGCTCAAGGGAAGCTGAATGATAAATTGCCTACCTGTGTGCTAATGAGAAAGGCTCTAATGGCCTCAAAGAGATTACGGCTGATGCCCTGCTCGGGGCCGGTTAGGACCAGCAGATAGGTAATGCCAAAAAGCGGAATCAACACCAGCAGGGCTTTGGAGGCTTTGTAATACTGCCGCGTTTCTAATGTGTGAGCCGAACGTAGTTTGGTAATGAGAACCTGTACGAAAATACATTTTTAAAATGTTAAAATTATCAGAATATAATATTAAAAGGACCTGTAACTTACCCACATAATGCGAATGAGAAAAACTAAATTAATCAGCAGAGCCAGCGAGGCAGGGCCCTTGAAAATCCAATCTATATGAGATTCACGCATCCAAGCGCATTCGATTTCAAGCTATACAAATTTAAAAAAATATATATTTATTTATTTAATTTAACTATAAATACTTACCCCAATAAAGTGCTCATTATCGAGATGCGGGGCAAATGCCTTGGCAATGGACCAGACCAAAATGCAAAGAGCTGGGCAGCCCCAGCCTATCAGGGCGTAGATAAGAAAGCTAATATTATCGCTGGAGAACGTTTGCACCACCAGCGTGTACAGATAAAGACCTTTGGGCAAATTAATATATAATAATAATGAATCAATACAATTATCTACGTTCATTTCGACTCACCCTCGACAAACATCCAGAAAAAGTTGGTTAGGTAAAAGTATTGGAACATGATGACCAGCGTTATGCACCCAGCCTGGCTTGACTCTGTGGTTATCTAAAAATTAAAACATATATTAGTAAAGTTCAATTAAATATTTGATAATTATATATTTTACCACTTGCAGAAACAAGGTAAGAATCCATAATAAAGCTGAGGTGATGTAGGTAAGGAATAGATTCGCATGAATTGTATTTCGCAGGCAGCGTAGATCTCTAAAGTAATTAGGAACTCTCATTAAATAAAATATATTTTAAATAGTCAATAGATAAACTCACTTGAAGCTGAGGAATATTATAAGAGCTACTACTAAAGTGGCAAAGCTTAGAAAATAACCACAAGCATAGATAATTGCAGGTAAGTCCACACTGGGGGAAAAGTCTGGAACTACTGGTATAGAACCCGACTGCTGGTGGCAGCGATCGTAGTCCGAATAGTGGTCCCATGTGCCATTCTCAAAGCAGAACCTGGTGGCGTTTTCTGTAAAGAACAAAAATTAGTTAATAAAAAAAAAAGATAATTTCGGGCGGATCTTAAGTTAATAGTAGGACAATCATTTTTCCATTTTTCGTGATGGAATCCCTTGAATCCCTTGGGGTTTTCCCTATAGGGTGCACTGTGATGGCTCTATCTTTCCCAATTCTCAACCGATTCTCAAGCGGAATACCTTAAACGATTTCTAGATCGATCGATTTCTAGATCGCCATCAAAATCCTGATACAAAATATTTTTCAGATTTTTTGTCCTTTTTTCATGAGGGGATCCCTTGAAAATCGAGTTTTCCCCTATAGGGCCCACAGTGATGACTATATCTTCCCCAATTCTCATCCGATTCTCAAGCGGAGTACCTTAAACGATTTCTGGATCGATTCGCCACCATTCTGCATCAAAATCCTGAAACGAAATATTTTTTTAAATTTTTTGTCCTTTTTTTATGAGGGGATCCCTTGAAAATGTGGTTTTCCCCTATAGGGCCCACAGTGATGGCTATATCTTCCCCAATTTTCATCCGATTCTCAAGCGAAGTACCTTAAACGGTTTCTAGATCGATTGCCCACCATTCTGCATCAAAATCCTGAGACAAAATATTTTTCAGAATTTTTGTCCATATTTCTGATAGGATCCCTTGAAATTGGGTTTTCCCTATAGGGTCCACTGTGATGGCTATATTTTCCCCATTTCCCATCCGATTCTCAAGCGGAGTACCTTAAACGATTTCTGGATCGATTCTCCACCATTCTGCATCAAAATCCTGAGACAAAATATTTTTCAGATTTTTTGTCCATTTTTCTGATGGGATCCGTTGAAAATGGGGTTTTTCCCTATAGGGTCCACTGTGATGGCTATATCTTCCCCAATTCCCATCCGATTCTCAAGCGGAATACCTTAAACGATTTCTAGATCGATTTGCCACCATTCTACATCAAAATCCTGAGACAAAATATTTTTCAGATTTTTTGTCCATTTTTCTGATGGGATCCGTTGAAAATGGGGTTTTTCCCTATAGGGTCCACTGTGATGGCTATATCTTCCCCAATTCTCATACGATTCTCAAGCGGAATACCTTAAACGATTTCTAGATCGATTTGCCACCATTCTACATCAAAATCCTGAGACAAAATATTTTTCAGATTTTTTGTCCATTTTTCTGATGGGATCCGTTGAAAATGGGGTTTTTCCCTATAGGGTCCACTGTGATGGCTATATCTTCCCCAATTCTCATACGATTCTCAAGCGGAATACCTTAAACGATTTCTAGATCGATTTGCCACCATTCTACATCAAAATCCTGAGACAAAATATTTTTCAAATTTTTTGTCCATTTTTCTGATGGGATCCGTTGAAAATGGGGTTTTCCCCTATAGGGTCCACTGTGATGGCTATATCTTCCCCAATTCTCATCCGATTCTCAAGCGGAATACCTTAAACGATTTCTAGATCGATTTGCCACCATTCTACATCAAAATCCTGAGACAAAATATTTTTCAGATTTTTTGTCCATTTTTCTGATAGGATCCCTTGAAAATGGAGTTTTCCCCTATAGGGTCCACTGTGATGGCTATATCTTCCCCAATTCTTATCCGATTCTCAAGCGGAGTACCTTAAACGATTTCTAGATCGATTCTCCACCATTCTGCATCAAAATCCTGAGACAAAATATTTTTCAGATTTTTTGTCCATTTTTCTGATGGGATCCGTTGAAAATGGAGTTTTCCCCTATAGGGCCCACAGTGATGGCTATATCTTCCCCAATTCTCATCCGATTCTCAAGCGAAGTACCTTAAACGGTTTCTAGATCGATTGCCCACCATTCTGCATCAAAATCCTGAGACAAAATATTTTTCAGATTTTTTGTCCATTTTTCTGATGGGATCCGTTGAAAATGGGGTTTTCCCCTATAGGGTCCACTGTGATGGCTATATCTTCCCCAATTCTCATCCGATTCTCAAGCGGAATACCTTAAACGATTTCTAGATCGATTTGCCACCATTCTACATCAAAATCCTGAGACAAAATATTTTTCAGATTTTTTGTCCATTTTTCTGATGGGATCCGTTGAAAATGGAGTTTTCCCCTATAGGGCCCACAGTGATGGCTATATCTTCCCCAATTCTCATCCGATTCTCAAGCGAAGTACCTTAAACGGTTTCTAGATCGATTGCCCACCATTCTGCATCAAAATCCTGAGACAAAATATTTTTCAGATTTTTTGTCCATTTTTCTGATGGGATCCGTTGAAAATGGGGTTTTCCCCTATAGGGTCCACTGTGATGGCTATATCTTCCCCAATTCTCATCCGATTCTCAAGCGAAGTACCTTAAACGGTTTCTAGATCGATTGCCCACCATTCTGCATCAAAATCCTGAGACAAAATATTTTTCAGATTTTTTGTCCATTTTTCTGATGGGATCCGTTGAAAATGGGGTTTTTCCCTATAGGGTCCACTGTGATGGCTATATCTTCCCCAATTCTCATACGATTCTCAAGCGGAATACCTTAAACGATTTCTAGATCGATTTGCCACCATTCTACATCAAAATCCTGAGACAAAATATTTTTCAGATTTTTTGTCCATTTTTCTGATGGGATCCGTTGAAAATGGGGTTTTCCCCTATAGGGTCCACTGTGATGGCTATATCTTCCCCAATTCTCATCCGATTCTCAAGCGGAGTACCTTAAACGATTTCTAGATCGATTCTCCACCATTCTGCATCAAAATCCTGAGACAAAATATTTTTCAGATTTTTTGTCCATTTTTCTGATGGGATCCGTTGAAAATGGGGTTTTTCCCTATAGGGTCCACTGTGATGGCTATATCTTCCCCAATTCTCATACGATTCTCAAGCGGAATACCTTAAACGATTTCTAGATCGATTTGCCACCATTCTACATCAAAATCCTGAGACAAAATATTTTTCAGATTTTTTGTCCATTTTTCTGATGGGATCCGTTGAAAATGGGGTTTTTCCCTATAGGGTCCACTGTGATGGCTATATTTTCCCCATTTCCCATCCGATTCTCAAGCGGAGTACCTTAAACGATTTCTAGATCGATTTGCCACCATTCTACATCAAAATCCTGAGACAAAATATTTTTCAGATTTTTTGTCCATTTTTCTGATAGGATCCCTTGAAAATGGAGTTTTCCCCTATAGGGTCCACTGTGATGGCTATATCTTCCCCAATTCTCATCCGATTCTCAAGCGGAGTACCTTAAACGATTTCTAGATCGATTCTCCACCATTCTGCATCAAAATCCTGAGACAAAATATTTTTCAGATTTTTTGTCCATTTTTCTGATGGGATCCGTTGAAAATGGGGTTTTTCCCTATAGGGTCCACTGTGATGGCTATATCTTCCCCAATTCTCATACGATTCTCAAGCGGAATACCTTAAACGATTTCTAGATCGATTTGCCACCATTCTACATCAAAATCCTGAGACAAAATATTTTTCAGATTTTTTGTCCATTTTTCTGATGGGATCCGTTGAAAATGGGGTTTTACCCTATAGGGTCCACTGTGATGGCTATATTTTCCCCATTTCCCATCCGATTCTCAAGCGGAGTACCTTAAACGATTTCTAGATCGATTTGCCACCATTCTACATCAAAATCCTGAGACAAAATATTTTTCAGATTTTTTGTCCATTTTTCTGATAGGATCCCTTGAAAATGGAGTTTTCCCCTATAGGGTCCACTGTGATGGCTATATCTTCCCCAATTCTCATCCGATTCTCAAGCGGAGTACCTTAAACGATTTCTAGATCGATTCTCCACCATTCTGCATCAAAATCCTGAGACAAAATATTTTTCAGATTTTTTGTCCATTTTTCTGATGGGATCCGTTGAAAATGGGGTTTTTCCCTATAGGGTCCACTGTGATGGCTATATCTTCCCCAATTCTCATACGATTCTCAAGCGGAATACCTTAAACGATTTCTAGATCGATTTGCCACCATTCTACATCAAAATCCTGAGACAAAATATTTTTCAGATTTTTTGTCCATTTTTCTGATGGGATCCGTTGAAAATGGGGTTTTCCCCTATAGGGTCCACTGTGATGGCTATATCTTCCCCAATTCTCATCCGATTCTCAAGCGGAATACCTTAAACGATTTCTAGATCGATTTGCCACCATTCTACATCAAAATCCTGAGACAAAATATTTTTCAGATTTTTTGTCCATTTTTCTGATAGGATCCCTTGAAAATGGAGTTTTCCCCTATAGGGTCCACTGTGATGGCTATATCTTCCCCAATTCTCATCCGATTCTAAAGCGGAGTACCTTAAACGATTTCTAGATCGATTCTCCACCATTCTGCATCAAAATCCTGAGACAAAATATTTTTCAGATTTTTTGTCCATTTTTCTGATGGGATCCGTTGAAAATGGGGTTTTCCCCTATAGGGTCCACTGTGATGGCTATATCTTTCCCAATTCTCATCCGATTCTCAAGCGGAATACCTTAAACGATTTCTAGATCGATTTGCCACCATTCTACATCAAAATCCTGAGACAAAATATTTTTCAGATTTTTTGTCCATTTTTCTGATGGGATCCGTTGAAAATGGGGTTTTCCCCTATAGGGTCCACTGTGATGGCTATATCTTCCCCAATTCTCATCCGATTCTCAAGCGGAATACCTTAAACGATTTCTAGATCGATTTGCCACCATTCTGCATCAAAATCCTGAGACAAAATATTTTTCAGATTTTTTGTCCATTTTTCTGATAGGATTCCTTGAAAATGGAGTTTTCCCCTATAGGGTCCACTGTGATGGCTATATCTTCCCCAATTCTCATTCGATTCTCAAGCGGAATACCTTTAACGATTTCTAGATCGATTTGCCACCATTCTACATCAAAATCCTGAGACAAAATATTTTTCAGATTTTTTGTCCATTTTTCTGATGGGATCCGTTGAAAATGGGGTTTTCCCCTATAGGGTCCACTGTGATGGCTATATCTTCCCCAATTCTCATCCGATTCTCAAGCGGAATACCTTAAACGATTTCTAGATTGATTTGGCACCATTCTACATCAAAATCCTGAGACAAAATATTTTTCAGATTTTTTGTCCATTTTTTTGATAGGATTCCTTGAAAATGGAGTTTTCCCCTATAGGGTCCACTGTGATGGCTATATCTTCCCGAATTCTCATCCGATTCTCAAGCGGAATACCTTAAACGATTTCTAGATCGATTTGCCACCATTCTACATCGAAATCCTGAGACAAAATATTTTTTAAATTTTTTGTCCATTTTTCGTGATGGGACCCCCTTAAAATGAGGTTTTCCCCTATATGGCCCACAGTAATGGCTATATCTTCCCCAATTCTTATCCGATTCTCAAGCGGAGTACCCTAAACGATTTCTAGCTCGATGGCACACTTGGTAAACCGAAATTATAATACCCTCTGCAGGGTATTAAAATATTCACATTATTTATTATATACCCACCTGTTGTGTCGTAGTGTACACCCTTAAATTCCTCAAAACAGGGCAGTACTGCCAAACTTCCGGCATTCGTTCGAGGCCAACACAGCACCGAATCAAATGAGCTGGGACATTGTAGAATCTAAAATGATTTACAGAAAAATATAGTAACTTTTAAAATGGTTATAAACAAAGATGGTCTAAGAAAAGCAACCTTGGATAAATATTTAGAATGCCTCTGATGTCTTTGCGGTTGGGATTTAATTTGCCTTTCTTGGCTCCGATCTGTAAATGGACCTGACCTAACCCAAGACATTAAATCAGAGTAAACGAGATTTATGAAACAAAACTGACACACTATGTTTATGTGTTTCCCTTGGGTCTTTTTTGGATTTTATGGTTCTGACGCATTTGCTTAGTACGAACGGATTTTAATCAAGTGGATTTCCAACTTTTGTATAGGCATGGATAGCTATAGCTAGAGGGCAGTGTATGCCTTACCCACAATATCTATTGCTTTATTTATATATTTGCAGCGGCATGCTAAATATTTTTATACAAACGGATATACAATAAAGTATAAATATATGTATATATATCTTATATATGATATATGTGAGGTTTGTTTGCCTAGTCTAGTTTCTACCGAGCATAGGTGACGGGCAGGTAAGCACTGAGCTTCCATTGATATTTTTTATGGACCTTATCAGCTGACAGTCGCAGACGCCGTCGATTGCACAATACCCAAAAGAAATGCTTTAAAAATTGACAATTTTTTACGACTTTCACTGATAAGTTTAAGCTTTTGTGACAGCTAATGCGATCGGACTTAGCCACGCGACAAAATTAGCCGTCAACGAGAATGCCAAACAGTCGGCCCGGGGAACTCCGCTAATATTTGTCTTTGCACTTTTCATTTTCATTCATTTGCCGCTTAACTTGACTTGCAAAATTAAGCCTTATTATATGTATGTACTTTTCATGGAGATTTCAAAAGAATAACGCCCTTGAAATCTTGTGGGCGACACAATTCTGATGGCATCAAACATCCGAGATAAACAAAAATCTCATAGATGCAGCCTCAAGTGGGTTTCCTTGAGTCTTCGTTTTTGTTTACAGCCCCGAGAGGAATACACAAATAAATATTTGTTGCAGTCTCCGGAAATAAAATTGTTGGCTACCAAAATTTTCAAAAAATATTAATCGAAAAGCTATCAGCAGTACAGTTGCCATAAAATCAATATTTTATTTTAAACCGAGAGATGTCGACAGAAGACTCGAGAAAGAAGACGAATCCATTGGCGAGAAAGATTGATTGGAGAATGTTTCTGCAAGTCGAACAGATCAATTAATTCAACACGAATTGGCTAATTAAAGAAATATTTATGGTATGGCTGTTTGATTGCTTTTGGGGAATATGTTGACTTTTCCATGAAAAGTGATTAATTTTTGTGTTTATTTAAAATCTTTCCCATCGAGATCCTCTTCCTTAAAATAAATATTAAACCAATTGAATAATTGCCATAAAAACTACAGAATTTTCCATATCTATAAACATATATTAATTGTTTCGTTAGGAATTACCGTCTGGGGAATCGAAACCATCGCAGACGGAATAAACCCAGCCCCACCCAGGCCACAACTTACCCGCTTGCCGCCTGCCGTTAGGTTCCGAGCCGCCTCCAGCTCCTCCTGCCGCTGCTGCTGCTGGCACTGCTGTGTTCGGTTGACGAGGAGCTCCCCGCTGTGGGGCTGTTGGGCGCCAATTAGGGCGCTCGCCCGCTGCAGCATGTCCAGCGAGAAGTTGGCGATGACGTTGGCCAGGTTCTCCGGCGAGGCGTCGTCCAGACTGTCCACCAGGGCACGCAGATCGTCGTCAGCCATGCGAGGTGGTATATGGATGGTAGGTTGGTTATTGACTTTGATGGGCTGCCGCAATTACGGGAGGTTCGTCGATGAATGATGACCCACTCAGCACAGACACGTCGGCTGCTGCAGCGTTGCAATATGGTAGACAGCAGGAACCTGTCAACGAAGGCGTCTCCTCTCCTGAACTCCGTCAGCACTTTCTCCTCCAGCGACGGACGATGCGCAATTAAACGTATCTACGCAAATAAACCGAAACATTCTTCATATCTTTATCTGATAAAGTATACAAGACGACCACAATCAGATTCGGTGCCCAAAACACTGGAACAGCCACCGTATAGAGATATGCTATATATTATACACTTGTAGAAATAAAAAAGCGTTTATTTGCTTGCTGATTAAATATTTTGGTGGCTCATCCATGGTCCGTGACTCAACAGAACACAGAAGGCCGAAATGGCAGGGTTCATGGTGTGTTTATTGCGGAAAATATTCAATTCCTTCAATTTCCCCAAACAAACTATATACTATAGGTGCCTTTTCTTTCGAATAACACTCTTAATATTTTAGAGGTCGTGGTGAAATGATTTTTCGTCTTTTATGCTAATGTATACAAATTATAAAAAAATCTGTGCAAATAGTACATGAGAAAATCACGTGACGTTTGGGGTCTGCTGTGGGTGGGTGTGGATGGGTCTGGATTCCCAGATTAAATAAAGGAAGATAACCATGCCACAATCTTTATGGACTCTGCCGACTCGCTCTCTGGTGTGCTGCCAAAAGGGCAGGCGGGCGGGCTGGCAGGCGGTGAGATTCCAATAGCAAATATCCCCGTAATTGAACACTTTATATGACCACCCACCCGACCAACCGAAACCCGATCCGGGCCGTCTGTCATTATATTTGGCTTGGGCCCAACCCCGGGCCTTAACCATTAGTTTCCCATTAACTGCAATAACTCTTGCCAACTCGATAATATTTGTTCAGGCTGTTGTAATGGAGATTGCACGGAAGATTGCCCGGCTGATTCACACGAGTTTAAACTAGTTGGCAGTGGAATTTCCAAAACAATGCATCGTAATTGCATTTGATGAAGTTGATAATTTGGTATAGTTTGCACCAAAACTGACAGAGATGGCTTTAATTGAAAAAAGATGGCTGGCAGGCGGGATGGGTTAATTATTTCTTTAGTCACGTATAATCATTACATTCAGCAATTAAGTAACAAAAGATCTCCGGAGTGAAAGTAATTAAACTAGTGCGACGGCCGTAACCTTATCTGGAAGCATCGAGTCTGGGAGGATGGAGGCTGGCGACTGTGACAGATGTGTAAGCACGGTTCATGTGCGTTTTCACCTGGCAACGTGATGTTTACCTGGTGGAGCAGGAGGATGAGGAGAAGACTCCCCTGTCACACAGTGATTAAAACAAAGAGTGTCAAGTTATTTATTAATGAACAAATACCATGGCAGCCAGTGCGCTACGGGTCGCCAACTCATCACATCTCGTATCAGCTAACGCATGGAGCTTCAACTGCTTTAACTGCTCCAGGAGAGTTGGCCAGATGCGGAGCTTTGTCAATGTCAAGTTGAGAGATAACGGTGGCCATTGTGCCACTACATGAAAGCGGCTCTTTCTGTTAAATGTCAGTCGGCGGGTCGTCGAGTGCTTGAATATGCAGGCCTTCCCCCACCGACTCATCGTGGCCATCTTGGCCATGTTTCGCCTGCAATGCCGCCCCTGGCCGGCTAATTATGCTTCTAAAAATAGATTCCAACGCTGAGTGCTTTGATCTCTGGCTAGGAGGCAGGTGCAGTCGCAACACGTTGCCGTTTTTGGAATTCAAAGTATTCAACGTGCTGTGTGCCGGCCGCTCTTTATATTTCCTTAAGTTCCATTATGTAGATTACAGCTCCTGTCTCCTTTTTATTCCAGCAATCCTCCACCCCAACTCGCCCGAGTCGAGCAAATATTTGCCTTCAATCCCGAAATGGCCAAACATCTGGGCCAGAAGTCGTCATGCCACTGCCACAATCTTAAGCCCACCCTCCACAAGAGGCAGCGATTTATTTATGGGCTTGGCAAACAAGCGCATTATTTGGACGAGCGCGTGTTTGTGGTTATCATTGAGATCATAATTATGATGATAATCAGCATCACCATGTCATTTGAAGCCAATGGATGGGGCAACTAATCTGGCCTTAAATGCGCCTTAATTAGCTACCCAGTGCCCCCTGGCCACAAGGGAAATAAACATTTCAAATGCTTGACCAATGTAAATAATAATAATAATAATAAATGGAAGTCGTGGGGGAAGTCAGTGCAACAGGGCGTATGCTTGATATACCAAGGGTATTGCACGCTCCATCTATTGCACGATTCTGCAGCTATTCTTTGGATTCATCGGGTGTGCAGATGATTTATAGAGTGTCAAAACAAATGAAAATTAATTGGCAATCGGCATGTGGGCCTGTGGGCCTGTTGGCAGAGAGCAGTGTTGGGGTTAACGAAGACCGACATGCAATCCAAAACATGCGCGTTAGGCCATCAAAATCGTATGATTAATAAAGAAGGCAATGCACTGCGAAACGAAAAACTATTCAGACAGAAATTTATAAGACTCTTAGCTTCCTTCAGTGCGAAATTCCATTATCGGTCTATCAATTAAAGACCTTAAGCCAATGCCATATGACAGTCGACTGTCGAAGGCGTCGTCATGATAAAAACCACGTAAATGAAAAACATCGAAGAGCAATAAAAATTATGGGCGAACCGGAAGGCAGAGAGCATCAGCTTTATGAATGAACGAGTGCGGTCAGCGAAGCGTGCAAAAGTCAGAGCCAACAGCGTCAGCTGGCTGACAAATCAAATCGAAAACGAAAACGAATCGCATCGAATCGAGGGGAATTAAATCGAACCGACTGGATACTGGATCGGTAAATGGCAGACGCAGTCAGGCGCTATGATATCGATATTTATGGTTTTGGCTTGGTGAAAGAAAATAAATAGATGGATTTCAGTGCCGTCATTTGCTTCATCATTGTTAGCCGCCGCTTGACCATCTTGACCATCACCCCCGTCTAAGAATTCCAAGTTAGATAGCCCGCCCGGTTGAGGCCAAGTAAAATACACAAAACAACACCCACAGATATCCAGATATCGGGGGAAAGTTTACAAATTAAAAGAAAATTGAAACGAAACCAAACAGAGTCAGTAGCAGAGCCAAATGCACAAGAGAGTGAGAAGGTCGAGAGCTACAAACTGGCAGCTCTGCTGGGCACATGGGGCGTATGAGTAACAGGAACAATATCAAGCATACGCCGCGTTGCCAGACGACTTCATTTCATATGCTTACTAATTTTATTGCGTTACAACGGCATAACAAATTCTCAAGATGCTTTGAACTCGCTGGAAGCTTTGGATTTGTGCGGGCTGAAAGATGGCGGGAGCGTTGCGAAGGACGAGAATGATTCCAGGTCCTGGACGATACGGGGTGAATTGAAAAGTTGTTTTACAATGTCGTGCCCGAAAACGAAAAGTTGAATAAAGTAAAAATAAAACAAAATATATTTTTCCTTTTCATTTGCAATTTTCATACAAGTTTTGGTAGCAGAGCTGCGGGCATTTTATTGCCTGTTGCATGGCAGGTGAGGCGGAATGAACCGAGAGTCAGGCTCCGGAGTCAGAGTCATGGAGATACACATACACGTGCATAATAATGCCACCCACATCCCGTCCGACGGAACCATTCAGATACATAAACATGATGTAATTTTAAAATTTCATGAGTTTATGCTGAAGTTTGTTTTATCTGTTTTATGGCAGTGGCAGAACTGAACGTCGGAGGCCCCCGGGCTCTGGATGCAGGAGCAAGTGAAGCGATGATAAAGATATTCTAGTTGAGGTAGTAGTAACAACAGTGGAGCATCATGGAGGAAAACTATGAGCAGCTGCTGCTGCTGGGGGAGCAATCGATACTTATTAGAAAATTCAATTAGCTAACTGCGGATGGGAGGTAAACGTGGCACAAACAAAGACTTTGACTGGCGGCACTTGAAAAAATAATCTGCATATTCCAATAACTAATTAGATAGAGTACTCCTCCAGCTAACCCTATTTACAGATTGGGAGAATCCTCTTAGTGGAGCAAGGTGTTCCAGCAAGACTGACAACCTGCATTTAGAGTTTAAGTAAATCGAACAATAGCCACTCTAACTTGTCGCACTTACACTTGAAAGCCATTTGCTAATTTTAGTCAGAGTCTCCCAAAGTTTTCCCTTACTCATGTAGTATGTACAATTTTCCTCTTGTTTAGGGGTTCTTAGAAGGCGAGTATAATTAAATTTTTGTATTTACTCAACAATTCAAATTCGAGAGTCGTAAACAATTTGTTGTTGAGACCCGAACTCTGTCTGCTTTTTATTCGCTATTTACTTTTCGGCGACCTGGGCGTAATGAATCGGACAGTGAATGTGGAACTCGGGAGTAGAACGGGGTGAATATTACAAATGTTTATCTTTGGTCAATAATAATAACAATGTCTGGGAGAGGGCGTGGCGCAAGCACAAAAATATGCATGAGATTTGCAATGTACTTTGGCAGGGAGGAAGTGGGCGGAGGAATGGATGCTCCTCCCACCGGAAAGGAATTAATTAAAAAATCCCATTCGCTGCCTCGATGCATGATGCAGGAAACTAAAAATGGAGAAGGAGATGGTGTGGTGTGGGAAGGCAAAGGGTATGGAAGGCGGCTTCGAACAACAGGACATGATGTCCCCAAGCACCTCGAGGCGCTCCGGCTGAAACGAATCGTAAACATGCAAATGGAGCACAAACATTTGCATATATGAGATAAAATCCAACCGAGGCGAAACTAACAAATAAAATCCAAACCACACAGAGATATATTTATAAAATTTAAGAAAAAAGGGAATATTTAAAAGGGGAAATAAGATTTCTGGCTAAAAATATTTTATTTAAATATTTTTAGTTCTCTTTGAAGTCAAATTCTTTATTAATCACGTTTCTCAAATACAAAAATTAATTTAAAATAAATCCAAAAATTTAGTAAATATAGCTATACCCCCTATGGGTTCTCCTGTTTGTGTTTTTCTTCAGTTTAATAATTTGTTTTCGCCTTTTGTGAATATGGAAACGGATAATCCGACGCCCATTGAGCCTAATCAGACGTTTATTCTTCAATTTAAAGTCTATTTGCGGACTTCTCCATTGTTTGTTAATGGGAGCAAGCTGCTAAGTGATCATCGCCAGCTTGGATTTGAATTACTTGGGGAAGAAGAGGAATCTTCGCCCCCCATAGCGTTTTAGAGATTGCCAAAAATACGGAATATTTTAATGGCCCCGGTAGCCCGGTATTTGCCCAATTTGTTATGCACTTGCTGAGGAATGGATCAGTTTTCGGATCGTATCGTTCTGTTTTTCATCACAACACTGAGGGTCAGGGTCTGAGGGTCTCACGCTTCCAACTAACTGTTAAATTCTCGAATTAGCGCCTCTCTTTTTCACTCACATGGGGTTTTCTTATTATTATATTTTGTATTTTTTTTTGTATTTTTTTTTTTGTAGTTTTGTAGCCGCTTTAAACGTTTATCGCCTTTTTATCATTATCATTTATTTGTTTGCATTACTTAGCACAAACACACGCACACCCACGATCGCGGAATGACACATTTAAGACTTGGGAACACGTTTAATTTTAGATGAAATCAAATACGTTACTTCCTAAATTGCCACAAGAACTATAATAATAATAACAATAATAGCAACGGGTATTGTGACGAAAACAAAACTAAGCCTGCGGCGCTGCTAGCTTTAGACTTGGATGCCAGAGATGCTGCGCGAGATTGTACGCCGTATTACGATTACGCCGGACTACGGATAGCAATGAGTTGTTGCGACGACGACGACGATGATGACGGCACACGCGTCCACTGGCGGCCAAAGACAGCGCCAAACTGCGGCCAACAGGGCGTATGAAAAGTAAAGCTTCGAGGAAAAGCACACCCACACAATCACAACCCCCGCGCCACACACAACTACAGAGCAGGATACAACACCAGTTCAGGTGGCCAACCGCAACAAGTTGCGCCCGTGGAAAGCTCTCGCAAACAAAATGGAGAGTGTGGGAGAGATCAGAAAGCTTTTGTCTTTTTACTGAGACCGGCATTTTTTTTAGTGGTTGTGGTATTTGCATTCAATTGACGATGTCGCCGACGTTGCGATTGCAGCACTTGCTATTGCCTGTCAGCTGCAATTGACACTCAAGCTGAATGGGCCGGCAAATGGGTTTTGTCTAGTTTAGCCAGAAATTCGGCATTTAATACCCTATTTTCTACCGCCACTCAAAGTATGAATAGTCAGAGAGTAAGTGGAGAGATAGGACAAGTGTATAACCTTTGATAAGCACCCGATTAGGGGACCTTGACTTCTTGAACTTGTATTTGTCATTTGGAAGAAATCTTTTTATTTATTTTATAACAAAGTCAAAATAAACATCATTTACAAGTCGATAAACCTATATTTTGTGTTACTTTTTATTATCGTGTTGGCCATCCAAACAATTGAAATATCAACCTGACCTGTACTCCTCCCGCGGCGGCGGACGCCACATCTCACAGATGGGATGCGATTGTACGGTTGATGGCTCGCACTTGAAGTCGTAGGCGAATTGACGCAAATTTCCAACGCTCACGTTCACACGCTCATCATCCCGGTCGTGGGCAATAACCGGAGGCAGAAGACCGCAAAAGAACTGGGCGTAGCTCAGGAAGAACAGTTGGGGCGCCGAGAATTCCGCCTCAAAGGCATATGGACGATATTCGAATTTTCGGGAATCATGGTTCAAATCAAAGAAGGCATCATAGGCCAGTTGTAGGCCATTAAGATCCGCTAGGCGTTCCTTGAGTGACACGAAGGGTTGCTGCTGGACGCACTTGATGGCGTTTTGGAAGCCCGGGGATTCCCGTATTTCCAATCCGATCGGGGACTCATTTCCGTCCGCATCGAAGAGTATGCCCTCCTGCTCGAAGCCATGACTCATCTCGTGGGCCAGCACTGCTTCAAGGAGGCTTCCGTGGAAAATGGCATGCTGGCGATGATCGAAAAGTGGCCACTGGAGAAACAACATGGGCACTGTGATGGTGTTTCTCTCGTTTTCATAGAAGGGAGAAGTTCGTGCCTTGACTACATCGTCGTTGACATAGTACCTTCTCAGATCCAATCTAGATCCTGGCTGCAGAAGTCCCTCGTGCTGAAGACGGGTTCTTAAGGCCAAGGCCTCAATGAGATTCTTCAGAAAGGAAGACTCCGTAAAATTAGCACTCTGGTAGGGATTGTCATAAAACTCGGGGGACTCATCCTCCGGCAGGTTCCCTATTTTTATTTTCATTCCATACAGCTTAGCCCTCAAGTAGGCCATCTGATCCGAAGTAACTCCCAACCTATTGGCGTCTAAGTATTTCCCAAAAGTGGCTTTTAAACTCCGCAGAATCTCCTCCAGCTTGAGAGTGTCCTGCTTGCGGTTTTTATACAAAAATTTATCGTAAATATACTCCATTCCCAGCGGCAACAGAGCCCTCATATGGTGTATACAGGACTTGGGGTTTTTGCTAAGTGGTTCCGTCTCCTTCAACAAAACCATTTGACGGACTTTCAGGTACTGATTCAGTGTCCCAGGATCGGTGTTGGCCAGGAGTTGACCCATCTCTCGCAAATAGTTCACATCGCTTACCTCGAAGAGCAAGTTTTCCAGCTGGCCAGGATCTACTCCCATAATATCTCTTATGATCGCAGTCCAGGGAATTTGGGGTATTTGCTGGCTGAGTTCCTCAACTCTCCATGTTTGCACAATGGGTTCCAGCAAACGATACTTGTCCTCTAGCCTTCTTATGCCTCCTGCCAGTTGTATCATCTGATCCTTATGCTCCCAGGGATATTTTTGAATAATCCTCAGTGCCCGTTGCACACTGTATCTGGTACTAAGCTGAGGCATCTGAATCTGAACAACCAACTGCAAGGAATCATTGGTGGCCACATCCACGCGCTCATCAAAGAACACTCCATTAAGACCATAGCCACGAGAACTGTCAAGGGTGGGAGACCAATCTCTAAAAGATTCGGGGATGTCATCCCAGGTCCAATGAAGTAAATCCGTAGTACAGGCCTCGTAATACGTTTGCATTTGTTTCAGAAGTCGCGGTGATTGGGTATCTTCTATATGGCTCTCAAAGAACCCTCTCATGGAAGTGGCATACAGGTCCTCGACCCACTCGAAGTTGTCCACGTACTTGGAGGTATTTCCAAAACCACCACAAGCGTAGTTCCAAAAATCCGTACAGGGGTTTGCAGATCTATTCATATTCCTACGGATCTGAAGAGCAGTTTGCGAAGATATATCCATATATCCACTGATGGATTCTAGCGCCAGTCCAAGGCAAATGCCTAGAAAAAGTAGACTTCCCATTTTGTTTATTTAATTCAGACTAAAAAAATAATTAATACAGCTCAACAAAGACCAGCTTATCGCTACGCTTGGCTGGGTTTGAGCACCTTCGATGAGCTTTGGGAGCTGGAAGAGATGAGCCAGGGGTTATACAGCTCGGAGCTTTTCAAAAACAAATAACATTTTAATAGATCTTTTAAATACCAGCAGGCTCTAGAGGTGGATAAACTCGATTGGCCACTACGTTTATAAATGATTAGCCTTATCCCAACTGGGTAATTAAAAACAGCATACTTATAGCTTTATTATAGTCTCGGATATTGTGGGACTACCTCAATTTAGTCCACCAAACTAGTTTAAAAAACATTCAAGTCTAACTCGACTTGGCATTTATTGAATCTAATTGTAAAATACACCACTGTTGTAGTTCAATCAATTCAACTTCTGGGATTAGCCCAACTATATGTCACTGGCTTAAAATCTACTTAATTCTGGACTAAGGGTGTTCACTTTTTGAACTTTTGCTTCTTCCCCGCATTGGCTCCTGTTTTGGACTTCTTCAGCTGGCCGATCTGCTTGGATTTTTGCTTCAGTTTGTTTTGCTTCTTAATGGGTTTGCCCTCCAAAACGGGCACATCATCGAGGTCTACTCTCGGAGCCTTGGCCAGTGCGGATGACTTGCCTTTTGGTTCTGTAGGAGGCTTCTTTCCCTTAGGTTCTGTAGGAGGCTTCTTTCCCTTGGGTTCTGTAGGTGTCTTCTTATCTGCTGGTTTGTTGGGAGAAGGCTTTCCGTTTTTATTCTCCGCAGGGAACTTCTTCTTGGGATCCGTCTTGGCTGGTGAGGGAGTACCATTCACTGGAGGCTTCTTGCCGGCTGGTTTGTTGGGAGGAGCATTTCCGAACACCTTAATTGGTGTCTTCTTCTTCGGCCACTTGCGTTCGGGCTGGGAGGCTTCTTCATTTCCATTCTGTTGAGACTTTTTGGTGGCGTTTCCATTTTGCTTCTCTTCAGTTCCCTGTGGCTTCTTGCCCTTCTTTTCCTGCGGCTGGTTCGCTTCTGGTTTTGGCTTCTTGGCTACCTTGACGGGCTTCTCAAACACCTGCACCACATACTTCGACTTGCTCTCTTCGAGCTTTTTCTTCTTCAAATCCTGCTCGATATCCGTAAGAGATGGCTTGCCGGCCCTCTTGCCCAGAACCTTGCGAGGAGCCTTCTCCTCTGGCGACTCCTCAGTTTCCTCCTCAGCTTCTTTGGGGGCAGCATCGGCCTCGATAGCTTCGTCCAGCTGCTTCTCATCCTCCTCCTGCTGCTCCTTGGTGATGGGTATCGTGTTGGAGAACTTCTTCAGCTTGGCCACATAGAAACCATCCATGTTGTGGGTGTGGGGATAGTATCGCTTCGTCAGGTTCAAGCTGGGATGGAAACGATGCTGTCGGAACTTAGTGAAGCCCTCCACGCCAAAGTCCAGACCAGTGGGCACCAACTTGACGTTGCGTTTCTTCAGCGCATAGTCGATAACCCACTCGTTCTCCTCCGGAAGCACCGAGCAGGTGGAGTACACGATATAGCCACCGCTTGACGACTTGGCGTCCACACAATCGATGGCAGTGAGTAAAAGTTTCCTCTGCAGGTTGTAACAACGCTGCACGTCCACGTCCGACTTGGTGGTCTTCACACTGGGATCCTTGGAGACAACGCCAGTGCCCGTGCAGGGAGCATCGAGAAGGACACGATCAAAGCCAGTCATAATGTTCCGGAACTTGGTACCATCCTCGCAGCTAACCACAGCGTTTACGATTCCCAAGCGATGGAAGTTGGCCACGATCGCCTTGATGCGGTCCCGGTTGGAATCGTTGGCAAACAGAACACCGGTATTCTTCATGATGGATGCTATGTGGGAGCCCTTGCCTCCTGGAGCCGAGCACATGTCCAGAATTCTTTCGTTCTCCTGTGGGGCTAGTGCCATTACGGGCAGTAGGGAAGAGGCGCCCTGGATCATGTAGTGGCCAGCCAAGTACTCTGGCGTAGCACCCAGGGGCACTTGGGAGTTGAACACGACCAATCCCACCTTAGTCCACTTTCCCAGAGGATCCAGATTCACGCCACGATTAATGAGAGCTCCTGCCAAATCCCGGCGACGTGTTTTCAGTGTGTTCGTACGAATGGTCAAGGGACGAGCCACCTAAAATACAGATCTTTATGTAAGATATCCGGTAATCTTTGGTGGATATTTAAATAACTTACCTCGGAGGCCTCAAGGTACTCCATGAGCTCAGTTAGCGGGAACATGTCCATCAGCTTCTCCATCAGAAACTCATTGTAGCTGTAGTACAGGCACAAGTCCCTACGCAACAGATCGATGTACTCTCCTCGAGACCGATCCGCCTGACGATACTTCTTGAAGTCTGAGAGAACCAGTGTCACATCTTTGATGCGCTGTTGCACCTCCTGAAGGGTTAGGTCCTTCTCAGCCTCCTCCTCTTCATTTGGCAGCTGGAACACATCCTGGCGATCGACAGTCATTTGCATTTCGTCATCGGCCAGCTGGGCTTCCTTAGCCTCACGTTTTTTCAGCTTTTTGTTGGCACGCTCGATGGGCAACTTGTCATCATCATCATCGTCTTCATCGTCCTCTTCTTCGTCGGAGGAGGCCTCGGCGGCGTCTTCATCTCCGGAGATATCAAAATCATCATCGGAATTGGCTTCATCGTCGGAAAGGTCATCTAGCTTGCCAACTTGAGCTGCGTCTTCATCAGATTCCTCTTCTTCATCTTCCTCACCGGATACTTCTTCTTCGCCGGATTCGTCTTCTTCGAGACCATTTTCCTCTTCGGAACCTTCCTCCAGCTCAGCATCAGATTCCTCTTCCAAATCCTCCTCATCATCCTCTTCCTCCTCCTCGGATTCAGGTTCCACCTGCTTCTTTTGCTTCTTAGGTTTCAGCCACTCGCTGTTGTCGTCCGTGAAGCCTTTGGAAGCAGCCGATTTCTTGGTTTTCGGCGCCGGAACCAATTGAGGCACCTCCTCGTCGGAGGAGGCTTCCTGGGGCTGCACTTCCTCCTCCTCCTCAGCTTCACTGTCACTGTTGTAGGGCGTTTTTCTTCGCACTTGTTGCGTTTGCTTTCCTTTGGCGCGTTTCTCCTGCAGTTTCGCCTTTTGAACTACCTTTTTCTGCTCCCGCTTGACAGAGCGCTGTTTTTGCCTATGCGAGAGCTTCTTCTCCTCCTCCTCCATGGGGGCTACGGATTCAAAAAACATTAACGTTGCTCGAAAGGAACATCATCCATTCACTCACCAAAGGACTGCTTGCGAAAAACAGGGGGTCCCTGCTTTCGGGCTTTCCGCCCAGGTCCCTTCTTCGGTTTCTCACTGTATTCAGCTTTGCGACCCATACTTTTAACTTAATTTATAAAGGTTTTAGAGCTGAAATTGACTAAAAACGTGAGCACTTCTGTTTTGCTCCACGTGCGCCGCTCAAAAGACACCGGGTGTTTTTCAACACTACACAGCTGGGAATCTCTTTGGTTAGTGTTGCCAACTATCAACCATCTATCATATAACATATTATAACAATAAAAAACTAATTAAAAATTAAAACGTATTTACATTTTAATTATTCCTACTTATTGAATGCATTTTTGTAATCATTTGAATTTCGCGCGCTTTGACCGGAACTGCCAACTTATTTGTTCTCCAGATGTAGCACGATCCATCACTAACTGCCAAGCCGCGATTACTACCTTCAAGAAGAAGAAATATTTAAACATTTTATCAACTCCCCATTTGGGTTTTCATTTTTAATAATTATGGCCTACCAGGATAAAATCGAGAAATTCAAGGCCTGGGCCACTAGCATAGGTTGTCCACCAAGTGCACTGCCCTCCAATGACGCTCTTCGAAGGTAAGTCTTAAAATAAAAGGTCTTATTGGTCAAAAATAAAATGAATCCTTTTAGCATTTATAAGTCCGGGTCCAGCCAGCTTTTGGATACTCTGCAGACAAGGATTCAGCCACGAGAAGTTGTGCGGGAGGTGCGAGAGAACATCCTTATCTCCCAGGTGGCTCGTTACAAGGACAAGATGGTTCCAATGGCCTCTAGGAGCTTCCTGCCACTGGAGCTGCAGCGATATCACCAAATGAAAGAGCTACAAAAGCAAAAGGAGAAGGCAGAGCAAGGTCTAAAAGAGGCGAGAAAGGAGTACGATATCCTCTCCGCCAGCATCAAAACGAAGAGTAAGTTAGTTACTCTCCTTAGCTGGCTTTTATCCTAATCCCATTACTCTCCCTTAGACATTCAAACCATCAGTGCCAAGAACAGGGTCCAACTTCTAGCATCAAAATGCAATATCCTCGATCTAAAGCTGGAGTCATTGAACAAATCCCACGAGCAGGAGCTGAAGAACAAAGCCCAGATCCTAGCCACCACCCCCGTCAAGCTGAATTCCAAGAATGCCAGCGAGAAACAGGCTGCCAAGGCGGTGGAGAAGGCTCTCAAGCAGCTTGAGGAATTCTACGGCATGTGTGACGATGGCAGCAGTGCTCATATTTTGGCTGAAAGCAAACAGAAGCTCTGGGATCAGATGCGGAGTATTTTCGGGGATACTCCCAATGCCCTGCTCTTGAATGTAATCATGAAAATCAAAGAGGAGCAGCTTCAGAACATAATTCATTTAAATGAAAGTACTGGTAACTCCACATCGTCCAAACCGCCTCTCAACAACTTCGAAGTGAAACTGCTGAAAACCAAGGCCGATCTTCTGGGTCTGGCGGCCAAGTCCATTAGTGCTCAAAAGGAGTTGGAGCAAAAGGAATCCCGTTTCTGCCAGGTCTATTCTGCCTTCGTGGACGAACTGCAGAAGAAAGTGCACACCTTCAACGGCATCAGCGAAGAGGAGGAGGAAAACGCCGACGAACTTATCATCGACTTCATGGTTCAGTACAATATGCGCAACTTTAATCGTGCCCAGAACGAGTTCCTGCGCGAGCAGATCGAACAGTTGCGCTCCGAACTGGAGGCAGGCGGGAGACAACTGAAAAACCACGACCTTATGCTAGGCTCCGTTAAGCAGGTGTATAGCGACATCAACTCCTCCATCAATCGCGTTCAACAGGACATGGTGCAGTTGTCGCAAATCAAGGAGAAAATCCTCTACTCTCGCAACATGATGAAGAATATGCTGGACAACATGCAGGCCGCCACGCAGAATCAGAACGCCAAGTCACAGCTAATCAGCACCAAGCTAAAGGTCAGCAACATGTCCATGCTGGGGGCTGAAAGCTTCTGCCTGGCCAACGACAGCGTCTTCTCCAGCACCAAGGTCGAGTTCGACTGCAATACGAGCATCGTAAACTCCACGCTGCGTCGCAGTTTTGATAACAAAACCATGATGCCTGGTGGAGCAGGTTCCACCACTCTGGTGAGTGGAGCAGGAGCCAGTGTTCCGTCCCACCTCCTGGAGCTGAACACATTTGCCGAAATGTCACTGGAAAAGCTGAGCTGCATGCCCCGCGCCTGGTAAGTGGAGAACATAAATCACGGAAGTTCACGCAATTCCAATTAATCACGAGTTCATGCTTTCCGGCAGCGCCTTCCTACTGGCGGCCAATCCACTCATCGTTGAGGCCCAGGAGCTGGCCTCCACGGTTCAACTGGCGCCCGGCTATCTGCTGACACCCTTCGGGGCCCTGCAGGAAGTCCGCAAACGCATTTTGTGGGCGTCGGCAATTGCCGCACACACGTCTGACTTGAAATTGAATTTCGAACCTTTAATTGGTAAGCTCCGACATCCAACCATTTTGTCTCATATCCGCTGAAATCATCCCGCTTCTCCCATCCCCAGTTGATCCGCACGATTTGAGGCTGAAGGCGAATCGTCAGCACGAGGAAATTGACCAATTGCTGGACAATCTGCTAGCCATCGGTGTCAAGACCCAATTGCAGCTGGAAAAGGCCGAACGCATCTATCAGTTTCTGCTTGCGAATCCACTGCGACGATATGTCCCACCCGGCAAGCGCTTCAACAACGGCAACTATGTGGATTACGAGTCCGAGTTCAATCTCTATTATCGGATGGCCACCACCGGGGGATCCATTAGGGCGCCCACTGCCTTTGGAAAGCACTCCGATGGCCATCATTGAATTGTTGTTTTTTGAGGAATCCCCCACATGGTCTCATCTTTCTAAGCCAAGTCCTTGTTTAAATCTTTGAATCAATAATGAAGTCCCTCTTGTTTTTTAAATGTATTTTTATTTATTTTTTTTTGTTTTATGTTTTCTATATTTTTTTTATTACAAAGTCGAAATTGATTTTACTTCACACCCACACAAAAATTTGGGTAAAAAATTTCTGATTATTCGAAAGTGCTTAAGAGCTAAAGATGTACACAACATTGTTGTATATATTCCAATTTGGATTTTTTGCCTCGATATGATGATGCAAGTGGAGTCGGTTAGTCTTTATGGGTATAGGGGTATAGGGCGGGGTATGTTGTTAGTCGAACGAAAATACTTTATTGTTTATTAAATAAAAATAAAATATTTCCAAGCGGAATGTTGTGTGATGTATCTTTTTCGGGAATAAAATTATTTAAAAACATTTACAGTGGAATCGCGGACGGGACGGGATGTTAGGACTTATCGGAGAGTTTCGTATCTCGTTTGGCTCTAAGGTGCTAATAAATTAAATCGATTGCTCGCCTCTTCTAGTCGTCGGCCCTTCACTTAGCATACATACTTAACTTAAGATACAATATTGGACGTACGAAAATTGGACAGGGCGAAACGAAAACACAAAACAAGGTTGGGAATAGATTTGAGAATAGAACTGGGGGTTTCGGGGAATCGTTTGAGACTATTGCTGATTGGTTACACGATATGGTCGTCTATATATCTAGATTCATATGTATGTGATTGTATTTATAGGTTTATGCATTCTGAGGGGGACTGAGTAATTGGAATCTTGGAGCTCGGTGTCGGAGTCGGAGGATTGGCTTATCTGGTGAAAAGCATCGCCAGGAGGATGCCCACCAGGGCGAACGAGGTGGCGGCCACCTCCTCGGCGCCGGCATAGTACGCCTGACCGCAGGCCGGTGGGCACACTGGAATGATGGTCTCGAACAGATTCACTCGCGCCTCGGCCTCTCCGAATCGGTTTGTGGCCTTGCACACATAATCACCGTACTGGCGCTTCTCGATCGTGATGACACGCAGCGTCGAGTCGGTGTACTCGTCGGCGGTGGCAAAGTGCGAGATGCTGTAGTGCTGGTTGTTGGCCAGCTGGATGTCGTCCTTGGTCCAGACAATGGCCGGTGGCGGATAGGCCTCAATGTGGCACTCCAGATCCATATCATACTGCAGAGCCTGTCCCAGACGGGGCCGGGGCACAGTGATCACGGGAGCGAACTCCACTTCCACGTTGATGTTACGCCGATCGCCCTTGCTGACGCCATTGTCCGCCACACAGTAGTAGGTGCCGCGGTCCTCCTTCTTCACGGACTTGATGCGCAGGATGTTGCCCACATAGGTGGCGCTATCTGGAATGGCAAGAATGAGGGGATATTCGAATAAGTTGGTTGTAGGTTATGAGTACTTTATGGTTAGTTTTGAGTGGTTGAGGTTATTATCTTGAATATTAGATTGAAAACCATCTCTATGGCAGATAGAGGGGTTCTTTGTCTCCATTTATAGAACTATTTTATCAATAGAACCCCAATTAGTTCAAAGAATCCCATTTGACACGAACTATATGATTAATTTATTTTCTTAGAAGTGTGTTCGTGTTTTTCATGGAAATTGGTTGATGACTATAGCTATAACTATCTGAAATTTCATGCTTTAGGAAATATTCAAAATAGAAAGACCTCATCATCTTTAAAACACTGATAATACACATTGCTTTAGGGGACTACCTCTTGACTTTCCACCTCTCCTCACTGATAACAGCCACCGATCCGATCACCCTATAACCCCATAGATTAAGAGTGCAAGATGACCCACAAGTTCATACAATATCCCCATTGGGAATACAAACAATTACATCATAGAGTGGCATCGTGTGGCATAACCATTTCCATTATAGCTTTAATCTCATCCACAAACGATCCAAACGCGTTCAAGTGAGAACCTAACCACTGGCCATTAATGGAGCAACGCTAAACGCTTTCGGGGCTCAAAGCCATTGTATTTGTGCATTGGGTGCAGAGTCAAAAATTCAATTTTAATGAGCCAACCCGGGGCACATCCGTTGCCACTTGCGGGTGACCTTTTTCCAAATGTCCACGCCACCGAGCGAACAAACAATGGCCACGTTAATGACCTCTAACAAGTAAAGCATTTTGTTAGGCCCCCTGGTTTCGGTTGCCAACTAATTTTCGAAAAACGGAGTACGGAGTACGCCACTGCACTTAGTGCCATGAGTGCCGAGGGGACAGGATCGCAGAAGGGTTCGAAGGGCAGGGGGCTTTCAGCCACTGAAGCGTGAACGTGAATGGGAATAGGAATTGCAGTACGAATGCGAAATGCGAAAGGTGCTCCGGGTTCATAACCGGAAGTTGGCTCAGCTCAACGAGGTGGTGGAGGGTCGGAGGTGGGTCGGAGGTGGGCACTGGAAACGAGTGCATTGAGCCCGGGGATCTGCTACCTCATCCTCGTGTGCGTGTCTGTGGCTGCTCTTCAAACATTTGCCAAAACAATTCAGGCTCAAACAATTGGCACAAACTACTATACACCGAGAAGGGAGTATTGCAGTGAGAGAAACCTACCAACTGGCAAGTAAAATATATAAATAAATGAATTTTTTTAAGTGCATGGCAAAGAGGAGCTGCATCAGCAGAAGAGCATTGACCAAAGCTGCCGGAATGCCCGGAAAATATGTGTTTTATGCGAAATTGCACACAAATGCGGGCCAGAGTCCCAGCCAGAGGGGAGGCAGTGGCAGTATGCGTTTGAGGCTTGTGCCTGTTCAACTGAAACATTTCAAATTAATTGCGCCTGGGAATCGAAGTAACACATTTCATTAAAATTGGATTGACAGCCCCATCCCAGTGTAATGGGTTAAGGCATCAATGTTGTGATGCGGGTCGGGCATCTCTCGATTGCAACAAAACTCATTTCAATATTAGAAAAACACATACAAACAATTTCCTGTAAACACGCTTCCAAATGTACAATTGGAAGCTCCAGAACTCCAGAGGGGGAGTAGAGCCAGTCAAGAGCTTTGTTTAATTAGTCCAATGGAGAAAGATGCCCTCCAGAAGGCAGACTCATGAGTGGCAGACATTTATTCAGACAATAAAAGAAGCTCTCTAATAGGAAGATGTTGTTTTTAAGGAATAAAATATAGAGATATAAGCCAAGAAGTATCCATCCAATTATCCCCAAAACAAAGTCTTTTTCGCATCATTGAAAATACAGGTCGTAAAAGTGAACTTCTAGCTGGGACTGCAAATGAAATTTGTTGCATTTATAATTTACGAGCGTTTACTGTGCCGTCCCAGGTCCAAAACAGGTTCTTTCTCTATCTCTAGTTTCAGTTACTGCCTGCCCTGCCAGTTCAGAAGCAGAACTTACATACAGTGTCTAGTATCGAGGTAGAGCCCTTGATCCAATGCAACTGTAATAGCACACACAGTTCACAGACTACCCACTCAATAATACCAAATAGGAAAAGCCTAAAGAGTAGATCTATTTCGAAATAATTTTATTTATTTTTTTGATGGACTGACGCACAGTTACTGGGCCGTGAAATGATATGCAAGTCAGGTAGTTGGGAAAGAGTTAAGGAATGTCAGAAACCTTCAACATTTGTCGCCTGTAAACCGTTTAGTACCGTTAGCGGGTAAAGCTGGAAAATAGACTTTTATGCGGAGGTCGCGCATGCGCGTAACTGGGGCGTGTCAGAAAGTAGCAAATATTTCATTTAATTTCTAATTAGCTATGCTGGCTACAAAAACATGGATACTGGAGAGACTTGGAACAAGAATGTCAAAGGCAGGCATACACATTTATTATTCTGTTCTTTTAATTAATGCACAAAGAACTGAGACTCCAGACTCTCGACTCTTGACTCCCGGACTCCCTTACTCGCTACTCCCTCTGGAGGGTTCAAATTCATGAACTAGAGCAGAAAGTCATTGAAATAGAACACCCCTGGATGGAAGATGAATGGCCTGGCAATGGGAATTTGAGATATTTAAGAGTTTATGAATCGAAAACACTGTAATGGGGTTACAATTACACAAACCAGACTCATATATCACTCCCAAACAAGCTCAAGGCAGAGGGGTTAGTGCATACCTAAGATCTATGATGGATGATTTCACAGATATAACTAGTAACTAGGAATATTGACAAATTATGAGGAAATTTCTGTACAATCAGAATAATGAGAGAGCGCTGGAGACCCGCATGGAGTCCAGACATGGACTCTGAAGCGGAAATAGCTCTCTTCGCCTTCGTATCATGGCAGCATCACCCATCATCCATCAGCAATTTCAGTTACTAATGAGAGAATTAAAAACACTTTGCTCCGGTATGGTTGGGGCAGGATGATGGCGATGATGATGATGATGCACCGTGTCTCTGACTCTGCAATCTCTGACAACTAATGAAAGGAAAACAGAAAACAGAGTGCACGGAGGTGTGGAGGAGAGATACTATACATAGAAGAACCTCAAAGGTAATGGAAAGGCCGCCAGGCAGTTCCACATTTGTTTTAGACCCTCCACTTCCTTCGAGGGACGAGCCTGGAACATGTCTGGTATTCTTCTGTCTCCGCCTGCCATCAGACCAAATGAAAACAACGTAGCTGACGCAACGTACCCAGTCCCCTGGGCAAACACATCCCGAGATAAATTGTCAGTTGGTGGAAAGGCAAGAAAAACAGATCCCAAGAAAATGGAAAATTGTGCAAAGTGCACAAAGGTGAGAACTGGAGTTGGGAAGTGAGAAGGTGAGAAGTGCAGGTAGAGATCCAGGGACACTATGAAAGGATATGCATTTTCTTTTGTATCTCTTTCGGATGGAAACTCTGTTTTGCCTGACAGGTGTGTAGGTGTTTCTCGTTTCTATGACCCGCTCTAGGTCTAAAAGCCAGGTCTAGGTCTTGGCGCTTGGATGACTTTCAGTTAAATGGGTGCTCGCTTGGAAAATTTGTTACATCGCTGACTAAGAGGAGGGAGGGGTGGTGATGAAAGAAAGGGGTTCTCAGGGTCTGCTACCGTTTCTAATTTTTCATAAACTACTTAAACCGACAGCCGCTTCAGTCCGCCATTTTGCAATGTTATTTTTTTGTTGAAACAACCACCGAAAACAGTCCAGGACGTCCACCTAGGGGAAAAAGTGGAAATTGAGTGGCAATGCAAAATATATATCCGCACCAATCACAGGGCCAGACGCCCAGCCTACCACCCCCTCCCCTCTGTCGGGCGGGAAAACGTGTGACGAACTAACCGAAACAACGTCGGAGGACACTTTCCCAGTCCTACATAGTCTGAGCCTGCGGCCATATTTGATTTTTTTTTTTAGCATAACTCCCCTATTCAATTTCCTGCAATTTGGCAAGCGGCGGGAACTCTTCCTGGCAGGAGAGCTAGAAGGAAATGCAGGAAAAGCCTCTCTCCTGGCCTCTTCAAATGTCAACTGATTCCCAGCCAAAGGTTGCCATGTGGAAATTATGAATGTTAATGCAGCGTGTCAGCATACCCGATGTGTGTGACTCATCATAATTTTCAAAAACACAACCTCCTGACAAAGTCAGAAGGCAAAGGCCATAGCCGGGTGTGCTTTTAATGACGCTCCGCATTATTTGCGACACACTGCACACACTTCCCATAGCCAGAACCAGAGCCAGAACCAGAGACCGAGCCCGATATCATAGCTCCCGGGCATGTCACAGATGGGTCATGACTCTCTTCCCAGCTTGTATCTTCAGTTCCTACTCCTCCGGGTGGGCTGGCACAAAATCCAATTAAAAAAGTGCACACAGTGTTTGGATTTTAACAGGATTTGGATTTCACTTTTTTTTTTGGCGAATGCATCATTGCTTTCAATGGAAGCTCAAATCGGGCATTAGTTTCTCTCGAATTGGATTGGAAATATCCATCATTTTCAGTTGGCTTTTAAGCCTTTTAGAGAGCTCTCTCTTATGGTTTGGGTTGATTAAGCCCACGGAGAGTGTCATGATTGCCCAAGAACACCTGGCTTCCTTTCAGTTTATGGAGAAAAATGCATGCCTTTGCAAATTTGTCGCCTCTTCCTGTTTTGTCACCCAAACTCATCAAGAAGGTGGGCAGGGGCTTCTCTTGTTCTCCCTATATATGGAATATACACAGATACCAACATACATACATATGTATATCGAGCATATAACAAGCTCTTGAGACATGTGAAAGCACCCACTTTGGTGGGGTAACGCGCATCGCAGGGCAGACATTGCCTTGAAACCGAGCCCATACCGAGCACCACCCTCGAAGTGATTCCACCCACCACCCACTTCGACCCACCAGACAAAGCCACAGACGCTGCGCTGTTGACTTTTCAAAAGTGATTTTCTTCTTCGAGTAGTACATTATAGCTGGCCTGGCATGCCATTTATTGGATTACACTCGACATCCTCGTACAGACTGTACTCTACTGTACTCCTTGGGAGATCATAAATCAGGGAATGAAAAGAAAACTATTAAAATAGCAATTACGCCAAAAAAAGAATCCCAGAAAGAGGCCTGACCGACGTAAATCCCTTGTGAGCCGAGTGCCTAAATAAATATTGGCCAAGTCCCAAGGCAAACAATACAAACTCCAGGGTCTGGTACTGGGACTGGATATGGGTTGGTAAAGCCGCGTGTCCTTTGTGTGAGAATGCGAGTGTGATAAGGATTAAAAAGCCGGTTGGTCTGAAGGTGAAACATTCAGCCAAAAGTGCTAAACAAATAAGGGAATTGGAAGTGAAAATGTAACTTCAACTCGGGGGATTGGTTTCTAGTGTGATAAGCCGAGTGGAAAGTAAGGAATTGGGTAGTAACTTACAAGTTATTACTTAGTCACTACTTTAGGAGAGTGATTTGTTGGCCAAGTTTACAGATTTAACCAGTTTTGTGTTTCGCTTCTTAAACAGCCCTTTTGCTGGCCAGTTGGTGGCCCATGTTGACCAAGTGGTCGTTGCCCCAGCAACCAACATTTAGAAACAGGTTTCCCAACACACACACCGTCCCGTACGTCATCGTTCCCGTTCTGGTTTTCGCTGCTTTTGCTGGTGGCTGGTTGCTGTTGCCGCTTTTGACTTTGCAACAAGCCATCATCATGCCACAAAACAACTGGCAACTGAGGCAGCAATAAACAATGCAACCAAACAGCCAAACAGGAAGTGGAAACGGATGGCAACGGCAGGACAAACACAAACACAAACATATCCATCATCAAAGGACTCGTTCAACTCACTCCTTCGCAGGACTCTTTCCCCTCTTTCATCTAATTGCGAGTGTGCCAAAACCTAATTGCTTGCAAATATTTAAAAAAAAACAGCCAGCTGCTGCCAGTCTGTGGCAGGAATGTGAGGAATTTCCATTAAAATCCAGGGGTAACTAACTAATTTGCAGTACGGCTTGTTGAGATCTCGAGTGCAGCATCAATTGCGCATCGAAATTTTTAAGCTTAAATTACAATTTATGTAAAAATATATTACAATTCTGCACCCTTCTGGATTGATGGCGAAATTGGAATACTTGAATCATGCTCACTTGATTCTAATTCGCAATTTTCCAACACAATTTGCATGAAGGTTAATCATCGCGATGGGGAAAGTGAATAGGTTATTAGAGTTCTCGAGTCTGAAACTCTGAGTGTGAGTCTGCAAACACCCCAAGACTGATCTCGACCAGCTTCTCGGTACATAATTGAACAATTAAAGTTAATTTACCATGATCCTCGATCCCTCGCTTTGAGATACATTCGAGTATCTGGCAGATAAGTCGCTTCCGGCAGCACAACAATAACCCAGATGTCGGCAGCTGTCAGCGTTTGAAAAATTTGGAATTCAGCAAAATTGGAATTCAATTTTTTGCTTTCATTGCAAAAACAAGCTCGTTTTTTCCTCCCAATTCACGTGAGCTGGGCCAAGGTGAGGTTTATTTTGCATGGGCAGCAGATAGCTGGGGTATAGCTTCCAGGTGGCAGGTGCAAACGATGCACATGTCTGTGTTTACTCAATGGCTATCTGCTGGCAACATTGTTTTGGCCATTCAATAATAAAAAACCAATCGATTTGCATGGCAACGCACAAATTGGCATACACCCCAAAAAAAACGCCGGAAAAGGAAATGCTATATTAGGGGTTCCTCACCATCTATAGTTGTCTATGGGCGTGTTGGACTCTAGCCCCGACCAGGATCAGGGTTAGGGGTTGCTTGGGATTGAAGGTGCCGGGGCAACCGCTCGCGGCTTGTTTGTTTGCATCTTTACATCGCAGAGTACTCGCCACGGGTATCGGCCTTTGTTTGGGTTACCTTTTTAGCTTGTAATTTATATATTTTGTATACTTCGATTGTATTTTGCCGGCTATCAAAATAAGAATTATGTAGCCCCTGAGCCTGCCATAGGGTAGGGCAGGAGGGTGCAGCCCATTTGCCATGCTCTTGGGCTCTTGGGCTCTCGGTCTCCGGTTCGGGCACTCTTTGTTTGCGTATGTTTGCTGTTTACTCCTTCCTTCCTTCCCGGGTTTTTAAAAAATTTTTTTTCAACTTTGTTGTTTTTTCTCGCTGCAGTACCCACCCATTGGATGGAGGTAGAACCAAAGGCCTAGACCGTGTCTGATGTGGAAGCCAGAGCCCTCCACTGGTCCACCCTAGACCATCAAACGGTCCGTGGTACGTTTTCAAGTTGCGGAAGCAATTGCGCGTGCTGAAGTTGTCGAATGCCTCAGAAACTGGAATGGCAAATGGGACGGAGACTTGGTGGCTCGGTAGCTCGGTAGCTCGGCTATGGAAATGTGAAACGTGAAAATGCTGCACAAAGGCTTACTCCTCGATGCATGCCACTCCTCCTCAGACAGAAAACAAACCCTGCTGCCAGAGCCAGAGCACATTTGACTCGGATCGTTGGCGCATTTCAAAGCTCAAAGCGGTCTTGTTTGCCTAAGCGCTTTAAATTAGAGCGTTGAAAAAGTGTGAAAACACCACGCCACAGCTCCTGGACCGAATCCGAATCCACAGTCCGATCCCAGGCCCTTAAAGTTATGGCAAAAAAGCCATGAAGCGTATCAAAGTCACTGCGGTTGGGCTTATAGATATGGCACGCCTGGTTCTGGTTCCCCAAAAAAGGCCGCTTCAATGTCGGTGACCAATTAAAGATTGCACAAGCTACAAGTTCCATAAGCAACCCATCGGATACGTTGTATCTACGACCCTCTGGCTGGCAGGGTGTGTCTATGGGACGTTTCTAGGTAATAAGTAACTATCGGATTAGTTACACTAATTGCTTTTCGGCAGCCGCTCAAATGACGCTGCAATCTTGTTAAAGGAAACCATTATGTCTGGCCAAGGGTCAAAGGTCGTCAGGTAGAGAGCCTAGCCTTCTAGAAGCCTGTAGCACCTGTATGGGATTAACCGTCATTTTACCTGAGAACCAAATTATTTTATTGTTTTATTAGCTTTTCTTCTCGGTTTTTGTTTAAAATAAAATTCTGGGAGGACAAACAAGGTCTAATAGATAGCATTTGCACTTGTACTTGGAACTCGGATTTTCCCAGGAAACTAAAGGAACTGGTGGAAAAATGGTGGAAAAGTTAAGATCGTAGATGTATTTTTGTTGCGAAATTTTCAGAGGAACTTAAGTTTTTAAATAAAACATACATTAGAAGTGGTCTTGAGGAACCTGTTACTTAAATTAGAACATAGATTAGATGCCTCGTATCTATCTGAGACATAGCCGCATCTATAAACCTCATGTTTTAATAAAAACCCCATAAAAATTACGACTATTAAATGTCTTTATTGTTTAATTAACCCTAGAAACTATCTCTCACGAGGTAGACAACAAAAAAATCAATCTTTTAATGCAAAAACCTAGCCCTTTAGCCCTTTGGCCCAATGGGGGTGGCAGAAAGCAAAAGAGGCCAACACTAGCCACTGTTTAGTGGCACAACCTGCTAAATAAACAAAAGCTAAGGTGACGCCTGAGTGAGTCACGGTCACTCACACGAACCCCATAGTGTAGCCATAATACCCATATACATACATACATCTATATAGAGACTCCCACCGCCTAAGCTGGGGCCAAAGCGGGATGGACTGATTGACGGAGAGAGCAGCGGGCCCAGAGAGAGAGAGCCCCCAGAACAGCGCCCCAACCAAGTCAACAGCCAATGTATCTAGATACGTTAGGCAAGGGCTAGCTACAATGGAAAAACTTACCCGTTGGCAGGATGGCGTTGTTTTCGCGCCGCCATGTGATGGTCGGTGTGGGATAGCCACTGGCATAGCACTCCATCTGGACTTCGGTTCCCTCGCTGGCCACGATCGACTGTGTGGAGTTGTCGGAGATGACGGGTGGACGCCTCACGGACAGCTTGACATCGGCGCTGACTTTGTGGACCACAGAGATCACAACCTGGCAGGTATAGGTGCCAGCGTCCGTCTCCTGGATGTCTTTGATCTGCAGCTTGTAGGTGGAGGAGCTGGGATCGTAGCGCAGGGAGAAGCGCGAGTCCTTGATCACCAGCGTGGAGCCAGTGGAGAGGAAGACTGGATCACTGTCTGTCTTCAGGAAAAGTACATTGTACTCTTTGGCATACTGAACGGAACAGTCAAACTCCACGGTGCCGCCGATGTCCTTGATCTGCTCCTGTGTGATGTAGGAAATGGTGGGGGTACGCTGGCCACTGGCCTGGTGGCAGGCGAGGGCCAGGAGCAGCGTGCTCCAGACGCACTTTAAGATATTAGGGCGCCACATCTTGTGCAATTAATTTATTTGAGTTTCGTTTCTAGCACCACACCCAGCCAAGTGGAGTGGAGAGCCGAGAGACAAGAGCACGAATAACGCGCGCCACACAATTCTTCTCGGGAAGACGGCAACCTGGCTGAGCTGCTGTGGCTCCAAAATCACAAGCTGTGAGAGAGGCCCCAAAGACGTCTCCAAAAACGTCGACGGAGTACACAAATAGCGTCGTTTCTTTCTCTACCACGACAATGCGCGGATGCTGACTGCAAGTCACACTTGTCGGCCCGCTCTAAGCTGGTTTTTAACTACGTTCTCTCTCACTGTCTGGATATTGGCCCGATCGGTCAGAAAAATCAGTCGAGAGACTCACGGAAGACACAACCTTACACTTTGAATGCCGCGCAACGAATGAATTCAGGTTTCAAAATTTGCGCCCTCCGAAGCTTGAGACGGAGCTGTTGGGTTAGAGATGGCAAAAGAAACAATAGAGCAATCGATAATTAATCAGACTATCGATAGCCACTTATATATGCACTGTTATATTAACGGTCTATTTTAAGTAAATTTTTCTGCATTTTTGTCTAGAATTTTTCATATTTTTTATTTAAATAATTAGGAAAACCAATAATTTTTAAGGTAATACAAAAAGAATTCCATTAAATATGCCTTATTTCTTTTAAATTGAATTAAACTGACTTAACAGTGCTAACAGAGTGAGAATTCAGCTGTTAACTTTGTGGTTTGTGTATTCGATGTACTGAAAGCCAAGTTTTGTACCCATACACTGAAAAACACAACAATTGTGATTGTTTAAAATGCATTTTTATTTAGGTTTTTCTCATTTTGTAATATTATTCAGTAGTTATGTATACGCTATATAAATGTCGATTTTCATCTATCTCGTGCTCTATGCATTTACGATGGTATAACTCCTCTTGTATGAATGTACTTTATAAATATGGGTAATAATAATTATAAATTGGATCGAAGCGAAACGTTACGGTTCGCTTATAGTTTTTTGTATTAGTTTTTAACATTTTGGGGTTTTGCTTGTTTTTTTTTTTTATTTTTTTGTTCAAATAGTTATTGGCTTTATCATCGTATATCGTATCATAAAATGTGTGTATATTGTGTATATAATTTTTAGCATTTAGAATTTGATTTTAGGTTCTCAACAAGTTGCTAGTTATTAAGTACATATTTAAATGTCTAAATCGTATTTGTATTACGCATTACGTGTTTGATTTTCGATTTGTAAAGTTTCATTTTAATAAATATCTGAGCCGACTGAGCAGAAATTCAAAAAAGCCAATTACAAAATCGTATAAACCTAAAACTAAAACGCCTTCAACGAGATTCAGGGATTAGGTTTCAAGGTCTTCTATATTCATACTAATTCTTCCTCAAAATATATATGTTTCATATAAGTTCTGTGTGTAGATACCATTCCTCAAAGTATAAATAATAAAGATTAAGGTTGTGTAGGCTACGGCTCCATAAAATAATCAATAAATAAATTGCTCTAAGTCCAACGTATGAGTTAAGGTAAAAAAAAGCTAAGCGAGAGTTCGTCTTCATCGGTTCAGCTGCCTCCGGCGATGTCCAAGGGTATCTCCTCCTCCTCCTCCTTAGTTCTTTTGGGAATTAAGACTCCATTGTGCAAACTGCTCCTGCCATTGGCTATTCGCATTTGCCTGCGGGTACACACAAAACTATAATTTAATTCCAGGCAGAGTAATATAAGCTATAGGATAGTCGTACTTGAAGAATAAAATCTGTGGCATGCAAGGCAATCAACTACACTAGCTACAGGATATACATAGATAGATAGTTTGTTTATATTTATAGAATAATATATTTATCGAGTGCATGTACAAAGGGGATACAGAAAAAGATATACAGATACAGATACAGAACACAACATCTAGAATCTAGATCAACATTGAGAAGGATTTCGAGGCGAAACCCTTTACCTTTTCGTTCCACTCTTGGTTATACGATTGGGATTCGTCGAAATCTGAAATTGTATCAAGATAGCGGTGAACATACGGTTGTCTTTACAGGATTACAGGATTAAAGCAAAATCAGACAATTGAATCGAATCCTTTGAGTCAAGCAGCCAACGTGATTCAAATCTAGGATCTATCTAACTAGAATGGACTGACTGAGATCGAGATCGAGATACGATTCTGGGTGCAGCAATGATGATGAAGATCTATATATAGACAACTATATAGTTTTTGGATAGAACAGAGTGACGCCCCAGAGTGACACTATAGAGATCTACCTTTCAGAGTGGAATATAGTGGTGGAGTCGTGAGTCGAGCGAGTTTAGATGATCTAGAGGCAAGAATATTTGATATATTTTACCTGATCGGAGAGTATATATATTTGGAAGATTTACAAATTCAAACTATACTTCATGATATAAGCGTGCATGATCAGCTGCAGTTCATCGATTGTCTCACCGATCTCGTGCAGGGCCGGGAAGCCGGCCTGCTCATCGTCGATGAACAGTTCCGGATAGTTTCTGTAGCCCAGGATGCGATTCACCTGCGACATCTCCTCCCCCTGCCCGAACGTATAATCGAAGTGGTCCTCCTCGGGGGCATAGCTGCACAAGTCCCGACAGGGAGCTGCTGCTCCCTCGCACTCGAGATCCTCGTCGGTGCGGAAGATCTCCTCGTACTCCCGGCACTCGCAGTCGTTGCACTCGCACTGACTCGAGTCCTCGGACTCGCCGCCCTCGATGTGTCGGTACTCTTGAAAGGTTTTGGTTTTGGATTTTGGGTTCGATTCTGGTTCTGGTTCATTTGTGGGATGGGTGGGACGGTAGACCCGAACAGATATACCAAAGAAACGAGCGCAAAATCATAAAGGGAACTAACAAGAACGAAAAAGTGGCAAGAACTCAATATTTGCAGCATTTTTTCTTATGCCGTCTATTGGGGAAGTAATCTAAAATCATAAAATTTAAAAAATCGGAAAAGAATAAAAACAAAACAGAATAGTGATTGTTTTAGAAGAGCAGAATGGGAGAACCAGCTGGGAGGGCAGGATGTGGTGCAGCCCGGGGACAACTTACCCAGTGGCAGGATGAAGCGCGCCTGCGGCAGGGAACCTCCGGCCTGATGCCCTTGGACCGGAGCCCTTGCCCGTCCTGGTTGATGGCGAGACCCAAAAACATACGCATACACGCACACCGAAAGGATAAAACACGGATAAGCACAGAGTGAGAACATTCCATTTGGGAGTGGAGATTGGGGAAGGTGGCTCTAGAAGCGGTGCTACTACGAGATCTAGGTGCTCTGGGTGCAGTGCTGACCACCATTCACAAGCGGCTGCAGTGGCAGAGAAAGCAAGAGAAGCAAGTGTCAGGAGGAGGAGGAGGGCGATTCCAAGGAATTACCTGCATTCAGGTCGCTGACCATGTGGGAAATGGCCGACGTTAGATGGTCGGCGGCCTCATTGAGTTCCGCATCACCGGGATTCGAATTCTGAGTCTGATTTGGATTCGGATTCGGATTCTGATTCTGAGTCGAGATCGTATTTAGATTCATGTTCGGATTTAGGCTGGGAATCCCACTGACATTGGCAGTGGCTGTGGTGGTGCGCAGTGGTGGTGGCGCTGCGAAGGCGAAGCGATCAAGAAACGAGTATGTTTTTGAGGGGGGTGGTGGTGGTGTTTGGGTGGTCAGGTGGTTGGGTGGTTGGGTTTATGTGCCAGTGGTTGTGTTACCGCATCGTAGAGTGGGCATTAGGTTAATATCTGTCTGACCATTAAGCCTAATCTGACGCGAAAGCCAATTTCTTGCAGAGATCCACCAAGAGATCTAACAATTTTGAGTTTTGGACGAACCTAACCGACAAGTATAACCCCTCCTAGCTCTGTCCCCGACTATCCCAACTCACTTGCACTCCCGTTGGCGGCAAAGGCGCTCCGCATGTCGCTGCTGATCTGGTTCAGCTGCTCCAGCTGGCTCTGGCTGAAGGATCCGTGGCCATGTCCCTGCTGCTGTTGCTGGAGGAGTTGCTGCTGGGCGACTCGCACACCCGGCCCGCCGCCGCCCATCGGCATTTGCTGCATCTGCTGGGCGTGGAGAGCGCTCATCGGTGAGGTGCCCAGTATGCCAACTCCTCCGCCTCCTCCTCCACCACCTGGCATGGGTGGGGACTTGCCGGACCGGGGACTCGAGTTCGGGGTGGATCGGGGCGAGGCGGTCTGTTGGTTCTTCAGCATTCGCATCAGACCCTCCAGTTGCTCCATCAGCTGACGGCGCGAGTCCTGCAGGGCTCCCAAGTGACCCTCCAGCTCTCCCTTCCGCTGCCGCAGGGCACGCAGCTCGTTGATCAGAGCCGGATTCTCGGGGGCCATCTGCTCCGTCTCCTGCTGGCGCCTCAGTCGCGCTATTTCCCGCATGATCTCCTTGTTCTTGGACTCCAGTTGGGCGATCAGTTCGCGTTGGGCTCGCGAGTTATCCGTGCCGATGGGTGTGGCATTGTCGGGCAAGTTGGAGGGCTGTTGGATAAAAATTCTATATCTTTCGAAGCTATATCCTATATCCTAACGACATACCGCTCGATTTTCCTGTGCCAAGCGTGCAGCATAGCGGGCAATTAGACGGTGCTCCTCATCGTTGGCGGAGGCAGCCGCCACACGGGACATGGTGGTGCCGGTGGCGCTGTCCAGACTACGGCCGGTGGCCCGCGAATCGAGGGTGCTGGAGCGATCGAAGAGGCCTGGCGGATGGCCATGGTGGCCGGGTACGAGGCCCGGGCCCGAGGGATCCGAGAAGCCGTTGTGCGAGGGCAGCGGCGAGGGCGGCACGATGTGCGACAGATTGAGCGTCTTCTCCGGCTGGTCGGGGAAGCGCGGTAGGACCTGCGTCGTCTTCTCGGGCACACAGCGGAAGCTCTTGCGCAGCGAGTGACCGATCTGTTTGCTGGGCGACTTGTAGCTCGAGTACTCCTTGACCTCGTGATCGTTTTGGTGGTTCAGCGATGTCTTGCCGTGCCAGAAGCACTCCTGGCACAACTGGTAGGCGTGGCACCGCTGACAGCGATAACGAAACCCAGTGAAGTTTTCCTTGTGGCAAACAGAGCAGACAGTCGGATGCACAATGGTCTCCACGGTGGCCAGCCGGTGCACCAGCGGCAGCCAGACGAGGCAGGACGGACCCGGCTCGGACATCAGCGTGGCCATGAAGTCGTTCACCGTCACCTTATTCTCAGCCGGAAATATCTCCTCCTCGAGCCCCTCCTTGTAGTGGAATGTGGGTGACTCGTACACGGCCGCCGGCAGGGCCAGGACCTCGCGCAGGAACTCGCCCAGTTTCCAGGCCACCAGCTGGCCAGCGCCGTCCGAGATCTGTGAGAATATATCTATCGAATGGTTCAGATAATATATCTTCCTAGATTAAATGGAAATAGATACTCACATCGAAGCTTGTCCACAAGCTTTCCAGAGCACATGGTGGCCAGAGCCACTTTAATGGAGAAAACCCGTATCTTTCCAGAATTATCACTGCGTGGGGGGGAGAGAGGGTTACTCTTGGACTTTCCAGAATATTAGGTATACGCACCTTGTGTAGGCGGCCAGGAGCCAATTAAGCAACAGACCCGCCTTGGAATCCACCGGCACCTGCTGGGCTGTGGGCAGCCTCTTGTTGAGGTTGTGGTACAAGGACGAGACAAGGGTCTCCAGCCTGGCCACGCTCACCTCACTCTGCGGCTCCAGGGTGTTGAGTCCGTTCTCGCGGAACGCCTCGATCACATTCCAGATGTCCACCAGATGGAGATTCGTCGACTTCTGTATGTAGCGCAGCTTGGAGGCGGTGCGGTAGGAGGCGAATCGTATGGAATCGAAGGTCTGCAGGCGCAGGTCCTGCAGTATAGCCACACGCGGCTCCAGCTCCATGTCGTTTAGTGTCCTGAAATTTAATTAAGGCACATGATGTACATAATAGTGATAATCATAAGCACAAATAGTTATGCCAGCCAGCAACCAAACTGGGTCAGAATAGAATGCGATGATGGTGATTATGGGAGCGTGGGAGCATTCAACAGACACCACAGAGGAGCCATTTTGCATAGGAAATCTATTTTTTTTCCCCACCAGCCAGGTCCTCTAGCCCTCCATTGTGTATGGCTGTATGTCTGGCTTCGACAGGCCTCGATGTTGGGACACTGAAGAAAAAGGTGGCCATAAACTACCAGTTGGATATTGAACTCCAAACGTAACTATAGTCCTTTTTCTAGAGATATTCCCTTTAGGATACATCCTTAAGTCAACTTTGATGGCTTGGATGGTATTATCCTTTTTGTTTCCCAGTGTAGGCACATAGTCTGGTGTCTGCACCCAACGGCAATCGCCGGAAGAGGAAGTGAGCAATCCGCAGAGACTGGAGGAAGGAGACTACCCAACCTGCTCCTCCTCTATTGCTAGTTGGGGGCCAAAACAAAGCGAATTTAATAATCCGCCTAGGCGCTAAAAGTTTCTGCAGTTTTGTAAACCGCTTTGGCAGTCCAATTAATCGACAAGGATCCCCTCCGGAGGATTGCGGATGGAGGACGGAGAAGCGGGTGGCATCCATAAGCATCCTTATAATTTACGTGAGCCATAATTCCATGCTGGAAGGGTGTCGACAACTTCTGAAGTTGCTGTCACATCACGCTTCTCATTCCTTAAGTTCCCCAGCAATTGATTTTCCAAAGGAAGCAAAAAAAAAGGACTTGAAATGTCCTTGAAAAAAAAAGAAAGAAGACATCTCTGAGTCATCATACGAAAATAATCAGAGAAATGTTCTCGTCTGGTTTCTGGTTTCCACATTTATGCCAACATATGCCCTATTATGTCCTGCATCCTGCCATGTCCTTTCATCATGTAGAGCTGGCCAATTTAAACAAGTATTCTCATTTAAATGCCGCTTCCTTTTCCCAGCTCTCTGTCAGCTAAATGATAGTGTTATTACAACTGGAGAGGGGGGTGGGAGGGGGGTCGGGCCAGGACTATGGCGACAGGACCTCCTCCCCGAAATTTAATTTCGAAACTGGAAACTGTGAATGGAGCTACAGGATGAATGAAATGATAACACTTGGAGGGGTATTCCACTGAGAGAAACTATAACTATCTTCAACTCTCTTGGAAATCTATTACTAAACATTTCTCTCAGTGTCTCTAACAAGAAGACAGTGCTTCTAAAGACTGGGGATGATGACTCATAAGGCTCAACGTTCCTTTGGGTTTCCGCCACCACTTGGGAGCACGAAATAGAGCAACAACGGCCGTTAGGACATACATATACACACACACTCACACACTCACTGAGACACACACACTCACACGCACCCACACACTCGCACTATACGAATGCTGCGAGCTCTGCAAACATTTGCGCTGAAAAGTATGCAACAAGAACCTGGCTGAATAATTTGAGTTTGGTCAGGACCAAGAGGGGGAAAGGGGGGAGGAAGGAGGAGGAGGATGCTGGGAATTCCGCATTGCCAGGGGCTGCTGCAGTTTTGATGCTGCCTGCCCCGAGCGTTGACATCCTGCTGCTCTGCCAAGTGGCCTCGCCCCCACCCCCACCCCCAACGATTATAGGGGCAGGCAGGGGTTGCGGCTTGGGGTCGTTTGCCCCCATTTTGTGTCACTCAGAGATCTCTGCACTAAAAATTCTCTTTTTTTTTTTAAGTCAGCAGCATATTAAATTCCATTGCAAGTGCCACCAACACCTCCAACGCGTCCTCCTGGGAATTTGGATTTTCCCCAATTGCCATTTTTCGTCCTTTTTGGGGGGTTAAAACCGCAATTGTTGGCAGCTTTTGTTGTGGTTCTGGCCATCATCCTTGTGGATGAAATCTTACTTATTTTGCATACATAGTTGGTGTTGGATTTGTTGTGTAAACTGGCCAGTATTTGTCCTTCCATTCAAATGACCCGGCCAACTTTTCTAATCGGAACTCCTGCCGGAGACACTTTGATGGAAGAGCCATTAGAGTTTGGCTCAGAGGAGAGTATGTTGGAACCTCATTAGAAAAGAAGGGGGGTCTCTGGGAAATATTTTCTATAATTTTGTATTTAAATTGCAAGTACGAGCTGTGGAATAAACAAATGAGGTCACCCAGCTCTCACAGCTCTCCACAGCTCGCTTAGATAATCGGTTGAGAGCGAGAACTGGAAATCCAATAAATTTAATTAAAATTTAAAGATTAAATTCCCACAAATATTCATTAAAATCATACATACTAGCAGTGCAAATAACTCATTTATTTAATGGCTTTATTTAGCTCTTATTCTTCCCGCAGTGAGGTTTTCAAATCAAATATTAAATCCACACACAGTGACATTTTAATCAAAAAACACAAAAAAGCCATTAGACCGTTAGTATATATACTATCTATCAGGTGGTATAGACAAAATAGCAAAATAAATACACTCTATTAGCCCCTCAATGGATGAATTGGATAATGTGTTCCTTTGATGGCAGAAAATTGAATAAGGAAGGAGTCTGAATACCCAACCAAGCCACCAACCATCCAGCCAACCATTCATCCATCAACTGCATAAGTGACCCCGGGTGACCCCGTAGGAAACTATCCAGGGATAGTTCACCTTGATGCTCTGAAAAAAAATAGAGAAAAACTGGCAAGAAAAAACGACTAGAACCGCATGGATGAAATATGAATAGCAACAAGGACGATAGCGTGTCCAGGACCAGCTCCCTATCCCTGCCTTTGCCGCAAAACAGGAATTAAACAAGTTGCAGTACTCCGTGTCCTGGCAGTCCTGGCAGTGCTGGCAGGGTTGGGGTTTATGCCATTTGCGTGCCGGGAAAATCAAAGCCGAAACAACCGACTCCCAACGATGATAACTGGGCACATAATTTGCCATTTCAGAGGCCAGGCAGGTGGGGCATGTCCTCCCTGGATTCCGTGTTAATTCCGGATTTGTGGAACAGCCAGAAGGAGATTGCATGTCGGCCCGAAATCGCAGGCCGTGCAATAACCTTTTGTACCTCCAGGAACTCAAACTACCAAGTTAATTGAAAAATTGAGCCAAGACTCGATGTGCATATGCTCCATTTATCATAATTGATGGGTTCTGCCCTCCAACCTTATACACGGGGCGGAAAAAGTGAGAAAATAATGAGAAGTATAGACCATTTTAGAGGCCAATTTGGTGGATAGGTTTTCTCTGTTGGGCTGCCAAAGGAAATTGGAACAAGGAAGTTGTGTCCCAGTTAGACGACTGCCTCCCAGTTGTCATCAGCCTCGTCAGAATGCGCAAGCGGAGTAATTATGGATACAGCCACGGCGGAATGGGAGCACTGGGAAGGGGCCAGGAGCGGGTGTGGAAGTTCTGTGCCACTTACTGTGCAACTCAAAGGCTTTGCCACAAAATGCGCATTCCACGCCGCCACATAGAGCCATTAGTCGTCGCCACCAAAGGGGATTGAACCACCAAGGAGAAGGCGGAGGTGGTGGCTCACTCTGAAGAGCTTACTTTGGCCATAATCCCCTGAAGATCTCGAGGCAGCTAAAAGCCCCCAACTCCCTGACTGGATCGTTTATTCCCAGAGCCACCTGCCCAAGGTCAGGTTGGCAGATAAGGTGCCTGCAGTTGGCAACCTGAGGGGGGATTTAGATTTAAAGAAAAAAGATTAAAACTAGCTTAGAAAGGCTCTTAAAAAACACATCCATCTAGCTTTGTTTAATAAACATTTAGCCTCTCAAAGTTACGCATTTAATTATGAATTGCACCTGCACTCGGTACTCTGCATTCGTCACTCGTCTCTCGTCACCCACCACCCACACATTAATATTTCCGACTAGCCCACGCCCCCCACATTCCACTCGAAATATGCAAATTCCCAACCGAGCCAATTTGCAATCGATTGCCAAGCGGTTGACGTGGATTATCTCTAGGGGTTATGCCCAGTCAGATCTGTGGAATATCTATGAGAGGGAGACCTCCCCGATCCATCGATGACAAGTCCCCCGTATAATTAGCACAGATGAGCGAACGATTCGCAGTAAATATTTTCCACTTTATCGGCTCGAGTCACGCCCTATTTTTGGCATTTGTGAGAACGTGCTGAAAGCTAAAGCTCTGGATTTTAGAATTCAATTGTAGGTGGTAAGCTAATTGGCCAAAATCGGCAGACAGAATGTCGGCGGAAAGTGTGCCAAAGTGGGTTTTGCAAGAAAACTACAACCAGAACACGAAATATCTTACGAAACGAAGGGCGGCCATCAAAAATAAACACTCGATGTGATGTGGGTCTGGTCTGATGTGGTGTGTGTGTGGGTTTTTCTCATTTCACGATCCATTTGGAGAGCATGTTGTACTAGACACTATCTCGATAGCGTTGATAACGATCTGCAAAGCAAACAGACCGTAGCCGATAAGATATATTCCGCTTAGCAGAGCAAGAAGCTTGTCTGGAAGAGCTATCAGAGGCAGGGCCAGTGGCTGGCAAGTCAATCAACTGCAACGACAATGGGAATGGAAATCGGAATCGGAATAGAAATGGAAATGGAAAATAGGGAAAAGCCAAACAAATCATGGCAGGCCAGGGCCCAGACTAGACGGCCAGTCTTCGAGGTTCTGCTCGCATTTTGCATAAATCCATAATGAGATTTGAAATGCAACTGTCACACATAATGGTGATGGCATTGTGTCCAGCCAGCCAATCAATAAAGCTTAAAAAACAAACCATAACATTAAGCATTAAGGGGGGATATCTATTTTCGCTAAAAATATGCTATAGGGTCCTTCAAATGATATACTAAAGGATATAATCCGGCAAGTCTAGATAGAGAGTCGTCTCTATTCTATAGAACTATTTTACGGAACCCAGGGACCGTAAATAATAATTATTCTTCTGATTTTTATTTTAACAAGAAAGGGAAACTAACTTTGGGCGAAGCCCGAATCCTTATGAGAATATCATAATTATATTATAGTGAAAAATACCCAATTTATTATAATACAAAATCTTAAAATGGTCCCAAACTTCTATCTTCAAGAACAATAAAGTTGGTATTTCTAGCAAATACCATTATTTCTAGCAAATACCAAAAATTACAACAAAAAATATTAAAAAAAAAAAAAAAATTACAACAAAAAAAATTACAACAAAAAAATTACAACAAAAAAAATTACAACAAAAAAATTACAACAACAAAAAACTACAACAACAACAATAACTACAACAACAACAGCTACAACAACAACAACTACTAAAACAACAACAACAACTACTAAAACAACAACGAAACACTACAACAACTACTAAAACAACAACGAAACACTACAACAACGAAACACTACAACAACAAAAATAAACAACAAAACCTAAAAAAAAGAAAACACTATTTTTCCGATTTTCGGGGCCTGCTTAAGTGCAACCTATGAGAATCGAGGAGGAGGGCGCTGTTTTTAATTAATTAATAAATTAATTATTTTCAAAAAATTTTATTAAATATTTACCAAAGTAAGACATTTTTTAAAATATTATTATACTCAAAAAAACGGTAAAATTCGACTCTTTCTTACAATACGACTTCTAAGAGCCCTTAAAAGCAGGCAATGGTGATAGGAGTGTTTATATTTTTAGATTTAAAAATTATTAAAAAACATGATTTTTTTGTAGAAACTATAGAATAGAGTTCCTTTTAGGAATTTAAATATCCCAAATAAAAATATCACAAGCTTATATCTGCATTATTATGAAATGTATAGCAGCAGGAATATATGTATTTTATAATTTAATTTTAAGATTTAATATCCTCTGCAAGGGTTTATACCCTTTAGTCCCTTTAATTAGATTCTGTAGGGTTTTAAAAATCATATACTTTAATCCTCTAAAGAACTGTACCTCTCCAAAAGAACTAAAAACTTGAAACGCATTTTTCTCGAAAACACTGTTTTTGGGATGGTGGGAATTATATCTTTGCATTGGAGCATATACAGAGATCATGCTTTGGGGCATTCCAATTTTTAAAGAAATCCCAAAAATGCTCTTTTTCTTCTCCAGTTGCATAGATGTCCCCCCTCCATAAACTCAATAATCCACAAATATTACGCAAAAATAAACACAACATGTTGTTTAAAATATTAGATATCACTTATTACGAGGCGGAAGTTGAATTCCAAAATATTTATTAGCCATGAACATTGTTTACAAACAAATGGGCCACCAGATGAAACGATTACCATATATAAGCCCCCACCGGCAATATATATTCCCCCCAATCCCCAATATATATATAGTTGGCGTTTGGCGTTTGGAGGGAAATCAATTTTCGGGCAACAATTGTTTCATGCGATTTTCAAAATTTTACAGAATCTAGAAGCTGGCTACCCGCGCATATTAAAGTCCAGAATGTGAGTCCACCACCCCACTCCCTGATCCTTGCTGGGATCCATACGCCTTGCCCTTATTCCATTGATGGCTCCATCCGATAGCTAAACACTATGTGCTGCGGCGAGAAGTTCAATCCGTTTTATATTGGACCCTTTCCAGAGTGCGCCTGCGGTGATTGTCCTTACGGGATATACTCGGGCTATACGAGATGCGGCTGGTGTGGCGGGAACGGTCCCTTTGGCAAGTCTCCTTCTCCTGATCCTTGCTGCGGGGATGCTCCCCGGCGACCCTGCTGCGGACCAAGGGGAGGATCGATTTGTGGGCCCAGCTTTGGACCTTGTTGTGGACGCTCCTGTGGTCCGTGCTACGATCCTTGCTGTGGCCCCTGCTGTAGTCCTTGCTGTGGCCCGTCCTGTAACCCGTGCTGTGGTCCGTCTTGTGGCCCGTCTTGTGGACCCTCCTGTGGCCCCTCTTGTGGAGGAAGCTGCTGCTGCGTGATTTGCTCCAGTGGTATTGGCTGTTGTGGCCAACCCAGTTGCAAACCCTGCTGCGTCTGCTTCGCAGGATAACCACCATTGAGGTTTCTGTGGTTTGGTGTCTGGACTTTAATGTGTGTTTGTGGTTTAATGGTTTCTTGAACAAAATTCTTTAAAAATTCTCTAATAAATTCATATAATTATGAAGGATAAAGGCTTAGCTTAGCTGGTGGTTAGCGAGCTGGGCTTGCTCTAAAAATAAACCAGATGCTTTACACGCTTCACTCGCCTGCAATCCCCTTGTAATGGAATTCCCATACATGACTGGGTCTCAGTTATGGCTACGTATACATCAAAAGCGGAAATCCAGGGAGGGGAATGGCGAGATGGCGGGATGGCGCCGCTAAATGCGATTACAGCATAAACGATTAATTTTATTGCATTTAGGTGGGGATGCTCTGGTTGCTCTTGCTTGGCCTGGCCTGGTTTTTTGTTCCATAAACTAATTAAAGGCCAGTGGACAACAAACCATCCTCTAGCCATCCTCCGGCCATCCAACTGACTTCAAAGGAGGTGGAAAAAAAAGGGTTAATTGCCTGCTCCTCTGGAGCCTTTTCTTTGAGCCTTTTCCTCTCTCTTTCCGGTTTTTATTCTTTGTTTCTAGAGCCATGTTTTCTAGGCCAAAATTACTCCATGGCTGGTATGTTGTTGTTCTTCTTTCTTTCCAGCTCTTTATTGTGGCTTTGTTGTCATGTTGTGGGTGGCTTCTGTCCCCACTATCTATGCCAGGCCATGCGTTGTGTGTCACGCCTCATTTAGCTTTTCACAACATTTTCCAACCAACAACCACCCACCCATCTGCACTAGACACCCGAGTGTGTGTGTGCGACACACTCGGAAATATCTGGGGATCTGGAGCAGTGCTTCCTAATACTCTCGGTTCTTAACACAATTCCTATATAAATACATGCCGTGTGTATAAGTATGTTTTGCATCCAAAAATTAACCAAAATAAATAGCGGAACTAGATCATGCCTCTTAGGATAGGAATTCCTCTAATGAGCTAGTAGAAGATATCTATGAAATCTATGAAATTGCAAGCTCACTTTCTTGTTGGGCTATTAAAAGTATCTACATAGACAAGTATCTGACAGATACTGTATCTCATGAAAGTGAAATTTTTCGGCTATCGGTCGACATCGGCGACGATCTATTTCGTAGGTGTTGGAATGCCTGGCTTGTGGAGCTTCGTAGCCACGAGCAGCACCTGCTTCGTAAGCTTGCCTCTCCCCCCACCACCGCGACCCTCCTCCACCTACATACATGGCCCTCTCGCTAGCCGACTAGCCGACTGGGTGAGCAGCAGCCGCCGTTTTTCAAAAAAAGCTAAAATTGGCGATTAGTCAAAATGATGTCACCGAGTTATTTTGATTGTTTTTTTTTTTTTCTTTTCTTTTTTTTATTATTATTTGTATATTTATTTATTTAGTTTTTTTTTTTTTGGGTGACATGTTGGGATATAACCACCCATAGTAGGGTTATCACCAGAAGGTGGCCAAAAAACGATAAGCGATTAATTGAATTGACCCTTGGATCTATGATGTGTGTGTGACTTTTAATTAGCCCCGGAATCCAATTATTGAATTAATCACAGTGCCCAGTGCAGGCCACCCCTGCGATATGGCACTCCACTCCTCTACTATCTCTGATCTAATCTTAATTTTGCGAGTATTTTTTTTTTTTAAGGAATGTCGATAACGCCTTGGGGCGTGGCAAAGACCAATTTACCTTTCACAGATCGCCAACTGCCAAGGAAAATATTTGCCAACTGAATTCCAGCCAGTGGGGGGGAGGGGGAGAGGGTGGCCTGGGGTGCTGACGCTTTTTTATGAATGGAACCCCTAACGCGTCACTCCAACGATGGAAATCTACAACGCCATTCGAAAGGGCCTGAGAGACTAGCTTGGCTGGGAAGTTCGTTTTTTATTTTTGTATTTTTTTTATTTTGATGACAATTTGTTGTTTACCTTTGGTAATTAGCAACCTTTACTGTGCGTCACTTTTTAGAGCTGCGCGGAGTTGCCTGCTGCTGCTGTTGGTGTCTTCTTCTTGCTTCTTTCTCTTTATACTCCTTGTATTCTATTTAATACGTGTTTGGTTTTTTTTTTTTTTTTTTTTTTATTTTCACCTGCTGTTTACACAATAACTGTAGTTGCAAAACCCACACAATGGGTAAGATGAGAGAGAGAGATAGCAAGAGAGTTTTGGGGGGAAGAGCTCTGGCCAAGATGCTGCGCCCTTTGGCCCTTTATATAAAAAAAATATGGTAACAGAAAAACTTCTTTTTTTTCGGGCTACGCTTGTGGGGCCCACGCAAATACACGCACACAGTCACCACCAACACACACACACACGCGCACGATAATAGAGCCCAGTTTTAATCCGCTCTGCAGATACACTTTTCACACGGGCCTGGGCAAACGACAGATTCGCGCTATTTGCTATTAAATATCTTATCAGCGACTTTGTTTACCAAACGCTTTTGGCCAAAAAATCATTTAACATCGCGCCGCGACTGTTTTTCCTTTTTTTTTCGGATACCCGCACAAGCTGGGCTTGCGGAATCTCTATTAGAATATCATCCTGGAAATATTTTACAATTAAGCAACGTATTTCGCGCAGCGATTTTCCCGGCGACTTTTCAGGTGCGTCTTGTTGAAAAGGTAGTTTTAAATTATTATCGCCGGGCTCCAACCGTTCGTCTCAGAATATTTGCAGTGATAACAGCCTAGCTATTTTCCCCTAAAAGTTAGCTTTTTTTGTGGTCAAAAACGGAAAACCATTATATTTACCCAGAACCTGGTCACATACCAAATCTGTTTACTCTCTTTCGCGAACCGGGTAAGCCTGTAGTTAGTGTTGGAAATCGCAAAAAACCGCGAAGAAAATACAATTTTAAAAATAAATGGTCAAGAAGCTGTTTGGGAAGATATATTTTCCTTATTCTGCAGATATCAACCAACAGTGACGTACCGTTTTAGAACAATAAGGAGCATTGACAAACCTCTGAAAAAAATGTTTTAAAAACAGGATAACCTATTTAATGATTTGTTAATTTACATTTTAATTTTCACAGCTCAACTTAAGTATTTAATCGGTGCACAAATGGACCCTCTACTCTACTTTAGCATGTGTCGTTGCATCGCTTGTATCCGCCGTTTTTTGGCGCTCCTGACGTGCTCGCTCCTTAAGTTGAGCTGTTTTCAAAGAAACCATCAGCTGAGTAGAGTTGTACAGCCAAGTTCCCTGAAAGATTAAATAACTTTTAGTTATTTTTTACAAGAATCATCAACTAAAACTCACAATTAACAGCATACAGTTGAGTAATATGGGAATCGAAAAAACAGTTGAGATAAACAGGCCATTGCTATCGAAGTATTGTTGCCTGGAGAAGGAACTCCAGTTCTGAGCCGCGTACTCGTTGATGCTTTCCGTAAAATACACAGCCAGCACTGATAAGACATGAAAACAAAACCAAAATAAGCTACCATTAATGCACATTACTAGGCGACGCGGCAAAACCACGTACACAGAATCAGGAAAAGGAAAACCTGGAAATTGCTATTGTTCCGACTCAGTAGAGCAGTGGTGGTGGTCAGGACATGGGCCAGGACCAAGCAAATCAGCCAAGGATCCTTCCAATCAATCTGTAATGAAATTTTTTTGTAATATGACTTTTTATTCAAACCAGAGATTTAACTCACGCTGAGAAGAAATGTCCAATAGCCGGTGACTTCGTTCACTTCGATCTGACCAGGATGCATTGTGCTGTATTATAGTGTTATTTGACAGAAAATAAATTTTAATTTTTTTGCCAGGAGATCAAAAAATAAACAAATCACTCGACAACAAACCTTAGTGTTGGTAAGGTGTTGCTGTTGGTAGTGTTGGTAAACGGGTAATTGAATTTATTTTAGGTAATGCGGAGAAGACAGTTTATTGCATCATGTAACGAAATCTAGGTGTTTTTTGTTTTTAAATCATAAAATTATGCAGTAAGAGTCTTGGTCAGTACAAATATCAGATATTTAATTACGCTTAGTCACTACGGTACGAAGCCAAACAGTGACTGTTCGTGTATCATCGCCGTGCATGTCATGCCGTCTGAACGTGTCGATAACGCTTTCACTGACTCAGTAGACACAACATTAACAAATCTGAAAAATATCACAAAGAATTCGTTGAAAAGCATTCAAATTTGTAGTTATTAGGGCGAAACAACTCAATCCGAGCTACCGACCTGTTTGGGAAACGAGTGAACTAGCGAATCGGGCGAAGGAAAGGAACAATAATCCAGAAAAAGGAAGGATAGATGTGGCACGGACCACAAGCCAACCAGTGCACCACATTCGCGTAAGGCAGAGGTGGTACTGGTGTTGGTGTTGTGGTGCAGCAGAAGCTTCTTGCGAGGATTCGGTTGCCAGGGACAAGGTGCACTCTGTATGCGGACACTGATGCGGTCTTGCCGCCGTTGAAAGGTCAACTCGTAACAACGACACGTAACGGCGTGCGGTTCAAGGACACGCGGCGTAGACTTCGCGCGCAGCGTCGCAGGAATCACAACAGCCGCAGTGCCCGGGCACTCCGCAAACCGAAACTCCTGCCACTTGGCAGCTGGAAGATCAAGTCGGCCCTTTGGTCCAATAGCATCCACGCACCTCGCGTCCACTCCCACGCTCGGCGACTACTTCGCGCCATGGCTGTCAAGCAGAACAACACCGAATCGGGTGACGGTAACGAGAATGCCGGCAATAACAGCAGCGGTCTGCCCCCCAACTCTAAGCCCACTGGCGTCAACGGTCTCAAGATTTCCAACGAAAGTGGTGCGGCTGCGGACCTGGGCTCCACCACTGGCGAAGGTGGCATGAACACCAACCGGCCTGCCCAGCGGGATATTAATAGCTTGCTGCAGCGCCTAGAACAACCCGAGAATGCCCACAATTTAATGACTTTTTACGAGCATATTATTGTCGAGCTGTCGCGCATGCAACATTCGAAAACGCCAGAGGACATCGCCCGCCTAAAAGAGGAAGCCACCAAGGTTGGTGTTTTGCTGGCCAAACGCAATGAGAAGCACTATCAGATGTTCTACCTGCGAGTCGTCTACGACCTGATCACCAAGTCCACCTTTGAACCGCCACCCTCGTGTGCGCTGGCAATCGTATTCCAGCTCTTCGATTCCAACCAGATTCTCGAAGCGGTGCACTCGTTGCTGGAGCAAAACGTACAGGACGCCAGCATCCGGAAGACAGTGGGGCTGCTGTGCGTTTGGATAGGCGAGTGCACCTTCTGCAGCAACCTCTCGCTTTGGGTGATGGCCCTGCTTAACGGGCTGAAGGATCAGGGCAAACGTGCGCTGCTGGACGAGATAGCGCTGGACAACATCGAGAAACTCTTCCATTTGGTGATCTTCCCCGCGCTCCGGTATAAAGCCTCGCCTTTGGTGTTTCACATGCTGTCGACCATTAATCAAACGCCCGAGGTTTTCCACAAGGTATAACTCTGCTTAGAATTTGACTTGTGCCTTCCAAATCACTCATGAGGGGTGTCTTCTTTCATGTAGATTTTGCCAAGGATCCCATTGGTGCTGCAGTGTCTAAAGCAGCAGTCGAATTCCAACGATGAAGCCGGTCTGGAGGCTCGCAAGAGTCTCCAGCAACTGGTCGATCTTACGAGCGCTCTGGTGCTACGCTTCTACGACCACGATGACCTCTATGCTCCAGTGAAAAAAGCTCTGCAGACCTACGATCCCTCGCCCAATTGCCTGGCCTTGGCACGAGCGATGCAGGAGAGCGCCCAGCCCTGGGGACGGAGGAACGCGAGAGTTGGACTTGTGAATCTGGGCAACACCTGCTATATGAACAGCGTGCTGCAAGCCCTTGCCATGACTAGCGAGTAAGTCGAGATTATCTGGCCCTTGTCTGTCATGTTATATACCCTCCTTTTCTTTCTAGTTTCAGCCGACAAATCCTACTCATCGAGTGCGAGTCAGCGTTGCTCAGAAAGGTGCAGCAGCAAATCGCCCTGATGCACCACTCGCTCCGCTATGAGCTAACACCTTTGGTAGTTCTCAATGCCACTCGGCCACCCGGATTTACGCCCGGTCTGCAGCAGGACAGCTCCGAGTTCCTAGGCCATTTGCTGGACTTGCTGCACGAGCACGAAATCAGTAGCTTCTCAAATTCTGGACGCAGTGGAGGACGCGCAATGAGCAGCAGCGAAGAGATTACAACCAGTGGCGTGATACCCTATAACAGTAATGATCGGGAGTTGGGAAGCGGCAGCAGCAAAGGCACTCCCACTCCACCTGCAACACCCACCAAAAACCCAGGCAGCTCGCAGCAGCAGAGCGGGCCAGAATCGACGCCACCTAAGCCGGCATCAACCATTGACAAGACGTTCGCGGGAAAGCTATCCACCACCTATCGGTGTCTGAGCTGCGGCTGGGAGAGCCGGAATGAAGACAGCTTTCGCGAGCTTCAGCTATCATTTCCCGACGACAAGGACGACTGTGGAGCCACTAACTACTCGGTGCAGGATCTAATCGAGTACTATTGCTCGCCAGAGAAGCTTGACGGGGATAATCAGTACTTTTGCCCGCGCTGCAAGAAGCTATGCGATGCCGAGCGCCACATCGGGGTCACTCAAGCGCCACGGAACCTCATCCTTACGCTGAAGCAGTTTAAATACGACCAGAAGTACCACTTCCGCACCAAGCTCATGCATAAGGTGTTCCACGATGAGAGCGTGAGTATCTGAAGCTTATTTTTCTGAGAAAATATCCGTTTTTACCCGGAACTCTAATAGGTCACAGTGAAGGTTTGCACCATGGAATCCCTGCAGGAAATGTCCACTGTACATTACGACCTTTATGCCGGAGTTGTACACGCGGGATATAGCATGGACTCTGGGCACTATTTCACGTTTGCGGCCGATCAAGCCAAGCGTTGGTACAAGTTCAACGATAACCAGGTGACCCATTCAAAGCCGGAGGAAATGCACAACCTCACCTCGCCGAACACGCCCTACATTTTGTTTTACAAAATGTGCGCACGCTCCAATGAATGCAACGAGGCGTCCACCAGCTCTTTGTCTGGGATGGGGCCGAGCCACCAAGTGGTTTCGCTCCCAGCATCACCGCCATTGACGCTGGAGGAGTTGCCAAGCAATCTGCGCGAATACGTTAAGAAGGACAACCGCGTTTACAACGAGGAGTTAAGAGTTCAGCGCTACAAACGCGGCGGCGGTAGCCTCGGAGGAAACAATTTTGTCAGTCGGCACAATTACGATGACGACGGGGACGATGAGGATGACCAAGCGCCGCCACCGACCGGAGGATGCGGTGGCAATGGGCTGGGTATGAACTACAACCGATTCGTGTACTAAGGCAGGAGGAGTTTAAACAGAGCGAGCACGAGCAATGGAGGCCACTAGAAGATATATTTGTCTACTTAACAAAAAAAACACGCATACTAATCTAAATGTTATCCATACAAATATTGCCAGTGCATAACCAATCGACATGTATAAGGCTGCGTATATCCGAGTAGTATGATATTATGGCCGCGACGCTTATGGCAAGCTGTCCGTTTGCTCGTTCACTAGCTCGTCCCCATTGTTGTTTCAGTTTCCTGATCCTCCGGTCCCTACCCCCCGAGCATCATCCCATCCCAATCATCATCTGATACATACGAAAACTATGAATGTATTTCCATTTACGAAACTGTTATGATTTTTTTGTTTTTGTTAACACAAACCTAGTTGTAGAACGAGCATAAATGCGTACACTTACATATAAATTTAAAATCGATTAAAATCACATGAATTAGCCGGAATGGAGAGCTGAATACTCGAATCAGAATAAGCCGATCTAAGAAGACCACTAACTTCCAAAGCAAATAATTGGATATTTATGCACTTCAACTTAGTTTTTAAAGCAAAGCAACTACTCGGAGTGAAACCAAATCTCGAGTTTAAATCAAGCTAGCCGGAAGCTGAGTAATGACAATGACTTGTAACATAGTTAGCATGATTGAAGTCGAGCTAATCCCCTTGTATTATTAGTTATTCTGTTTTTTTGTGAAATTTCAAAACTGCAAAACGAATTTGTAATTGATATATTTACAAGCATGTATCTCTGGATCTGGTGAGCAGAAAATGCTATTTTGAATATTATTGCAATTAAATTGGAATAATTTCATATAACTTTGTATATGGTGTATGTCTATGGATAACCAATATCTATACTATGCTATGCTATAAGTGTATCAATAAAGAAAAAAAAGCCCAAGAACCTACTTCAGGACTTTTTCTAAAATTAAAATTAATAAGATACTGTAATTTAAAAATGGCGCCAAAAATCTTTGGTATTTTTTTTTTGCGCGAATAGCGATGGTACCGGATCTGCTTTATTAAAACTCTGGCAACTTCATTGGCGCCAAATGTTATCGATGTTTCTCCACCTCTATGCAATATCGACCATCTCTAAATCGAATACACAACTGAAGAAGAAAAAATATGGAAATGGTGTTAGCTAAATCTATAAAAATTCAATTGTAAATATTATTTGTATATATTACGCACGAATTGAAAGTGAATGTGCCTACGAGCGTGTGTTGAAACGAAATAACGAGCGTGCAGTGGAAAGCGTGTAAAGTGATTCTTGGTCTTGCCTGAGTGTGAAGCGTTGCGTTTCGTGTGAAAGAGCGAGCGAGAGGTGCGAGCTTAAAGCAGTAGAAGCCATATACAAAATAACGTGTGTGAGCGCTGCCCAAAATCAGATATTACAGACGTCTTAACAACGTCCACGTCCAAACCCCTCAATAGTGTAAGAATTGTTGTGTAACCACCTTTTAGGACTGTCGCCTGTCAAACTGTTTCCTACCTCTGTATAGGTGTACATATGTCGTGCAAGTGTGTGCCGCCGCATGTAGCCCACTGCATGTGTACAACATTGTATCTCCGGGCTTTCGATAGAATCTTGGGTCTTGGCTCAACTGGTCATTGATCTTGTCAAGGAATAAACTCTATAGTTTTCAGTAGATTACTTTAATCCTTTTTTCAATTTTTTTCTTCATGACATTGCCCTCTTTTCTGTATGCATTGATTGATCGATTTTTCAGGGGTTTCATTAAAAAAAAAATGTGTATACCATACATATACCAGTAAACCGGGCCAAAAAGAATACCATAATAACTTGTTTATTTTGTATTAGTTCTGTAAAAACTATGGGAGAGTAAAAATATAATTTAAAAACTGTGTGTAGATACATTTTGTGTTTGATTTGGGAGAAGAATGAAATAGAGTGCGTGCTTTTTACGTATGTAGCTTAGAATGGACAGAATGGGATGCTTCAGTTGATTGAATGATGGTTTTATTTAAAAGCGGAGTGTGAATCCTGTGAGTCGAGCGGCTGGTTAATCGTCTGTCGTTTATAGATCCAGATCCGCCAAAGGGTCAAGTGGTTGTAGTGATGGATTTCGTTCAAGTTTCGGAGGAGGAGGGTGACGAGCCCATCGAGTTGCCAGCTGAGGAGGATGGCACCTTATTGCTATCCACACTTCAGGCCCAATTTCCCGGGTCATGCGGTCTTAAGTACCGAAATCTCGACACGAAAGCGGTGCGAGGGGTTCGCTCCAACGAGGGAAGGTTTTTCCCGCCCAGCGTTGATTCGGGGTGGGGCGAATATGTGTACTTCTGTGTGTTTCCAAAGGGTAAGATGGCTGTTCTCCTCGAATCGGACTGTAATCCTCTAATCTTAGCCCTCATCCAATCAGAAAACAAGCGGAAGAGCGACGATAACCTGGAGAACTCAACGGCCAAAACCAAACGCATCGAAACCAGGCTGCGGTGCACCGATCTCATTGTACTCGGCTTGCCATGGAAGACTAGCGAGGACAGCTTAAGGGAGTACTTCGAGAGCTATGGCGAGGTGCTGATGGCTCAGATCAAGAAGGACAACAAGAGTGGTCAGTCCAAGGGCTTTGGATTCGTGCGATTCGGATCTTACGATGCCCAGATGCGAGTGCTCTCCAATCGGCACCTGATCGACGGTCGTTGGTGTGAGGTGAAGGTGCCCAACTCCAAGGTGAGACTCATGGCCATATCAAGAGGCACAAACTAATAGTATTTCCTATTTTAGGGAATGGGCCATCAGGTGCCCTGCAAGGTCTTCGTCGGACGCTGCACTGAGGACATCAACTCGGACGACTTGAGGGAGTATTTCTCAAAGTTCGGCGAAGTCACTGATGTCTTCATTCCGCGGCCCTTCAGAGCTTTCAGTTTTGTCACCTTTCTCGACCCCGACGTGGCACAATCGCTGTGCGGAGAGGATCATATCATCAAAGGTCAGTTAATGGTTAATACAGAAGGGAAAGATCTCTAATTTTCTACTTCGATTAGGTGTCTCGGTGCATGTCTCGAATGCTGCACCAAAGGCCGAGCAGAACAGAAATAGCCAGGCCCAAAACTACAACTACAACTCAGGCAACAGCTTCGGCATGAACTCATACCCCCCACAGGGGAACCACATGAATGGTGGCCGCAGTGGACACCATCGAGGTAATAACCAGCACAACGTACACGGAGGTGAGAACTCAATCACCAATGGTCACAGCAATATTGGCGGTGGTGGTTACGGCATGGGTGGCAATAATTATGGAGGCAACTCGGGCGGGGGATATCACAATAATGGCAGCAATCACTCTGGCGGGAACCAGAATCGTCAGGATGGCGGCTCCTCCTACAATAGGCAGGCATTTCATGGAATGAACCAGCCGCACAACGGCAACGTGGGCGGCAGTAACGGCTGGATGAACCGGGGTCACTTGGATATGCCGAACTTGCAGGCGCTAGGCATCAATTCGCAGGGTTCCAGTTCATCGAACCAAGGTCAGAACATGAACAACCCACTGGGGGTTGGATTAAATTTGAACTCTTTGCCGATCAACCCGGCGCTGGTAGCAGCTGCCCTGAATCAGTGGAGCCTTGTCGGCAATCAGCTACAAAACCAGAACCAGGACCAGCAGGCAAGCCTACCAAACTCTATCAATGTTTCAAACAAAAAACTCTTCTAGTTACTTTCCAGGGAGGCAATTTTTTATCGTGGATGGCGCAGAACGGTCACAACGCCAACTACGGTGGCCGAAAAGGAGCGAATAACCAAAATAACTCTGGCGCTAACAATATGATTAAGACAGACAACTCCGACCAGCAGGTACTTGCATTAATCTCTTTGAAATATAACGTCGTACTTATATAATTGTTTTCATTGTAGAACGGCAACGCGGGATGGTCAAATCAGAGCAGCGGATCCCAAAATTCAGTTGAGAAGTCAAACTTTCTATGAAGGATACTTCGCTGATTTGTTTAGGCACTCGATCGAATGAGTGTTTTTGCGAATAACGTTGATTTAACCAAAACAAATGTAGCTTACTTAACTATATGAAATATATGTACTCTATATTTAAAAATGGATTAGAAGTGTATGTATTTAAGCATACTAAATAAACCTTTTTGTATTTAAGTGACACTAGAGAATTTTGGTCGACATCAGTGAAAATGAGAATGGAAACAAGTGTAACCATTTATTGTACTCTCTTCAAAATAAAATACACGCCAAAGCTCAAAAGAATTTCTTTTTTTCCTCGCTAAACCCTCGCTTTGATAAATAAATAAAAAAGCTCCGGTGTATACCAGCCTTAATTGTCCAGCCCTGGTATGTTTCAATTCCACGTTCCATTACGTATTTTTAAACCAACGGAAAAGGAGTTCAAAGAAGACGCAGTCAGTTCTTATTATTTGCAAATTTGCTAACGCAGTAGCTTTAGATTTGATTTAACTGAGCTAGAAATGAACCAGGTTATCCAGACCAAGTTCATTCCCCAGCAGCTGCTCTACTTTATTGCCGGACGCCGCTGCTGCCAACAATTCGCGTGCACCTACCGATCGACCGACCACGATGTGATCGTGAACTGTGCGCGCGCCTTGGGGCTTCGCTCACAGGTTGTCCAGCACAACGGCCAGAGCTGCGTAAAGGTCTTCAAGCAGGCATGTCGCCATTATCTGGAGGAGCCCAAGCTGTTGACATTGGCATCCCCCTCCCTGACCAACCTATTCACGCTAATGAGTCGCCTCACCAATTTGGCGAGGGAGGAACAGGAAATTATTCCCGAATGCAGCCCCTATCGCATCAGCGGATCTGATTTGCCCGTATTTAGCGTGGCCTTGCCGGCGATCCATCCACCGATGATTCGTTTCAAAACCGAAGCCCAGCGCAACTTTATAAACAGCTTCCCGGGCCTTCAACTCTCGAAGGATATACTCCAACTGACGTACGCGCATCGGGTGGTCGTGTTCAATGCTGATCTTTCGTGGGACAAGTCCATGTTTGTGCCTCTGCTGATTCTGGAGGATTGCGAAGTTAAGAAGTCGAATGTCAAGATAATGTGCTTAGAAAGGGAGGCCATCATTGCCACCTACAACAGTCACCGGATGGCGGAGTACTTCGGCGAGCAATTGGGCGAGACGGTGGGAATCCAACTACCGACCTGCAGTAAGGTCAGCACCAACACGCACATTATATTTTCGACGGCCCAGTACATGCTGCGATCGCTGGCCGGCGGGGAGAACTTCCACAACATCAGCCACTTTGTGGTGAACGATGTCCACCTGCACGATCCCTATACAGACATCTTGCTGACCGAACTAAAGAACGCGTTAAATTGTTGCATAAATCTGAGAATAGTGCTGCTCTCTCAAATGCCAACCGCTGATAAGTTCCTGGCCTTCTTTGAGGAGGGATGTGAGATGAATAGAACGGAAATATCGCAGAATGAGGTTCGGATCTCATTCCTGGAGGAAATACACAGCTGCATCGCCTTGGCGGGCATCCACAAGGGCCCAGATATATACAAGGACATGCCTGAAGTATTCCGGACCAAAAGTCAGCGCAACGAGCAGATGGACAGGTGTCTTCAGGCCTATGAAGAGTTGGGAACTGATACTGCCATTCGTCCCTTTCTGTATGCCATCAACTATGACCTGGTGCCGGTCAACTACCGCCACTCGGTGAATGGAAAAACGGCTGTTCTAATCGCCTCCCAACTGAACAACGCCAATCATCTTCGTTTATTGCTGTTCATGGGCGCCGATCCGTACATCGTGGATGAGCAGCAACAGAATGCCATTTCCTTGGCCGCCTCCAAGGGTAATAACGAGTGCATTGATGCCCTGAACAACTACAGCCTGCACGGATATGTGGTCAAGAATGCCAAGCCGGACTTTGTCGACTACGATCTCATAATAAACATTATGTTCCTGTTGCTCACGAAACCGGAGTTCTCGCCAGGTAAGTCATTTGCCAGTCTGGTACTGTTAGCTTTTGTAGTTCAAAGTTTCGCGGGTAGCTGGATCGAGGTTGTTTAGGGTTGGAAAACGCCGAAACTATCGGATGCATTGAGAAGCGTACCAGGTACGGCACCTATCGATTGCACCGCCTGGAATTTGGCATTGTTTTTTATAGAATCTAGAATCGGCCCAGAATGAGCACCTATCTGCAGAGCAGCGAGGGAAAATTTATCCCGGCAACCAAGCGCCCGGACGGCACATGGCGCAAGGCACGCAGAGTTAAAGACGGCTACGTGCCACAGGAGGAGGTGCCACTGTACGAGAGCAAGGGCAAGCAGATTGTGGCACAGCGGCAATCCGGGGTGCCGCCTGGCATGTGTCCTCTTATGGCCGCCGAGGCGAAGAAGGAGCGCGAGAAGCAGGAGCGCACCAGAGCCAAGAAGCTGGACAAGGATGTGGCGAGGAATTCCAAGGCACCAACGCCGGCTGTTCCAACTACGCCAGCCAGCACATCGCAGGCGCCAAAACCGAACCAACCCTCAAAAAGCCGGGAGGTCGACGCCATATCCAAGACTCTCGATGAAAAGCTGAAGCTAGATGCACCTCCCGAGATAGATGCTGCCAAGCAGCTGAAAAAGCTTCGAAAAAAAATCCGCGAAATCGAGCAAATCGAGACTAGGATCAAAGCTGGCGAGCAAAAGAAGCTCGACAAGGATCAGTTGGACAAGGTGAAAAAGAAGTCGGAGATCCTGCGCCAAATTAGAGACTTGGAGAACCATCCTGCCCAGCACCGATCATAGCCCTAAGTCAGAAGTCAGAATTCAACTTCCACTCTTTTAGCCAGAGCCAGAGCATTTGTAATGCTTGCCACTCACCTTGTAAACAGATCAAACATTGAGAGCCGCCTCTACACAAATAATACCTTAAATGCATACGTCTGTTACATAGTTATATTAGTTTTAGCCGAGATGTCAAAGCCATTTAGTAATTTTAAAAATATTTTATTAACGTCCGTCTGTCTTTAAAGTTTAAACTTAGTTTATACGAATGGAGGGAATGTCGAGTTTATTTATGTATAGGTAACTTTGTAAATCAAATTTAATAAATTAAACCCATTAAATGCAAACACTTTTGAACTATAAATCTAGTTTTATATTTAGTTTCTTAATTGTTTCTCAATTCTTTGTGTTTCAGGCAACATCCTTATTATATTGCCCACCTACTACCATATTGTTAAGCTTAATTATATGCTCCTGAGCCACTGCCTGACCGGCAACTTGCAGGAGATGTCGATTTTTGTGCTGCACGAGAACATGAAAATGGACTATATAGACGCCTTGGTCAAGGCTCGCTGCAACACCGTAAAAGTGGTCCTCACAACGGCGATAATAGAATCCTTGCCCCTGAAGGTGCCCTTCAAGTACCAAATCGACAGTGCCTGCCGGGTGACACCCATGTACGATAGCACCAACTATTCCATTGAAGATCGCTACGAGTGGGTGGCCAAAGATTGCCTGGCGCGAAGAGAGTTACTCCTGAACACTGAAGGTCAGTAGATCACTCAGTTCTCACGAAGATATAACCTTTTGAATATGATCTTCCTTTAGCTCCTGGTTCGCAGTGCTTTCGACTGATCTTCAAGGAGCGCTACGAAAGCGTGCCAGAGACGAGCCTGCCACCCCTTCAGACTATGTACTTGGACCGGATCTGTCTGTTGGTTAAGTTTCTGGCGCCCCATAAGATAATCGGGGAATATCTTCATTTTACCATTTCACCGCCACCGCTGATAAATGTTCACCATATTGTCCAGATCCTCAAAAAGATCGACGTGCTGGACGAGTATGAGGATGTCACCTGGCTGGGAGCCCGGCTTCTTGACATCCCCGTTCCCTGCCAGCTCGGTCGTCTGCTTGTCTTTGGCATTCTTCTGCAGTGTCTTGATCCTATACTCACCATAGTCAGCTCGCTCATGTCACCCGATCCATTGAGCATTCCGTACAACGAGGACCTTGACCATCTGTGGGACAGATTTACAATCTTCATTCAGAACCGCATCAAGAACGAGCGAGCCCGCTTAGCCGACAATCAGTTTTCCGATCACTTCATTTTCGTACGTTTATTTCAGGAGTGGCAGAGCGGCTTGAACCACAAGCTACCACCACTGCATCTAACCGATGAGTACGATTTCGTTCTGAATGGCGTGATGGAGCAACTCAGCAATACTCGGAACGAACTGGTTAGCTCCTTGCGGGCGGCCAATCTGGTCCATGGTCGGGGCCAGCTGAGCATGCAGAATCTGAACCTGATGTCGGGCAACTGGCACGTTGTCAAAGCCGCCCTGACTGGTGGCATGTATCCCAATATCTGTGCCGTCGATGTGGGAGCGAATTGTTTGAAATCCGTCTGGTGCTCTGGTGTTCACCTGCATCCCAACACGGTTTTGAGGGATTTCCTGGAACCATTTAATACATCTGCTCTGAATTTTCGCTCACCGTGGATACTTTGCAATAAACAAAGGAGTCACATATTGTACGCCACAGTGGTGGTTCCTCTGGCAGTAGCTCTGTTTGCGGGTAAGACAAGTATTTTTTATAAAAACTATATACACATATATTGTTCTAGGACCAACTAAACTTCGCTTGTCCCAAATATCGGACACCCAAACCAATTCACACGATCGCAACGTAAACATCTTCATAGATGAATGGATCTGGATGGTCATGTCCAATTCCAACGTCCAGCTGATCATGAAAACGCGTCAGAGCTTTTTTAAATTGTATTACGACTTGTTGAAATACTGCACCGATCATGACCGTTGGCGCCTTGATCCTGCCAACGATGTTAGTTTAACGCTGGTGGCCGACTCGTTGGCGAAGGTCTTTGAAAGCGAAGATTCCTCTTTTGGGTTCACCACACCGCCGCCCATCAACGATCGTCCCTGCATTAAGCTGCCTGGTTCGTATCTGCTGAGTGTCAATGCCCACTTCAGTTGGATCCGGGAGATCGAGGAAAGCGTACCCCTGTTTCAGAAGCCACAGCCATTCAACTCGCACTTCGTCGAAAGGCAGTTCTTTTTACTGCACACGGAGGAATCATCCGAGGACTTTTACGCCAACAGCTCTGCTGCCTATCTTGACAGTGTTTTGGGAAAGTTTGCCCGGCCCATCGAGTCGCCCAACAGGCATATTTTTGTAATTTTATACAGCAAGAATCCGGACGTAATGATCAGTGTTAGCCGGGCCAAGACCATCAAGGGAGAGTTCACCCTAAAGGAGTATTTTCGTAACAGCATTCCAGTGTATGAGATTTCGTAAGTACTTACAATACTCGGTTTATTCCTTCAATATCTAAAAAAAGGTTTAAATGTCCTTTCAGAGAAGCATGTGTTTCGTTGAAAGTCAATGTTCCAGTGTTTGATGGACGCTTAATGTCGTGTCTCATCGACAAACGTGTCGGGAATATAATAATGCATCTGTTTGCATTCCGACATCATTGGATTCATTCGCGATAAGTAGGGTTTTAGAGGTCTGAGGACAAAACCAAAATGCCTCCCTAAGTAATTAAAAAATCGTGCCTTTTTATATTATTATATTTTTTATTTTAAGCCAAGATTGATTATCGAATCGTATATCATTTTGTAACCATTCCTTTCTATGCTTTTAAGCATTCAAAATTATGTATTTTAAGAGAATCATAATACCCATTGTGTCGCTGCGAAAATGTATCCATTCATTGAATAAAACAATAAAAAACATAAGTTTATGGCCGTTTATTAAGCGTCTGTATGGAATTTTCGAGTTACACATAGTTAACGCTCCGTAAGGCACTATTAATATCATTAGCGACAATACAAGTCGCATAAAATAGATTGACGATGCCGGATCACAGCCCGCGAGTAAGGTCTGGTCCGAATTTATGGTAGTTAGGTACAGCGCTGTATATTTCTATAAAAAATATTCGAGATTAGTACAGAGACGGACATCTACACAGAAATGATTCATTTTTTCTTGATTCTTAGCCTAGGTGGGTTGGTAAATCGAAACTCAATGGCACCCGCACGATTTCACAATCATGTTTCTATACTTTTTCAGGTTTACGTTCTCGTCGTTCAAATGATACAGCACTGGCAGGGCACCCAGTCGGGTGGGTGCACAGCAGGGCTTCGGCACCTTCTTGGGTTCCATCAGGTGGACCAGGGTCTGGACGATAGCATGGTTGGTGGCGTTCATATGGGCGTTGAGCGGAAAGTTGCACTCGCCGCTGCAATAGAACGCTCCATACCCTTCCGGTGCGATGATCCAGTCGTGCCACAGCAGGTCCTTGAAGTCTATATACAGGGTGTGCATCTGGCAGCTGCGCGTGCTCTCTATGGGAACGTTTTGCAGAGGATTCATGTTCGTAGACACCGACTTCTTACGCTTAGGTTGGTGGGTGGCGCTGCGCTTACTCCTGTGGTGGCTACTGTGGGCATTGGTCTTGATCAACTCCGGTCCACGGAAAAAGCCGATCATGAATGGCTGGAACTCGTCGTCGGCCTTGCGGTGGATCAGCCCGATATCGTCCAGCTTTACCTCCCTATCCGGTCGGTTCACAGCATGGGCACCGATGTAGATGCCGTGATTTTCCTTGGATTTAATAAGCCACTCATGAAGTCCCTCCGTAACGTTCATCTCCAACCATCCAACGTAGTCGCCGGTGGTGTTCACCGAGGATAGTGGCTCCATGGTGCGCTGTCCGAGAGTTCCGGTTCCAATGGCGTATACCGTGATGGTAAATTCTTTGTTTGTGGTCATCCACTTGCCCTCGTTGGAGTTTTGGTAGAGGCGCAGTTCGGCCATCACCAGGTAATCGTCCACAGGCACGTTGGAGACGTCAAACCAAAGACGTCGTCCGTGCTCGTGGCGGAGCTCGTCTACGTTGTGGTTGCGCTTGTTGAGGAATGTCATAATGATGTCACTCTCGTCGATGGCTCGCTTGTCTAGATCGGTAATGAGATTTTTTGCCTCGCCGTTGTCCTCCTCCAGATCGAGACTGCGCTTGGAGCGACGGTTACGCCCATCCTCGTCCTGGTCACCGGCCAATCCCTCCTCTGCCGTAATGCGGTGGTAAACGTCGAGCAAGAACTTGGGGGCAGACTTCCTCAGCGACAGTTGGTGGCTGCTCAGGCGGGTGGGCCGGTCGGCGATGCCCAGGAACTCGAGTATCTCATACGACACGTCTAGCTTGTCGTCCTCACTCAGGACTCGTTGCATGATCGTTTGATCCCTGCCATTGTCCACGTAAATGCCGGACTGGGTGGCTTCGATCGCAATCGGTGTCGTAGCCAGGAAAACGGTTAGAATCAATCCAAGGCCCATGGAAGCCAGAACCGCAACGACCTCGGATGTATTTCGCAGATGCGACAGCATGGTTAAACCGGACGGATTGTATCTGTACACAGTGTTTTGGGCTATCTACAAGGCCTATCTATTCTTCGATGGCATTTAGTTGTTAATGATTTACTTTTCGGTTTCCAGCGAACCGCAGGTTCTGAAAATTCTGACGCACTTGTGTTGTACAGATTGTTGTGTGTATCTTAATCTTGAAGATGCATTTTCTTTGTGTTCTTCGCAGGTTGGCAGGGCGATCTTCAGGGCTGCAGAAGAATAAAAGGCGCCATTGTACAGGTTTTTTTTTGAGTATTTATGAAATTTATGAAAAATGTACAATAAAAAGTGTAAAATAATGAGAGTTAAAACATCTTCTATTTTTATTTTTAAGATTTTAATTTATTCTTTTAATATTTAAATTCTGGAATATATGTTAAAATATCGATATATCGATTATTATTATCACGGTTTCACCACCACTAGCTTCTGAGAAAGTTTCCTACCCCCTGATCCCCGCCAAACATTTTTATCATTCCGTTTCGGAGTCCCCCCGCGATAAGCCTTGTTTACTCGTTTTAGATTTAAGTTTACGCGTCCCAAGCCCCGCCGGTGTGTCGCCCAAATAATGCAAGACACAGAATAGAGCAACGGTGAGCCAGCTTCCCTGCACTCTAACCTCGAACGAATAAGTGATTTCCATGGATTTCCAGGCAAAGGCAACAAGAAGTACAAACGCAACAGCAAGAAACACAAGAGAGACATGGGCCGCAGCCGAAGTCCCGCCTCGCCGGCACTGAGAAGACGCGAGAAGGAGCGCTCCGAGCGCAAGAAACGCCGGGAACGCCGCTCCAGGGAACGTGAAGCCATCGGAGCTGGCGGCGGTAGCAGTCGCCGTGAAAGGGAGCGAGAGCGGGACAGAAGTCGCAGCCGGGAGCGGGAGCGAGAACGGGACCGGGACCGAGCGAGGGGACGGCGATCTAGGTGAATAACAAAGTGTAGTGTACCAAACCACCAAGCCATGATAAGTATAAAACTAGTCTAAGAACATCGTTTATGCTAAGGGGCGGGGGTGGCCACTGGCCAGCCTCCAAACATGTTTATTTATTCGTGGCGCGTATCGATAGGGCCGGTTTCGATAGGCAGTAATCGATGGTTTAGCAGCTCTGCCCCACTAAAAATTACCACGTGAAGTGAAATTGCGAATTTCATCACGAATTTTAAACAGTTTCTTGGACTTATAAACCAAATCCCAGTGCTTCAAACGAACAGGCTTAGTCAGGCCGAGCTACCAGTAAAGAGAGAATCCAAGCAAGCCCAGAGAAACCAGTACCCACAGAGAAATGGCGCTCCGCGTGCAATTCGAGAACAACGACGACATCGGCGTCTTCACCAAACTTACAAACACATACTGCCTTGTGGCCATTGGCGGTTCCGAGACCTTCTACAGTGCTTTTGAGGCGGAGCTGGCCGAGACTATCCCGGTGATACACGCCAACGTGGGCGGCTGCCGCATCATTGGTCGCCTCACTGTCGGCAACAGAAACGGGCTGCTGGTGCCCAATTCCACCACGGACGAGGAGCTGCAGCACCTGCGGAACAGTCTGCCCGACGCCGTCAAGATCCAGAGAGTGGAAGAGCGTCTATCAGCCTTGGGCAACGTCATAGCTTGTAACGACTATGTTGCTCTCGTGCACCCAGATCTAGACAAAGAGACTGAGGAGATCATCGGCGACGTTCTGAATGTGGAAGTGTTCCGTCAGACCATTGCTGACAACACGCTGGTGGGCTCCTATACGGTTTTGAGCAACCAGGGCGGCATGGTGCACCCCAAGACAAGCATACAGGACCAGGACGAACTGTCGTCCCTGCTGCAAGTTCCCCTCGTGGCGGGAACTGTAAACCGAGGCAGTGAAGTGCTCGCTGCCGGCATGGTGGTCAACGACTGGCTCTCCTTTGTGGGAATGAACACCACCGCCACTGAGATTTCCGTGATCGAGAGCGTCTTCAAGCTAAACCAGGCACAGCCGGCCACCGTGACAACCAAATTGCGAGCGGCCCTGATCGAGGACATGTCCTAAGGCTAGGATTCTTTCCACCCATATCCAATCCTTTATATAAGCTTACTTGTTATCTTCTATAAAATGTCATCTAAGAGCGCCAAGCTAAATACAAAACAAAATTTCAAAGAACGCGTAGAGCTGCTGCCATGAAGTACTTTATTAATAAGTTAGTCTGGGATACCCTACATAAATAATTAAAATTGGTCCAGTTTTCTGGTTTCAAATCAGATGTACATATACCTTTATTATTACCATTTACAATCGAATTTTAATGAAACCTCTAATGAAGCTGTCCAACCGGTTGCCCTTCCTTAATTAAAACTTCAAATTGCACCATCGAGTGCAGAATTTTGAAGGTCGCCCCAGTTATTCCCAGGCTCATTGCAATTTGAATGCAATTCACCCGCCATTTCATCACAGGAATCTGTCACTCACTCATTCACTCGCTCAGTGAGAAGAATATCAAAATTCAAAAACTCACAATTGGCTATTCATGAATTTTGCAGATCGCGCTCGAGGGGCGCCGGAGGTGGCGGTGGCGGCGGAAGTAGCAGCAGCGGACCATCGACATCCCGGCGAACGACGAGGAACAATGCAGCAGCTGCCGACCGGCCCAAGATCAACGAGGCCGATTTGGAGGGCAAGTCGCCGGAAGAGGTTGAGATGCTGAAGACAATGGGATTCTGCACGTTCGACACCACCAAAAACAGGAAGGTCGAGGGCAACGATGTCGGAGAAGTGCATGTAATCTTAAAGCGAAAATACCGTCAGTATATGAATCGCAAGGGTGGCTTCAACCGGCCGCTCGACTTCGTTGCCTAGCCAGCAGTCCCTGGCCGAATCCTTAACCTCAGCCCAACTAGTTTGCTACGCTTTTTTACTTGTCCGTACGCCGCCTGGCGACGGACGAAGACCTGCAATTTTATGCAATAGACCGGTTTACGAAATTCTGCCAGTTTTTGGCCCAATCAAAATTTCCACTCACCATGCAAGACCTTTTGCAAGACAGCCCCTAACTGTTGTCTGCGACACTCATACCTCAATTAGTTATTTAGTAGTTTAAGCCTGAAGTGCGAGTGCGCTTTTTGTTATAAAATTAGCCCTGGTTAATTTTACAACAAATATCTGGGGCCGAAAGCAAGTCCAACCAACCAACCCGAACAATGGTTGGGTAGGGAAAAGTATGCTTTTAGCTGCAGTTACAACGCACCACGATTGCTTTTTGAATATTTCAAAGTAATTAACAATTGTTTTTGTTGACATCTCGCCATTTTGTACGAATACGAATTAACTGAAGCCAGCCTGAGACCGAAATTCACAACAGCAAAATTTCCAAATGCACACACAGACAATTACTTAAAGTATTTGAAAACCACACCACAAACTCAATGAAACCTCAACCTATCCACAATCCACAATCCTTGTCCCAATCCTTTTCCTCCATGAACCATGAACCAACAAACTTCCTCCATACGCTGCAATAGTACAAGTTTTACAACCAAACCAAAATATATATCAAATATATATTTTATATATAAAGAAATTATAATATACACACACACACACACCACAAGTACCTTATCCCCGATACCCCAGCAACATGAACCTAACAATAGCCATAGCAATTTGTTGAAAGAAATATTATTTGTTTAACAATCAAAATGTTGTAATTAAACCAGTTAATTTCGATTTAAATCACAAGTGCCAACAGATCAGGCAAAGATCAGACAACGCTGAAGATGAATCACGTTTTATAAAGATATAAATACATATATGTATGTATAATCATCTTGTACTCTTTTTATATGAATATACACAACAGGTATAATGCAACAAGCAGACTATTTTAAGCAATAGTTACTACCCTTTTTTTTGATTTCGGAAACCATATTAAAACAAAAATTAAAATTTTGGCCAACACCCACACACTCTTACCATTTTCTAGATTTACGTATATAACGAAATTGCAGGGATTTTTTTCTTATTTTCATAAACTCCTACAATGTACTAATAAATTTGTGAAACTATATTTTGTGTTTTTACTTTATTGGGTAAATAATAATAGACAAATATTTGTATGATTTTTTTAAATAGTTTATTTTGTAATACGAAAATTTAATACAATTTGCAATTTGATTGAAATTCAATTACAAATGAAATGCTTACACTGAGAAATTATTCATTATTGTGAAGAAAATCGATATGAACACAAAATACGATGCTTGGCAAAACGAATATGAAAATGTACGACTAAAATTAAATTTATTTATTGTTACGTTTTTATCGCGTTATAGTATATAATTTTTGTTTAAGACGTTTTAGAAATACATGAGTCGCCAACTCGGCCGGACAACGCCGGATTCTGGCTAGGATTAAGTGCAGGCAAAACAGGTTAAACAATCAGTTTTGTGCGAAATGCAGACAAATCTGCTAAAACAAGATTTTAAAGAGGTTGTGTTTTTGTTTCTCGATTCTGTGTTAGTCTTTTTGTTGCCGCTTCTGATCGCTAAGGCTGATCCCGAAGAATCTTGCTGAATCTAATCACCCTTTCGGGGCTTGCGCTTTCGCACTGGCTCCGCCTTTTCAGGCGCAGCGTCTCCAACTGGCTTGGGTTCAGGCTCCTCGGCTTTCTCCGGCTCACTATCGGCATCCTTTTCCTGTGAGGCAACATCGCCGGGCTGCTCTTCGCTGTCCTCTTCTTCATTGTCCTCCTCATCGTCTTCATCTTGCTCCTCCTCGTCGCTTTCTTCGTTCTGGTCCGCCTCGCCGTCGTCAACAATCTCCTCCGTGGCCAGGTCCTCGACGCCGTCGGCAAGGTGTTCCTGCGACTCGGAGAAGCTCTGACGTTGAGATTTCTTGGGTGGATACACAAAGTCCACAAGGCACACAAGCATCAGCCCCAAAGCGGCGCCGACAAAGATGGTTGCAATGGCGAAGAGGGCATAAGAGCCCCAGGTGGGCAGTCCATACTCTTCCTGGAGGCGCCCGTTGAAGTCCTTAAAGAGTTTTTGCGTGTGCTATTAGTACATGAAATAACAGCATACGAAACAAAAGCGGAGACCAAAAGTAATGAGTCAATTAGCGAATGGGAATACGCGGTAAAAGGCGGGTCATTCGAATGACACCACTGATAAGCTTCCGCTTCTGTCTCATGCAATGAACTTATGTAGGTGATAAACGGGATAGGTGAACGTACCTTCAGAGTGTGCGATAACTTAAAGAAATAGGACAGCACGGACATGTGGAAGGTGTCGGGCTTCTTCCAAGCGGAAAGCGGTTCAATGCTCTCCCACTGCTTCTTCTTAACGAAGAATAACAGAGCATCGCCATCCCGTGCGCCTCTATACTGTCTGAACTCTCCATCCTTAACGCTGTAGAGGATTACAAACGGATTAAATGACCTTCTTAATGCAAGGATTCTATGGTCTCACTGATAGATGGTCGGCAGAGCCGTCACAAAGAAGCGGCCGCTTAGCGAAGGCGAGGTTGTGACATCGATCTTGGCCACTTGGACTTGGACATCCTTGGCAACGCGAGCGAATCGCTCCCAGGTGGGAGCAAGATTTTTGCAAGCCGGGCACCACGGAGCAAAGCTATAAATATAAAAAGATAGCACTTCGTCAGAACCGCTGCATCTGTGATGAGTCATCAACAGAGAAAAAATAGTGCGACATTCCAGAAAACCAGCTTTCCGGGCTTCTGCAGCCGGCGTACCACGCCCCGTCTGCGTTACGTCGAGGGAGGGGGAGAGGAGGGGAGTGTCTCTGGACCATTGTTTCACACTCACAACTCGATCATCCATTCGCCCTCCAACATGCGGTGCCAGTTGTCCTCGTCCAGCTCAATTAGTTTGCCACCTGGCTGCACTCCTGCATGTGTCGGGGACTGCGCCAACGCCGCCTGCGCCAGAAGTACCGCTATGACACATGACACGGCCACAAGGTGCGATTTTCGCTGCATTTGACTTGTGTATTTTCTCGTCGTTCTGTTCTGACGTGTGTATATTGGAGTTGATCGTTGCTTCAGCAATCCTATACTAAATTAAACTAAAGTTTGACTTATGTTCAAAAAAAATCCAAAATTCCGACGCCGACTTATGGAAAATTGTCTCGTCTTCTTCTTCTCGATATTAGCCAAGTATCGAATGGATGTATTCGATAATCGATTAAATTTTCGTCCACCACCAGACTACCACAAAGGAAACAAAAGTGTATCAACACAACAAAAACAAAATTTGCCAATTGGAATATTTCTGGTGCTCCATTTGCTCCTGCGTAAGATGGCCCATAACTACCTGCAGCCAGTGCACAATCATTTCGACGACAAATTCGATGACGTGGACGACGACCTGTTTCTGCAGAACAAGCGCACTGGAACACCCAAAGTCCCTCAGCCGAGAAGCACTAATCCCTTCGAGATCGAAGATGACGAGGAAGAGGCAGCCTGTTCGCCGTCCATGACAGCGGAGCAGCTGGCGTACGCAGAGAGAAGACGAGCCATCGAGCAGCGTACTCTGGACTCCACCAACAAAAGCTTGAGTAATAATTGATGGGGGCATAGGCTAAACAATAAAGGGGCGTTGCTCATAAGGTGTCTGAAATTTACAGGTTTGCTCTACGAAACACAAGAGGTGGGCAAGGCGACGGCTGTTGAGCTTGCCAAGCAGCGAGAACAGTTGGAGAAGACCTCCCATCAGCTGGACGAGATTAACGCCACTTTGCGCTTCAGCCAGCGTCACCTCAATGGCCTCAAAAGTGTCTTTGGCGGACTGAAAAACTACCTCTCAGGCAATCGGGACCAGCCACCATCGGCTACTGCCTCGCCCACCGCTAGTCAGTCGTCGCAGGAAGCTAATAGTAACATTAATGAGGGAGCATGCGGCGGAGTAGCATCTCCCGCTCCATACTCTCCAACGGATCCTTACGACAATCATCCAGTTAGCCGCTTGCGAGGAGATCCAAGCAGTACCTACCAATCTCAAGCTCAGGCAAGCAATCCCTTCCAGGCCCAAATTGACGCCAATCTGGAGGAGATGTGTGGCAATCTGTCGGACCTGAAGCTATTGGCCCTTGATTTGGGCAGCGAAATCGAGTCGCAGAATGAACTGATTGATAATATGAATTACAAAATTGAGGATGTGGACCTGAAGATGAACAAGCAGAACAAGGACATGAGCAAACTGCTCAAGAAATGAACATGGCTCGTTATATCATATTGTTTAATGCTTTCTTAGAGTAACACCTTTAATATACAAATCATAGTCATAACCTGCATATACTGTTCCTGGCAGAAAACCCCTCAAGGCCATTTCAAAAGCATTCCTCATTGTGTTTTTTAGTTTTTCTTGTTATATTCCCCAAATATTCTTTCCTTGAAATACAATGGTTGGAGAGTGTTCAAATTGAAATAAAATCTACAAACAAAGGAGCTCTGTTTTCTAAAAAGACGCAATAATTTCTCATACTTTTGTGTCTGCTATCAAGAATGCTGCTACAGCATTTCTAATATTTATTTATTTTAATTGAGAGTCTGATGACTCATTTCCTTTGTATCTTTATATCTGCACATGTTCGTCATATATCCGGAAACTGAAATTTAAATAATGTATTAAAAATAAATGAATGAATATTATAAACTCTGATTTTAGAAACCTTAGAAACCAAAGCATAAAAAATCATAGCTTAAAAGAATCAGTTTCGTAATTCAAAAAGATTGGGCTTTATCGGATATCGATTACATTGATCAGTGTTGGTAAGGATCACGATATCAAGTTCTGTCTCTTTCGCAACACATCTCTGGACAGGTACGAACCTTGCGCGCATTCTCAGAAACTTTATTTAACTGCGTCATACGAAATTGCGTGTCGAAATGGACGAGCCCTACTATCCTACCAGCACCCAGCTACTTAAGAAACCTTTGACTTTTGCGTGAGTAGGACGATTTCTGCTAATCCATAAACACGTGCAGTAACATGGAAACTTTATCCCTTTCAGCGACCTTGTGAAGGAAGGATGCCAATTCGAGGTGGACTTGAGGGATAGCCGACGGTCCACAGATGACTTCCTGGGCCATGGTAGCGACGACAGTGATTTTGAAGATGCCATTGACGTGGATACCGAAAAACTGATCTCCCCTTGGACTCGGACCTTTGACGAATTGCGCTGCTTGATGGATCCCATAAATGACTTCTTGTACAAAAGAGTCACACGCCAGGGGCACTTGGACCGTGAAGTTGTACCGGAAAGAGCCCGAGTAGGTGTGCGCTATAGTGGCTACTGGGAGGGCGAGAACGCTCCGTTCGATTCGTCCCTGCTGCGCGGCACGAAGTTTGAGTTCGTTACGGGCCAGTGCCAGGTGATTGAGGGGCTCGAGGCCGCCGTGCTTACTATGCGTCCTTATGAGCAGGCAGAGTTCATTATTTCGTACAAGTTGCTTTTTCGGGAGCTGGGCTGTCCGCCACGCATAAAGCCAAAGGCTGATGGACTCTTTAGGGTCGAGGTAATCGACTACTCGCTTATTGGAGACGCCGAGGCGGCTGATGGAATCGCCAAGGAGGATCGTGACAAGTTCTGTGTCGTGTATCCCAAAGTCCAGGAAATACATTTGCACGGCAAGGATTGCGTGAAGCGCGGGCGCTATCAATATGCTGCATCTTCATTCGAAAAGGCTGTCAACTCCTTGAACTATTGCCGATTGGCCAACGAGAAGGAGGAGGAAAAGCAGACCCAAATGCTGATTACTCTATACGTATGTATTAATAATGATTCTTCTTATATTTTGTTACCAATAATCCATTCCTTAGCAAAATCTGATGATCTGCTACAACAAGATCAACAAGCCGCAACGCGTGTGCATCATAATGAAGGCAGTGCGCCGACTAACCGAGAACAATCCTTCTTGCAAGGCCTTATTCCAGGAGGGTCGGGCCCTGTTGACCTTAGGAGAGTATGAACAGGCTCGCATCTCCTTCTTGAAGGCACAGAAAATTCAGCCCTCCAACCACGAGATTAACAACGAGATAGTCAATTTAGAAAATAGAATTACAAAGTATAAAGATGCTACACGCGATTTGTGGACGCGTGCCTTGTCTTGTAGAAAGGAACAGCCCAAGACTACTGACACCGATCTGATCCAGGATGATAAGGATAAGGCGTTCGTAAAGGACATTGAAGAAATAATCGAGCAGTTTAAGAACTCGGCTAGTGTGTCTACCGATTTAACACGATCAATGTATACTGACAAGCAGTTTAAAATATTTCGTCATTTGCTGAAGGATCATGATATGAAACTGACTTTGTCACCAATTCAGGAGGATGTTTTGACGCTCTCAAAGCTAAGCATCGAATGAAAAGCCATTTATATTATTATCAAGAATCTCGAATGAAATCCAAATATTGCCTTATAAGATTTTGTCTTAATTTCACTTAATTTAGAATTAGCAACATACTTTATACATTACGAAAACGTTACTAAAAGTTTTAGTATCTTCAGTTCCTTGAAATGATATCTTATACCAAATATGAATTATCCTTATCGACTATGTTGTAAACGAAACACTAATTTTTGTTTTCTTAGTATTAAATGAATCGACACTAAATAAATGGAAATTACTATTGTTTATTATTGAAAACTTGTTACAGCCTAATTATTTTTCACTTTTCATTTCATTTGCCAGCTGCCGATGTAGGCAGCCCAAGCAGGCACAGTCTTTGACATGGTATGATGGATCCAAAACATGAACCTCCTGCAGCTCGAAGCTACTCGAATCGTAAGTGGTTGTTTTCGACTTTACGCAGTTGAAGTACAAGCAGGAGCACACCATCATACCTGAGGATATAAAAACATCAGCGCTGTTTTTATTTTCAATGATAACCCACCTATAGATATAATCCAAATAAAGAACAGCAGTAGTGGGCACACGATATGGCTGACTGTGGAAAGTTCTGCATCGCTGAGGCTTCCATTTCCTCGGTATACATCCAGGACCTTTTGCATCAAGGTTTCCATGTTGTGGCTAGCATCGACCGCCAAACTGAGAATTTCTAATTGAAGAACAAACCATAAAGAGTACGCAGACATTTTCAATGTTCTTCAGAAGTCTGTGCCTGGACAACTGTTGTTAGCCATTGGCTTTATTTTATTAACTTTAAGCTTTATTTTTGCAATACATTTGTCTTCAAACAGGTGTAGATTAATAAACAATTGTGGGGCCCTAATCGAAGGGTTCTCGGCGAATCAAGTGTTTGATTATTACTCCATGGTAGCACCTTTCTCTTTAAGTTTGAGGAAAGTATCTTTGGCGTTTTGGACAACCAACACAGTTATTTTGGCATCTGGTGAGATTAAAACCTCATTGAACTTGGTGCGAACCCGCAGAAGGGTTAGGGTTTGAGGTGGTTCCATTTTGGAGAGGAATGCCTGGCACTTTTCCCGCAAGTTGTCGTAGAGACAAGCATACTGCAGTCCCTCCTGACGTTCCATTGACGTTTTGACAGGCACGCCCGAATGATTCATGATGAGTATGTCCTCCACGCCAGGCTTGGCCTGAATTTGGCTAAACACTTCGTCGACATATCTCTTTGTCCGCTTGGGCTATGGAATTAGTGAGGGATTAGAACGTGGACTAAGAGTGGTACCCCTTTTTACCTCATTGTCAACTGCCTGCATGTTGTTTTATTATGTTTTCAGTTCTTTATATTTATATTACTATTCAAAGTATTTGCTTAATCAAAAAATTCTTGGGTTACTTGGCTGTTACTTTATTTTTAAGATCTATAAAATAAAGAAAATAAAAGATTGTACAACTTAATTGGCACAAAATCCATCGACAGCCCTAGTGCACCATTTATACTCGACGCCTTTTTTTCCCAAAGCCATGGGAATATCCATAAGGGTCACTAACAATACCAGTATACCAAAGATCCTCAAAGACATTGCACTGGGTAGAAACTCCAAATTGAATGATTTGGATCTTTTTTTAAGGCAAGTTTACAAATTATACACACTTTAAAATAAATAAAACTGTAACCAATTCATTATTTGCACATATTTACGTATTTGGGGTAAGAGTTTTAACATTTTCATATTTATTATATTCGAAAAAAAAGAGTTGAATATTTTGAAGCCTTAAAAAAAACTGAATAAATTTAATTAAAAAAGAAAAGTAAAAAATATAATATAAAAGTAATAGTGACGATTCGAACCCTAACCCTCAGCGACAGTCTGAGTTTTCTAGTCGCGCACTCTAACCACTCGACCATTGACAAGGCCGTCGAGGGCGCGGAGAAGTCTGTGTTTTGTTCGGGCGACACGACAAGGTATATAGATTATACTTCTTTAGACGACTTGATGTAGTTCTGCCGCATGTAGAAAGGGCGTTTTCGTGGTGCTCAGCGTAGAGCGGCGAGTCAATAATTTCCATGAAATTGCCGGTTCAAAACGCGCTATCGGTATAAAACTTAAAAAGCCCCTCTCTTTGGCCGGATTAATTTAATTGTAGTTAATGCCGATTATGCGAGAGGAGGCAGATCAGAATATGGTGGGAATTCGCCTTCGGTGCCCATAACGGTCTCTTAAATCCGCGGGATTACTATCATCCTTGTTTCTCACCACAACTTTTTTTTTAAATAAAAAAACTCTTTAAATTTTTTTGTTAAAACCCATAAATATTTATTATGAATATTGTTTTTCCATTCTTATTGTTACATTTTAACATAGTTATATTTAAATTATTTCCGATTACTTTTTTATGTTTGGCATCTTTGGAATATGTTGTAGTAATGACTTATAATTTAATTTTGATATAACATATATTTTTGATTACCAGAACAGCAAAGATTTTATACATTTATTTTAATAAGATATTCTGTATACATAATCCGGCCCTGGCTTAAGCAATTTGTGGGTTTGTATTTTTTAAATGAGAAATGAAATTATTTTATCATCTTCCACTTTAAAATAACTATTTTTAACCTTTTTTCTGTTTGTATTTAGAGGATGCTAAATGTTTTCTTAAAATGCATAAACTGAATACGTTTTCCGCTTAAGTCTAAATTATTCCGTTTGCACTTTTTATGGATATTTATTGTTGATCATGCACAATTATAGATTTATCTGATTTTTCTGTGTACACTGAACTGGTGGGTTTGTGGTTGAAGGTTTCTCATACATATATTTTCGGGTCGTCAGAAGGATATGAATTACATTTATTAAATTACTTGTCTAGTGCTTTCCAGGTTCTTTGAAATATTTTTTATCTATTCCGTTTTTATCCCAAAATCTTATATAAAATTTGAAGCTCCTCTGTTTGGGGTTTTAAAGTAAACTCTTCTTACTCTAGATTATTATTCGCCAATTAAATGTTAAAATTATAATTATTTTGTCCAATTTTTTTATCGAATTGACAGTTATTCTTTTTGCTTGGCTACTCTTGGCTAATTTTCGATTTGAGCTGTTGCGGCTTTACGATTTTTAACATTCATCTCTGACTCTGTGTGAATTATAATTTATACATAATTATATTTCTTTTTTTTTGGTTTTTTTTAACAGCCATTAAATAGTTCCTAATTAATATTTTTGATAATTTGCTTAGGAGAGAGTTTGTCATTATCATGGTGACAGGTACACATCCATTTAAACTAACAAACATGCAACATCGATGGCCTAATTATATTCCACATACATAGATGTTGTTATATGTCTGGTTTAAGGTTTACGGTTCTAGGATCTAGGTTCTAGGTACATATGCAATTAGGCTTGTGTCACAGCTACTGCGCTAAACAAACAACAACAACGAACTCAAATTACAACATTTTTTTCGACTAATATATATATTTATATTCCTGTTTCCAATTGCTTAACTTACATCTTAAGTATGTTTGACACAAAATTGAAAATTATTTTGAGCCGGAGCAAATAATTTATCACACATTTTTTGGGACGAAATCAAAAGTGTCATGAATTACAGATTTAATAATAATTTCAACAACGTTTTATAAATGTATTAAATTAGGGATAACTGATACATATCTCGTAAATAATTGTTTTGTTAAGGTATATTGATTTTATCAACTAACTACAGGTACAAACACGTATATTTCAATATATATATTTAGTATATTTTCAACATGAATACACAACAATGGTTATATAAATTGTAGAAATGTACTTTTTAATTATTGTTTTTATCCGGTTATCGGGTATCTCGTGAGCATTTTATTTTCTTAGCTTCAACTTAGTGTTGACCTACTCCACACACATAAAACATTTCTAAATACTTTTGTCGCTTAACTATACAAATGCAGACAAATCGGTATTTGTTGCAACTTGATTAACATTTAGGTACATGAGTCTCTCGTTAGCATAGAAAACATAGATTACAGATTGAGCGCACTATATAGATTTACAGATTTTAAGGACTACATTTTCCGGGTTTCGGGTTCCGCGTTCCGGGTTCCGGGTGATGTCTGTTCTGTATACAACTCCTACGCATTATAAACAAATGTAAAATCCCATCGACGTTAGGCTCTGTTTTCTTTCCAAAATATTCTTAAAAATATATATACTGTAGAAAAAAACCAATCAAATGACATCTCTCATTTGTATAAATAGATTAGTTATAATCCTTGTATATTTTTATATAAATTTATATATATATATTTTAAAACTGAACGTTTCCATTGCACTTTCAACATTGCTCTCGAATTACTTGGGTCACTACTACGATCCGTGGTGGACAGTACACACAAAATGATTCACTTTAATCAAATAAACAACAACAACAGGATCCTGTTCTAAAGTCTACGTTAACTTGTTCGGTAATTACGATCGAGTCTTTCGTCCTTCCCTTTGTCCATCCATACGAAATTAGGTTTTGGGGAACAGCTATCCCCACACTGATGTTCGATAAATAGGTACTTTTGTATAGGAAACATGAAGGTTCATTCTTCTCTTCGCCACTTTGTCGCCTTTGCCAATCCAAATGATAAGTTTAAAAATAATATATTTTGTTTCTTTTGCATAAATAGTCTCCTAATTAGACTACGAATTTACAGCTTAACAGGTTTGTTTAGTTTTTTTTTTTTGTTGGCAACAGCTTTTGCTGTCCTAGCTCGATAGAAACACACACTTACACATTTATATACGTTATATATACTTATAAAAATAGTGTTCGATATCGGGAACTACAGGCTCAACCACTTTTTTTTTACCTTAATCTGGATTTTTGAATAGAGATTCTTACTTTTTAGTTGCAGTTGCTGATGAATTGGCTTTCGTTTTGGCCTGGCTGCCCGATGTTGTTGCTGTGTTCTTGCCGGTGGTTGCTGCTGTTGCTGATGATGTTGCTGCCTTCTTGCTGCCTGTTGCCGGTGATGTTGTTGCTGCTGACTTGTTGCCGGTGGCTGGCATTGACTTAATATTTGTAGCTCCTTTTGTGGGGCTGGTTGCCCCGGTTTTTATGGGTTTGGCCGCCGCCTTTGTTGGACTTGTATCCTTGCTTTTTGTTTTTCCGGCTTTTGTATTTATAGCCGGTGTGTTGCCCTTATTGCTGGATGTGGTTGCTGTTGGCTTGGCTTCTGGCTTAAATGTTGATAGAGGAGCTGCTGGCTTTGTGCCAGAATCAATGTTTACTTTTGATGCAGTCACTGATGATGCCGGCGCTGTGGTTGCTGTTGACTTTACCGGAGCCACCGCGGCCGCAATATTTGCAGCACTCTTGTCCTTTGTGCCTGCTATACTATAAGTCGGTTTAACTGCAGTTGCTGTTGCAGTGCCAGCTATTGTCGGTTTAATTGAAGCTGATTTCTCTGATGCTTTACCTAGAGCTGAAAGCTGTGTTTTTTCGTTTAAAGTAGCAACTGTTGCTGTTGGAGTTGTTTTGGTATTCAAGGATCCACTAGCAACTGTTGCTGTAGGCATAGTACCTTTAGAGGAAGGCACCCCTCCTGTATTAGTTGCTGTTGGTGTTGCCTTGCTGTTTGACGAACTACTGGCAACTGTTGCTGCTGGAGTTGCTTTGGTATTCAAGGATCCACTAGCAACTATTGCTGCTGGCGCTGCCTTGGATGCAGTGGGTCCACTGGCAACTGTTGCTGCTTTCGATTTAGCACCTGAACTTCCATTAGGGACTGTTGATGCAGGTGTAGCCTTGCCGTTGGCTGATCCCAAAGCAACAGTTGCTGCTGGCGTGGTTTTCACATTCGCCCCATTTGAAAACGTGACCTTTACACTTGTGGTGACGGTTCCTCCCGACGGGGCTGTCACTAATTGTCCCGGTGGCAATGCCTTCAACTGGATAGAAGGTGTAGCAGTTGTTGCAGCCACTGTCGCAGGACATGCAACACTTGCTGCTGGCGTTGGCTTAGTTGTTGCCGCCAAATTGACTGTGGTTGAGTGCTTTTCCCCACCGCCCGCAAAAGTCGACATTGTGGTACATTCACGGCCACTGCTCAAGGTTCCTGCGGCGAGGACTTTTGTGGTGGCCACCCCATCCTTTTTGGCAGCTGATTTTTCCGTCTCCGCCTTTTCGACCGGTATGAGAGGCTGTTTGCTGGGACTGATTTCGGTGGTTGGCGACTTGTGAGTTCCGTTTTTGGCCGCCGCTTGTTGATTCTTCAAATCCCCACTCGGTTTGCCCATAGTTTTCGTAATGCCAGGTCCTGGCCGCTTGTTCACCGTTGCCAAGGGCAGACACTCAACATCCACATCCACATCCAGGGTCAATGGCTTTGGCTTCTTGGCAGCCTCCTTTTGTTTTGGGGAGGTAGGCTCCTTTTCAATGAGAATTTGGGTGTTGGTGACTCCATCGTAGTTCTGGCTCTGGTATCGCTCTGCGTGGAGGTTCACACAGGGTCTGCCCGCAGGTCCCCATTCGGCGGTGGGCTGAAGCAGGAGCTTGATGCGCTCCCGGAAGCTTAGCTGCTTTGGTGCCTTCCAGATCTCTTGGAAGGCCACCAGGAAGATGACCAAAACAGGCAGCAAGCCAATGATCCATCCCACAGTGTCGGCCCATAAAGGATACACATAGTGCCCGTATTTTGCTGGTTTGTATTCCACCCAGTTGAAGAACAGGATAAACTGAAACAATATATGAATATTAGGCTTCAGACTTTCAAACATAATTCTTTAAAAACTCACCAACAGGGTAGCTGGGGTAATGTAGCGCCACATGATGCCCCAGAAGAAGTTCCAGAACCAGGATCGTTTGCCAATCATTCCCTGGATGTCGTTGAGGAATCGCTGTGAGCCATAGATCCAGGCAATCAGGATGCACTCCGAAATGGCAATCAGTAGGACTGACCAATTGGCTGCGTACTTGTCCATCAACTGAAGCCAGTACATGCCGCTCTAAAAAGAATATAGGAACTATAAGTTCAGAGTTCATTCGAAGTACTAGAAGGGATAACTCACATTAGTGGTGAAGCCAAGTCCTCCAATGTATCCAAAAATGGCCACGGACAGCACCACCCAGATCTTGTACTGCCTCAGGTTGGGGAACCTGTCCAAAATGGCAGTAGTCACGGTCTCCATCAGAGCGAATTGTGAGTCCAGACCCAGGGTCAGTAGCATCACAAAGAACAAAACAGCCCAAACTGGCGAGATGGGCAGTCGGGTGACCACTTCGGGGTAAACAATGAAGGCCAAACCAGCTCCCTGATCCACCACTTTCTCAACATCCACGTTGAGTTCATGGGCCAGGAATCCAATGATGGAGAAGATCACCAGGCCGGCAAAGAATGAGGTGGCGATATTGCAAAAGGCCACAATCAGCGAGTCCCTAGAAAGGTAGTATATTAAAGTACTTAACACTTCATTAAATAATACTCATATTACTTGTAGCAGTTGTTGGAGAACTTGTTGTAGGAGGAGAGCGTGATTAGACCTCCCCAGGCTGGGCTCAAGGCGAAGAATATCTGGACTGCAGCGTCACCCCAAACCTAAAGGAGGGAGGAATCTAAAGTTTCAAATAATAGTGCTCCCTCGGAAGTCTTACCTGAGCATTGGCCAACTGCTTCCAGTCCGGCGTGAGGTAGAAGAGAATTCCAGTGCTGGCACCAGGCAATGTGACGCCCCGAACGAAGAGGATGACCAGGACAACGTAGGGAAACAGTGCCGTGAAGTAGACCACTTTGCCGGAGGACTGAACGCCCTTGCACAGGCAGAGGAAGACAATGGCCCAGGCCAGGAAGAGGCAGGCGGCCAATGACAACTTAATGCTGCCTGTTTCCTCGATGCCCTTGGACAGGCCCAGAACGAAGTTGCTGGAAAGATTGCAGTAATAGTAGTACTATATTTTCTTCATTTTCCATTAGAGGCCACCTACTTGAAGTACTCCTCGGCTGGTGGACGCTTCAGGGCAGTGAGGGCTAGGGCTGTGATGTTGTTCTCCAAGGCGGATGTGGCATTGTGGCAGGTGCGCAGGTAATAGGTGCCATTGGTGGCCTCACACTGATCCGCCTGGGCATAGGAGAAGCAATCTGCAGAATACCAATACTGTCAGCAAGTTGGAAAAAGAACAGGGACTGCAATTCTCTGCCATAATCCCACCCCATTGTCGGCCCTCTCAATTATGCATAAAAGGCCAAAAAACGTTTTAATATTTATGAACTATTTGTCAGCCTGGTTGGGTCGTGGAAACTTTTTTCCGTTTGTGTGTCCGGCTACATAATTAAAAGGACAAAGTAGCAAATCAGAGGATAGCATAAAAGGGGCAGCCTCCACCAAAATGAATGGCTCTGTCGGCAACAATGTGCCGCAAAATCATAAAAAAAAGGGTCTGGAGTTGGGGCCAAAAGGTCGGACAAAGGCTCAGAACGTCTTCTGGGCAGCTTGTAACTTGAGTTGAAAAGCTTGGCCCAGCTATTTGTTGAGTCCTTGAGGTAAAAGGTCAATGTAAGACCAATCTGTTTTGAAGTTTTAATTTTTCTCTCTTTTTTTTTTTCCTGGGGACGTGTATAATAAATTCTTTCTTGCAGGATTTTTGATTTAAATTCTTGCCATGGAAAACGAACACTGACTGTGTTCCTGAAACTGAAATTCGTTTTAACCAAATTACAGCTCCCAACTGTGTTTTGATTTTCTGTTTTTGACATTCGGTGTGTGTGTGTGTGTGTGGGCCAGAGTGCCCAACAAGGTGGTCAGGATAATAAGCTAGTGGGCAGACTGGACCAAAAATGACTAACTAGCTCTGGACATTAGTATTCCGCATGGCTGGCAATTAGCCACCAAAGTTTGATTGAGAATCCAGTTCTTGGTCAGAAATGCTGCTGCCTAAATTACGGCTCTGATTGAGGGCAACACATGTAACAAAACATGCCCAATCATGGGTTGTCAATAAACATTGCTCATACGCCGCGTTGAAGCGACGGTAATTAAAGACAAGGTTAAATTTTTCGGAACCAGCCACACCACACACACATTTATCAGAGCAATTCATCAGCTTGATTTTTCGACGGGATGGAATGAAAATAAATTTGAGAACAATTCCTTGTGGCTGCCGGTTTGGCGGTTGTTGGATGTTGTTCGTTATTGTTGCTGTTGTTGGTTGTTGGAAAACTTCAAAGTGTTTACATGCCGTTTAATTTGCCTGTCTGCATCTGTTTGTATTGCAATTAATTTGATTACACACACACACAGCACAACCCGTAGATGTGAATCGCATAAAATAAATTTTATTTAAAAGGGGAGGAGGGCCACGAGAAAAAAAAGTATCTCGTATATATACAAGGACTGCCTAACAAATTCAGGCGGTTTATACACATACATATGGTTGTCTGTGTGGAATAGGAATATGTGTAGGTATGTCCTACATATAAAAGGATACCCAACATACACACCATCCATCCCCCAACAGAGTTTCTTATTCAATTCGAGTGCTACGCCCGAGTCAGGAAATTGGCCTTAAATTTTGTGACCTTTAAGTTTGAGGGCAAACTTTGATGAGCCAGGATTGGGTTGATGGAGCTGGCGATGGAAAGGCCAGAAAAAAAAGGAAGGAAATTGTATAAAAGTAGAGTGGCAGATGCCTGCTCAAGTTTCAGTTGTTGACAGTTCCCCTGAAAGTTTGCCCAAGTTTACGTGTCTAATAAATAAATTGTAAATCTTTGGCCAAACACCATGTAAGCTCATTCACGTTATTAGCCCCATAAAGAGGCCAGGGAGTACAGCTCCCACAAACAATCCATCAGTATAAAAATATTTACCAAAAGAAAGATAAACATATAACCCAAGTGCTAAGCCAAACACCAGATCAGACCAGATGGAAAGAGTGCGACATTCAATCAATAGACAAACAAAGTTAAACACATTTTAATCGTGACACTAAAAGTAAACATTTGTCATCTAAAACACAGACGACGAAGGCGAGGACGAGGCCAGAGAAGCTCCAGCATCTTGCCAAGGAAAATCGAAAAGTGTCAATAAATAAAATCCTTAAGAAATTGCTTGTCTGCCCGCCTCTTCTGTCTATCCTTCTCTCTCTCTCTCTCTGTCCTTTCTTCCCATACTTTCTCCGGCCATCGACGTGCTCAACTTTCTCTTGGTTGTATCTTAAGAGCTTATGAGATAGTCAGTCCCAAGGTTGGAGCTTCCACTGCCAACGATTGAGTGTCAAAAACAGTCAAGACATAATTGTTTGTCATTTTAACAATTTCTGGCCGCCCCGCACGTAAACGATGAAGGTAACGCTGCGGGGGGACTGGCTAGATTCTTAATAGCATCTCCTATCGATTTCTTAGGTCCTCCGAACAAGGCTGAGGCTGCCATAGGCTGATATGGTGGCTCACTTTGCGTTCTCCTCATATTAAATCATAGCTGTACGTAAGTATGTGGAGAGATGACAGTGGCGGAGTTGACGAGGATTTCAAAGGGGTTTTCAAGGTAAGAGGACTCTTACCTTGATGTATCTGAGAAAACCTCACACGAGGTGAGAATAAGTCCTTAATAAACAAAAACCCCTTTCACTTCCGCCTTTTCTTAACTTTCAATGGAATTCTATGATGTTTCCTGTTAATGCCATAGTTTTTGTTGTTGAAGCCTGGTCTATATACACGTATACACATCCAGCCACTTGAGAATGAGGGTATCTGTATGCGTAAGTGGGCCTATACACGCTGCCTGAATGCTACTGAGGCGGTTGTCATAAAATAAGCCAAACATAAAGATTCGAGGATGGAGGAAAGTGTGCAAATATTACGAATGGGTAATATGCTTTTCTGGCCAAGTTTATTTATTTGTTTACTTTGGTAAGACTTTTCATTAAAGTTCTAATCAGGAAGCAGAAGGTAAATCTAAGCAAACCAAATAGATTTAGCTTCTAATAATAATAGAAAAGCCTATCAAAGTCAAAAATAAAAAAGCCATCGGAAAGCTCGCATATCTGACCTACATAGGAAAGTTTCCTTCACATTTCCGCCCACGGGGCAAGTCTGGAAAATCCTTTTATATCCTTGTATTCCTATTCCTACTATACTCTACTACTATATATTCTACACCACTCCCACAGCCCAGTCAGCGTTCGATGCTCGTTAAAGATTTATGTCTTTCGCGTGGTGGGCAATTTTAAAGTGCCGGTGTGTGTGTTTCTGTTTTTGTGTTTCTGAAAAGAAATCAAATGCAGGCTTAAACGGTCACAAGGCAACGCCTTCCCACCCACACACGCACTCACAAAATTCCTTCGCACTCATACAGACGACCCATCCACCCATCCTTGGTAGCAAAAAGGCTCACCTTACAATGTCAAACGAGGCGAATCACAAAAACAATTGCCTACTTCAAGGCGCCGCTAGATTTCTCCCCTACGCTCTACGCTCTATTGTTGTTCCTGAATTCTTCCTCTCCCAGAGGCTTCCTCTTGTTTATCATTATAATTCTTAGTGAAAGTTTGTTCATACTTTTTATTGTTTGCGTGTGCGTGAAGGGCGGAAGAGGATGTGCCAAGGCAGCAACATTCCTCTGGGTCCTTCGGCCGGTAACTGAATCAATGATATATGGTATGTACTCCTGATCCCAGCCCCAATAGAATCATGCCAAATTTAACTATTTTGAGGATTTCAACACACACATATTGTCCTTTTATATTTAAATTTTCTGTCAATGATTTGCAAGTTTAGTATACTTTGAACTTTTTGCCCGGATTGGGTGAGAGTGTGTTTGTCTTTGCCAAAGTCCTGGCCAAAAGCAATTGCCTCTGGGTCCTGCTCGTTATATGTACAAGGTCCTATTTGCCCTTCTCGTCCCTATTTTTTTCTTTCCGGCCATGTGTTTTCCCAACCGGGCCACGTGCCGTCGAGAATAAGCAAAATGGCCAGAAAACAAAACAGGATAAAAGCAAAATAAAATTCCACTTTTGACAGCTTGCAATTTGCTTAATTTATTACCCGAAAAACGTAACAAAAGATGAGAATCTTTGGCTCATTGTCTCCCTCTTAGCCTGACCTGGCCTATTAATTAATTGGTGGCATAACCTTTATATATAACTTTCTTTTTCCCTCCCAGGAGACAGGCAAGGAGGTACTCACATTTGGTACTCCATGCTGGTTCGCAATTCTGCCACGGCAACTTGGTGCCAAATGAGGCAAACATGTAGAAGATGGTCCAGGCGATGATCAGGTTGTAGTAGAGCATGACTATGGCCGAGACGAGGATCATGCCAGTGCCCAGGCCCCGGAATAGGGGACAGAACCTTCGGTAGACGGCCACCGGGCCCAAGGCAGCGTATTGGCCAAACGATAGTTCCATAAACATGAGCGGTAATCCAGCAATCACTAACATGATGGTAAAGGGTATAAGGAAAGCTCCTGGAAAAGATTACAAATAAAATATGCCATTTTTATTGATTTTTAGGTACTGTTTTAAAATTCAACCCACCTCCGCCATTATTGTAGCACAGATATGGAAAGCGCCACACGTTTCCGAGACCCACGGAATAGCCCAGCAGGGAGAGCAGGAAATCGAATCGACCCGTCCAAGTTCCTCGCTCCGGTTCGCCATCGCCGGCTCCACCGCCACCAGGTCCAGATGCATCTAGCGAAATTAGGGCCGTGCCAGAGGCACAGCCACCGATACTGATGGCCGTCGAGGGGCAGACCACGCCACCACCGCCTCCCGAGCCTCCAGACTTGCTGCTCTGCCCCATCGGGCAACGATCTTCCACTAGCTGTTGGATATACAAATAAAAATCCTTTTAATTTATAACCTTTTTCCGGTGGACAACTATTTGGCAGAAAGCCAATTTCCACGGCTGTCCATGGCGTTAAAAAATGGTCGTTTGATTAAATCAACTCTACACGATAGGGTCAAGGTCTTATAGAGTTTGTAATGTTTTGGAAAAAAATATGGATTAAAAAAGTTTGATTAAATTAAGCTAATTTAAAAAGTAAAACCTCATTGAATGGGATTCATTTGTATCGACATTTTGTAATTTCCGTGGCGTTAATTAAAATCACAGTCACGCCTGCTCCTTTAGACGGTGGCAACTTTTTGCGTCGAGGATAAATGAGTACTCAAGAAAATGACGCCCCTCAATGGCACTTGATGCCGGGCCGCACTCACACTCACTCACATTGACACACACTCAGACACCCTCACTCACATACACTCACTGTGAGTGAGAGGCTCCCCTTTCGCCCTTAGAAAGTCCAACTGTCACACTTTATACGCCATAGTGGCCATAACAGCTTGTGATGGGTGTGGGATGTGGTGGCGATGGGATATGGGATGTGAGATGTGAGATGCTCTGATGCTGGGATTGTGTTGAGATGAGATGAGTGATGTGAGGCAGTGGCAGAGACACTTGAGTGTTTGCCTGGTCACGTTTTTTTTTTAGTGTGTGTGTTGGTGTTACTTTTTATGCGCCATTTTGCCTGTTTTTGCAAGCCAATTTGTTGACAGGCTCGTAATTAGGCAGTCAACTCAGTATTTAACCGAGTAACACTGATAATGAGCTCATGATGATCTAACACGGACCAAGCCTTTCGGAATTGGAAAAACGAAACATTCCCCCAACAGTTGAAACCACAAAAACCCAATTCTCATTCCCAATGCCATTGTGCAGCAAGGTTGTTACTGCCTGGATCCTACTACCACTACTACTATTCCGTATTCGGTTCCGGTTTTTTCTTTTGGTATGGTTTGCTATTCTACGTTTCTGTGGTCCAGCATTCCACTGCTCCCGCTTCTGGTGTTGCTTCTGGCATTTGCTTAGCAAATAGTTCTTAATGATTCCAGCAATGCCCATGGGCAGACCCCGAAGAATGCGATTTTGCGGCGACAAACAGACAAACTGACTAACAGACAGTCGACAGTCGGGTAGTCGGAAGAAAAACAACAAAAAATTGAAAAAAAAAACCAACAACAGTACAAATAAACATTTAGCTTTGTGCGAACTTTTTGGGGAAATAGTTGAAACACAACCGAGAACTGAAAGCTGACAATGGAAGGTGGCAGGCGGAAGCGCTAAAGTTTCCATCGGAAAAAAATCGTGAAAACTGTGAAAAATATATATAAATATTTTTTGTTTTCGCTGCAAAACGTTTTACATCCAGCGGGCTTTTTCAGGTGAGAAAGAGATTGAAAACGTTTGGCTTTCCCCAGCCAGAACCCAAACATTCTGCTTATTCCGGGCACGTAGCTACCAAAATCCTCACAAACAGTTGGCTGTTCGGTTCAGTGGATATCTAGGGAAAGGATGGAAGTACATAGTTTTGCACAAAAACCGAAAACTTTTTTAACTTTTTTTGGTCTAAAATACATCCATATATGAATGAAAGTTGATTGCAAAATACTCACATTTAAAAGAGAAATTTGAATATTTGGGAAATTGTATAAATAAATGGTTTTCATTTTACAGTTGAATAAATAAAGAGCTTTAAGAATTCAAGGATGAACAAATATTTTATAAGTGGATTAATAAAATATTTTGTTACCTTTGATTTTTGACTTTTTTTTTGAAGGAAAGACTAGTTTTTATCCAAACACATTCCATAAATCTCCCTTCTGAGCATTTAATTAAGCTGGAAATGAATAATTAAAGTGCAGAGGGGGGAATACGTGTTAATGAAAAAACCAAATAAAAAAGCTAGGATATATGTAACTCCAGCTGGACCCTCGGTTCGCACTCCCCTGGCGGCCCTAGCTCTTTGGCTTGTTTGTGTTTGGTCAATTCGAGTGTGAAAATGTTTTCGAGCTTCTGCCGTCGCTCGCTTGTTTACACTTGATGGATATGGCGAAGGGGCGCCGGACCCGGTGGGCGCTGGGTGGGTGGCTGGCTGGCTGCTGCATTTAACGACCTTGGGAATGTGCACTGTCAAGTTGGGAGCGGAGAGTGAGCGGTGGTGGGCTAGGACAGCTTATATGAGCTGCATTCTAGTTTTCCTGTTCGTTCTTTTATTCTTTTTTTTTTCGTTGTATTTTGAGCATTTCGCCGACAGCGTTTTCCGCCTTTTGGCATTTCATAATTTTCCCTTTTTTTTTGACATTTTTATGCGAAAGTTGAATTTCCCTCGGCCGGGCCCCCAAGGCGAGACAAGCGACCTTCGTCATCTGCTCTCCTCTCCTCCTTTAATAGCCTGCCTCACCGCCCTGCCGCCCTTTATTTCTGTTGTTGCACAAGTCACGGCAATTATGAAGGGGCAAACTCTAAGCACTTGAACTTGAACCCACGAAGGCTGCCCACAAGCGGCAAACAAAGCGAGTGCCGACCTCGACCCCTTCTGAAAGCGAGGGTATGTAAAGCACGAGCTAAAAAATAGCCTTATTCAAGGTGAATAAAGGATATGGAACATACTAAGTTATTAATATGATAAATATTTTTCATATTGAGGTCAAAATCGTATATATCTCTTATTGAAGGTCGAATATTTAGACCAAAAAGAGCAACGAATGCTGTAGGTGAAGCCTCCTACAACTATCGATGGTTCTATTTCAAGTGCTTGTCTGGAAATATTGATTATTTGGTTCGCCCATAGCACTGGCACATGACCATCTAGCATCCATGGATGGAGGCCAAAGGACACGCATATAAATTTGTTTCGATGCAACGAAGTTGTCACCGTTCCCTACTTTTCTGTTTAAGCCATGGTAACGCCTGTGGAAAAAAGATTTTCACGTTCTATTGCATCGCTCCTCTCTCGCTCTGTATCTGGATTGCCCCATTTGTCAGTTTCCCGTCTGTCCATCCAACCATCCTGCCTTGTAGCACCTCACAGGATCCTGTCCCTTCGGGCTCCTTTTCTCCGCATTAAATATTCATCTACTTCGTCATCGTCTGTCGTCCTTCGCTGTCATCGTCCTGGTAATCGCAAATTCAGCGCTAAATCACAATCAAAATGCGCGTAAAGTGGCATTTCAAGTGATTCTCCTTTTTTTTATGAATTTCAAATTGCAAATCATTTCGTTGATTAAATTGTTGAAAATGCCAGCGTAAATTTTGGTTGACTTTCTCTAATATTGGTTGATTTTACATATTGTTTACGTTAGTTTTTAAAGGTTAAAAATACAGGTAATAAAGGTTAAACTCTAAGCCAGAATTAGCTTGTTGCTTAATTAGTTTCTAGATTTCAGATTGAATTTCCAATAAAAATGCTTTTTTACACTTCGCTGACCTTATTAACATTAAATGGAATTCATAAAATATTTGAATTTAATAAACTGAAAGCCGATGAAAGGTGAGAATATGAATCCATAGAGAAAGACAGCTGCCTGCTAAAGATATTATTTCTGCAAATGATTTTTTCTTGTTCTCCAGATCTTTTTTTTCTGTTTTTGCAAAGGACATGTATGTATTCCTTTTTTGTGTGCCAGCTTTGCATACATTTTCATGTTTTTGAGTGCAGCTGACTGTGTATGTGGGAGCATATGTTTTGTTTTTACTTTCAATTTGCAATTTAAATGTAATTTCTCAGCGAAAATGGGTTACTTTTTATTTGGTTTATGACAACTGCACACCCAGGCAGAGCACACAGATTTAATGCTTTCAGACAAGTGCGACGGATTGAGGGAAGTGCGCTGGTTTGGGTTGAGGGTCCTTTTTTTTCAACCCGAAGGTTAGGTACTTGGTGGTACATATATTGAGAAAAAGTTGCGTAAATGTTATTCTGATATTTAGCTTATTGGTCTTCAAACTTGTACAAATATTTATAATTCAAATAAATGGTTAAGGGTCAATAAATACTTCAATCGGAATACTTTTTTTGGAGCAAGCTACGCTACTTAATTCTTGGAACATCATTTTCCCCAAAAATCTTTCTTTTTAAGTTAACCCTAGAGCTTTAGAAGAAATCCCCAAAAGAGGCTTTATCCCGATTAGCATTTGTAACATTTTTTCATTATTTGGCCAAAGGCAGTGGAGTTGACAGCCGTTTGTTATTGTTCCGTGGCGATGTCGCCATCTGTTCGCAGCTGTTTTTTCTTTGGCTTTCATGTACATCTCCGGGTTGTTTATTATTTGGTTGGTTGGGAAGCGGAACAAACCATTAACAAAATGTCTCTCCTGACGGACGCTCGATGCTTTTTTGCCAGCATTGCATTTTCCATTCTATTGGATCGATGCGATGGCCTTGGTGGTCTGATCGGGATTGCAAATATTCAGAATCTGCCACCGGCCGAGGGTCAAATCAGAATCCTGCTTTTAACTCTACTGGGCATTGGCTTTCTTATGTTCCTCGGTTGTTTGGGTGAGTTTGTTTGGAAAATATTTCCGAACACTTGGAACGGTTTAAATAGCGCCGATTTCCGGTATCCATCGCACAGGATGTATCTGCTGCTTCTGCCGGATGTCCCCAACCGCCTCGTCCAAGTCGGATGGCCTCGATGTCTATGCCCCGCGCACCCAGAGCATTGTGTGGCCCACTCTGCCCCAAGAAGCCGCCAGGGTTTTGGATGTGATGACCTTCCGACATTCCCCCACACCCGGGTGTCCCTGTCGCACTTGTCGTTCGAACAGAAATGCCTTCTGCATGAAAAATTGCGGTGCCATCACTCAGTGTGCGTAGTTCAAGCTCAATTACATAATACTTATGGTCTTATCTGTGTATATTATTATTAAAAGATTTTCAAAAAAAATATATAAACATGGTAGTTTACAATCTTACTATTAATCAGTTCAAATCGTTTACAAATGTTTGCTTGGAAACAGCTGTTTTATGTTTAATTGTCCAAGACTGGCCCAGGCCAATACCCGGTTTAGGCCCGAACCGTTTAAGTTTGTTCAGTTGCCTCAGAGCAGCAGTCGCATTCAGCAGCAGTATGCGGCAAAGTGGCAAGGAAAGTGTCGCCAGGTGGCTGTTTTTGGTGGCAACCTCAATCACCTGCCTCCAATTGATGAAATCCGATGACAACTTTACGGGTAGGTATAAAGGGGATTACCTCAGAGGTTTATAGAATTATTATTAGTAATTCTTCTGATTTATTTTGCAACGTTGTTTATTATTGGAAAAGACTTTGACTGGCTGAACGAGACGCAGCTGTTGCAGCTGTACGAGTACGAGTACGAGAACGAGAGCGAAACTTTTGAGAATTTCACGGATTCTAGTGAGGATTTGCCGGAGCTGTTGCATAATTTTATTATTGAGAATAATGCCACAGGCACAAGTGGCAACAATAGCGACAGCAACATCAATAACAACAACCAAACCTCCAACAACAACAGCAGTAGCTCTGAACAAAAAGTCCTTTTGAAGGAAACACGAAAAAGTCACCACATGTCACGGGTTTTGATTATGGCCCTGTTCCTACACATTGCCCTTATAGGAGCTGGTATGTTTTCTTAAAAAATGGAATCTTATCTAAGAAAATTATCTCTCAAAAATTTTCATTAAAGGCATTACCATCTACAGCTGTGTTTATTGCAAAATGCAGACCCTGAAGCTACGTAGAAGGTCATTAGAGGCTCGACGACGCCTTCAACTAATGAGGTTGCGAACGCAGCATGTGCCCAATATCGGAGAATGTCCTTGCCACGGCTGCATTATGGCCAGGGAAATGTTGCAGGGCCTAATCGTGCAACAATGGCACGAACTGGTTGAATGTTAAGCTTTAACATCGATACATAAAATACGAAACTAGAAAATATGATTATCGTAGATCTTTTGAAGGATGCGAACGCTAAAATGGACACATAATACAATCAGGATGACATACAACCACAATCGCACAGTCATTGCCAGGACTTTTTACAACTGTGAGGGCGGAGCGACAGAGGGCGTAGAGCGACATGCACAAGCTGTAACTAGCTGTAACACCCACTATCACCTTCACCCACACTGACCAAAGCGAAAGGTCAAAGTTCATAGCATTTACTGGAGGTCTGTGCTGGTGCATTGTGTTCCCCCGTTTTCTATGGGAGTTAATTCCGCACGTTTGCATTAATAAATACAAGTAATCCATTTTGCCTTCGCTTTGTTCTTCGGGGTTTCTAAACATCCGGGGTCATAACCAGCTTTTGTTGGCAAGAGTTGGTTCTTTTCCTAGCAGGGGTAACTATAGCAGATGATGGTAATATTTCTCATAAAACGTATTCTTATTATTAAACATAAATTTTTCATCTAATTTTTTAATTTACTAGCTAAACTCTTAACCGATTCCATCGACTATAAGTCAACAACTTTCCAACAATGTTGCGTATACGTAACGTGGTGTACAGCATGCCCTCCACATATTGCGTATACGTCATGGGTGACACAATAGAGACACAAATCCAGCCATCCATCAGTGGTTGGCTTTAAACCTAATGCACTGTATCCCACACACAATGTCACCGATCACTTTTTGTGTCTGCTGGCTGATGTTTTTATTGTTATTTGATTGCGATTTAAATATACATATACATGGGGGAGGTGCTCGAAGGGAGAACCGCCTCCAAATGAAGAAAATAAGAAACAACAAAGAGGCCAGAAAGGACGCCAAAATAAGGGCAGCTTGAGCTGGAGCTTGAGCCCAGGCAAACACGCAGAAAACACGGACCCTGCCACGCCGCGGACAGGCCAATGCCAAATCCTTACTCGCCCTGTACGTATGCCAGGGGAAACAACGCACGTTCATGCCGAACAGGAAGGAAGACGCAAAGGCACACAGGAAAAGGAACAAAAAACGGCAGGAGCCGAGTCGACCAGGACAACAGAGGGCGCGGGCGGAGGCATGGGCGGAGGTGGAAGGTGGAAGGAAGTGCTGAGCAAGAGGAAGAGAAGCGCGCGCCAAAGGCAAGGATGCTAAGGTAACCCAGAACAACGAAAGCAGTCGCAGCAATAACTATAACAAAAGCAATGACACGTACAGTAAAACCTCCATAATTCGTGATGGCTTTCGGTTGGCCAAATATTCAATATATCCTACCCCTTGGCCAAATGTTCGATAAACAAGGACCTTGAGGTACATATATCTATATTTTTAGATGAAAATAATTTTCAGTTATAAGAGGGGGATAGCTTCATAACAGCTGGTATGTAGAAGTTTAGAATTAATGTTGAACTTGAAAAATAATTTGTAATCCTTTCAAAAACCTAAGTACATTTCCAGTTCAAGAAGTTCAACTGTGTGAGCTTTGTAACAAAAATAAAGAAAAAGAAAAGCCCGACATAGACATTCCAATAACAATGAGGCAAGAAAGCTAAGAGAAGAAAGTAGGGGCAAGGTCCGGGAGAAACTTAGGAAGAAGAATAGGAAAAAGTAGTAAAAAGTTATCGAGAATGCCAGAAGATGCCGAAGGGTAAGGGACGGACGGACGGACGGTTGGAAGATGGAATTAATTTTGCGTTCATCCACGCTTGGCTTGAGCGGAGACTCGGGGGGCCAAATGGATGTAGTACAAGCGAGGTTAGAGGCTCCCAGGACTCGGTGGCCAACTTGTGGCAAATATTTGCTCAGGCCCAAAGTATCCATTTTGCCCAGAATTGAATGCACCTGATGCCCGGACCCGCTGCAGGGGTCGCAGCAATCTGACATGCACATGCAAATTTATTGGACTGGATTGTACGATAATGAAAATTACAGTTTCAATCAGGTTTCAATTTCAAAACAAGCTATCAATAAATTGTTGTCTTCATTAAGTGGCAAGTTGTTGGATTACGTTGGCGATTGTATCCAAGGGTTAAAAGCTTTATGAGAACTTTATGAGGCTTTTGAGAAATATTTCTTTTAAATTCTTTAGATAATTGAATCAATATTCAGCACACATACATATGTGTCTAAAATACTTCCCCCAAATAATTTTATTTCCTCTTCACCTGCAGACATAGTTTCCCCCAAAAAGTATGCTATGTATTTTCATGGCCATTTGCAGCCATAAACCATCTGGCTGGTACTTTGTGTTTCTGGACCTTAGAGCTCGCCACTCGGATTGAGGTGGGTCAGTGTGGGCTATAATCAAACTCAATTAACGTCGAATTAACCAGACAATGCATTTAGCCGCGAGGCAAGGCGTTGGGGGTTCCAGGATGTGCAACGGGATCTACGGCTTAATTAGGCCTGTCAACGGAAGCCGCGAGACCTTGGAGCGGGCTTTGGCTTTCGTGTCACTCGTCAGTTTTTAATTGTTTTAAATATTTACTTGCCGGAGCAATTGCACACAAGGCCCGAAGGACACTCCCACCAACACAATGCCGCCGTCACAGGAGCAAACACACCCACACAAAAGTGCTCACACACGCACACTCACATGCGTACATAGAAGAGTTTTGCATTACGCGCCACTTACACAATTAAAAACTTGCTTTCCCTATTTTTTCTCCTTCTGCTCCTGGTTTTTCTTTGATTTTTATTTCCGTTTTATTTCTATTCACTGAAACTCTTGCGAGGATCTTTTGATTTTGTTTTGTAAGCTCTTGACGATTTGAATTTTGGTAGCTTGAGTTGTTTTTGTGGTTTTTATTTATTTCTGCTGCTGCTTAGACTTAGCTTAGGCCCGTGGGTGTCTCGGAACTGATAACTGATGGTGGCCACTTGGAGCGTCCAATTTGGCGGACAATTCGAAAGCAACTGAAAGTGAAACGGAAGAGCCGAACAGCAGCCAGGAATGTCAGATTACCTATACAGCTGTAAGTGTGGGTGCGACATCGAGAGCGAAATCGTGAAAAGTGAGAGCGATTGGCGAAGCGAGCGTTTGCGAAAGCGTGAGCTTTCCACCGAAGCTCTACCCCGCTGACTTGCCATAAAAGTTTATGGCAGCTGCTGGGCGCTGCTTTTGATTTACAATTTGATTTACTGTCCCATGGGGGTGTGGGTGGTTAGGCTAGCAAAAAATAAAAGGAGGTGCAAAAAGGCACTGGGGGAAAAACTATTTTAAATAAAGTTTTCATAGAGTCGATTGTGGTGGAAACATAACCTAACTTAACCAATAACCTAATATCAAGTATACGCCAAGTGGGTTGATAGATTCTCGCTTATGAATTAAAGTTTATTTTTGTTGTTAATCTTCCAATCAATTTTGGTACATAAGTGTTTCTATTACCGAAAACTTGATTTTATCCGAAATCCGATTTATTACCGAAAAAGGGCAATAAACCCTCTTCATTTGCCCAGTGCATATGCGAGCTTTCAATACTTTTTGCTCGTTTTCCGGAAAACAGTCAATGCTTTCACCGAAATGGTCCTTGAACAATAACTCACTTAATTATGCATGTGTGGGTGGGTGTCATTTAGCAGTTGACGTTAAGCAATGTGCAAATTGCCAACCGAATTTTCATTAAAATGCAATTAATTTGTTCAATTGGTCAATGGAAATGTAATTATATTTTGATTAAAAACAGCTCGAAATTTGAAAGGATTTAAAGTGGGTCGTATAAAAATATATTTGGCCGCCTGGGGGATATAACGCCGGGACCTAACTTAGTTTGTCTTCATTTGCCGCCTGTTTACTTTACAAACATTCCCCTCTAGGTCGATAGTGGCCCCCCTTTGGTCGGCTCGGCTTAAATTTTCCTTCATAAAGGGTACAAACAAAGCCAAACAGTAGAAGCCAATACAGGACACACACATCGAACATCCGAAAATGCGACCTTCATACACCACTCGTCCCCGCCTAGAGAGGAAAAGCTGCCGCGACCTAGACACTGAAATACTGTTAGTGCTTAGCCTGTGGCGGAGAGAATAGTGCGAGAGAAAGAGAGCCGTTTTCCGACGCTCGGGGTGATACTGTTATTTGTGCATGTGTTTGAGCTTAAAAAGCGAGAAGGAAACGATATCAGAATAAAAGGACAAAGAAAATACGCTCAAAAAGGAAACGGAAATCAGAGTGGGCGGAAATAGACGAAGCGGCCAACGCACTATGGGGAATTTGCCCGATTTCATGGTATTTAGTCATTTTATCAAAGTTTAAATATTTGGGTTTTTTTTATGTAAACATATTAAAAACATATGGCTCCATATGACTCCATACCAAAATTGTTAATTAACACTGCACTGTTAAGGCTATTAACTGTCAAAGTCAGCTGTTGCAGCTCAAAAGCACGTGGTTGAGAATAGGCAGTTTTTTGTTAGCAACTTTGAAAGTGCGATACTTAAAAGTTAAACAATATATTAATTTAATTTGTGATGGAAAACAATCATACTGGTTCGTATTTTATGTTGTGTGTATTAATATTTTGATATGTGCCTGTCTTACTAATATTTAGCCAATTTTAAAACTGGTCTAAGAGGTAATTTTTTTGGAAAAAAAAATCAACTTTGCATAGACTTACAAAAAAAACATATCGTTGCAACAGTGTAAGTTTAATATATGTCGTAGAGCCATTAATTATAAATAAAAGGCAATTTGTCTCAATGTGCAAAAATGCGCACAATCTGCGTAATTTCGTTTTTTGTCAGGTGTCTTCGAGTTTTCGAACGCGGAGCTTTTTGAAGTATGGCGTAAGGACACGCAGAACCAAAACCAAGAAAGATCAATTCTTGATTTTATTTCGAGTAAAATAAGTAGAAACGTTGATGTTGAAAAACACAAAAACTATTTAAAAAAGAAAAGCAGTTTATTTTGCCTAAATTTAAGTGGTAAATGGAAGATATGCAAGAGAAACAAACAATATTTTCAGAAGAAGTATGCAAATTGGCTGCAAAGTGCAATAAAATTTTGTTTCTCTGAATCCAATGAAATCGAGAAACGTCAAATTGGACGCCCGAAATTGGATTATTCGGTTAAAGGAGAAGAAGCACAGAGGAAAGAAGCTGCAGCTTCTTCACGCACGGAAGCATAGCCGTGTTAATAATTTCATGGACGTTTTCAACAGAGCCTTAGATACTTCTGATCCTGTCATTTCTTCAAAAAATCTTATGAAGCGAATTCGGAAGCATAAAAGTATGGAACTTCCTTCAGAAGTTTTAAGCCTTTTATTGTGCAATTTTGAAGGCCAGGATCAAATTGAGGAAATTGAAGATAAAATTGACGACTTTTATTTTATGTATGACGAAGAAGTTGAGACTGAAAATATTTTATAAACCTTTTATTTTATTATTATCAACTTTTGTATATAAAACAATTTCCAGCAGAGTCCATATCAATAATAAAAAACCGTTTTGAAAAATTTTATTTGTTTAAAAAGTTTTTGATTAATTTATCCAAATGGGAGGGCGGAACCACGCCCATTTTACCAAAAACTATTTCCAACAATCTTCATAAGACTAATAAAAAAAACCGTTTCAAAAAATCGTATTTAGTTTAAAAGTTAATATATAACATTTCGTCAGGGAAGGGGCGGAGCCACGCCCATTTTTCTACAAACATTCCTATCGGTGTCTATAGTAATAATAAAAAAACCGTTTCGAAAAATCTTACTTAGTTTAAAAGTTATTAATTAATACCATGAAATCGGCCAAATTCCCCATAGTGCAACGGGGCGAATGAATCTCGAGCACCGTAAGCCGCTTATGAAAGCTCACAACTCTCGGAAAAGTTTTAAACCATTTCCATGAAATGTAACGTTTTCATAGTTTTATGCGTATGGCCCACAGCAGAGTCGCCTCTATAAATATACATACCTTTCGTTTGTTTTTTGGTTCTCCTTATCTTTTCCGCGAACTTTCATTTTGTTGCATTTCCTCTACAGAATCGCACCCCGATGGGACTGTTTACGCTGTTGTTGTTGTGCTAGGTTATGAATGAAAAGCTTTTCCAATTCAGCTTTGGTCGGGGCCTCGGGCCATTCCCACGATTGCCGTCAGTTCTTTTCCTTAATGGTCTCGGTGTTTCTCTTATGAATGAGAAAAATGCTGAAGAAATACGATAGAAAGGTAAATTCACAGGAAAACGAAGCTTACATAACATGCATTCGAGTATTGTATTTATTGTTAAAATTTTAAAAGTGGGCCATTAAAAAAAAATTTGACAAAAAATCTAAAAAAACATTATGTTTTACGATTTTTATGCAAAACTGTGCAGAATCGATCCACGATTTAAGGTACTCCGCCCAAGAAACAGAGAAGTTTCGCAAAGATATGGGCTTCTCTGTGGGTCATATGGGGCCTCCATGCATTTTTCTACATTTTGAAGGGGATCCTCCAGAAAATTCGACAAAAAATCTAAAAAAAATTATGTTTCAAGATTTTGATGCAGATCTGTGGAGAATCGATCCACTATTCGTTTAAGGTACTCCGCTTAAGAATCGGATAATTTTCGGCAAATATATGGGCTTCCTTGTGGGTCATATGGGGCCTCAATGCATTTTTCGACATTTTGAAGGGGATCCTTTAGAAAATTTGACAAAAAATCTAACAAAAATTATGTTTCAAGATTTTGATGCAGGTCTGTGGAGAATCGATCCACGATTCGTTTAAGGTACTCCGCTTAAGCATCGGATAATTTTTGGCAACGATATGGGCTTCTCTGTGGGTCATGTGGGGCCTCCTGCATTTTTCTACATTTTGTGGTAAAGACATCGCTGGGGACCATATAGTGCATTCTATATGGCGTTTCAAACGATTTCAAGTTCACCAAAGGGAGTCCTTTAGGCTTTATTTTCATCCTGATCAAGATTCTTGCCTATGCATATATGGCTCCCCATGAATATCTCATATTTTTTTAATTTCAGGTTTCTGTCTTGGCTAGTTAAAAAAGTAAGCTTTTTGAAAAGTTTTTCTGGGCATAAAGAGAATATATAATAGTAAGAGAATATATGCAGAAAACCCGTTTGAGGCTTGATCAGCTGTTGGATCAGCTGCCGTAGAATTTAGCGGTCAAGCAGGAATGTTTTTGCAATCAAGTTTTCCTCAGAGACTTATATGAGAGAGTATTATCCCTCTAAAATGGCGAGAGAGCGGCGAATTATTGCTTATGTGTGCGTGTTGCGATCGCTGCTCGTATGTATATAAAAAGACGCTTTTAAACCACTTGCCAGACAGAAAATGGTTTTGTCGTTGCTCCGCTGACTTGGCAGTCGCACTTCCCTTCCAGAGCTTCTCCAGAGAACTTGGAAATATCAATCGCGTGTTTCGCTTGTCTTTCGAGTGTTTTGATTAACAAATGCATCTGAATCAAAGTCATTAAATCGGGACTTGTCTAGTGCGAGTTATATAAAATTAACTAAAAAAAAATAAGCGGAAGAGTTCCACAAATTAATTCCGAAACTAGTTGAACTAATTTGCCTACATTATTGATAGCTAAAATGAGTGTCGAAAGGTAATCAAACGAATCCAAACAAAGCGGAAAGCAAAAAAAAAAAATAAATAAACACCAAAGGTGTTCACTGTGCTAAAACATTGTGTCCACTCATCAGCATTTTTTGTGATTTTTTTTTCATATTGTCTGGTTAGCTAAAAATATCCCCTTCGACTTTAAACCCCAGCCGACCGACCACAAACAAGTTTCTTTGCCTGCATTTTGTGTTGCCAGGGTCCAGATGGAGGGTTGGCGGGCCTCTGAAGTACTTCCAGACTTAGATTAGGCCACAGGGCCAGTTTTTGGCAACCTCGATAAGGCACCCTCGAAAAATTCATTGCCAGACTTGTGACGAGGTACCCCCTAGGAAAAAATGATTATTGCTTGTATTGCGATATGTTTCTGCACCTGTTTTTTGATGAATGAAGTGGTCCCGAGGGAAAGATTTCCGTTCAAATACCTCACTAATGACAATAAATTATTGGCTTCGATGTTAGAGTATAGTATATGTTGGTTCCCAGACCGATTAGATATTGGGGTATTTACCAGACAGAAAACACGTGTTGGTTGAAAGCAAGAGTTAACCTTTGTTTTGGTATTTGTTTTATTTTTAATTAATTGATTATTTGCACTTCATGATGAGTGTAATATTTCTAGGCCTATTATCGCCTCAATCAATTACATGACTGGAGCTCATGAATGTTTAATTGGTTTTTTCAAGACTTTTCTATATAATAAAGTCACTTTATGTACTTCCCTTTAAAGCTATTTTTCATGTTGATTGATTGGTGATTACTCATTCCCGAATATTGCCAAAAATTATGAAATTTCTTTGGCAGAATGGCTTCTTCCAAATTACTAATTGGTTTGTTTACCCTTAATAACTGCCATGGCCCTTTCGTTTCGAATAACCCTTTAACCGGCTAACCGAGATTCCCTCGGCTGGTGGTTTTTTTTCGTTATCTTATCGCTCGGCATCTTGCAGGCTCGGCCATTAAAATCGATTCGGTTATTACGCATACGCCGGGTGGGCCTTATGCCGGAATGACTATGGTGAAATTAATCCTTGATTGGGGTCCCCTTAAGTCATCAGTTGGCTTCAGACTGTAGAGTCTAGAGCTCCGATTGCCTTAATTAAGCGAAATCATTTGTTTGACGACTATTCGATTGGCAGCCGCACGCTCGCAGATGATTGTTTCATTCGCTAGGGTTGTGTTGTGTGCGCCTTAAATTATCTAATTTGGGGTGTCAATAGATGGTAAGCATTTCAGTTTATAGAATTCGCTGAGTCGTGCAGGCGACTTTGTCAATTCACACATCAGCATCTTGTGTATGGTGTTTACAGAGGGACAGATCAAACGGACTTGGACTTCAGTCACGCCGATTTATTGTGATTGGAAAGTTTGCTTTTTAAAAAGTACGCATCTTGTTAACAGTAATTCTTGGGATTGTCTTATCAAATTTTGTCAAATTGTTGTTGCAAAGCAAATACCTGTTTTGTGTCTGGGCCTGAAGTTTCGTTTGTGGTACATTGAACCTCGGCCTTTATCACTTGTACTTCCTTAATCAATCGCAGACGATTTCCCTCCTTGATAATGCAATATTGTTTATGAATATTGTTCGGTTAAAACAATGGGAAATATTTGGTTTAGTTTTGTGGCCAAAAATTGTAGTCTTACTTAAATTTTGGCAATGCTTAGCACGCTTTGTCATGATATGGTATGACCAATGCTAGAAGTCTGTCCAAGGTTTGCATTTTGTAGATCAATGGCAATGGGAAGTGACAAAAACTTTAGGCCTACAAACGCGAATCCATTCTATTGTCTTGTGTAGCTTAATTTTGGCAAAGTTATTAAGTCAAAAATAACGCCTAAAATTTGCAAAGAAAGTATTATCCGGTTCATTAAACGTGACTCCCCGCTGACCTTGTCTGACGTTGGAAACAATACATTAACATTATTAAAGCAGTTGAAATATAAACAAAACAAAAGCTTTGGCAAAACAGGCAGACAGAGAGAGAGAGAGAGAAACGCTGGCGAAATACACACCCAATCGAGGAGTAGTTATTGTTTTTGCCCAAGTTTTTTATTATCTCATCGCCAAAACAAACTAAAACATACAGCTGGTTTCTAAAAGTGACGTATCGAACCAGCAAGCGTTTTCTTATCACTAAAATAAGCGATTTTCTCTCTCTTTTGCGCTAAAGCTTTGCTTTCCGGCGATTTTGAAAAGCGAGAGCATGACTCAACAAAAAATGGCCTGTTTTTTTTTTTTGAAAATGCAATAAAAAACATCAAAGTGCAACTCGATCGTTTCGAGTGGCGTGTGAAAGCTGCTCTAATTACGAGAGCCCTGCATTACCTCGGCCCTAAGTGGCCATGAAATTGCCAATAATTGCAAATTGATTCGCCCATTAAGCCACAAAAGTGTTGGGAGTACCTTGACAATAGCGGAATTTTTAGTTTCAACGCTAGAGAGCTCACAACTTCAAAGGGCATTGATTCGGTGAGGTTATCTAATCAGTCTGATGGAAATCGATTTGTTATTATTTTATTACACTCTGTTAGCATTAACCATTACTACGTTTTTTTGGCTAAAATAAAGTGATTTAATGATATAATTTTCTGATTTCTAATACAGTAGGGATGAGGAATACATCAAGTTTGTGCCCCACAAAATGTCCTACCATGTGGTGCCCGGTGCGGAGTTCCAATGCAAAGTGAGCAGCTACTCTTGCCGGAAACTGTCCACCATCGATGAACAGGATCATGATGTGGCCAATCGCAAGGGAATGATAAACCAGGTGAGTTCACAGACCAATAAAGGAAGTACCTATGGTACATATATCTCAGGTTAACACCTTTCAAACCGGAGGTTTAATCTTGTCAGTTTCTTGTCGAACAACGAAACATCTTTTAGGACTTGGGTGCGACATGCGTGACAGATACTAAATATTATTCCGTGAAGGACAAAATGATAAGATACGCAATTGAACTTTCTTCACGGAATGATTAGAAAACGCTTCGTTTGGGCGCTACATGTGGCGGCCATGTGACGCAGGCTCTGGCTCTCGAATTGATTCGAATGGAAACTCTGTGAATAGCACGAAATGTCACTCAATTTCAGGGTGTCTATAGCGGTTCAATTAAAATAAACACACGAGTCTCTATGTGGTAATCAATGGCCAGCGGTCATCGCAGATCGTTTATCACGATCAGGGCAAATCAAAATATAGCTGTTCATGATGCAATTGCAACATCAATTGACGGCAATTGCTGGTCAAGTGGCAACATTGATGCACCGATCGTTATATTTGATTATATATTAAGATGCACATAGGATAGATATACCATGTAGCGAATACGAATATTTATGAATACATTTTCATTTAATTTTCACTTAGATCTTGGCAACATGTGCGGTTCTATTACTCTCCGCTGGATGTGGCATGCCCATTGGCTTCTCGGCAGTGTTGATTCCCCAGTTGACAAACAGCACGGAAATTCCCATTGATGTGGAAACAGGATCATGGATCGGTAGGTTCAAACACCAAACTATATCCACACTAAGCTAAACTCATACTTATATTACAGCTAGTGTCCATAGTTTGGCCACTCCTTTTGGATCCCTGCTATCCGGGCCTTTAGCCGACTATTTGGGACGCCGTAAAACGCTGTTGGTCTCAGTGGTTCCCCTCTTTCTTGGTTGGAGCACTTTGGCCATGGCCAAGAACATCAAGATCGTGATCTTTGCCCGATTCCTGTGTGGCTTTGCCACTGGCATTCTGGGTGGACCCGGCCAGGTGAGTGACCCACTGCGAATTCCAATGCCAGTTAGTTTGGGGTTCGTTCACACACAACACCCGGAACCGTACGTGACACAAGTCAAAACTGCTCGAGTGACCCATTAACCGTAATCGGGAAAGCCTTGAACTACGGTATGGGACCAGGGAAGAGCTGTGACAGCCAGTGGACAGGTCGTCAATTGGCCACTTGACGCATGTCTATTGTCCCGGCTTCTCTGGTCGCTTCCATTGTGTGTCTACAAATACTACATAAGTAATGCGTCTCCAGCCGGCGCTGTTCATTCTTTTCACTTATGTATCTTATGGATATGTCCGTGACTTATCTTGCGGCCAAAGTGATAGCGATAGCCGGACAAATCGTCGGCGTCATCACTTCCCCGGGACTTTAAATGGCCAGCGCATCATTTGCATTAGCCAGCCCACACACGCTCGACGTAGTAGTTCCGGATTCTTGACCTTAGTCTATAATAATGCGGTAATTTTCGGGATGGGTGCACTGGATGGGTGACTGAATGGGTGACCGTTCACCGGGTGGTGGGCGTCGACTTGTTGCGCGTGTTTCCCGGACAGTTTCGTTTTCATTAATGGTTTGCTGACTGCGTAGCCCAGTGGCATGATGATTTACGATTTTATGATTACCATCCAAGAGTTCCCACAGATTAAGATGTTGATGCTTTTGTGACCCCCAAATTTATCAAATTGTTTGCTTTTGGCGAAAGTTCTTCTGGTCCAGGGGTTCAGGGTTAGGAAACATCGGAAAGTGATATCCCCCGGCATTATTGATGTTATTAGTATGATTAGAAGTGGCTCGTTCTATTGTTGAGAAAGCCAGGAAATTTTGGGGACACCAGGCTATTTATCATCCACGTATTCGAGATTTCGAGATTATAATTAAGAGGTTTGTGTAGTTGTGGCCCCCAAATTAATGAAATTGTTTTGTTGGGGAAAGTTCTTGAGGTGAGACTCAGGGTCTATTTGATTTAGGAACTGAATAATTATGTTTAGATCAGGTTTAAATTAGTTTAACTCTTCTAAAGACATTATAGCTAACTTAAATTCTCGTTTCTCCTTCAGGTCTACATCGCTGAGACAGCGGAACCCAATTTGAGGAGTTTGCTGATAGGAGCTCCTTACGTGGCATATTCCACAGGCATTATGCTAATCTATTCCCTTGGCTCCATGATGTACTGGCGCAATGTGGCGTGGTGTGCCAACATCCTACCTCTGGCTGCCGTTGTGTCCATCTACCTCATTCCGGAAACTCCTGCGTGGCTGCTGCGCAATGGCTACGAGAGTAGAGCCCTCAAGGCCTTGACCTTCCTGCGGGGCAGCGAGATCTCTGCCCAGAAGGAGGCCAACGACATGAAACAGCGGCTGGCCAAGGAGCGGGCCACTACGCGGACTAACGAGAACATCTTCCGCCTCTGCTGCCAACGGGTTGCTATGAAGCCCCTTGTCATTGTGATAGTCTTCTCGCTGCTGCAGATGTTCTCCGGCACCTTCATTGTGATCTTCTATGCCATCGATATAATCTCGGAATTCGGAGCGGACTTTGACAACAAAAAAGCAGCGATTTGGACAGCAGCAGTCAGAGTAGTCTGCTGTATGATATTCTGCGCTATCCTCATCTTTGTCCGTCGACGCAGGATCATGATGATCTCGGGCATCGGTTCTGGGGTCTTTTGTCTGGCCTTGAGTGCCTTTATGTACGCCCGAGTGGGTCAGCCCAAAATGGACTACGATGTTCTTGTGGCCGGTGTGTGCCTTTTGGGTTACATTGTCTTCAACACCGCTCTAATGGTAATGCCGGGCATCATGATCGGAGAGCTGTTCCCGGCCAGGATTCGAGGCAGAACCGCCGGAGGTGTGTTTGCTTCCATGAACGTGGCCCTGTTCATCTTCGCAAAGAAATTCCCCGCCTTGCAGGCTTGCCTCAAAATGCGTGGAGTGTTCTTGGTCTTTGGGGTATCGAGCATCCTGCTGACCATTTTTATGTGCCTGTTCCAGCCGGAGACCAAGGGTCGCAGTCTGGAGCACATCGAGGATTACTTCAACGGCGACAACTGGCTGTGGTTCCGACGGGACCGAGGCTACAAGACGGTGAAACTGCATCCTCTCCAGCCCATCAAAGCCAATGGAACGACTGCAGATGCCTAATCCAATGGTGGATGCTTAGCTTTTAGACCGGGCTGTTACGTTTCCAGATATATCCATAGATTTTGTAGTTTCTAGGTAGTCTTAGACGTACTCATAGATCTAGCCGCAGTGCCTCGTAGTTTCTAAACTCGATCGATTTTCCAGTGCCCTCCAGGTTGGCCACTTCGACAGGGAATCTTCAAGTGCTAAGTTAAATCTTTCAAATTGTGATCACTATGCTTTAAAATTTATCTACTTGTAACTTGAAATATAATTAGAAATAAAAATCTGTTAAATATATTGCTTACTGGTTGTTTTATTTCTAGGTTTTATTAAAAAAAAGGTTTAATGTCTTCTCTCTTCCTTTAAAAAGTATTCAAATATTTTACATTTTTGAAAAATTTAGTATTACCACTTAATTTAGAAAAATGGTATATTTTTATATTTGGTATATTTTCGATAAACGATAGGTGTTGGTCATACGGTCATACTAATTACAACTAAAGACGAAAATGAACGCGGTAAGCATGAAGTTTTATGAATTTATAAGTTTACTGTCATTGTAAGCATGATTTATGATCTCAAACAGGAACTCAAGGGCAAAATCGAGAGCTGCGCCCGTACAGCGGAGGATTTCACCCGCCTGTACTATGCCTCCGTGGACAATCGCCGGCACGTAAGTCTGAGACTCTCGAGGACTTTCAACCGAATACGAAATAACCAGAAGTTTCTTTGTAGCAAATGGGGCGTCTGTACATCGACAATGCAATCTTCAGCTGGAACGGAAATGGGGCCACAGGACGTGAAATGATTGAGCGCTATTTCTTGGAGCTGCCAGCCTCTAGCCACCAGATGAGTACCCTAGACGCACAGCCTATACTGGACTCTGCTGTGGCTAATCAACTGACCTACCTCGTAATGGCCAGCGGCACTGTCAAGTTCGTGGACCAGACTATTCGCAACTTTCAGCAGTCCTTCATCGTCACCGCTGAGAACGACAAGTGGAAGATTGCATCCGATTGCTATCGCTTACAGGAGGCAGTAGTCTGAGTTTCCGCCCAAAGAACACTCCATACGTTGTTATAATAAAGTTAAGCTAGGCTCGATTATCAAACCGAATTTATTTACATAGCTAAGCAGTTCAAAGTTTATTTATTTACTCCCCTCGGACTTGGGCTTCTTGGAGGCCGGCTCATCTGAGGCAACCTCCTCGGAGAAGATAGCTTTCGGTTGGGTTTGCTTGTAGGCAGGAGCTATCCAGTATGGATTTTCGGCTGCGTCCTTGGCAAACTTTAGAATGGCCTCCCTGGGATCCTGGTCGTCATCAACACGCTTACTCAAGCCCAGATTCCGGATGACATATGAAGAGAGAGTGCCACCCGAGCTGGCGACTCGTCCACCCTGACCACTGGTGATGGGTAAATCTGGTCGTTTCGATTTGACGGGATCCATGCGAGCCTTCTCCATCTTCTTGCGCGAGGAGCGCGTCTTCTCATCCCGGAAGAGATGCAGGGAATGCGGAGTAATGATCTGAGACACCTGCACCATTTCCATCTGCTGCCGCTTGCGATGCGTCTTCACAATGCACAACTTGGCGCCACGGATGCTGCGCTGCTCGTCGTAGTAGCACTTAATGATTCCGTTTCCGCTGCTGACGAAGAGCTGGTTGAGTTTCGGATGCCAGAGGGTCTTTATGATGTGTGAGTTGGAAACGGGGATGCGCTGAACCTCCTCGAAGCTCTTGGTGCTGTAGAAATAAAGATTTGCCTCGGTCTGACCTTTGGGCAGCGATTCGCCAGTGACCAGCATCCTATCATCCGGACTGAAGCAGCAGTCTGTGGTGTCGTAGCGAGAGAACAGATTCGTCCAGGTGTACAGTGGTTGCTTGAACTGGCGCAGGTCCCACAGCTTCATGGTCTCGTCGTTGCTTCTGGTTGCCAGTTGCTGGCCCATGTACGAGAACACTATGGATGTGATCTCCGAGCCCTTCTGATGGGCTCCACGAACGCAATGGGTGGTGCTAACGAACATCTTCCGCGTGTCCCACGTCTGTATGGAACCATCCACACAACCAGCTGCTATCAGTGTGGCGTCCCTGTTGTAGTTGCAAGAGGAGGCGTTTGTTCTCAGACCGCCCTGGGCTCTAGTCTTAATGACTTGCAACTGCTCCTTGGCCTTTAATCCTTCCCAGATGCGAAGAGTACCATCCAGGGCTGCCGTGAGGAATTGCTCCCGATTAAAGGGATGCCAGCAGCCGGAGGTTAGCTGCGCCACATGACCCTTTGTGCGCGACATGTCCGATATATACTGATCACCCTTGCAGCACTCCAGTTTCTCAAATCCATCGCGATCCAGAATCTTCGCTTGAGCATTTCCTGAGATGACCAGAATCATGTCACCAGTAACTGAGTATTGGAGGGAACGAATCGGATGATTCTCGCAGGGCTGCAGTTGTCTGAAGCTCCGCATACCAGAGTCCATGCCGGCAAAGTCCCAGAAACACATGTCGTAGTCAATGGAGCCGGAGACCAAACGGGCGCCCGACGGATCTCCGGCGAGTGCCAACACAGCTCTCGATCCGTGCTGCATCTTTACCTCGTGGGTGTAGGGTATCCGCTTGGCGAGAGTTTTTTCGTCATCGGAATCCTCGTCAGAGGAGTCATCCTCATCGGAAGAGTCGTTCTCCTTTTTGGTGGTTTCTGTTGTGGGTTTTTCTTTCTCATCGGCTGCTGCAGGTGGTAAGGGTCCGATAACATCCTCATCATCCTCCTTTTCCTCTGTTTTTGTGTCAGATTCTTCCTTCTTTTCAAGTCCTGGCCGTGTGACTCGCGCCTTGGCGATTTGCTCGCTGATGTCAAATGTTTTTGCGGCCTTCCGGCCAAATCCACTGATGCCCATTACTTCTTTTAAGTGCTGGCTCTCAAGATCTTCAGCTACGTCCTCAATCTGGCGAATCATCTGCTGCTTGTCCATTTTCTTGAATCCTCCGCTGCTGCCACTTTCTTCAGAGGATTGCTTCGCCTCCCCTTCCGCATTTTCTTTTGGTAATGCCGGCGCCTTGTTGACATTCAGTTGGATCTTCCCGAAGGAGATCTTACCACGCTGCATGGCTAGGAAAACTACTCTTAGTAACTTTATTCAATATAAACAAAAATATAACTTATTTTCCAATGCGGCTGTGGAAGTAAACAAAGATTTATCGAACCGGGAACTAGTTCGCCGGAACCACGAACAGCTGCAAAGCAACAGAATGCCCACAGGGTGATCCAGGCCGATATTTCTAACCTTAAATTGGCGCGCAGTGTTGTTATTCGTTGTCGGCGTTTTGGCATTTCTCGATTTGATGCGAATTTAATATCATTTGGCAAAGAGCTGTAATTTATTATTTAACTAGTTTTATTTGGAATTAAACCGCACAGCAACATGACAGACTCTCTGGAGTACAACGACATCAATTCAGAAGTCCGCGGCGTCTTGGTAAGTTGCTGCAAACGTCTTAAATATTTTGGACACTCTTGTCTGACTCCGGTGTTTCCCTCTCCCTTTCTCGGAAATAGTGCTCTGGGCGTCTCAAGCTGACAGAACAGCACATCATCTTCAAGAACACAAAGACCGGCAAGGTGGAACAGATTGCTGCCGATGACATCGATCTAATCAACTCGCAAAAGTTTGTGGGCACTTGGGGCCTGCGCGTGTTCACCAAAAGCGGAGTGTTGCACCGTTTCACAGGATTCCGCGACAGCGAGAACGAGAAGCTGGGCAAGTTCATCAAGGATGCTTACTCGCAGGACATGGTTGAGAAGGAGATGTGCGTCAAGGGTTGGAACTGGGGCACAGCCCGCTTCATGGGCTCTGTCCTGAGCTTCGATAAGGAATCGAAGACCATTTTCGAGGTACCCCTATCTCATGTGTCGCAGTGCGTCACTGGCAAGAATGAGGTGACCTTAGAATTTCATCAGAATGACGATGCGCCTGTGGGCTTGCTTGAGATGCGCTTTCACATTCCCGCCGTGGAGTCTGCGGATGAAGATCCGGTGGACAAGTTCCATCAGAACGTGATGAACAAAGCGTCGGTCATCTCGGCGTCCGGCGAATCGATTGCCATCTTCAGGGAGATCCAGATCCTTACACCGCGTGGTCGCTACGACATCAAGATCTTCTCGACATTCTTCCAGTTGCACGGCAAAACGTTCGACTACAAGATTCCCATGGATTCGGTGCTGCGACTCTTCATGTTGCCCCACAAAGACAGTCGCCAGATGTTCTTTGTGCTGTCCCTGGATCCGCCCATCAAGCAGGGTCAGACGCGTTATCACTATTTGGTGTTGCTCTTTGCTCCGGATGAGGAAACCACCATCGAGTTGCCATTCTCAGAAGAGGAGTTGAGGGACAAGTACGAGGGCAAACTGGAAAAAGAACTGTCGGGCCCGGTGTACGAGGTGATGGGCAAGGTGATGAAGGTGCTAATCGGACGGAAGATCACAGGGCCTGGAAACTTTATTGGGCACTCTGGTACAGCGGCAGTGGGCTGCTCCTTCAAGGCCGCCGCAGGTTATCTGTATCCCTTGGAAAGAGGTTTCATTTACATCCACAAGCCGCCCCTACACATTCGCTTCGAGGAGATCAGCTCAGTGAACTTTGCCCGCAGCGGCGGCTCTACGCGGTCCTTCGATTTTGAGGTGACCCTCAAGAACGGCACCGTCCACATCTTCTCCTCCATCGAGAAGGAGGAGTACGCCAAACTCTTCGACTTCATTACACAGAAGAAGTTGCATGTAAGCAACATGGGCAAGGACAAGAGTGGCTACAAGGACGTGGACTTTGGCGATTCGGACAACGAGAACGAGCCCGATGCCTACTTGGCTCGCCTCAAGGCGGAGGCCAGGGAGAAGGAAGAGGACGATGATGGCGATGACTCGGATGAAGAGTCCACCGATGAGGATTTCAAGCCCAACGAAAATGAGTCGGATGTGGCGGAGGAGTATGACAGCAATGTGGAGAGCGACTCGGAGGATGACAGCGATGCCAGTGGCGGTGGAGGCGATAGTGACGGTGCCAAGAAGAAGCACAAGGAAAAGAAGGCGGAGAAGAAGGAGAAGAAAGAGAAGAAGCACAAGGAGACGGAGCGAACTGTAAGTGGAGGTCCTACTTATATTTTCCATTATTGTAAAATTATATTTTTTTTTTTTAGAAAAAAGCAACCAAGAAGAAGGAGTCCGATAAGCCGAAGCGCGCCACTACCGCTTTCATGTTGTGGCTGAACGACACGCGCGAAAAAATCAAAAAGGATAATCCTGGAATAAAGGTGACTGAGATCGCCAAAAAGGGTGGCGAGATGTGGAAGGAGCTGAAGGACAAGTCCAAGTGGGAAGAGGCGGCGGCCAAGGACAAGCTGCGGTACCAGGAGGAGATGCGTAACTACAAACCCTCGGGAGGTGGCAGTGACAACGAAAAGGGAGCCAAAGCCAGCAAGAAACGTAAATCGGATGCATCGCCAACCAAAAAGGCCAACAGCTCAGGCAGCGGTTTCAAGAGCAAGGAGTACATATCCGATGACGATTCCAGCACCGATGAGGACAAGGCCAAGTCCAAGGACAAAGAGCCTGCCAAGAAGAAGAGCAAGTCCAGCGACGACGAGAAGAGCAAGTCCAAGAAGAGTGAAAGTGAAGCGGAGGACAGCGAGGAGGCGAGCAATGCCAGCGATGAAGATGAGGAGGAGGATGATGATGATGAGGGCAGTGATTAGGATCCGCTCCAGAATATAATTCCATATACATCCCATAAACACACCTACACCACCCACTCACAAACAAACACAAACTCACACACTACCCTAATCTAGGTTATCTTTGCTTAGTTTTAGTTAAGTCTCGCCTGTTGGATACAGAACAATACGATTTTGTTTAATTAAAAACATACTACACAAGCAAAATGCATATAATTAACTGAATTCATGATTGCCCATAATGATTGATTCGTATCGGCTATTTTATACGGATGACTTGATCTCTGGCTCGGTCCAAATGATGATCCATTTTCCAGTCATTAAGCGGGCTTCAGTAACTCTAGTTATGGCTACGCTGGGGCGTTTGCTCCTCTGCTTTGCACTCTGGCATTTTCTGCAGGTAAGAGCAGGCATCGGATGCGGAATCCAGCGCTAACTCTAGTACTCACTCCAGGTCCAGGGGGTATCCAAGTTCACGAACGTCGAATGCTTCAGTATAGACGAAACCTTCACAAACTTCACCCTCTGCCGCCTGTACGCCGTAAAGAGGGATGTAGTCGAAATGAGTTTGAGGGTCAACATATTTAGGTGGCCCAAGCGACCAGTTTCGGTAAGTTCTCTCTTTATTAAAATTCTTTAACTTAAATGGCGGATTCAAAAGTGTGGTATTTCTGGATGAATCACAACCACAAACGACTTGTAAACAATTTATGTGCAATGATGGAATTTAAAACGGGTCAGGAGGCTAAAGCAAGAACGTTTCTCCATTTTGAATTTTCATGACCAACAAGTAATGAACAAAAGATGGCCAGGGGTGTGTCCCCAAAGCGGGTGGGTGGATTATGGAGCTGTCAAGCGCCGGCGATGGAAGTGCTGATGCTGTACATGAACATCCTGGCTGGGAGTCTCGTTCTGGGATTTGGCCAGCAGATCCTCAACATCGTCGAAGAGCTCCTCTTTCGGAAGGGCGAGGTTTGATCCTGAGGGATGGTGGGCTTCTTCTGTGAGCCTCTTGCCCACTTTGCGCGAGACTCTGCGCTGCATTGGCGACTGACAGGGTATGGGACGAACGAGTTTTTTCCTCGGCAGGTCGTGGAGCGAGAGGCTAGATTGGTGGTGGAGATGTGTGGAGGCCTTAGAGACGGAAAGCTGGAAGACATCACTGTCATCATTGGCGAAAGTCGAGCTGACCAAGGGACTGGAACAGATGGATAGATTTTTGGCCGATGTTTCCTCTGATCCCTCATGCGATTCGTTATCCTCCCCATTTGTTGCGGCCAGATCATCTTCCGTGGACTTCATTGTGCTCCCCCTATTCCACATCTGGGCGATGAATGGCACCACAACGCCTCGACCGCGCATCACCAGTAATGTCATCAAATGGACGATGTCTCCCAGGATCTTATCCTTTCCGCGGTTCAGGAAGTTATCAATTTGGTCCTGTCGCGTAGATAGCACCGGGCGAAGGATTGCGTCAAACATCCAGACATTGGCTGCCGGAGCGGAAAGGACAATCCACAGAACCAGGAGCAGCTTGGTGGGCGTATAGAGCGGCAGCCACGAGAAGAAAGTATCCGCCAGGACTTCGATGGTGATGAGGAAAGCGTAGACTATCCAGTACTTGGCCCAGGCCAGGAACGCATCATCCCCGGTGTTGAGGGTCTTGTAGGTGTGATACGCCGGACCCAAAGTTCCGTAAATAAAGAACAGGAAACGAGTCACACAACTGAAGATACACATCTCCATCTGCATTCAGATAGCAAAACTTCCTCCTGGCCAAAAAACGAACAAAGCGAGTCTTCAAACCAAGAGCGGGTGTCGCCTAGTTGTGTGACGGGAAATGATTTGATGTTACACTAATACTAAATTTATTTCATATGTCTATTACAAATTTTGTACTCATCAAACGATGTACACACGGCAAACTAAAAGGAAATCCTTCAGAGAACAGAGAAGATCTTGCCATCAAAACCTATGCCTACCTAGTTCATGAATAACTGAATATATATATATATATATAATAACTGAAATATTTTCCACTATATGTTTCTTTAATAGATGCGTCTACAATTGCTGAAGAAGGCCAGTGGTTATAAGCCCTTCCTTTACAATGTCTGCCAGTCGGATGTTTGCGAGTATTTGGAGAAGCGGAATCATCCTTTTGTGAACATCATCCTCAATAGTTTCGCGAATCGTACCAATGTCAATAGATGTCCATTGCCTGTAAGTTTTTAAATAACTCTTTATAAGTTTAACAATTATTATAATTTAAAATTTCAGCAAGAAATGATCCTAGAGCGCTTCCGCTTTCCAGTAAAGGTCCTGGACCTGATGCCTTTACCCTCTGGGGACTATGCTCTCTTCAGCACTTTTAGCTTTGAGGGAAAAGAACGGGCCTTGGTTAAGGTATACTTTTCCATAACCGAGTATCGTTAACAAAGCAATAACCAAATTAAATATTATTCGCATATTTGTAATAAAACATCGTTTGCGGTGCAATAAACCAATTAATAAATTTGCCATAAATTTGTTAACTGGCTGTAAAAGAGCTTTCCGAATTGATTAACCCTTTGTAATTGTAATAAAATGTTTCCAAAACGTAATGTTATTAATGTTTATTGTTTCGTATTAATAAATTGACGGTTCTAACACGTGGGAATTGCTTTATTGAAATAAAATGAAAGCACCTGAGGTCAACTGCTGACAGCTCCAAGGTTAGGAACCATTAGGCTTCTGATTTGGATCGATTTTCGACCCGAAATTTCTTTCACACAAAGACCCAGAAAAAGGCAATAGTTATGACCCTGCCCAGTTGCCTGAACGCTCATGACATTTCGGATAGGTATTCAAATAGCCATCAGCATTCGATTCAAAGACAGAAAAGGTTCCCATACCATTCACAAAAATATTTGAGCAATTGAAACCGAAACCCCAAATCAATTGTAATTGTGTCTGATAAATGAAATGTTGACGGAAATAACGCGGAAAATAATAGAGAGCCAAGGGGAACATTACGTAGACGCGTAAGGCGATTGTAAAAGGCTACAAAAAAAAAGGCAAAAAGCCACAATTACCAACAGTTTGCATGCATAATTAATTTGTGGGTCAATTGCAAAAACTTGAACTTCGATTCAAGTGGCTTTGGCTCCGAATTGAGCTCCACTGGGGTGTCATCTTTTGGCAGGCGCATCGCCTAGGAAGTGATTTTTTGTAAGATTTTAGGATTTGCATAAATGCCGCCAATTAATTTTGTTATGCAAATTAATGGCAAACAATTAGCGTTGCGAGACAAAGCCGATTTATTAATTGCACATTATTATTATTGTTATTTTTTGTTTTATTTTCTTAAGTTTTGTTTCTTTTGTTTTTACAAAATATGTAAATGTAAAATATTTATTTCGCACTCTGTTTTGAACATTGTTGGTGTTGTTATTGTTGGCCATGTTGTTGTTCTCAATGCAAGTCGATGGCAATGCGCGCTTTATCGCTGATTAACCCAAATTTAAATGATGCTCGCCCCAAGCATTCAATCTGGGGAGTGCGAGAAAAGTCCGGCCAAAGGCGAAGGAACTTTGGATAGAAGTTAATGACACTACGGTGTGGGTGCAAAAGCAGCTGACCAAATTACCTGGAACTGTCAATTATTTGGACTGAACTGGACCGAGTCCTGAGAAGTCAGATTGGATCCTGAAACCATAGGATCTTTTTATATTTAACCCATAAATTTTTCTCCAAATCCGAGATTTATTTTATATATTTTATTCAATAAATTACAATTTAATCGTTCTCATAAAAAAAGAGCAATAATTCCTTCTGTTACAATAAATTAACACTTTATTTAATTTATAAACGCATAATCTTATAAAATACAGGAAATTCACAGAGTATTTATCTCAACAATAAATCGGCTTAACGTTTCTAGAACTTTGATTCGACCCCTGTGGGGATGATGATGAAAATTAACACGAAAAGTCATCGATATATAAAATTGAAACAAATTGTTTTACGACGGGGTGACGAATGCGTCATTTACATTGTGGTTGTTATTCCAAAGTTGTTGAATTTCGGTTTTTGATCAAGATTAATAGTGTGCTAATTGCATTAAGATTGTAGTCAGCACAACATTCCGAACAGTGCAAAATCATTATTGAAAAATCCACAACACGCGTCCTTTCGAGTTCGTTGCTTCAGTCTTTTGTTTGTGCAGTCTACTTGCCGTCGCCGCTCGTCTGTAATTAATCAGTTGCACCTTCCAGATGTCCGAGGGCAGGAAGATGAACCGGGACAAGTGTAAGCGTTCAGATTTGTTTTTAACTTATTATCGGCACACAACTTTGTCCGCCAATTTGTAATAACAATGTGGGCCATTGGCCAACAAATTGCTACCGATAATCGGTGATCATCGATTTCTGGCGCCGATTCATGAATCAATTAACGTGTACCCCTTTCTGGCAATGAACTTTTCTAATTAACGATTAATGTTGTCCGTTTGACGGCTGCTTCTGTGTGAAATCCCATAAAATGAATCAACCGCGGGGTATCGGTTAATCCCAGATCAGATTCCAGATATTTAATGTCTTGTTTTTTGGTCCAGATTACTAACATTAGTTAGTAATCTCTTCGGTGAGAGATATGCATTGCTCCGATGATTGGGAATATTCAAGTTTGTTGTTCAGATACTCGACGATGCTCTTCATTGAATCTTGGTCCGGCGTTTCCAAAGCATTGACTTGGTCAGTTGAGGATCCGGGCACGATCTGGCGGACCATTGGTTCTACATTGTGGCGCATCTCAGCTTCATCCCCCTCTATACCAGTCGGCAGCTTGCTAAGCTCTAGCTGGAGTTGTTGGCCATCCACAAGAGGCTCGCGTTTTTGATCTCCTCTTCCGTCAGAATCATTAGGAGCACTTGCGAGAGTCAATTGCAAGAAGAAGGCAATAAGCCGGAGTAGAAATTTTGCTAACTGATATCCAAATATGATGATGGGTCTAAGTATATCCCAGAAATGCTGTCCGATTTGAGTGTACATATAGTCGGTGCTATACGGTACGCTAAACCACAGGCACACGGATAGGACCAGCTTCACAATGGTGTAGAGAATCCTTTCGCCGTAAATAGAGTCTGTTATACACATTAAGGCCTGTAGCAGAGCGTACACTATCCAATATTTGAGCCACATGACAATTAAGTCATTTTGGCGCTGGGTGCAGGCCCGCATTGTAAACCAGCCTGGAGAAAGGATACCGTAATAAATATATACATAACGCAGCATTGTTTCTTCAAAGGTTGAATAATAAAAATGTTCAAAATTTTATTTACTTTATTTTTTTGAAAATAAAATTTTACCAAGCGAAAAATCTTTTGTTGGAGATACCGACTTTTTTAAAATGATTAGTAGCTGTACGATGTAAGCCTTACACATTGTAAGATGTGTTGATTTTAAATCCATAGCTACTTTGTTTGTTTTAAGTATTTTAGGCCAAACGTTTTGGCAACACAACCAAACAATTCTCAATGGCTTCCCATTAAAAATAGTTTATTATGATTGTGCTTACATTCCAAATCGCGAAAACAATCAAATAATTCCTTGTCACTTCCTTGAGTCAGAAAGCAATCAAAAGCTGCAACCAGCACTTGGCCATCAGTTGCAGTGGTAGTAGCGGAATGGTACTGGTTCGAACCAGGCTAAGTGCCTGGGGCTTTGCCCGTGGCTTTCGCAAGACCAGGAGCCAAATAGCATAGCTAAACGAGTGTGTGCGCCTGTCTTTAAGCCAACTTTATGCATATTTATAGATTTGTTTGCCCGACTAACAAACCCCAAATAAACCAGAAAAGGGGTAAAGAGATGCCTATATGAACCGGAGGAGAGGGGAGAAAGAGACCCAGTTTATGGGCCAGATTGAATTAACGGCGGTGCCTTTTTGGCCACAAACTGTGCAGTTGGTAGTCGCCAACAGTTGTTGTCGACCTGACATAATGGAAATAATAATATAATCGATTTCAACTGCAATTTTGTTCAACTTGTTCGGCGTGTCTGCCCTAAAATTTATGAACATTTTTCTTCAGTTCAAATCGGGACTCTGTTTATCCGCTCCACTTGTTCGAAATTCATAATTTTATTCAAGTGCTTTATATTCTGTGAACCTGATTAGTTTGTTTAGCTGCCGGGATTATTACATCATTTGAATAGCAAAGCAAACGTTTTGTTTGACAATTTCGTAAAGTTTTCGTTGGCGGATTTGGAGGTTTCCAAACCAAAGAGCCAAACTAGCGTGAAATGTTGAAAATTATGCAAAGTTTTTATAGCTTTTCTTTGTATATTTTTGTAGAAATTTTGTGTTGGGGGAAGAGCTCCATAAATATATATCGAACACAGCTGGGATGGATTTTTAAATGGGTTTTGTTTCGTTTTTTTATGCTTTTTATGTATCATTTGTGTTCGTTGACGCCTCGTTAAGGTCTGGTATATGTTTTTTTTAATGGAGGAGTGGGAGAAGCTGGGATTACAAGCTGCACCCGGTGATCTGTTAACCTCTTTATCGAAGATACATACCAAATCTGCGGTTGGCCAACTCTTCATCTTTCTCCACCTCTCCTCCACCTTTTTCTTTGGGTTTTGGTTTTTTTGTAGGGGTTATGGATGCGGGCAGATTGACATTGACCCTTTGGTTTGACATGGATAAATGTACGCCTATTTGTGTGAACAGTTAACAATAAAAAATATTTTGATTAAATGACATCTTGGGTGATACCAATGACCTCCAGATTTCCTCCTCGGTTCAAATTTCTGTTGTTGATTTTTCATGTAACCCTTTTGTTAATTAAAAAATGAATTTTTCTTTAATTTATCACAGTAAACAATACAGAAATTATTCAAAGACAATTCATTATTTTTGTCGACGAAGAAAAATGTGTCTCACGCGACGACGACTCATCCTTTTGTAGAACTCGTTTAGGGTTCAACAATTCTGAACAGAATACCCCGAAGCTGTCAAGAGGAAAATGTGTCAAATAATATTTAATGGATTCGAGCCTGGCGGGCTGTGAGAAAGTCAGATACTTGGCCAATAAACACAGCAAATTTAAGATAATGTAAACAAATGCAAAGTAATTAACACGAAATCCGCATAAAAGTAATGAGTTCAATTGCCAAAACGAAACCAGTTTGGGCAACGCTTAAGATTGGCGATTAGACCCGGCTGATTAGGGTGGTAGTGGGAGGCGGGTGTGGAATTCACAGCTCATTAATAGATGGGTATCGACAAGTTAAGCTCCGAGTTAAATGTCGCCTGAAATGTTACACTCGAGATACCAGAGCCGAGATGTGTGACTTCCATGGTTCGCTTCGGGTTGATTCCAGCATGCAAATGATCTCGATTTGGCGGTGTGGGAGGCTGTCTCCGGACGAACTCCCTCGTGTGGACCCAGTGACTCATCCATCCATCCAGTGATCATCGGTTCATTGCCATTTCACCCAAAAAAATATCGATTATCCTGCTGGGACAGCTGCCGGGCTTACGTAGAAGGTTCAGTGAGCCACTCGACTCATTGAGATCTTCACATCGATCTCTCAATGTGTGACAATTACCTTTTTAATTGTCCCACTTTGTACGGATCGATCTTAATATTTTGATCTTAATATTTTTTACGAGCATAAATCCACGTGGGAGTTAAATGCGATTTTTATCAATGAGAACATAAATAATCGACAGCATCACAGCAGTCGATGAACTTAGGATTAGTTTTTTTTTTGAGAGGAAGCTGGGACATGGGATCTCACCTTGACTAATGACTGACTTTTTAGATCAATCTATCAAGCTGCATCTGCCGTTAGAGATGCCTCACGACTAGGAACCTGGTGTTCTAGCTTCGTTTTCCTGCCTGTAAGTGTCAGCGATGTCAATGCCCAAATGGCAGGCACTTAATTAATTTTACATTCGATTCGCCAATTTAACAATGTCAAATGTTTCAGAGTTACGCTTTCAATGTGAAGATTCCCCAGTGCTCAGAGATTAATTAAGTCCGATTTTTACAACATTAATCAATCCGGATTCCGTAGTTGACTCAAAAAGTCATTCAACGTGGAGTGTGAGTGTGAGTGTGAGATAGTGAGCTGCACATAATTGAGCGCTGAGAGGGCTCACAAAAGCTGGCTCAAAGCATAAGCTTGAGCCATGGTAAGAAAAATGCAAGTGTTTCTTGTCGGTTTTCGCTTTCATCCGAGAGCTTTCAAGGCTTTTGACTTTGGCTTTGGCTCAGATCGTCTAGCAGCCAACGATCGGGGGTTCGGTTGGGGCCCAAAGCTCCGCTCTCAGTTGGCTTGGCCGTCTCGTTTCCACCGCCAGCCCGCCAGCTTTGGATCAATTTTGGACTCCGCCGAGCTGGCCAGCGAACGTTAACTTTAGTGTGCGCCGACCTGTTTCCGTAGACGGCCACAAAAAAATTATTCAACGACCTAGCCACACACAGACTCAAAATCAAATTCAAAAATCGGTTACGATCGTTTCGGATAATGCTCGGCTAAAAGCCTTCAAATTAACTTCCAATCAAGTCGAAAATCCATTAAAGAGCGAATAATTCTATCCCAGTGCAGTGACGTCAAAAGTATCTCAAAAGTGCAATTCCCCAACAAAATCCCCAGGCAGCTCGAAAACAAGCTCAATTCGCAATCTCTCGCTCACTCTTTAGCCCGTTTTTCGTAATCGAATCGTGCAAAAAATAAAAAAAAAATGAAATAAAAAAAGTTATTCAAAAAAAAAAAAGTGAATCTGCCATTTCAGTTAACTCCGATCTGCCCATCCCGCTTCCACTTGCCAATTCGAATTGTTAACGTTGTCGCCGCAGTCACCGTTGCAGTCAAAGTCGAAGTCGCAGTAGCAGTAGCAGTCGGCGTCGCTGCTGCGCTCTTTATTGTTTATGTTTTTTTGTGTTCTGAGCGCTGAGCCCTCGCCTCCCCCCCGCCCCAATCGACCCCGCTGCATCCCGCCCACCCAGAAGGCGGGGAAGTAATAATAAAAGCAATGCGCTGCCCCATGAAACAAAATTGAGTGAAAAATAAATTTCGTTTACAAAAAAAAAGTCAAGAAAAAAAATTAAATAAGAATGATAAAATAAAATAACAAAGAATAAGCGAATAAGAAGAAAAAAATTCACTGCCAAGCAAATTTCACGCCGTATTTAATCTTTGCTCACTGACCGCCTCCAGCTTAATCGCTGCTCGTCTTTCTTTCCGTTGCGTTCTGTTCCGCTCGTGGTTCGTGCGTGCTCCGTGTGTCCCGGCTCTGGAAATACGGCTCCAGTTACGGCCACCGATTCGACCACGATTCCCCGATTCCGGATCCGTAAACCCCCATCTTAGGGCCTGTGTTTTCTCAAAAGAATTCTGAAAAAAACGGAACAACAAAAATATATTGTAGAAATTTTCATAAAACTGTTCTTGAAAAAAAAATTCTAAAATTTATTCCAAATCTGATCAACAAGTGTTTTTGTGAACGCATAAAAAAAGTGCTTTTCAAAAAAAAACTAAAAAATTTCAACAAAATTTTGAATTGCTACTGAAATAGTAGCAGAAAGTAAGTAGAGTTTTTGAAATGAAAAAAAAAAAAAAGGTGAAATATTAAAAGAATAGGGACATTAATTTTTGAAAGAAGTCTTGAATCTTTTTAAATATCTTTTTTGATTTTTTGAGATTTTTTGACAACTTTTGACAGAAGAATACTGGTTAGTTTTTTGAAAAGATTACTTGAATCTTTTGGAATATCTTTAGATTTTTTGTGGCACATGTCAGGGAGAGCTATAAACCTTAAAACACAACAACTACAAGCCTTAATTTTGTTTGATCTTTGGTTTTTAATTATTACCTCACATAACAAAAAGTTGTAGAGTTGGCTTTTACTAATTTGCAGACAAGTTTTTTTTAAAGTTTTTTTTTGTTTATTTTTTGGTTATAATTATTACTTCATAAGCAAGTTTTAGTTGTGAACTTGCTAATTGGTGAATCAAGTAAGAGAAAATGTGAGATTTTGGTAGACATTTTGGCCAAGTTGATGGAAACTCTAGGGCTCTGCTGGGAACAAGATTTCTAGAGCAGGATCTTGGGTATGTTGGCTATAAAGAAGGAGGAAAAAAAAATACTTTTGTCTTGCCCGAGTTGAGCCCACAAAATGGGCTTGTTTCCCTGTTGAAGTTGAGTCGAGCTGGTTTTTGTTTTATATTTTGTTTCGTTGAAACAACTTTTCGTGCCGACTTGTTGTTGGTGTTTTGTGGGCCTTATTATCTCATTGTTGTTGTGTTGAGTTGAAACGTGTTGTTGTTGTTGGTGTAGTTGAGGCTTTACGAGTCTCGGACCAATGCGATTTTGTAATATTGCTACAGTTATTATTGCTCGCCACGCTTTGCTCTCCTTACAGTATTTACCCTGTTGTTGCTGTTTTTTTTTTATTGTTACTGCAATTATTGCAGTTTTTTGATTTCAACAAAAAGAAAGAGAGGGCTAGAGAAAGAGCGAGCGGGCCAGGGCGAGAGCTTTGAAGCTTTCGGATCGGATCGGATTGTATCGAATCGGATTGTATCAGATCTGCCTTTGTTCAACGATTTGCAACTTTCTATGCTATTGATATTCTTTGGAAATCATGTAACACAGCCCAGTCTATAGCCCTTCTGGGGGCCTTTCATTGGATATCCCATAAATACTCTCTAGTGCCATTCCGACATCCGACCATCATTCATCAGATTTTCAGTTTCAATTCATGTTTAAATCGTCTGGTCGCTGTTTGTGTGTTTATTTATTTTTTTTTCCAATATCATAGTATATCTTTTGGCCGGGCCCGTTCAGCCTTTTCATTGACATCGGCGAAGACGAAACTCGAGTAACCTGTTTGTTTTTATATTTAATTCGTGTTATTTCAGTCGCCTAACCACTCAATTTACTTAGTTGTTTTTTCTATTTGTGTATATGTTTTAGCATTCATCGAATAGTTAAGGGGGACAGTCAATGTACTCACTGATTAATATTAAAATACTATTAAAAAACTGCCTAAAAACAAATGATTTATTAAGTTTATTCACAAGATTGCATTTGAACAGGCAATAATCCCAAATAATCATGGCTAGCCAAATGGAAATAAAATCAATTTGAAGCAAAGTTGAAGTCAAATATTTTAGTCGACGTCTTCTTCAATTTCAATTACAATTTCACTTTCATTTTCATGCGGTTTATGGCTTTTCCGACAATCGCCGGCTTCGACCGCAACTACGCCAACGTCGACGGCGACTGCGACTGCCAACTCCTACGCCGACGCAGCACGCAATCAGTGTAAGCTGTTGTTGTTGTTGTTTTTGGTTGCATGTTGTAACAACAGCTGAAAAATTATAACAAGAGCAGAAATAATTGCAAGGAATAGCAGTAGCAGTGGCTAAAACCAAATTCCAAAAACACGATCAAGCCAAGCCTCACTTTTTGTGTTTTTTCCGTTCTTTAAACAAATATTTTGCTTGTACCTTATGTTTTCTCTATTATTTTCCTTCTCTGTTTTGCGTTTGCCTTAACTATCAGCCACATGTTGCTTGTCATTGCGAGCTCATCTTTAAATTAGTCTTCCACATTACGTATACGCAGTGGTGTCTCGTTTTCTGTGCCTGCAATTTTTCAATATTTGCGCATTTTATAATGGCATTTTAATTAATATTTTTTGGAGGGGGGATGGGAACCAAAAAAGATGGTTGTTTGGTGTTTGGTCTTCAAACTGGTTTTTTCGATAAATCGCATGTATCTTTCTAAATCATATTACGTATACGCACGGTATGGTTGTCCATGTCTTCTGTTCTGTCGGTGTTTCTTGGCTAACAATCTAATATACATAAATGAATAATTTTCTACAAAACAGATGTTTCAAGCAAACATTACCCGGGCCTTAAGCCGAGGCCCTGAAACCAGCCAAAAGCTAATATCTTTGACGGCTTATGTCAGCGAACTTAGAATTCAAATTAGGCCCAAAAGACAACCGCTTGAATACTATTATTATTTAATCTTGGCTATTTTCATAACCCGATGCTCTATTAACACTGATGGAAAATTTGCACAGCTGTTTCTTCTGCTCAACGCTGGCTGGCAGGTTTTCAACAGCCGCCTGGCTCAAGGTGCAAGTTCCCAAACCACAGTCATTGTATTATAATGATAAAACAATGGCCGAAAGATTCGCTCGCCCTTTTCCACAGACACCCATACATTTGGCCAAAGAGTCTCTGAAAACGTTAAGCAAATGCAAAAAGTTCAGGTCACAGACATTTTACGTAATCTCCGCCTCCACCGCCACCGCCTCCGCCACCAGTTGATCGTTGTCTGCAACTTGCAACTTGGAATTGTCGGTGAAATATCAAGAAAAATTTATTATCTCTTGTGCAAAACGTTCACAGTTGAACTTTGTTATGTCACCTTTGAGCCGATTTATGTGTGTGCTCCAGATTTGGCCAAAAAGAGAGACAATCAGCCAGACAGACCGACAGACAGACTGGGAAAGGAAGACGATGACTGTGTCTGTTCTGTCTGCTGCCAATGCCATCGCCAGACAGACGGCCAAGACAGCTAAGCAATAAGTGGGGAAATGGGTTCATTATCAAGCCAAATGCAGAGCTCATCAAGCTACTGGCACAGGTGCTGACACCTTGCCTTGATGATTATCGGCGCACAGAAGCGGTGGAAGCCGAAACTGAAAAAAACAGCTGTCTGACAGTCCGTAGAGAGATGGCCAAATCCATGAAAAGGGGCCAAGAGAGACAGGGCGGAAGAGGGAGCAAGCAGGCAGTAGGGACAGCAGCTGCTGTCAATGTCAATTTAATGTAAAACGCTGACGCCCCCCAAAAACAGATCGAATACGAATACGTACATAGTCGGCTAAGGCAACGGGCTTACAACAGACTCCGGCTCAGATAGTTGTGTCAGCAAATTCATTAAGAAAGCAAAAGTTAAAAGCAGCCAGCAACACACACAAAAAATTCCCATAAACCGAAACAGACGCTGACTTTATGGTAAAAGCAAAAAGCCAAAGCCCCACACAACACAAAAAAAGTAAAATATATGGGCAAAGTGTTGGGGTCCAAGTCGGCATAATTATGCGGAAGCTGACAATGCAACTTGCTTTTCTGTCTTCACTGCGGTCGTTGTTTTTGCTTGATTTTTTGCCGCTTTTTTCGGCACAATTCCATTTCCACACTTGTGGGCCAGAAAGTCAGCTTCTGTTTGAAATTGGTTGACATTTGATGATGCGTATCTTTTTTTTATTTATTTTGAATTTTTAATGTTTTTTATGTTGTTTTTTGGTTGGGTTAATTATATAAAAATATGAACGGGAATTATGCAAGCTTGAATATAAATCAAAAAACAGTTTTGCCATAGCCATAACCTTGAGCTGGCTCAGATTCAGATTTATGCAGCCAGACACATACACATATGGCAAACGATTCGACCCTAATCGACCTTAATTATGCAAATCGACTCAATCGAGACTGAATGGCGTTGCCATCTCTCGTCTTTGGCTTCTATGGTGTTTCCAGTTTCGCGCTCGCTTGCCTCATAACTGTTTCATTCGACTTATTTAGTGTCTATTGTAAAATATGAATCTGAATATAAACAACATTATTTTCATCACGTTTTAGCCTCAAACTTGGTCAGCTTCTTCACGACTCCAACTTGTGCTGTTGCATTTGAATTTCCTGATAATTTGGCTTGCAGTCGAGGTTTCATTCAACACTCATTCAATGCTTTTAATTCGTTTTCGTTTTTGGGTGAAAGTCTTACCTTGAAGGTTGCCAAATTGCACTGTTAACATGATGGATTTCTTTTTCTTGGCTTTTTGTTTTTAGTTTTTAATGAACGTATGAGGGTTATTACAACTCGGCCTAAGTCATTTGGCCTTTGGCCAAGAAACTTTACACCAAGAAGTTGTTTTCCCCAAGTTCGTTTCCTAAGTCTTTTGTTTGATAAAGGACAAAAAATTCTTTTTCCTTGAAATTTGTTTACCAATTCATTATAGACTTAGTGTTTAGGAAATTTCACTTTCAACACACACACGGATGATTGGAAATTGCCAAACGAAAACGTGAGACATGCAATTTAGAGTCATGCCCTTGGGCAATTTTACGCCCATTTTTGGCTCGATAGCGCGCTCGGTAAACATTTCGTTAGGAGAAGGCCGAAACGCATATGGATGGATGATGATTGATTCCAAGCTGAGAGACTTTCCTCAACTTAAACTGGGCCATGGCAGATCTTGCAGCATGTTGCATGCAAATTGTGCAAAAACCTTCGGGGACACAAGCGGGGAAATAAAATGTCATGCAATTTGTCGTAAATGCCGCTGAGATGTTGCAAAATGAAATTGCAGCTGCTAAAGTTTCCCTAGTTGTTGTTGCTGTTGTTGCAGTTGCAGTTGCAATTGCTGTCGTAGCCGTTGTTGCTGGTCTGTTCTGTTTGTTTTCTTGGTTGGTTTGTCAAAAGGTTTGGCCATGTTGCTGGCTTAGTCGGTGGATGGGATGGATGCTGTTTACCTCTTGCCACGCATCGCTGCATCATTATTGACAATTAGCCGCATTCGATGTCGGGGCGGATGTGCAACAGCAACTGAAACTGCAACTGCAACACAGGCAACAGCAGGGCCGGACAAGATTGTTGTTTTGACTCGAGGCTGCTTCTTGGCCTTATGCAATAATTAATTACTCGGCCAGCGGGCCAGAAAACTAGGTTTTTCTTTCTACAAAAATAAAAGCAAATATTAATTGAGGCAACAACTAGCGATAAAGTTGCAACAACTGACTGTTAACAGCCGATGATGCTAGTAGCTTGCGTAGCCAACATTACAGACCATTTGAGCATGACGAACTAGGCTTTAGACTCTAATAACTCTTTTTAATAACTTTATTTTTCTTTTCTTTACAGTTTTATCATTTTTAAGGATCCCTTGGCACACTAAAATGTCCTCTACTTTGGGCCTAATTACAGCGCTACTCTTGGCCAGCACAGTATGCCAAGCCCTGCCAGATGTAAGTATCCATGAGACAGTCGGCTAGTCAATGCCAAATGGCTCGGATCACGTTCGATCGAGCTCCAAGAACTCATCAATCAATTCAATGCGATAAATATACATAACCTTTGGGGGGCACTTACAGTCAACAGTTAACCGTTAAGGCAACAATGAAACAAAAAAACCCAACAACAAACGGCCGCCAGTCAGCGGTTTCATTGTCATTCGCATTGTGCGTAATTAGCATTTCAAGAAATAACAAAAACATTTTTTGTATATTAATTAAATTACAAAACAGAGCACAAGCTCGAAGAGAGTCGATGTTAGAAATAAAACGGCATTGTTATAGCCAGAGTACCAGAGTATCTGTGTGTATTATCAGTGTATCTGTATGTGTGCTTGTCAGTATCAAAGAAACTCATTGAAAAGACAGACCAGCTTACGTTAGCTTTTGTTTGTTTTGAAGAAAAAGCTCAAGCCAGCAAAATTATGGCCAAGGTCAAACGTAAAAAGTTCTTGTAATTATTTCAGGTAAATTTTCATTCCGTCTCTATCTTTTGTGCTTGTCGGACAGCTTGCCCTCTCTTTCTTTCGCTTTGAGTCTTTCTCTTTCATTGCCGTCGTTTTCCGTCGAGCTGGAGGTTATGACTTGGCTTTGAATCAAAAGAAAACTTCATAATTAAAGCTAGTCCAAGGCGGTTTTTATGTCGATTTTTATCTTGATTTTTATGATGATTTTTTGTGACTTCCTGCACAGAACGATATTTTTTGATTTTGCAAGTCTAGTTAAAAACATTTTTAGGGCATAATACACTCCTTTTTTTGTTGGTTAGTTTTTGGAGCAAGTTCGTGCTGTTTGGAGACATCGACCTGGAGACATAGCCTTGCCTTGCTCGCTTAAATGGCGCTTGCATCATGATGCCCCATAAACGACTTCGTCTCCGTTTTCCACTGCAATTAAAGTTGACACGCTACACCAACAATAACAATAACAAAAACCAACAGAAACAGCAAAAGATATAGTAACAACTTTGACGAGGCCCTTCAAATCCCAGCCGAGCATGAAACAAAAAAAAAAATGATGTAAAAAAATAAACTTAAACAAAAACCAGACATGCAAAAGTACACCAAGAATATCGATGCAAATGCATGAGTCAGCTTCAGTAGAAACAGCAGCCCGATGGTTGATTTTTTTTCTATATTTTGTTTCATGTTTTATGTGCTGTCAGAAATGGAGAAAAAAATATGAGATATCCCGTTCCTCTCGGACTGGCCAAATGTTTGCTGGCCTATCAATAGCCGGCCAAATAAATTAAGCCTTTAATTGTGAAATCAAGAACAGTTTCGTTGTGGCACGATTGTTGTCTTTGTCATGGTTTCTTTTATTTTATTTGTTGTTTTTTAATCATTTTTTGAGCTCGGGTTCTCGGGTCACGTTCTCCCCGCTGTGTGTGTGTGGGGGGAATGCGTGAGTGTTGTGGGATTTCGGAAAAATCGGAGCGAATGTCAGTGGCATGAGTAATTGTTGGATAATCAAAAGATTATGCAATCGATGCATAAACCATTAAAATGAGGAAACAAAGAGCTGTTTTTAGATCATGAATCTTCAATGTTATAACTCCTATTTGATATTTCGCACAAATCAGCTTCTAACCAAAGAAACAAATCACCCAAATTGCCATTCGCATTAGACACAGCCCATGTCGTAACACCCTGAACTTTTCACACTTTGCTAATCGCAGGCATAAACACAAAAATTCCAAAATGTTAAAGGAAAAAAAACCTGAAAATTTAATGCCGACAGAAGCGGTTGCTAATTTCCGCCGCTTGTCAGCCGAGGCGACAAGGTCAACACACCCAAGGAAATGGGAGGGAAAAGTGCGACAGCGTTCGCAATTTACTATCCGGCGAGTAGTTAACAATCCGTAATGCTTTTAGACCCAAAATCGTCGGTCCTCGAGCGACTATCTGCCGCGTTCATGGCTTTTCGAGTGAATAATTTCTTTGTATGGCGGCGCGAAAGGTCGAGTGACACTCTTCCGAACGTCTGCCGTTCGCTGTTGACTTTGACCGGCTGAGAAGAGTGGAAAACAATTGCCCAACCACCAGTACATAATATAATTTTGTTTTAGTATTGACTGACTCTGTGCCATAAACAGTGTATTGGCCTCAACCAGAGCCAATTTGAAGCACACTTTTTGCGTTAATATGGCGGCTACACCTTTTACTTTGACTTGACTCTGATTGCACTTGGTCGGCATCGGCATCGGCATAAGCATCGCCATCGCTATAGACATCGACATCGCCACTGCCATCGCCACGCCGGTTATAGCTTTATACACCGGGCGTATGAGTAATCTCGCACAATTTCAGTAATTGCCCGAGCACCAGCAACCAGCAGCCAGTCAGCCAAATAGCCAACAAACAGAAACAGCCATCTAGCCATACAAATTACAAAAAGCGCAAATTTCACAATATCCGTCATTGCACTCGGCGAAAACCGAAAATAAAATCAAACTTGAGCTTTGGACAAATGGCTTCAACTGCAGGCCTACTACACGTACTTGTAGTACAAACTGGTTGACAATTTTTGGTTTTTCAGGTACTTCTGATATCTGTCACATAGTAAGACTCTATAATAATCTTAGCTAAAGCCAAGTCTATTGGGATTACTTGTTTTTTAAAAGGCTTCCCAGCCCTGGTAGCCTAATCACCTTCGTTGATCTTGTTCACTGGATGCCGCCTTTTTGCATAATTTGTACTTGCTTATCGATCTTTTTAGCCCGCTCTCTCACTCATTCGGGTTTAATTGCCTTTAATTGGTCACAAGGGCCGGAGAGTTAAGTGTTGATTGGTGTTTGGGTGTGGCCTGGTTAACCCACTAGGTGGGATTTGCATAGAGAATAACAAGAATATTTATAATTTTGTGCAGGTGCAGAAACTTTCCAAATGCTGGAAAATGTCCAAGAGCCCTACAGACCGGCGATGCACACTCTCAAGTCGAGTCGAGTCGACGCCACAATTGCACTCGAGTGGCAAACTCAACGCCTCATCGAAAGAGTAGCTTTATGTGTCTGTTTTCCTTTCTCAAGCGTCAGTTTCACTTTCAATGGGGCGACGATGGCAAAACTTGCTCAATGTGCGACCCCAACGACGGCACAAGCAAAAGCAAAAGCAACAGAAAAAGAAACAGAAACAGCTGGCTGGCTCCTGGCCATGTGAGCGAGTGTTGTCTGTGGTCAAAACACGTTTCAAATGAAAGTAAAAACTCTTTGGCATTGTGCCCGTTCGAGTCGGTGTGCGTTGTCTGGTTTTCTTCTTGCGTTTGTTCACCTGCCCATGCCGACTTTCCGCTTGCACTTCGGTTATAAAAGAATGATTAAGCCTTACAGCTGGCTTACAGCTATGCCCAGCAGTGGCATCATCATTATTAGCACCTTACGGACTTGGTTTTTACAGTTAAATGTGAATCTTAAGTCTTAAGCTGGCCGAAAGCACCAATCTTGTTTACCTTGCCGGTTTCTTGGTTATCTCTTTCCTTATTTTTTTGTAAATTTTTTTATGTTAGTCCAGTCTTGTCGTCATTTGCTGCAATACCATTTCTGACTCATTTTAGGCCTTTTTGGGCAAAATGAATGCAAGAAATTTGCCTAAATTGCCAGTCGAGCGCTTGCCAGCAAGTTCGTTGTCTGAGTCTTTTGTTTTTGCGCTTGCGTCTTGGCCGTTGTTTAAGGAAATTCTACTCTTGTTTTGACCTTGTAACAGATCTTAGTTTTAACTGATTGGAGTTGCAAGTGAGATGCAGATTTGGCAAACGGATAAATAAAACGGAAATGTAATAGAAAAACCCAAAAAAAACATCAAGATTGATTGATGTAGAACGTCATCTGAAATGACAAAATATTTGAAAAAAAAACTTTTAAAATCGAAATCAGCTTTATTTAATGAATGAATTTAGAGAATGACCCAATCACAATGAAAAACTAATTTTGAAATTCCCAATTAATAGAATACAACTATTTATAAGCACCGACAATAGGACACAGATTAAAAGACCATTAATAACATTATGTATTTAATTTTATTTTAATTGAAATTCGCAATTATGGCGAATACAAAAAATAAGTTTACACGCAAGTCAGATAAGATTGTTTTTCGATATTTGATTTTTGTTTGTGCTTCTTGCTCGATTCGTTTCATTCGATTTCGGAAATACTTAAATACATGCATGTCTACACACACAATAAATCTATCAAACACCGTCTTGACCCTGACCCAGTTAGCGAAGATACTCAAAACTCAATGGCCGAACCAAACCCAGCCAGCCGGCTATGTCTTTGGCTTAGTCGTTAATCTCCAGATAGCTCTTGACTGGGTCCAATGCAAACACGAACCCACTTTTCAATAGAAAGATAGCTGGCGAGAGAGCGACCCGCAAACACTTGATTATTGCATTGAATTATTGATAATTTTTCAATTATCCATCTACCAATTGCTACAATTTGTTTCCATTGCCCAGGGCATGTTCAATACACACTCGAATGATTGCTAACCTGAATGTGTTTTTCCCCCACTCGTTACAGTTGCACAAACAGATGTCGCCGGAGCAGCTGCAGTCAGTCTTCCACGTGGACACCCACGACGCGGTGCCCCACTATGAGCTGGTCCAGCTACTGCACCACGACAACCATAATCGCCGGAGGCGCAGCATCGGCGACAGCCCAGCGAGAACCCTGCCGCCGCATCACGTGAAAAAGGATCTCAGCAAGAATGCCTATTACAGCGAACTGAAGCACCAGGCCATGGGCTCGGGTGGCAATCACCTGTATGGGCCGTCTGTTAGTGACATCAAGTCACACAATGTATCCTTCAGTGCCTTTGGCCAGAACCTGAATCTGAGCCTCCGCGCCACCCAAGGACTCTTCAAGGGAGCGCCTCATGAGCTGCGCATGTGGAGCGTGGGCAGCGAGCCAAATGCCACCCACGGCCTAGACCTGCAGGAGATTGCCCAAGAAGAGGTGAGTCTCTAGAGTTTATATTTCAAGTTAGAACGTTAAAAAAAATTAAAAATAATAATCCATTTTATAGTCACAGTTAAGCTATTCTCTTGAACCAAAGTTAAAAAACTATTAGCCTCCTTTAACCTATTTTGTGTCATAACAGATGGCCTAACTTTCAATTATAAAATATCTTCACTTAAGACCAAAAGTGTCTTTAAGCCCATCTTTGGCAATAATTTCATAGATGGCCTTTCCCAATTTCTATCATTTATTTTCCTGCCCTAAATGTTTGATTTGATGCAGACATTTCCCTTATACGTTTTTCGTTTGTTGCACTTTCATTGATGATGTAACTTGATAAAACAATAATAAAAATTACCGCCGATGTTTTTGTTGCGTTTGTTGGCTTTTGTACGTTTTCTGATTTGTTGATTCGCCATACTTCCGCTTGAGGTAGGCTGATATTTTGTTTCAGCCTTTAGCCGCAATTCGTTTTAGGCTTTTATATACTTTGTTTTTGTGTCCGTTTCGGTATGTAATACGTTAGCATGGTTGTGCTTAGCTTGTATTTGTAACTAATCAAAATTAATTGGCCGTATGATAAAGAGATTAGACCTGGCATTTGTATACGAAACACAGACTCAGGTGTAATTACATTCGTTTGTTATTTGAGCTTTTAATTGTGAGAGAAAATCAACAAAGCACAGCTGAAAGTCAAGGACGTAAGGAAATAATCTTACAAATAAAAATAAAGAACTTAAATGGAAGCTTTATATCAATAAATACGCCCACAGCTTGCGAAATAGTCCATAAAACATTGAAGTTGGTACGTGACTCTTTTTTAATTCAAAATAAAGTTCACTTTCTTTTGGCGTCGATCACCTTTTTGGCGTTCATGTCTTGTTTGTATATATAATTTAATTTTCCCATTTTGCTATTATTCATGTGGTTTTTGCCGCTGCTGTTGCTGCTGTGGGTGTGTTATTTCCTATGAACTACAATCAATTGATCGCACTTTAAATTACAAGTTTTATTTTCGGCGATTATTACTCCGGTGGCTTGGAGCCTAGCCATGGGAAAGGGAGGCTCTGTTCGGGGGAGGACCAGCAAACACACAACATAATTTTGAATGCAAGGCACAGCACTTCGGAAATGAAAGTGAAATGTCATGTCAGACGGCAGCCCAAAAAAGAAATGAACCCGCTGACTCGAACTCTTATGTCTTCGGACTTTACCAACAGTGAAGTTTTTTCTGTTACCTGATTTTTTTTTCTTATTTCTGTGATTTATGTGTGATAATTTAAGTTTTAAGCCCCGACAGTACGAAATGCGGAAAGATTTTAATGGTTTTTCTTTCATTTCTTTGGGGATTTGGCTTTACTTTTAATTAAAATGAAATAAGCTGCTGTCGTAGCATACATATTTTTCCAGTATTTTCTGTTCAAGATTAAGTAACCCACGCAAGGCATTTTCCCCCTTTGAATTTCTGTGACTTGGCAATTATTTTGTGTTTTCGGTGTTTTTTGGACTCATGCCACAAACAAATGGCCTCAAGATATAGACCACATAACTACAACAATTTCAATGTTTTCTATGTCCGTTTTTTTTTTGTCTTTTTCTTCATTTTTTTTTTTGGTAATGGCGGCACTTTGTCAGAGACCTTCCAACGGCAGTCAAAGGAACAAAAAAAAAATGCCAAGAAAAATATTTATTCTAATTTCTGACATTCTGGATCGTTTTTTTTTTTTGGTGCTTTATTGTTTCGGCAACCGCAAAAGTACCGAAAAATAATTTTCCATTGATATCTGGTACAAAGAATTGACCTGGTTTTTATAACAAAAAACTGCGGGAAATTATTGTGTCTTTTGTGTGGAGCCGTGTGATTGGAATTTAAAATTAAATTAAAAAACGAAAAATAAATAATTGCAACTTTATAAAGTGCAATTATTTGTTCGCGAATTTAATTCGTGCGGTGAAATTTTCTTTCTGCGGAACAATGAAGGTGGAAACCTTGCTGCACGAGCACACCGCACACCCAACACTTTCAGTCTTTTTTCCACCTTGTGGACTCCTTGTGGCATACCAAGAAATTAAAAGGCAAACACTAGGCGTTGTTCGGCACTCCCACTGCCGCATTCAATCGATAAAATGCGATAGGCCCCCATTCAAAGGTCACTGCAGCCGCAAATATACCAGAAATAAAGCGAAATAAAACAAAAGTTGTGCAGGTCTCTCGCCTGGCTAGAAACTGGAAACTGCCAAAAAGGGGCGCGCTAAATCAAGTAAATGGGATTATGTACCAGAAGTTGTCGGCGCCGAAAGGTTGGCGAAACAATTTTTAATAAATCATGTTTTCCATGTTTATATAAAGTAAATAAAAGAGTATAAGTTTGTTAGTTTTAACTCTTGGCTTAAGGTAAACATTGTATATTTAGGAAATTACTTTTCCATTACTAATTTGTTTAGCCAAGGTATTGCTGTTTGATAAACATCTCCAGACAGTAGACTGTGACCAATTGTTCGTGGATCATGACTGTCTCGAGAAGAACAATCCCCTTCGGTGAAGGCTTGGCAACCTGCCGGCCTGAAAAAGCACAAAACGAAAGACTTAGGCAACGAACTTAGGCGAGCATGGCTCTCTCTCTCCCCGTCGATTGATTGAAACTGAAAGCTTACTGCTAATTAAGTTTTCAAAATGCATTTTTGATGGGTGCCAACGCGAAGTGCATAATTAAAAAATGAAGAAAAAACTAGCTGTTCGATTGCCGTAATGAAAAAGCATTTGGTGCATGCCACACAACTGCCCGCTGCACTCATTTCACAAGACGCAAAATTGTATCTTGTCATTGCAAAACGATGCCAACTTGGTGTTGTCGGCTAGTAGAGCTGGTGGAAAAGCATGATTAATGAGTTGGTCGATTTGGCAGCTGAATGAATTTGAAATTAGCTCACTGTGTCCATTTCTTTCTCTTTCTTTCAAGAGTTATCTTTTTTCTTTTCTGAAAAAAGCGCGGGCGATGCAAGTTGCAATTCCGCATAAAAAAATATCTACACTGAGGGGGCAGCAGGAAAAGTTTGCGGCTTAGAAAGCAGTTCAGGCTGCATTTCTCTCCCTCGGCCTCACATTTTTTGCTTTGCGGCTGCAAATCGGTTGCATAATATAGCCAAGTGGCTGCCATGGCCTGACAGTTTCTCAAGTTGTTGCTTTTGTTGTTATGCTCATGTTGCAGTTATTGTTGTGGCATGTTTAACAAGCCGAGCTTGTTCATTCCCTTTTTGCTGCCACCATTAAGGTTCAAAAAATGAGGAACTGGCGACTGCCTTATCGGTGGATCAAACGAAATCGCAGCAAAAAAATGTAAAGGATCATTGCGATGGATAGAGATATTCCAGTTGGGTCTCAGTTCCGCTAACCAGCCACTCAATGGGTCACATAATTGCCCGAATAATAGACAAATAATGGGCAGCTATAGCCTTGGCATTGTATGGAAATCAAACGCCGAACTGCAAACAAGAAATCCAGTTTGTTTCTCATATACAATGCATAATGGTGCGTAATAAACAAGCTAACTGCCAAAGCAAATCAACCGACACACACGCACCGCTAAATCCAAACTTATTATTATGCTGGCAGCCCAAAAGCGGTGGCCACGGCGGCCAATGCGGCGTATGCGTAACGACGCCAAACAAATCGGCGAATAAACAAACCAACAAATGGAACGAACCCACAGTGAGAAGACGCCCACACGTCGTCTAATGCGTTAATTGTAGGTTAACTTTTGGCTAAATGGCTCATGGATTTATGGTGCGTACTCACTCCGAAAAAGAAAAAAAAACTATATAGCCAAATATAAAAAAGAAAGAAAAAGAAGAGTGTGGGCCTGGCAAACAGACAAATGGAAAAATCTTAACTTCCACGGACTTTCGTTTCGTTTCGAACAATGGAAAATTATCATTTTCGGGGCAGGTTAAGGGCCTGAGACTAATGCTTTAACCTTCTTCTCGCTTCGACACTAAACAACAGAAAGAGTTCAAAGGCTAATTTTCACTTTGCCAAGTTCGCTGCTCCGGGTCATTTGTGTCTTTCTTCTTTCAACTTTTCGGCTTAATTTGCATAACAAAATTGCCAAAAGAAAGACGGCCAAAGAAAAGTGGCGAGAAAAAGGTATCAGCCAGGAAGTTGTTAACTTTTTTTTGGCTTTTACTTTCATTTTCTCGTATTTAGGTGGCCGAGCAATGAAGTATTTGAAAAAGGAAGTGGAATTTTTACAAGAGGAATTTTTTTTTGGTGCAACGGAAGAGTATTAATTGGTCACCAAGCCAGTTTGTCAATTCTTTATCAGATAGACACCCACACTCCTATTTTTGAGAAAGGCTATCCTTTCTCTCACCTTTCGCTAACCAAAAAATAAAGCAATCTTTCATCTCAGACCGCTTTAAGCCAAGTTTGAACAATATTTTCTTCTGAAGGAAAAAATATCGGTGGGCCCTTTAGGGCAGCCATCAAACCAAACTGGCACAGCTTACCTAATACAAAAAAAATGCCAGCCAAAGCCTAATCACAAAAAAGATCTACATTATGTCTTGTAGCCATTTGTAATTAAAAAATTTACGGCGCCATAAATAAAAACAAAACAAAAAAAATACCTATATGGATGCAGAAACGTATTGAAAAAGTAGAAATAAAATGCGCGACAGCTAACAATTTACAATTTGCAAGTCAACTAATTAAAATTGCAACTCTTGGCCAGAAGAACAAAAATAAGTCGAAAAATGAAAAAAAAAAAATGAGAACAGCAATTGTCAACACAGATACAGACAAAGGAAATTGGTCCATGCAAAGTGGAGTCAAGAGCAAGTCTGAGCAATGAGTGCAGTAAGTGGCCAACTGACAGTTCATAAATACATACTATATGGCCAAAACTCTTAGCCACGTCTTGGTGCTAAGCGTTGACAACTCAGGCTTGGATTCGGAATCCAATTCGGATTTGGATTTAGATTCAGATTCGGATTCATGGCAGCCGAAATACGTGAGGCCCGGTGTAGCTGTATCTTTAGCCTGTGTGTGGTGGCGTGGGGGTCGCCACTTGCCACTTGTTGCTTTGAACTTATTTTTCCACAAGGTCGTCGTGTCCAACTAGCTAACAAAAAAATCATAGCAACAACGGCAAATCCAACGACAATTACAACTACATACAGCGACAGCAACAACAAATTAAGCCATAAATGCCTGCTGCACATGAAAATTTTTGTGATTTTTTATATTTTTTTGTGATTTTTGTTGCCTTTGCGTGTCCACACGCTTTGGCGGTCACTCTCGGCAAACGCCTTGGGGCGTGGTCATTCTGGACAGCCCAGTAATTCGATCGAAAAGATAAATAATTGCTCAGTTCTTGAAAATGTCAGGGAAGGCGATGAATATAGCACTTTACAGATAAAGTGAAATTGATCTCAATTCTCAATTTTATATATAAGTATTCTTATAGTAATCAATTATATTCCTGCTTATCAAAAATCTTCATACATAAATCCTACTTATGGTTATATATTTTACATTAAGATAGATACCTAGATAACCTCTCGACAGCTTCTATCAAACCAAAAGGCCAATGGCTCTGACTCTAATTTTAAGTTGAATTTTGGCACTTGACTTACTTGGATCGCAAATGCAAACGGCCATTTATGGCTTCAATCGGGCGTACGGCGATTAGTAACTGTAGATACTATTCTCGATTTTTGGAGGGGGCAGTTATGATTTATGCTTGTAATTTGATAGAGTGCCGGCCACAAACTAGTCTTTTTGAGAAGTACGGACGCGGTCCAATGCCAAATACTGGATGCTGATGTCAAGTGTCAGATTACATTTATTTCGATATTTATTGCAGAACTCAATTGGAATTGAATTGAATCGAATTGAATGGTCAGGTTACGCAGAGGGCAATTAAATTAATTAGTTTGACCGAAGCGGGACCAAAGATAAGCCTCTAAAATTAAAAATTTATGCAAATTCGAGACTAATATCCCCAGGGTATTTGTTAAGAAATCGCCTTGAATTGAAAAGCTCGCATAAAACGAATGTCTATGTCACAGGATTGGAAGCAGAGGAAAAAAAGATTAAGCACTACCACGAAAACTAGATCAGTTGGCCAAATGTCAGAAGCTTGGGCTTTAAGCCTGGTCAGCGGCCAGCAGTGGGGTTTTCATGGTCAGTCTAATGTCTGCCGCGGCACACACGGCGTATGAGTGACGTGCAAGCTGAGGCGTCACATTTACCGACCGCGAGCATAAATCAAAGCTCAGTTTACCGCTACGTCGGCCAGTGCAACCCCACGCTACCTCCTCACTAAGTGTCCGAGTCCTCCAGCCCCCTGTAGCCACCCCAGCCCCCTTTTTTTCCAGCCAAACAAAGCTGCATTTAATTAAATTTAGCCGCTAACCACGCGTTTTGTCTTGCTCAGCTGTCGGCTGCTGCAGTGCCAACGAAAAATATACATTTGTTATACGACAAAAAATACAAAAAAAAAACCAAACGAAAATTGCTTTAAATTTTTAGTTATGGCCAGCTGCGGCTTTAGCCATGTATTTGTTTTACATCTCGCGGAATGTTTGGAATTTAGACCCGTAAAAATGTTGAATGGGTTTTTAATTGCCATTTTATACAAATTAGTTTTCAACAAAACAAAATATACAGCAAATTCTATAAAATAATGTCAAATCTTAGGTATCTCTTATTTATTCTACAACTTTAAGATATAAACCTTAATTTTAAAAGAATAACATTTGTTTGTTACTCTTTAACCTGTTATTGGTATATGTTTTTTAATTTCTGTCTTAAAATATTACTCTTAGTTTTATATGCAATTTTATAATAACTTGCTTTTAGCTAATACTAATCTTAAACACTGAATTCATAATTTAAAACCTCATTTTCTTGTATTATTTTCAGCATCACAAAAACCAAGTGGGCGAAGTCTTTCAGGATGAGCAGAATATGGCTGCCATTTTAATGCGGCGTCATGAAAAAACCGGCGATTTGATAATGGTAAGTGATTTATAAATCCATTAGACCCACCCACCCACACCACCGCCCCAATCGGCCGACAAGGTCACCTCAGTAGAGCAATCAATGAACGGACCCCAAGAATTTCAATTAGCGCTAACCATTATGGCTTCTTATACCCTTGCAGAGGGTAAAGTATTTTTCTTAATTCTGCGAAAAATGTGCAACGCAGTGAAGGAGAAGTCTCCGAAACTGAAAAATATATAGATTCTTGATCAGAATCACCTTCTGTATGTCTGTTTGTACGAAAACTAGTCCATCAGTTTTAAAGTTAAAGTTCAAAATGTAAACACTCATATTTCCATTGCCTACTTATAAGGGGGCCTGCAACCTAAATAGTAAAGAAGAGTACAATTTTACCGTTATTTTGCATATAATAACACTCCAAAATATGCTTTTATTTGGTAAAAATTTAATAAATTTTTTTTTAATAATTAATTAAAAAATAGTGCCCTCCTCCTCGATTCTCATAGGTTGCACTTAAGCAGGCCCGAAAACCCAGAAAAATAATAAATTTTTTTTGGAAATGTTTTTTTTTCTTTTTTGTTTTTGTTGTTACAACTTTAATTTTAATGTTGTTGTAATATATGTTGTTGTAATATTTGTTTTTAATATTTTTTTGTTAACTTTTTTTTTTTTTTTTTAATTTTTTTTGTCTTGTTATATCCGACTATATCTTATTGCTGTCCATTTAGCAAGGGTATATCAACATCGGCTCCGCTCAAACTAAGCTTTCCTTTCTTGTTTTTTGAGTTGTAGTTTTAGCTGTCTCAGATACTGATTTTGAATCAGAATCTGTTTCCATAACAATTTCTGTTTTATTTTTGTTTTTCTGTTTGTTCTGGTTCTTAGCCAGAGTTCTTGTTATGACAGACGGCCATTGTTATGGTCAGTTTTGGAGTCGAACATGCCGGCCATGTCGCACATTTCAATTTGTGGCAATACAATTAAACGCCCGTTGCTCGGGCGATATTCAGAACGATGGCGGATAATTTGCGGATTTAGACAATTTCTGCTGATTAAGCTTTAATTTATCGCCGCAAAAACGTTCAGGCAATCGGCAGCTGTAAATGTAAATTGCCAGTTTAGAATAAATCCATACAAACCCAGGGTCGAATGGTGGATACCCCAGAAAAAATGTGCTACATTTGGAGTAATTTTTGATTATTTCATATTTGTTAGCCTTTTAAAACTAATATCCCCTTATTACCTCTCACCACCTTGGACCAATTTGACAGGAGTGAAAATTGTGATGGCGTATTGGTGATAATACCAAGATATATAGCTTTAGACCATAAATGTTCATGTTGTTTATACAACAGAAACGCTTAGATAAGTTTTTAAGTAAAATTCCAGATAACTGGAGGCCACAACCAAGAAGGAAACTATTTATCGCTTGGATTAATTTAAAGCCTAACCACAGTCTTAAACAGAATACTTTGTTTACCCCACCCTTTTGCAATTAGATAGTACTTCCTCTCCGCGAATTCCGAAGGTTGCAATCATTCTTTGGTTTATGGTTTAATATCCAATCTTTTTTGCTATTAACTAGCATCAGATAAATTCTGATGACGTTTAATATTAAGACAATTGGCAATTAACATTACCCGGGCGGAAATGGAACTCAATATACGGGAACAAGTTTTGGCATAAAGGAAGTCTCTCAAGTCTCTGCCTTAATTACCGGCCATTGTGTCGGAGGAATGGAAATTTCTGATCTGAAAACTCTAGTTATAGTTATGGGAATGAGAACCAGAAGAAAGAAACCTTTGAGAGCTGCCTGCATGGAGAATTGCACAACCAACTGTCACAATTCAAATAAATTAATAATCAGCAAACCAAAACCGAACAGCCAAACAAATAAGCAGCGATGGCGATTTAATAAAATGGCCAACAAATATTGGCAGACAATAAGGTCAATAAGCAACGGTCATAGACAAAAGTCGCTTTGGCCCCCTTGGATTTTGGTTTTTTGGCAACGACGTCTGCTTAAATTTAATTTGTTAAACAAAAGTTGGAGAGGAAAAAAATGTATTTTTGATAATAATTACATAGAGCCAATAAAAGGTCAAACAGCAATGTCTGGCCCGGTCCGACTTGACCGACTTGTTATGGCCAAGTGCGCCGAGAGCTGCAGCTGATGACTGACAAACAGAAAAATTCATAAATATTATGTAGAAAATAACATACGTACCCCGTGCCGAGTGGCCCAAACACATGGGAGCATGAAAAATGTTTGTGCTGGCTGACATTTCGAGGTGCAAAAGCCGGCGAATTGTTTCGCAATTGAATGGAAGCCCAGCTGTGTGTCGATGTGAGGCGATGGCGATGCCAGGCCGTCTTCCGGCTTTGTCTTGACCTTAAACGGACGCGGCTCTCAAACATCTAAACCAGCTGCTATCAAGATGCTGCTGCCAAAACTTGTAATTAACAAGAAGTCGCCAGAAGATGGCCAAGACAGTTGCGTAAGATTTCTGTCCATAAATTTTGATCGTTAGTTTGTTTCTGTTTGGTTCACTATTCAAACAATGCCGACAAATTAAGTTGCAGGTCCCCGCCTCTCTAACAACCTCTGTCTTTAACGCCAATATGGCCATTTAATTAGTATCCCCCCAAAACCGTTTTCGACCATAATTGTGGCCTCCAACAAAATGCACAACAAGAAATATTTTAAATACTTCGGTACAGGTTACAGAAGTTACTTAAAATAAAAGCCATTTTTTCTTGCAACTTCATTTTGTCCAGCCCACTAAACGAAAGACTTAAGACACGAACTTGCTTTCAGTTGCAAAACCTTTTCAAAGGAAATTTCAAACTCATGTTGTGTTTGGCGGTGATTTAATTTAATTACAGCTTGCCCAAGAGCCCAGTTACACGCACTATTCGATCAGGTATTCAAGTTTTCTTGGGAATGGCATTCAAAGACGTTGGGGAGGGATTTCAAACAAGAAAACCTAGAAAACTGAATCTGATTCTTTTTCAAATTCCATTGAAACAATTCCCATACAATCTGCAGCTATATTTATTAATAATGATGCATCCCAAAGCCAATGTTAATCATCATTTTGATGGCTGATGGCTGTGTGGGAAACCAAACACAGAAATCCAATCGGATTTAATATGTACATGTCAGAAGTTGAAGGCCCCATCGAATGCCCTTAACTGACCCGAACTTGAAGCACTGCTTGAGTGTCCATTGAGTGTGTGTGTCTGCCACCCACTGCCAGTCGAGGTAATGTATCCAATTTTTGACCCAATCAATGTTGACATTGAATCATAGGTCCGCATTTGAAGTGAAACATTTACATGCGAATATTAATTTCATGGTCAATTACACTACAAATGGTGTGTTTATATAGCGAGGAGTTCCACAAAATAAATGGCTAATTGTTTTAGCCAATTACATGCGGGGCTTGATGATGGACCTCCTGGAAATTAATCAAAATGAAACGAGCTCAAGGGAACCACCAGCCAGCCAGCCAACATACAAAATAAATTGTAATGATAAGTTTACGTTTTTTCTTCACCGACTTGAATGTTTACGGTCATTTGTTTGTGCACTTGAATAAACAAAAGTGTCCAGTTTTTCGGGGGCCGTGTAACCAAGCTTGATAAATGCTAATTGCCGGCTACGTCAGTCACTCGATGTGATGAAGCGATGCGTGCGGTCGTTGATGAATTGGATGCACAGGCTGATGCACATATGAATAATACATCTGATGCATGACTCCTCTCCCAACTGCTAATTACACGGTGCCACAAAAAGTCTGGCCCTGAAAACCAATCCACGAAAGTCATGAAATGCATTTCCAGCCACCTTTCACGAATTATGTAAGCCAGCAATTAGGCAGCACTCGTGATATGCATCTCTCTATTAATGACTTTTCAAAAATAAAAAAATGATTGTTGTTCAGGTAAAAGTCATCAGTCATCAAATATCATCAGTTTGATAAATCATATTTAAGAGCTTCCATTTACCTCATTTAGTGGTTTGTTCATCGACTTCCGTTGAACTTTATCAGTCACACCCGCCAGTTAATGCAATTGCCCTTTTTTTTCAAAGCCCCTCTTGACATTTGACAACTTTGGAAATATCAATATGTGCGCTGCCATTTAGCAAAGAAAAACAAAAAAAAAGTAAACAGTAATATTAGGTAGCAGAAGGCGACATTTGGACACGGCTCTCTGCCTTTTTGGCCAACTCTATTAGACGGCAATCGCAGCATCATCATTAAGCAACATTCATGTCCAAAGTGCCAAAAGCTGAGAACAAGAAACAAGTTTTTATTCGCCCCGAGAGAGCTTCTTCCAACAAAGTCTTCTCACCTTCCCAACTAATTGCTAGCCTTGATATTTACAAAGAGTTCAATGTGTCTGCGATAGTTGCTCTTCTTGGCTGGATTCTTGAGTTCTCAACGCATATAGTAGCTGGCTGACCACTGATTTGATTTTTGCATTTGCATTGGCCCGGAGCAGCATCATTCAAGCGTTTAAATTGCACAATTTATGAGCCAAAGTCTATCCAATTGACATTCAGGCGTTGAAGATGTGGATGGGGACTACTGCAACTAGAGAATTGCAATTTATGCGGCGGCGACATTTACAAATGTTATACAATTTGATGGCTATATTCGTTTTCCACATTTCGGCCAACTGATTAAGCCCGAAACTTTCCAGCCAGCCACTTGATCCGGCTTATGGTCATTGTGCAATGAATGCAAAATAGCGAAATAGTTTTTTGCAAATTGGAACCGCGCTCCGCCCTGGATATTTATCTGCATTCATTTTTTATAAAATAGAGTAGACGACACAACCCCCAACTGACGAGTTTGTTGCTTAAGTCTTTCGAGTTTCGAGTTTTGAATATGGTTATTCGATAGCCGCAAGGAACATGGCTGGTAGGAGAAAAAATTGTATCTTAAAATTTAAGTGAAACTAAATCGAGTCGACATAACAACGAGCGTGTTACCACAATATTCATAAGTGCCAGACGCCAAGCCGACAAGATCAGTTAGCAGCTCATATGCAGATCGGGAACAACGCCTCTGCCAGAGATGGCAGCGTGACACGAACCCATGTACACTGTGCCAAGTTATCAGCCACGATCTCTGCTCTATTAACGGCACATAACCCGAAATACAAAGGATTAAATACCGTTTTTCAATTATAGCCTACTGCCTGTATTATTTAATCAAAATTCACATTTTTTTCATGCATTTTTATGGGTAGTGGCTGCAATTTCCTCAAGAAAAATGTTTTTTAATTGGTGCAACCTGATGGTGTGGCAAGCAACAAGGTTTCAGGCGGGTGCCGTTCCGACTTTTAGGCAGCATATTGCATTTTAATAAACGGCCATATCGGTTACGTCAAAAACCGCTCCATGGGGACTTAAAGCAGAGCCCGGCACGGGCCAAGATCTATCCGAAAATTCGGTGGATAGCCGTTGATGGTGATTCGATTTGATTATGCCATGGTGCTGATCTCTCTCACAGGGGATTCAATTTCAATTAAGCGGATTAAACGATGGTAAATGAAAGGGGTATGCCATTAATCATGCAACCGAGTAGAAAATCTAGATATGATTGATCTTATGATGGATTTTATGCAAGATATGGTCAACTATTTTTGTTATAGAACCGCAATAGCCCACTGCCATCGCACACACACACACCCAGTCGGACAACCTTGAGAGGCCTTCACTTCTAAGAGACACTTCTAAGTGCAAGGATAACCTCCGATCAGTCAATCAAACCCGATTGATGTCGACTCCACTTGACTTTGACATGTAACTCGAACTTCATTAGGCCTGGCCAGTGGCCATACGCCTGCCTGGCTACCTACCACTCGCAGATACAATATTTCCGAACGGAGTTATTGGAGCGGCAACTTGAAAGCACACTCCGTATTGAACTTGTTGCACCAACGCACCAGAAACCACGAAAAACATCATAACAAAAACAAAATAAAGAAACTCGCAAAAAAACACATGAGAGTGCGTTCTAGTGGCAGATACATTTTGTGAGCAAATTAATTTTGATTGCTTTTGATTGCTGTTGGAGCTAGAACCTATGTGTGGGCCAGGTTCTTTGGCTTCGGCCACTCCGAGTGACCATGGGCGGTGGCCACTGCTGCTGATTTTTTATTCTTTTATAAATATTCATTGACCAGCCAAAGCTATGGCCACAGATACAGATACAGCGACAAAATATCTAAGACTAGCTCGAGAGCGGGCTGCCTGAAGGTGGGTTCGGAATATTTTTAACGAGCTGCTTTATGTAAACAAACTGTTAACACGGCTCAGCCGTGCCAGGTATCTCCCCATCTCTCTCTATCGAAACATACCCGTCTCTTTCCGACAAGGTATATGGGTATCCGTTCTTGTTCTTATTGTCGATGCCGGGCTGTAGTAGTTTACGACAACATGCACTCGCATTGAAAAGCGATCTTAAGAGCCGATTAGATTTAACCTTGACCAAGATGATAACCGAAAAAAAAAAACAGAAATATGTATTTATAACACAAATCAGGCACACACCTTAACGCATATTCATTGATGACTAGCGGACAAGCAATAACTATTTCAACCAATCAAGGTTTTGTGATCGACAGGTTAACAGCTTTTTTGAATGTGCGAGATTTTTCGAATAAATGCCATCTTACCAAAAAAAATTCGTAAATAAATCTCTTGAATTATGCTTCATTTATATTTAAATCGGACTTGAAAATTTTCCTTTGTTCGATGGCAACTTCTATTTCAATTAACAACCAACAATCTGACGTCATTTCGATTTTTGGCCAATGGCAAGTGGCAAGTAGCCGGAGCAGCAATAGTCATGACTATTATGATGATCGCGACTCGGCAACTCCTTCCGCTGACTCCGGGCCGTGTCATGTTCGTGTCATGAATTTGCACAAATTATGCTAATTTCCCAAAATTACAAACCGCAAAGTGATTTTTTTTTGGTCAGATTTTATTGCTTTATTTTGTTGGTATTGTGGCTAGGTGTCTGCCAATTTTTGCTATTTGCACATTCGAACGCTTTGATGCTCTGGGCTGAACCCAAAAAAAAAATTCGAAAAACAAATACGAATAGGTGTTAATTTTGATTGTAAGTAAATTTTTAGTTCAGTGAACTCGTTTGTGGCGTGTCACATTATGCAACTGATGGCTGATGCGGATGGCGGATTATCTGCGATCATTGTTGGAGATACATTAAAAAATAATGATTTACATTTAATTGAATAAGAGAAAAAGAAAATATCATCACAAATCAATCAAGCTCATTGTCCGTTGATTGCAATCTCATCTGGGCGTATCTGCAGGTGCCTCTCAGTTCGATACTTTTTTTTTTTTTTGTTTCTGTATCTGACAGATACTCGCACTTGTCCGAAATGTGTGAAAGGCTGCCTGCCGACTTCCATTAGTATTGCCTAGCCGGCTGGCTTTCTGGCTGGCTATTTGAAAGAAACCGAACCGAGCCGTAAACGTAATTCCAAATCAGCTCTCCTCCTGTGGATATAACAATCGTGTTGTGGGTGATTACATAAACAAGACAACTCGGACAACTTTATTTTGGGCCAAGCCGATGGCGAGAGCCAAACATCCAGCTGAAAGCTGATACTGCCAGAGCAAATGTATCTTTAGTGTGTAAGCTGCGTGATTTGAAAGCAATTTGCTGTTTTCCACCTCGCAACTGCATTACCCCTCCTTCATTTGTAACTTGTAATTGGCCCGAAGCAGCTCTTGTCGACAGGCTGAAAATTATAAGGGGCATGATTATCGTAAACATTTGACTCTTAATTTCTTAGGATCAGCAATGATGATGAAACATTGCCAGGAAATATTTAAAGAAAATTAGATCAAAGGCAAATATATATTACTTTAAGAGACTATTACTTAGCCACACTTTCAACAGGCCAATAAATTGTACTTGGCTAATTTATTAATTGCCTCTTTTCACATAAATTGCGTTCAAGGCAAGGCGTTTGGAAAATTACAGCCTATCTGGGCAGTTACATCATACACATGCCACAGAACTCTAACAGCTAAAAAAAAAACATAAACTCTAAGAAAAAATAAAGCAGCACACACCCAAAATCGCCTTGGCTTGTATTTTTGTTTTGTTGGCTTACTCTAGTATTTGTACTCTTGTAGTGTTTGGTGGAAATGCGGAAAAACGCAACATGAAAAATTTTTTACTAGCACTACGTTGGTAACTGGCACAAGCCGAGAAAAATTACAGCTAGCCGCGTAAATTAATAGATCTGCCTAATGGCTAATAAAAATAAATCCATAGCGAATCGAAACAAACATGAAAAATAAATTCATGTTGCCCAATAAAGAATTAATGCGATTTTTAAGTTAAAACAGTGTATTTTTTTTACTAACTACACAGACTACCAAAGTGAAGAAATCCCATATGCACTTTAATAAAGTTGTTGGCTTAGGTGTTGGCAGATTTTTTGCTTTTTGGCAGCGGCTGCCAACTTTAATTCAATGTGAATGCCAAACTTTTATCGCGCACATTCATCATACGCACCGTGTGCCGAGAGTCATTTAAATGTCGCCGGCTCAAATATTTATCATAATTCAAGTGGTCGAGTGCGATGCTGCCGGCGAGAGGCCGAAAAATTTCCAATAGCATTCGAGTTGCATTTCAAGTGCCTGCCGGCCTGGCTGGCATCGTCTGGGCCATGTCATCAGTGGCAATTTGTTGGCTTGCTTTTGGCTTACTTGCTGGCTGCAATTTGCTTATGGCCCGGCTTGTGTTGGCTGTGTTGACATTTAAGCCAAGTCGCGTGTGCAGGGACATTGAACTTTGGCGTTTTCTTATTTTTTTCTGGCTTAATATCAACTCAAATATATTGAGAGCAAAATCAAGTTCGTTGTTTAAGTCGTTTGTTTTGCGATTTGAAATTCGTTTTACGCTCCTGGGAATGGTTTCTGAAATTTAAAAAAAAACAATACCCAGCCCCAAGTGACTCACTTTCTGTCTAAAATAAACCCCATTACCCATTACAATTCCTTTTTATTTCCTTTGTATTCCGCTTTGCATGATCTCAGCTGGTGGCCAGTAGCTCTGGTGTCCGACTACCTTTGCTCACTGTTTATGTTTTAATTATAGCATTATTGCCGAGATTTAATTAGTCCAGATCACGCCTGGTGGCAAGTGGGTGTTCGGGTAGCCAATCGATGATTGATAAACAAAACAAAAAGCCAATTAAAACTAACGTTAAATCTTGGGTAAATTGATTTGAAAGCATTTAGGTACGAATATCTAAATGTTTAGCCAACAATTTAGTGGCTAACCTTTCTCAAGGTCTTAACTTAATGTCCATGTCTGTCGGCTCTGTTATACTCCGCTAATTATTGCAATTACAGAGGCGATAAAAACGCGCAGAGAACTGAAAATAGTGTGGAAACAAATTCTTATCTAGATCTTGGATTATTTGCATAAAATGTGCAACTATGCAAATTGCAGCTAATTTTTATGACTTGGCCAGCGTCATTCAAACGCAGCTCATATTCATATGGCCAGCGGGCCAAGAATGCTGAGCTAAGTACAAATTCAATAAATTATTTTAATAGTGACCGGTGGTGGGGCAGTCGGTGGTCCGGCCCGAAATGGAGTTGACGGTGTCAGTGGTTTGACAAATGTCGATGGAAATTTAATGTTATTAAAGTTAGTCGTATGCCTTTTTAGTTGGCAATAAATCGTTACAGGGATTAACCTTTTCTAATATGTTGTTTCATTCTTCTATTTCCAGGAGGGTAGCATTGGTCACGATCTGGTGATTAAGCCCTTGCCTCACGAGCTCAGTCCCAATCCCGAGGAGTCGCATCACATCATTTACAAACGCGAGGCATCCGCAGCCGAAGATCAACTGAGTGACTTTGGTAAGTGATAGATGATGATACTTGGAGTACTTGGCTTCCCCCTGCGAGAAGCAGGCTACGTTCTTAATGGGCGCATTGACCCAGAGAGGAGCTTAGCCCCCATAGAAAACCCCGGTCTAAGCCATGGTTCATAAATCTCATACCCGAGATCGACGTGATGCCGATAGCATTTCCTGCTCAATGCTCGAACGCAAAAAAAAATACAAAAATTCAACACAAAACCATCGTAAAAGCCAAAGAGTTCAATGTAACAATTCGCCCTTCGCCGGATGCATTTACCTTTTGCATTTTTAGGGCTTGTGGTGGCGCCAAAATTCCTCGGATAATCACTATAAAATTATTTATTTTATGCCTGGTATTTCTCACCCGCAAAGTATTCCCAAAATATTGTATTCCTTTCCAAAAAATTATACCGAATACAGTTAAATGTGCGGCTACCTGGCTTGCCCAGCTTCTTATATCATAATAAAGACATTCCGATATTCGATTTTTGCTTAATTTAAGTTTAATTCGTAGTTTCCGGTTATATCATGGTTTTTTTTCTCGTATTATCTTGACTTTAGCCTTCATGGAACCTGATGATTTGCTGGCCAGTGAAAAGTTGGAGCGTCTGCAGCGTCGCCAGCGCCGCAGTCGCCGCAGCACTCCCAACAGTCCCGACTTCGAGGACCTCAACGACGAGGACGAGGGCGCCCTGGAGTCAGAGCCGCAGCCATCCGAATCCCGGACCCGATCCCGGCGCCAGGCCCCGTACATCATCTATCCAGAGGTCTTGGTTATTGTCGACTACGATGGCTATCGGTTACATGGCGGCGATAATTTGCAGGTACGTGTGCGTGACATGCCGACCAATTGAAACTAAAAATGGTCAAATAAAAAATGGAAAAAAGAAATTAAGAGCCCGAAATGAAGTTGTTTCGGCGATTTTACGGCAGACAGCTGTGATTGTCTCTGCGTGTGTGCGATTTTCGAACGCGTTACCGTCGCACCCAATATCCAATACAGAAAACCCAAACCAACCCAACCCGGAGGGGATTTTAGAGTCTGAGGATTTTGTAAAAGTTGTTTTTTGTTTGGTTTCTGGCTGGCAACATGTGTAGATATTATGCGACCCGCCAGTCATACATATGTTCGAATTGATAGATAGGTCTGGCTTTAAAATTCAGAGAAAAATCCCCAAAGGGGACAGATAGTCCAGAGGACTAAAAGTCCGCGTAAATCAATAAATTCTACTATGGAGAGATAGTGCAATTAAATTCGTTTACTTTGCTTTTAGAATTCACTTCTTTTTAAAGCCAATCCCCAGACTATTTGTATAATTACTATGCACATCACTCACACTGAAGATTTATAAGAATTCTCCAACTGGGTGCGTTCTAGCCCCAAAGAATACCAAGAACTCAGATTCTCACTCTGCGGCTTAGATGAAAGTCTATGTCAGTGATGAATGTATCTGCTAGATACGAAAATACGTGCTTTCAAACCGAGACAATGCGATTAACTTGAATTATATCTTGCTTGCAGGTCAAGAGATACTTTATTTCATTCTGGAACGGAGTTGATCTGAGATACCGTCTGCTGAAGGGACCCAGAATACGCATCAGTATTGCCGGCATTATTATCTCCCGAGTAAGTACCATAATATACATTTTATTGGCTTAAAGTGCCCCCAGCTAGTTACACAATCACAGCAATTGGACTTTCATTTGGCTAATTGAGTAATCCATTTGGTAGCTCAACTTTAACCCCATGGCCGCAAATGGATCTTGCCAATTGGGCCAACTTTACGACTCCTTTGCTCCCAACTAGCCGCCAGCGAAACCGACTCGCAACAGAAATGAACTGTCACGATCTGGGAATCTGGCCAAGATAGAAAAAAAAACATGGCAAAAATCAGAAATAGAAAAACAGGCAGAAAAACATGCAACGCATGCGCTTCGATTCGTTAGAAAAAATGTGAACAATCAATTTGGTTATTTGCTTGGCCGTAACACAAAGCCGGGCCAAACAAATTTTAACAAGTTTTTTTGTTTCCAGAAATTAGCAGGCAAAATATTTTATGGGCACGCGAATCGAGTTGGCCACAAGTTTTGGCTTTAACCTTCTGGCAATGCTTGCTTATCCTGAAATGGAAACTGGGTTACTAGCCAGGATTCTAAAGTCTATAAGTTAGACATTATTGCCTTACATTTTCTTAGTTTCATGTCGTGAGGTAACTCTTTGATGTTTGTTAACATCTCTCACTTATTACCATTCCACTAATTTGATTGCATAACCAAAAAGCCATAAAACACTTTGACAATATTATAGAGTCGTGTCTGTGCTACCATTTCCCTCCGTTTAGACTTTCTCACACAAATCAGTTTGGCGTCAGATCAGGAAGCCATTTGTCGGGGGAGAGAGTGGTGAGTGTGCAGCACACGAAAGTGGAAAATTGGCACAACCGATGCCGATGCCATAGCCGGAGCTGGGGGGCACCTGCAGCACTCAGACGTTGCTGCCACAAGTTGCATCAAGCGGCGGCTGCCCACACGACAACAAGCGAGACAACTGCGATGTCGACGGGTTACCCTAAGTACGTCAATTGGCTTTAACTCTCCAAAACTACGGTTGCCGCAGAAAAAAAATAACAAAAAAAAGAAAAAATTATTTTCAGACCGCATAAATAATGCAACAGCCGCAGCGGAGGCAACTGCGTGTTGGCCGTGGTTACATAATCTAATGGGCCACGCTAACTGCAGCTCTCAGCTTTCTAGCCAAAAGTTGACTCAGATCAGATTTTTTTTTGGCTTGCATGTTTTTATTTTCCATTTTGTGCCCAATTTCACACACACATGGAGGGAGGGAGGTATACATTCGGGCCACTTCCTCTTCTATGAGTGCGTATCTGGTGGATACATAATGTATCTTAGCATCCGTCGCTAAACATTTGCTGTGCCGCTAATTAATGTCGGAATGAATTCAGGCTCCAAAGTGAACCAAAGTGCGAAATGCGACGGAATAAAAATATATGGAAGTCGGGTAATTACTCAGAATGCGAATGGGGCAACAAATTATTGGATATACATATCCGATAAGTCAACGGATCTGGTTTGCCAAACATTGCGACAAGATTGTCGAACGAATTTATTGAATTTTTGCGTCACTTTATCGGAAGAGATTCGTTTGATAAATGATTTGGTCCCAAGTACAGTAGCAATTTACATGCTTTGCCCATAAAATATGAGTGTTAACTTTTCAAAAAAAGGCAAAAGCCAAACAACTTGACCCCAAATGCCAGTAACAAAACACCGAGTGCCTTTTCCAATTGCCAATCGTTCCACTTCATAAAACAAAAAGCCAGCAAATGCACAAAACTTCCAAGTCACATAAATTAATCACCCATTGACAAATAACTAAGAGAATTACTTAGGCAACAACTTTGGGGCCCCGAGATCTATGAGAGTTGTTCAATTAATTGATTCTTACTTCAAGCGACACCACAAAAACCAAAAACCATCGGTATACGAAATACGAAATACGAAATAAATAAATAAGCCGCAACAAAATGACAACAAAACGCTGCAACATTAATAAGCCATAAACTGCGTAAGCCAGCCAGGCCCGAAGGCGTTAAGAACAGCCAAGAGCAACTGCAAATCAAGCCTGGTTAATGGCATTTTTTTTTCTGTTTTTCTGCTTTCCGGAGGCAGAACAATGAGCTCCGATCAAGTGCCAACCCAGTTACGAGAGTTGCCAACTTTTAAAAGCGAAACTTGGCTAAATCAAAAATTCTAATCGAGTGGCAGGCGCTCAAATTACATTTTGCCAGAGGAATATTAAATGATTTTTTTTAGTATAAAGGGGTAACCAAAGGGTATATAAGCTGGCCAAGATAAGTCTTCTCTTAAATCAATAATTTGTTATTAAATGAAGACCAAGACGTCTGAACTAAAGCCTTAATAAATATTTTAAATTATTTTAGTAAAAAAAAAATGGAAAGCCTTAAATTGTCTTAAGCTCCTGCAGTGAAACCCAAAACTGAGTAACTACCCGTCGAGCTTTGATGCCTGCCACTCGATACGCACCTAATAAATTGCGTATACGCAACGTTGCCGCCATTTGGCTGCATTGAAATATGTGTGTGGCGCAAGCGCAGCGCCAGTGCGTTCAACACTTGTACTTGATGTGGACTAGGAAGGGGCGGTGTGTGGTGATTACGGGGCCGAGGTTGTTTAACTTCTAACGGAAAGTTGCCCGCAATTAATTAAAATGTTAATTAAATGTCACAGATAAAGGTTCAGCCAGTAAGTCGGTAGCCGACTTAAGCTACCCCCACGCCAAATCAGATCTGCAGCCGATCTGATATATAGTGTTGGCTTTATAAATCTGTATCTACGGCTTGTTATGATCACCTGCACTCATTGTGCTATCAGTCCAAGGAATTCCACCGCTGAGCTCCATTTGATTAATTGATCCGCCTGGGTGGAGCAAAGAAATGGACTCCAACTTCCATATCCCAGATCGGGAGACTGAGTATTCCCCGAGCAACATTCTCCAAAGGCTCTTATCTTGGCAACTTAATCTAAAGTGCCACAGAAATGCCAAATAATGCACGACCGGCACACCCAAGATACCGACAAAAAAATATATAGGCATATGTATATATATTTTTGTTGATTTTTTGTTGCCCAGTTCTCATATTTGCAAGTTGTCATAACAAATTCCTCGACTAACGAAGCTCGGAATAGGGCAGGCCAGGTGTTGGCCCCAGGGCACATTTCTCGAAAACCCCTCGACCCATATCCATATCCATATCCATGCCAGATATTGGTATATATAGAGTGCCGGTAGCCAAAAATGCAAGTGCCAGACAAACAAATAAATTGCAATAATGCAAATGGAAACGTAAAGCTCGGGGATCGGGTCTCAGGGAACAGAGACAAGCAAATAAACAAATAAATGGTTGCCATGGGCCATGTTGGAAAAGTGCCGGAAAAGTGGTTACCAATCAAAAGGAGTACTTATATGTATACCCTAACGGGATGTGGAGTTGCCGAGTAATTTAAGAGCTGAATTATTGACTAAAATATATACTAAAGTTAAACAAAAATAAAGGAGTAGTTTAAAGTAAAAGTAGTATATCCCTTTCAACTTCATTTTGTAGAGTATTTGTTTGAAAAGAAAAAGTATTCCCCATATCTTGACCTAAAACTTTGGCGGCTCTGTGGGTGGTGGCACAATCGGTCGCCTGTCGGCCAAGTCGCCCAAGCCGCCCAACTAAGCCGCTGTGTGGGCGCCGAAAGTCAAAACGTACGTACTATATGTCATTGGAAGGAGGTGGCTTTTAGTGGGTGTGTGTGGCTATTTTTTTTTGTTTTTGTTGAGTGTGTAGAAGTGGGTGTGAGCGGCTCCAGTTGTCCACCACCCTGTTAGATAGTTTAGTGAGCCTTGCGAAATCCTAGAAATTACAGCCAATTCAATTGACAGTTTTTATTTATTTTTTTTTTCTTTATACCACAAGATTTATGTATAAGCCCGGCTCGGGAAAAGGAGACCCAGTTGGGGTTGGGAAATTAAATTAAAATATAACATTTTGCTTTTAATTACGCACAAAAGGCAATTGCAAAACTGTCGCAAAGCTTTAATTTTGTAATTTTTTTTTTTAATATTCGTTTTATTTCGTACTCTTTTTGGGGGAAAGGCAAACCGGTCCCGGTTTTGGGTGACTGTCGCTAGTTTCTTGGTTGGTTACATTTTAGGTCCTACTGACAGTTTCAGAGATAAGTTTTTTATATTTTTTTCATAGCTTTTTTCCCGATTATTTGACAAATGCTTGGCCGCTCGTAGGGTAACCACTATGGCGGCAAAGACCACTTGAATTGCGCAATCTGTAATCAAAGATGTGCCAGGTCATCCATGGTCCAGCAACTTTCCAGCCTGCATCCGAGGAGGAGATTGTATGGGAGCCATTATTTTTTTCTGGCTGTCTTGGATGGTGGTCCAAAAATTTGTCTTTCCCAGGCCATCGTGGGTAATGTGGAAATCTGGAAACTGTTACTGGAGTCCCCTTCAGAGTTTTGAAAATGTATGGAAATGCCACTATAAGGCCCCGCAAAGGCTGTATCCATTCAATCTGTCATCTGATCCTTAAGCGGAATACCTCAAATGATTTGTAATTTGATTCTCCACAAATCTACATCAAAATGTGAGAACATATTTTTTTTCAAATTTTTTTCTCAAATTTTCTGGATGATCCCCTTCAAAATATGGGAAACTGCATGGAGGCCCCATGCGGCCCACAGCGAAGGTCATATCTTTGCCGAAACTTATCCGATTCTTTAGCGGAGTACAATAAACGAATCGTAGATTAATTCTCCACAGATTTGTGGACACATAATTTTTTTAGATTTTTTGTCAAATTTTTTGGACGATCCCTTTCAAAATGTAGAAAAATGCATGGAGGCCCCATGCAGCCCACAGAGAAGGTCATAACTTGGCCAAAAATTATCCGATTCTTTTGCGGAATACCTCAAATGATTTGTAATTTGATTGTCCACTAATCTGTATAAAAATCTTAAAACAAATTATGTGTTTTTTCAAATTTTACGGGGAACGCTCTTTAAAATTTTAAAATTTTGTGAAATTCCACTATAAGGCCCAATAAAGGCAACTATATAGTCTTTGTGAAATGGTTACAAATTTTCTAGGTGTTTTTCTTTAAAATTTACCAAACCGTAAAACCTAGACCTAGAGAATCTCCCCCTCAACCAACAACTTGAGTCTTCCAAGACTCTTCAGTTTGAGACAGAAACGGCTCTAATAAACCACTCAAAATGCAATTCCATAATAATTATTTGTAATTTTGTAAATTCCGATTTGAAGCCAGAGCGTCATGCGTTTGCCTTTCCCACTCGACACCCAAGGCCACAGACGGAACATTTAAAATTCTTGATAGTTTTGTCTTTCAAAAATTACCAACAAGTAAAAACAAAATCGAATTTGAGCTTTTGTAGCTTGTTTCTAAGACGTGCCCGCACTTGCAAATGATCAATATGTCAGATCGTCGAATAGTGAGATAGAAACGAAACCGAAATGATTAGACATCGAGTGCTGACTGTTAATGCTGGATAGAGCCCCTCAAACTATCTGAAAGATACACCCAATCGAGCGTCTCATTTGGCACTAAAAGTATTCATACGAATTTCAAAATCTGCTCTGTGCTCTGGTGTATGTGTTTATAGATCAGTTTGTCAGACTATGTTCATTTCCTAGACATCTGCTGTCTGTCCGACTGGTTGGTAATTTATCAAAAGACTTCGACTCCGGTCTGGCAAAGCCGAGCTACAACCAAGCTTAGTGCCGGAGTATCTCCAAGATTGTTTTGCAGTTGGCAAATGGCTGCAAATCAAATGTGTCAACCGAGTGCGGTTTGTCACTTAACTTTGGTTTTATCACCTGCACTGTGGATGCCAGAGAGACCGGAGATCCGAGATCCAACTGGGGAACTGGAAGTGCAACTGCAACTGCAACTGGTTCGGGCCACAGACAAAGATTAGTTGTTGAGCCGTATTAACATATTGATTTGCCTAGGGCTCAAAGTGATTGACAATTGTGTTATTTTAATTTATGTTACTGTCACTTCAGCCAATCTGGAAACGCCCCTCCAGTCACGATGCATACGTCGGTATACATACATACCTGTACATTAATTTACGATTGCTGCAACTTGCCCTCGGATGTTCGGGCATACATAGCTGATGAAATTGCCACTGCAGCTTCAGCTTCGGTTTTAGCTCCAATTATGCAACGCACAATTGCAACTGCAACTGGTTTTGTGCTGTGGCCTAGCCTAACACTCAAAAGAAACCAAAAATTCAAAGGAAACCCACACGACTTTGACTTTGTCAAGCAACATCATCATCATCATCATCTTGAGCAGTTTGATCATCTCCACCTGTAATTATCATTAACAACATTGGCCTTATCGTTGCTGTTGCAGTGGCAGTTGCAGTTGCAGTTGATGTTGCATTTGCAGCACGTTTTTCACGTTCACTTGATTTCCGTTTCGGCTTTGGTTTCCAACTTCATTTTCACCATCGACTGGGCCATAAATATTTCACTCGAAGCTCTTACCATTCGCTTTGGCTCATCCAGTCAAATGCCAAAAGCGTTGCATCATCAAAATCATCATCATCGAGCTGCAACGAGAGCTTCCTTGGGGGTTGTATGGATGGATGGTATTTTGCAATTTTCACTACCTGTTGCTGGCATACTGAATTCTAATGTGGGTCACAAGGTTCAATTGTATTTTAAAATTGATTTTTGGGAGAATGGAATTTCGATTAAGTATTCAAATGGATTTTACGAGAATCCAAATGTCAGACCACAAAGGTCTGGAGGGGTGGTTGATATATACTAAAGTTTATTATTTAAAAATCTCCAATAATCTTTTAACCTTTTTTCTCATTTTTAGGGACGCGATGCCACCCCATACTTGGAACGCAATCGTGTGGGCCGTGATGCCATTGATTCCGCCGCTGCCCTCACGGACATGGGAAAGTATCTGTTCCGAGAACGTCGCCTGCCCGTCTACGATATTGCCGTGGCCATTACCAAGTGAGTGGGCCATGGACTTGGCCAAGTTATCGCCTTGTGTTTTGTATTCTCTTTGCAGAATCGACAGCCGATTTTCCAGAGCAGTCCACTTTCTTCTTCCTCTATCCTACCTATCTCCAAACTATGTCTTTTGAAAGATTTCTCAATTATATTGTAATGTTTACTCGCGTCTAGGTATGATATGTGTCGCAGGCGTAAAGGAGGTCGTTGCACCAAGGGCACAGCGGGTAAAAAGATTTCAAAGAAATACCAAGAATCTCCTAGACATAGACTCATAAATACCCCATAAAAACACACACACACGCTCAGTACGCATATGGTTACACAATTATGTTAGAACAAATGTCATTGCGGGTGTTTAACATTATCTTAGTCAGTTTTTGGTTTTGCACCTCCCCCTTCAAGCTCCGCGAAACACCTTAATATCCAAGTAAATTTTTGACTAAAATTTGCGTGTGGGTCTTAATAAATTACTACCACAATTACACGCCTCACAGACACAAACATACACACAAATAAACTCACAAAACACTAGATTTACAAACATTTTAGAAAAAGATACAAAAAAATAAGTGATTTCAAAGCGTTAAACTAATTTGAGTGGCGGATCGGGTGGCCATAAAACATAAAACCGGTTGATTTGGTTAGTATTTTGTATCTGCTTTAAGGTTTCATTGGTTCAAGCATTTACTTACATCAAGATCTAGTATTTAATTGTGGTTTAAAGCCTACTCTAATGGAGGATCCTTGTGGAAAAATATAGTCTAAGTGAAGCTTAAAAGTTGAATGGTTTATTAGCTATGATTTTAGACATGCGCCCTTTGAATAATCTTTTAGTGGTTCGTAGTTTATAAGGTAGAGCTCCTTCCTTTCTGACTTTCAAATCTTAAACTGCTCCAATGCTCAATTGGGGAGGCCAACAAATTGGCTTCAAAAATAACCAACTATCGATCAAACTTCGATCCAGAGGAGATAATTGATTAAATGAAGCAAAAAAACCCCAAAATCCAAATAAAATCTAAATTTCTACGCATTTTTGAACAATTTTCGCCCGCAGACTCGATATGTGCCGTCGCACCTCCGCTTATGGTGAATGTAATCGCGGTACCGCAGGTAAAGACCCCAAAACCATTGGCTGGCAATTTGTTAGCCAACATTTGTACAGATAAATGCAAAAAAAATCACAGAAAAAAAAACGAAACACAGAAGTTAAGCAAACGCGTTAAAAATAAATAACATTAAAGGCGGTCACCGCCGAACCCAAAATGCGTCGCTCCATCATCAACAAAATTAAGCAAATTTAATTGAATTTCATGCACGTCTCTTTGTCTCTATTTTTATCCTCTTTTCTATCTCTCTCTATGCTGTTAATGCTGCTGCTGCTGTTCCACCTCTCTCTTTCCTTTCAAAGATCTGATCTGAACATATATAATTATATTATATATCTGTGTTTGTGTGTGACACGTGGCTTTGTACAGCAGCCGGAAGAGGAAACGGCTGTGCATGCGCCATCTTGGCAGTGCTCCTCAAACTGTACAGTTTCTTCACTGCTCTTCCTGAGAACTTTTCTCCAAAAGTATCTCATCTTTCTTCTACTATTTTCGTTTGTGTAAATATCTTTCCATGACGAAATGATGCTATCATCTGCATGTTTTGTTTACATGTTGGGTTATGTGAACATTGCCCTATCAAATGTTTATTTCCGTTCTGTTGCGAAATGTAAAATATGCGAAAACATGTGTTGTCTCTATCAGGAATCTATTATAACACTTTTGTTCAGTTTCAGCGGTTAAGCAATACAAAACGTATATAATAACGAAGTTTAAGCAAATGTTTTGCTCACTTGGGATAAGATAAACATATTGTTGGATGCAAAAAAAATACAAAAAAAAAGTATACATCGTGAGCTTCCTGTTTATAAAGTTGTTTTCAGAGATTATTCAAAATTCCTACTATAAGCTGGTTGTGGTATAACTACTAATAAAACAATAAATAATCCTTGGTGTGCTGTATGGTCTATGGACTAACCAAAAAATAACTAATGGTAATTGTAACTAAATACACATTTAAATACATCACTAACTAATGGCTCTCTCACATAAAAAATGCGACCCCCATCTTTCAACAGCTTGCAGTTATTATGTAAAAAATAAAGACAAAAGAAATTACTCAGATGCAATAAACCATCAGATACTATTTTTGTTTTTTACCTAATAACTGCAACTGTGATGGCGACATGGAAAAAAAAATTGTCAACTTCCTGTTGGACAAGAAACAAAAGAAAATAAAAGAAAAAAACTAAAAACTTATAATGAAAAATGAAAAGAAAATGTAACTCGGAGAAAAACAAGTAACTAATTGCCCAAATTTTTGGTCGTGTGTTTTCTTTTGGAAAAGGCTTCGCTTACGTCGGTGGCGCATGCGTGGTGAACAAGCGACTGGAGAAGGTGAACAGCGTGGCCATCATCGAAGATACCGGTGGCTTCAGCGGCATCATTGTGGCCGCTCACGAAGTGGGACATCTGTAAGTAGCCACCAAAACCTGTATTAAAATTTATATTGATCCTTAATGGCAATCATAAACTAAACTCATATTTTATTGAAACACTGGCACTTTCATTGCCCGTTCCGGCATCTAACCTTTTTTTTTCTTGTGAGCCACTTCAAGTGCTCTACTAGTTCACGCCCAAATCCCCGATTGGGGATTTCATTTGGATGAAAAAAAAACATGAATAATTTCCGTTGCTAAAAACTGGTCACTGAAACTCGTTTGCATTTCCGTTTGACATCATTCGGCGTGCAATTAATCAATTAACATTTTTTCCCGCTCAATCAAAATGTGTCTCATGCTCTTGGTTTTTTTTTTTGATTATTTCGCATTTTCTCAGGTTGGGAGCGGTGCATGACGGGTCGCCACCACCCAGCTACTTGGGCGGACCAGGAGCCCAGCGTTGCCGTTGGGAGGATGGATATATAATGTCCGATCTGCGTCACACGGAGCGGGGATTTAGATGGTCTGCCTGTACAGTACAGAGTTTCCATCATTTCCTCAAGTAAGCTTAAAAAAGTTACCATTAAATAGAGTGATTTATATGACTATGGTATTTCCAGCGGAGATACTGCCACCTGCCTGCACAATGCCCCGCATGAGGACAGCGCCCTGGGTCGTTCACTGCCGGGCACTCTGCTCTCCCTGGATGCCCAGTGCCGCAGAGATCGAGGAACATATGCCTGCTTCAAGGACGAGCGAGTGTGCGCCCAACTGTTCTGCTTCGATGCCCAGACAGGATACTGTGTGGCCTACAGACCAGCGGCAGAAGGTTCGGCCTGTGGTAATGGTTATGTAAGTAGAAGAAATTCTTTCTAAAATGGATAAACTATAATCTTCTTCTCTAATCAATAATCAGCATTGTCTGGATGGTCGGTGCACACCACTGCCCTCGAACATCATTCCTGATTATGGACACAACTATCGTTTAGTCTACAAGTGAGTACAGTAGCCTTGGTAATCCTTTTTTTTTATTTAGCAATTGACTGTTTATCAAGTAGTTTTGTTGTGTAAGCTAAGAGTTCTATATTAACAAAAAAAAAAAAACCAAAAACAAAACACGCACACAACTATTGGGTTTCCCAAACACACAAATATACACACAGAATATAAAAATTTTTAATATACAAACTTTTACACCTTTATACACCAATTCGAAAACACCACCAACAACAACAACTACAACTATACCCACACCATAAATAAAAAACACAATTAAAAAAATTAAAAAAAAAATAGTAAAATTGACAACAAGAAAGATGCAAGCTCCGAGGCTACGGAGGATGTTGAGAATAGTAGCGAGGAGACCGATTCCCAGGAGGATGATAATGAGAATGAGAACGAGAGTGATGAGGAGGAGCAGGATGAGGGCAACACTAGTAGCGAGGAGCACGATGGCAATCGTCAGGACAACAGGATTGATCAGAGCTCTGCTGCTGCGGCTGCGACGTCAACGACGACCACAACAACAACAACGACCACGACCACGACTACGGCTCGGCCTAAGTCCAAGTCCTTTGGCTATCTGCATCGCATCCTGGCGGAGCAGCAAGCCCAAAGGGATAACGGTGTTTTGGTCCAGACGCGCACCAGCAGCAGCGTTAGCAGTCGCCGCAATGGTGATCCTTACGCAACACCAACAATAATACCAACAACAACATCAACAACTACAACAACTACACAAACACCAAACCTCTTACAATATTACACACACGAACTACGCAAACAAATCGAATACTATCTACACATGCTACAGACACAACAACATGAAACCAAATTGCAACCAGAACAACAGCAACAGCAGTCACAACAACAACAGTCGATAGTTGAAATACCTTTGGTACAAAAACGCCTTAAAAATTATAGTGTTACCAGCAGCAGCAGCAGCGTCAGCACGAGCAATGGGTCAAAACAGCAACAGCAACAGAACAACAAGGACGAGAACCAGAGACAGCAGCAACAGCAACACGAGCAACAGGAGCAGCAACTGCTGCCCGATGAGGAGAACGAGGCGACTGCCGGCATTCAGAGCAATGAAGCAATTGAGCGGCAAAAACGTAAGTTCAACACACCATCCACCATAGCGACCATTGTACCGTCAACGACAATTGCTGGCAAAACAACTGCAACACAACAACAACAACAACAACATCAACAAGCATCACCAACCATCGGGCCAAGTGCCAAGCCAACCAATAAACCGATAACAACTACATCCTTTCTTGATGCGTATTTTAAAAAACTGCAAGCACTGCATGATGGAGCGGTGACAGCCACAACCACAACAACATCTGTCTCATCGTCCATTAGCACGGCAACAGGCAGCAATGTGCAACAGCAACAGCAGTGGCAAGGATCCAGCACTGATGGCGGCAGCTCCTTTTTAAAACGTACGCCAAACCGGAGTAGTATTAAGGCTCACAAAACTAATAGTAGTAGCAATAGTAATCAGCAACATCGGCAAACAGTATCGCCGGCTTACGTGACAAACTACATTGGCGACACAACAAACAACCAGCCAAAGGTGTTGGACAGTAGTAGTTCGCCCAGTACCACGGAACAGGCGACAACAACGACAACGACATCGCAGAGCAAGAAACCCAAAATCAAAACACAAAAACTAATACGCCGCACACGAGTCATGTAGAAAAAAAAAAACAAAATGCGAGATGCGATTAAGAACCCTACGTCCGTAAGCTACTACATAATGCTAGCCAGGATAACCCCATACAGATCAATTACAAAAAAAGCTGCTCTCCAGAACAGAACAAACAACAAAATATCAAAACCAATCACACACACAAAACAAAAGCAACACGCATCCATACACTTGTCAAATGCCAAACCGATCGAAACCGAAACCGAAATCGATACCGAAATCGTTATCCTTGCGTGCGGTAAGCCCCAAATAAATCCAGCATTCAATCGGGTTCTTAACTCCCCTAGAAGTAATCTAAAGCTTTGCCTTAAAGTATACTACAAAAATAAAGTATTTGCGTAGTTTTGAGCATGGAAACGCGTTAATTTTAGTAATAAAGTTTATTCTTATAATTTTTTTTGCTGCCTGCCCTCTTTAATTACCAACAAACATATAACTCCGGTTGTTGCGGTCCAGTGAAATGCAAGTGCTACTCATCATTTATATTACTGCCAACAGTACGCATACGTAATGGGCCATCATTTAATCCTAATGTGGAACAACCTCGTATTTTAAGCATTCTGGCATATGGCATTGAATTGCATCGATCACATTTTTTTAATTTTGTAGCCGAATCGTAGTTTTTGATTCTTAATTCCCTATTAATTTGGCATGTTCTAGATTCTAGAATAATATTTATAGTATATCATTTTAGTAAACCGAATTAAATACCTAGCTCTCTCTGTCATTCAGGACATCTCACACATCCGCAGACCTCATAAAGCATGCTTTAAGAAAAATATCTCTCATTCCACTCTCTTTAAAAAAAAAAAAATCGTCGATCAAAATCTCATCGCTGATTACCTAAATATTTAGGCGATTAATCTCTTGCTCCTCTTTTTTTCCAAATTGCATCGAAACACACGCCACCACACACATAAAAAAAACAAAAATAAATCGAAATAAAATTGGCATTGAAACATGCACACACATACCAGCATAAAACTACACACCACCATACACTCTACTCTCACACATGCATACACACCGTTTGAAGGCAAACATTATAGAAACTATATGAAATATTTAAAACTATAGCGAATAAGTATCATTTGATCTACAAGAAATGGCATGGATTGAAATAAACGCATTCTGCATACTAAACAACAAAAATAAGCAGCAAATGGTGAAAATAAGTGAAAAAAGAAATACAAAGTATTTTGGCAATTGGAACGCATGGAATGGAACACACGCACATACCACACTCATGCACACACTTCAAAATGGCCGGCGTCTGCAAAAATACCTCTAGATTCCATTCAAAAAAAAATAATAATCGCCCTGGCCCCTGAACTATCTCATTGTTTTTGCACGCCCCAAAAAACCACATCATATTTTAAAATTTAACTAATTTTCTTTTTATTTTCCCCATTTTCCACATTTTCTCCACAGTGGTTAACTGGAAGCTGTTTCCGTTCTAGTGAGAAATATGGAGATCGTCCGGAACTGGCACTGCCATCGAAATTGGAACGCAAATGTTTGCAGTTAAAAAGTGTTTTTAGCTAGAATTTATTACTATTATAATCTGTATGAAACCCTATTGATTTGTTGTTAGTTCTAGCCGCAACTAATTTAAAATATTGTCTGTTGAAATCAACTCAAACAGCAAAGGGACGCGATGCCACCTTCCCAAGTGCATCCCGAATGTTTGTTGTTCTGTTCAGTACATGCATATATTATGTAATGATTTTATGTAATTTAATTTAATGCAAATTCTTGTAAAATAGTACATATTATTCTGTAATAACTTCATTCTAAAAAAAAAACCCCCTTCGGCAGACTACCTAAATTATTATCGGAGCCACAAATTAATCGGAAGGAAAATTACCAATCACCCCCCACTTTCCAATGTGATAAACATAAATAATTTGTACTTTTTACTTAACAAAATATTTATCATTTTCTGTTAGAAAATTGCTAGAAAGGTTGAGACATGTTCGAGAACTAACCTTGCCGCACTTTTGCCTACAAGAAAACTTAAATTTTCATTTCATTATTGTATTAAAATTGTTAGATTTCTAAATTAAACGAAAACAAAAAATTCATTACTCTACGTTTACCTAGCATAATGCTCTTTTTTATACAAAAAAAAAAATGTAATAGCTAAGTTTTAGTTGTAGTTAACTGAACATCGTATAATAAATGAAACTGTACATTTATCAAACAAAAAAAAAAAAACAAAATTAAAGTTTAAGAATAAACATTAAAAAGTATATATTTGTTCATAATTGTGGGGGTATAAAATGCCTCATTGAAGTTATTTTAACATGACAAGTATTTAAATATATGATAAAGTATATGATAAAAATTTATTCGTCAGCCAACCAAAAGTACATATCTTATCGCTAGCTTGGAAGTGACACAGCGCTTTAAAAGTGTTCTATAGGTCCAGAACCCAAACCAATATTTAAATAAAAGCCCAAAATAGCAAGTGGCGTGTATAAAAACAAGAAATAAAATCTCCTGGCAAGTCCAGCATTGTTTAATCTTCAAAATGGAACGTTTATGAACCCTTTGTGTTTGTGGGCAGCGGCAAGTGGCGATTGTAGGTCATCACGTTCTTGACAAGAGCTGCAATAGAGAGCATGCAGACCACGCCGGCGGGCATTAGCTTTCCAGAGCGATTCCAACGGGCACCCATCAGTCCGGCCAAGAACAGGGATGTTCCGAGTTGAAGCAATGGTCGTGGTTGTTCCTGGGAGTTCAGATGTGCTCCATAGCCCAGCAGGGCTCCAAAAGACAAGCCAGCAGCCAACGACGGAATTGAGCCTAAAATTGGTTGCACAATAGTAACGGTTGCGGTTCAAATACAGAATTCTTGCTAACTCCCTTACCTGCTTTGGCGTAGCCCATAATACCGCCGGCAGCCACCGTAGCGGCGTAAACATATCCAAACCAATCCACCGACATTTTGTTAATATATTGCTAGCAGACTTTGTAACCTATGTTTTGGTAGTAACAGCGTTGCCAGATATAGGGGCCCGGTACTGCCAACTTTTTGGTACTGCAGTACTTTTTTGGCGCTGCCAACCGGCCAACGTTTTGCAGCACTACTCAGCACCATACTACAGCTGTTTCCGGATGGCCTTTGTCCAGCGTAAATTGGATTTCAAATTGGCTTAAATTGAGTAAACATAGTGCAATGAAACTGTGGGCCAGCCGGAGACGAGGGCATTAACTGTCGCGGTCGACTTCAGATGAGAAGCAAGAGGATATTGGCAAGAGGAGGATAACCGGCGAGCAGGAGATCCCGGAGCACCCTGTCGTGTGTGACGCAATTACAAAATTCTCAGTGCAGAAAAGTAGGCGCCCAAATCAGGGGCAGGGGCACGAGACAACAACAATATCAAGCTGAATCAACGTGCGCCAGCGAATTGGTCCCACACATTGCACTCTGGAGGTCTGAGGCACCACCGACCGACCAACTGCCTGCGAAAAGCGAACGGCTGGTAGGGAAACCCTCCGCGGGCTATTTATAAATCGGAACATGCGATTGCAATTGATTATCGGCACGACCGCTCTTCTTTTCAGCTCAGGGTCACGACGGGCTAAGGCTTTCACTTTTATTTTCGGCGAGGCACATTCTCTATCGGCGAAGAACCGTCAACATGGTCGTGACTTCATCCACCTGCCGCACGGAGACGGTGTTTGACTACAGTTGGATGAACGTGGTGGTTGCTTATTGGAATCGATACCCGAATCCCTCCAGTACCCACGTTCTCACCGAAGACACCATCCTGAGGGAGGTACGGGACGGTAAACTCTACTCCCGCCGTCTTCTATCCAAGACGAATCCTGTGCCAAAGTGGGGTGCTCGTTTCTACAACAATGTGCCGGTCAAGATTGTTGAGGATTCGGTGCTGGACCCGGTCAAAAAGACCTTCACCACATTCACCCGTAATCTAGGCATGAAGAAGATAATGGTAAGTGGACTTTGGTCAAGTGGTACTGTGGGGAACAGAAAGCTTATAGCATATACATCTGTGGTGCTCGTAGAACTTGTTAATTGTTTTTTAATTAACCGCAGAATATGTATATACATATGTATTTATAATCCATATAATGAAAAGAAGGCTCGTTCTTGAAGTTTCCGTGAATTCAATCGAGCAAAAACAGGTTATATGGGTTATTGTATGCAAGTTGAGCAAAACAACTGCCGTATTATGTTTATTAGTCAGGTTTTATCAAAATCAAACCCCCCATAAAGCAGAGATAAGATATGGTGATAGTTTCCTTAATTTATTGTTCTATGGGAAGCACCAGGTTGTTCTGTGAGAAGTATTTCACTTGCACTTTTCCTATTAATAAATCGCACTTCTTTTTATTTCAGAAAGTAGACGAGATCGTCATCTATAGTGAACAGAAGGATGGTAAAACACTGGCCGTGCGGCGGGCCTACATCAGTTCCCAGGTGTTTGGCTTCTCACGTGCAATCCGCGCTTTTGGAATCGAGCGATTTAAAGCCAACGGAAACAAGGCATCCAGCGGATTCAACCATGTGCTGCGCCGGATGTTCCCACACAGCCAGCTTGTTGCGCATCCCCAGCCATCGATCGCCATCGCATCGTCGGCCAGTGAACTGGCGGGGGCAACAGTCGCCACAACTTCGTCGTCGTCGTCTGTCACTCACAACAGCTCCGGAACGTTGAAGAGCGCCGCCAAAGTGGGCTACGAGTTCTTCAAGTGCCACGCTTCTAAAATTGCACAGCTATTTTCTGTTAGGAACTGATGAACTACCAGCTCTATGGAATGCTTTTGTATGGAACGACAGCCATAGGTTAGGCGGTTCTGTAGCGTTGTGGAAAACGACAACGGAGACGAAGGTGGGAACATCGACGCTCATAATTAGCATGTATTCCAAAACCACAAACTAAATACTTTGCTGCATTTCATTCCGTGTGTGCGCGAGCCAACCTGTAGGTCAGAACGGAGGCACTATTTGCTGAACACATTTCCTGCATCCAAAAAAAAAGTCTATCATTTCACTTTTAGTAAGTTTCATTATAATATTATGTACCATTCTGTTAGGCCAAAAGCAAGACGTGTGTAAATTTTTGGAATTTCTATGTAAACTGTTGTATATTTTTTCTAAAAATAAGCGTTCATGCGTAGATTATTATAATCTAAAAAAAATACATTTAAGTTTTAATTGGATTATAATTTGTTTTAACTTTTAACTTGTTAAAGGGACAAATGGTTATGTAAGTGAATTTTTAAATCATTGCGCGCCAATCTTCAACTTATAAAGTGGACAGGGCCGTTAAGCTTACGACCAGTGCTGCCAATCTTTTGGAATACACCTAAAGTTATCCAACATTGAGGCATCGAAAGCTTTCATCGATGCACTTTATCGATACTATCGGCGGCGTTCGTACAGCTGTTTCGTTTTGGAGGTTCCAGAGTGCTCCACAGAGAACTAGAGCTCCACCAGTTCTCTCAGAACCACAAGCAAGTCGGCATTCGACCGCGCTACTATTAAGACTAACGAGAAGAGAACAACAACAATAAAAAAAAACTGCATCTAATTGGAAACAATAGAAAATACGCGTGGCGCACAAAAAGTTTTCCCAATACACCGTACAAATATCTCGGCACCGCACACAGTTACTTTTATGGCGGATCAGCAGAAGAATCTACGACAGCAGAAGCAGCAGCAGGCCGCCTCCACCTCAGCCTCCCTCGCATCCGCATCCGCACCCGCTCCCGCCCTCCGCATAACCATTAGCCAAGTGGAGCAGAGCTAACATCGATTTTTATATAAATTTATATATTTTCGACGATTTTGTAAGGCCTTTTACGGGCCTCAAGTTAAAGCTCCATTGATTTATTGAGCTCCAGCTGTTGTCTACCCCCCACCCCCATCCCAACCGCGTCTTAAAGAAAGTGAGAGCTGCCGCCCGGTCAACGTCCTGCGAAAGGAACCACAGAGAGAAAGAGAGAGAGAGTCTTAGAGAAGGTGAGAAAAAGGACACCGGCATTCTCACAAACATACACACCCGAGTTGGCCCAAAAAAGTGGCAAACAAAGCTGTTAAGATAAGCCAGAAGACCTACCGGCAAACGTAATCAACAAATCCCCCCAAAAGTAATACCGCCCGCGAATCAGAAAACGCCATAATATGCGCCTGTTCCCAGTACGCCTGTCGGCCGCCTCCTCATCGATGACGAGCCTGGCCAAAATGCTCGATTTCTACTCGGGCTTCAATCCATCGCCCTTGTCGATAAAACAGTTCATGGACTTTGGTAAGTAGCACTCCAATTAATTAGTTAGTATAGAGGTCTTTGTAGAAAGTATCCAATATTATCTAAAGACCTTATCTAAGGTTAGTTAGTTGGCTTTTAAAATAAAGAAAAATTCTAGTATATATATATTTAAGGCTTAAGCTTACTTAAACCTTAAACCTGATCTCTTTATATGCTAAACTGCGCAAAATTGCCGTTATCTAATACACAATTTCGTTTCATTGAAATGCCAATTAAGCATTTATATTATTTTGTGTCCGGCAAACTGTTGATTGAGCTGGAATGAGACGAAAATTGATACACACATACAGTTGCAGTATAAACAATTGAATGCTCAGTTAAGTTCAGCTTAGCTTGGCTTTTCCTCCACTGCCGCCTGCCGCCTGCCGCGACGTCCCTTCCCACCCACTGACAGCAAACTGTTGCAACAAAAAAAATACAAAAAAACGGAAGTTAGAACAACTAACTCTCGACTTGTTTACGATGTGCTCATTTTTGAATTCATAAACATGTGTGGCAATGAAATACGAGGATGGGATAGCGTTTTTAGCGCCCACACATCCAATAAAGACGGAAATCGGCACGTGGCCTTCAATGACGTTTCAATGTCAAGCCCACCGCTAACCACCCACTTTTGTATCCCTAAATCCAGGCCTTTAACCTGCCTCAATATTGTGGCCAACACGCCAGAAACTTCTAGGGCACTACAAAAAATTTACTAAAATATTGTTTGGTTTTTTATGAAAAATATATATTTTAAAACCCTATTTTCTCTCTGTGTATAATCCCGCCTCTGTTTGCAGTCGAGTGTAAAAATTTCTTAGCCATTTTTTGTTGAAAGAATGGCAACTGACGTGAGCTGGAATAAAAGTCAGGCCAAGTGGTTGGGCTGGAAAATACCAGAGGGGTTAAGGACAGCCGCTCCGGAGGCTGAGAGCTATTATCTTCTAAAATTAGAACTAAACAACATCCCGCCCCCCCCCCTTTAAAAGCTGCTTTTGTTGGGCTATTTTTAAACAGGTCCCTATACATACTATGTGTATGTTTTATGATGTACCAGTACCAAGTACCAGCAATGGAATTAGTTTACAAGCTTTTATAGGCCCCCCCAATCGAAGTGACCAAATAAATAACTAATATGTACCTGGGGTATACTTGAACTTTGATGTCGGTACCAGATAAGGTAACATTTTGGATTTTGTTTTTGTCGCCAACTGTACCCCAAGACTTAATTGTGTTTTGGTGGCCCATAAACTTGAAGTAATTATGTTTATATCTATAGTGTCCAGGTTGTTGTTATTAGTTTTTGGGGGGCCATTGTTAGTGAATTATCAAGCCCCCGAGTATACTGGTGATTCAGGCTAAGTATCGATTAGCGACCAGTCAGTTAAGTGACCAGACAAAGTCGGATTCATTTGGAAAAAGGTTCTAAAATTCACGCCTGGGTGACTGAATCACAGGGCCTATAGGTCAAGTATTCTCCGATTGTTTATTTAGAGGCCCCACATCGACTGGCCCACGCGGATCATGTGCCAATTTTGTATATTTTTGTTTTGAAAAATATACTATAATGGAAAGATACTTATGGATCAGATCGCAGTGACCATTTCGGGCAAAGTCCAGGATGCTGTCACCTCATTCCACCCACGATTGGGGCCTGAACTTTGGAACCTCTTTAAGGAGAAAAATCAACGGACGTCAGCAGTTAGTCGAAAAAAATAAACAAAAAACAAATGTAGAATTTTGTAGAAATTCAGGAAAAAAGAGTGAGGCCCCGGCGATAATAAAGACGTAGTCACACGCGCCGTATTTTTGTCACAGGGCGAATGTGAGTCAAATATACATACCATAGACTACGGACCAGCTCTCCGGACTAGTTCTCCTGACCAGCTCTCCTGACCAGCTCTCCGGAACAGCTGTGATTCAAGAAACAAAATATAAATAAATAAAAAGGGGATGGTCATGGTTTGGTGGGTGGGTGTTGGCATGACGTTAGTGGGTCTATATGTTGCACCATCGTAATGCCATTTCTTTGAACCTTTTCCGCGCCCGATTGCGTGCCAATTTATGTAAATTATTTAAATGCGCCATTGGCGACCAAATAGCCCCCCTCGAACTGATAATGAGGCAACAATTGAAGTCTAGAATTGAAATCGTGATAACTTTTCACTTAGAGGAGGGTTAGAACACGCAACAGTTGGGATTTAAAATATAGTAGTTGGCAGAACATAAGCTTTCAATCTGTCGAGGCACTCGATTCCTCCATGTGCCAGCTATCTAAGCGCATATAGTACTTATGATTAATCCAGTTAATGCCTTTTATTTATCGCCCGATGAAAGCGAGTGTGATAGTTATCAAAATGGCAATGCATCAAAGTCTCGGCTCTTTTGCCAGACGGATCCGGGGGTAGACAACCCGATCGGGTCTGGGGTCTGGGGACTGGGGTCTGGAGCTTTCTTCCAACTACAATCATAACAAGTGAGAGGCCCCAGAGAGATAGCGGGTCTGGAGAGGGTCCAAAATGGCAAACAAGTAAACAAAAACAAAGCATTAAAAGCTTTGTTTTGAGGTCACCCACTAGGGCGAGACGTCTTGAGGGGGGGAAGTGGGTGTTGTGGGGCGTGTGTATAAACTTATTCTTTCCACCTGCCGCTCTCTCTCTTTCTGCCTCTCTCGCAGATTCGATCACCTTCTGGCAGGTTCTTCCAACAAATGGAATCTTTGGCTTTGTCTTCAGGTTATCGCCTCTCTTTCCGTGTTTACGAAAATTTTGTTTTCGTGTTTTTATAACTCGTTTTATTGATTCTGTTTTGTTTTGTTTTGAAATTCGTTACAATTGACTCATAAATGAGCGGATGAAATAAAAGCGGTTCCCCCTCTAATTTATGCTATATAGCCACGTCTATACTATATCTTTTATTTGCGTTGTGTCTGGAATTCGAATTAGAATTCCCTGCCTTTAATTATTATTATAGCCATTAAATTTTCGCAAAACAGAATTGCGAGAAAGAGAGGCGTGTCTTGGGGAGCCGGTCAAGGCCCCATCGATAAGTCAGTTGGGTCTGTTGTTATCACTATCGTGAAGCTACTCGCTTTTCATTTTTTGTGTTTTTGTTACGAAACTGTGTTGGCTGTCGACAAACAAACACACAAACCTCAAATACCGACACTGAGAGAATCGAAACCAAATACAAAACAACAAAACACAGATACAGATACAAATACAGAGGCACAGATACAGATACAGATACAGTAAAGCTTGACGGGGGCAAAGTTTTCTGCGGTTGATTTATTTCACATTTGCCCAAAGAGCTTTGAACTTAGCTTGTTTATGACTCGAAAATAAAGATACATAGTACACTATGCTGTGTACTTCTCGGTGGTACTCTTGATAATTAATCCAATTGAATTTATGTGGGTTTTAGAATTGTTTTCTTTTGTCCCCCAAACTTTGTTTATTTTTTTTTTGCCATGAGTTGTTCACTCGTGAGCTCATGATCGTTGAATGTTTAAGGGCATTGATAAGCTTGACTAAAGAAAAATAACTTTTGAATAATCTAAACTTTGATTTAATAGTTTGTTTTTCATCTATTTTCAGGTCAAAATGCCTGCGAAAAGAAATCTTTTATATTTCTGCGAAAAGAGCTACCCGTTCGACTGGCGAATATCATGAAGGAGATCGCCCTCCTGCCCGACAACCTCCTCCACACAAGATCGGTGACGGAAGTCAGTGGCTGGTATGTGAAAAGTTTCGAGGATGTTCTGGAGTACGAAAAAGCTGAACCCACACACGACAATCTCCAAAAGTAAGTCTCTTAACTATAAACTATATCATATTCTAATCGTCTCCTCCCCTAACTAGGTTTGTGCAAGACTTGGATCTCATCAGGAATCGGCACAACGATGTGGTGCAGACCATGGCCCAGGGTGTCATCGAAATGAAGGAGAACGAGGGCGGCCAGGTGGATGCACCCACCGAGAGCTCCATTCAGTACTTTCTCGACCGCCTCTACATGTCACGCATCAGCATTCGAATGCTGATCAACCAGCACAGTATGTGGGGACAAAGGTCCTTAGAAAGGCTTTACTAACCATAGTCTATTGATAGCCCTACTCTTTGGCGGTAATCCCCATTCTGGTGGACGTCACATTGGCTGCCTGGACCCCGCCTGCGATCTGTCGGATGTGGTGAGAGATGCGTATGAGAATGCTCGATTCCTGTGCGATCAGTACTACTTGAGCAGTCCGGCGCTGGAGATCCAGCAGCACAGCAGCGAGCCAGCCGACAACCTTCCTATCCGCACAGTTTACGTGCCCTCGCATCTATACTACATGCTCTTCGAACTCTTCAAGAACTCGATGCGAGCGGTGGTGGAGCACCACGGCCATGACAATAATGACACGCTGCCGCCGTTGAAGGTGGCCATTTGCAAGGGCAAGGAGGACATTTGTGTCAAGATCTCAGACCAGGGCGGCGGCATTCCCCGCTCCCAGACGGACCAACTCTTCAAGTACATGTACAGCACAGCGCCCCAGCCCTCGAAGTCGGATCTGCACACGGTTCCTTTGGCGGGCTATGGCTATGGACTGCCGATCTCTCGGCTATATGCGCGCTATTTCCACGGTGATATTGTGCTGCTTTCCTGCGAGGGATTCGGAACAGATGCCATCATTTACCTGAAGGTAAGATTTTACAGCATAGCTTTTAAAAGATTAATCAAATCTCTTGCTCCAATTGTAGGCACTGTCCGATGAGGCCAACGAACTGTTGCCCATTTTCAACAAGACAAGCTCAAAGTTCTATCGCGCCACCGTGCCCACGGGCGACTGGTCCAATCAGGTAAAATACGCTAAAAAAAAGAAGACGAGCGCCGTCAGCCAGTAAACGTGCGAAAATGCCAAACATCAATCCGCCTGGCTGTGTAAAGAGTTTGCGCCACCCTGCACCACCAAATTCAATTCAATTCAATCCAATCCCAGCAAGAAACCCACATCCCGCACCCGCAACCCAGTCAAGTGAAAAGTGTTTATTTATTGTTTAATGTTTTATTGTAATGTTAATGTTAAATATCCCCACAAAATCCTGTTATCCTTCAAAGCAAATGGTCATTTAACATGTGACATTCCAGAAAACATTTTCGCTGAAAATCGGAGCGGGCTTAAGTTCTGTTTTTTTTTTGCGGGAAGCGAGTGGCGCAGAGCCCTTGGCTTTAAAATTACGTTTTTAGAACATAGTTGCGAAACATAAATACATATTTATATAAACATATATACAATACAGATACAGATACAGATACATACTCTTGAGAAAGATTTACGAAATTAGCGTTATGTGGAACTCCATGCAATGTCTGTATACATTTTATCTTTTTTAAACGCACTATTTAATTTTATTGGTTAAGTGATGAAAGTTTTTAAACAAATAAACTGTTGAAATTATACACACCAATATACACTGTTTTTATTTTATAAATCAAACATTAAAGAATACTTTTTAGGACTTCAGATAGTTTGCTTTACCACAACCTGCCTTGATCCTTAGATCCTTAGTTCTTTTATTATATGTATGTATAACACATCTAATCTATCCCAACTAATAGTTCATTTTATGGTAACACTCTGTGATCCGTTGGCTTTATTTTCTATTTCTTTACTCTTTCTTATTTATTCTCTAAACTGATGATTTCTTTCAGAATTTTTCCAATCGTTGGCGTTATTTATATGGTTATTTAAAGAATTTATAAGACTCCAAGTCAGATGTTGGGTTTCCTTTCACTCACTAGGCTATAACCATAATGCTTACAAAAATCTTTGATCTTCTAGAGCTCGGATATGAATGCGCGGCAGCTGTCGGCCACCACTCCGAAACGATATAGCGATTTTGTCCAGGACGCCTAAAGGAAGCCATCTCGAAAATGCAACTCAGGTTAATGAAACAGGACCGTTGGATATACCTATCTATATATATCACTAGCTCTAGGCAAACATTCCCAAAGTGCAACAGCAGCAACAGAAGCAACTCAAAATGTGTATTCATGGCAGTAATGTCTAGTTATCTTGTTATTTAAAGAAAAAAAAATTGATAGAAAAATGAAATAAAAAACAAATTGTTAAGAATAAATATATGTATAAGGGGATATTTCTTTAGATACTACATTTTATTTATTACATACACAATAATAATATTTTTCTATATTGCATCGATAACATTAAATATTGTTCATTATGCTTTGATTCTCCTCCAGTATCGGCTCTATACAGTAATCGATTCATTTCATTATAATATGCAATATAAAATCGACGAAATTCAATAATAAATACAATACAATACAATATATAAACAATAATACACATTAAATAAATCAAATTGCAATTAGATTTTGGAGAAGGATAATCGGAGGAGAGACATTCATCCGGGATCCGGTATCCGGGATTTTCGGAAAGATTCATTCGAGAATTAAACATGAAAATGGCGTTGGTAGCACCTCTCCTCTACTTGCGCAGAGGATCCAGACTCTCCAGCGAGAAATCATCAAGGTTTAGCTGATTTTGCTAAAAAAAAAAATAAATATTAGGATTAGTTAAAGGTTATAGTTTATGGTTTTAAGGAGCACACCTTAAAAATAGTGGGTCCATTGTTCATATCAAAAGGATCTGATCCGAATAGATCCGTGTTGCCATTCAAGCCATTGCCCGTTGCTGGGGTCAGGCGCCTGGGAGCAGCTATCTTCGGCGGTGGGGCCACTAAAATTATAAATATTATTAATTTAAGAAACTTTTAATTTTAAATAATAAAAACCTACACAATGGCGGGGTAATGTTTATCTCGTTGGAGAAGCCACTGCTATTGATGCTACTGTTGTTGCTGTTGATCAGTAAGCTGGTGTTGTTCGTGTTGTTGTTCTGCAACTTGTTGTCGTTGTTGTTGAAGAATAGCTGCTGGCCAAAGCTCTTGGCCGGCTCGAAGCCAAACAGATCGTTACTGATCGCATTCCGGCCATTGCTAACATTATCCTGGATCTCATCGGCCCGTGGATCAAAATCACTATCCGAATCGGAGTTCAGCAGCAGCTCATCCATCTTCTGGCCCTTGCCGCCAATGCTGATCTGGCTGGAAAGATTGTTCCTCGGCGGGACTATTGGCAAGAAGGAACTGGGCGACGAGGAGTGGGTGGATGCCGTAGTGGAGTTGGTATCAATAAGCAACTTGTCATCATCTAAAAAGGGAATAGTTGGATTAGTTTCATCCTCATCTGGAGTATGGTTTTTGAATCCTACCCAGCTTGCCATTGCTCAGGGCCTCACTGGCCGGCTCGACACCATTTGGTAGCTCAGTTCTGGGCGCTTCCAGGATGTCCTTGATGCCCAGATTAATGAGCAGGGCATCCAGCTCGGACTTTGGCAATTTGTTGGATACTTCGCGCAATCGCTCCTTGTAGGCATTCACAGTCTGCTGCAGTAGACTGATTTGCTGTTGCGCCTTGTTTAGATTTGTCTTCTCAGTGCTTTCCATATATTTCCTAAAAAAAAAACAAAACCCATTAGTTATATAAACTCCATTATGATGGAAGTATCCCTCACCTGTAGGCCAAATCAAAGGCTTGACCAATGGTCAGCGTTATATCGGAGGCTAGTTTGTTGGAAATGAACACAAAACACTCGTGGCTTTCCTCCGTTTTGGGGCTACCATCTCCGTTTCCGTTCGCATGACCATTTGTTAGGGAATCACTACCGTCTTTGGACTTGACCGACTTGGCAATGAAACTGAAGAACTTCTTCACACCCTTCTCGTCCGCACAATACGAGATGTTGTACAGCGGAAACTGGTGGAGAATCTTGTGGGTACGCGGCTCCTGAATGGCCACACCCTTGATGCTGATGGTGATCTCGAGCTTCTTGAACTTCTCCTGGGTGCCCGTCTCCGCCTTCTTCATTTGCTGGGCAAACTGCAGCTTTCGAATGGCCTCCTTGACCACCTCAATGCCCTTGGGCTGGTCCACACTCAGGTTACCAAAGAACTGCAACGAGGAAACCGAATCATTAGCATATTTTGAGGCCGTCACAGGTGGCATCCACTCCACTCACCTTGACTAGATAGACCGCGTGGCCGTTGATGAGCTGCTCCGGCGTATGCAACCAATTCCGCTTGCCGTTCTTGGTGTCACTCTTGGCATCGCCGTTGCTGTTGCCGCTGGTGTTGCTATTGTTGGCTCCACCGTCGGCCGTGTCCTTGTCCTTGTCCTGCTGCTGCTTGTTGCTGTTCTGCTTGTTCCAGAACTTAAGCTGGGCCATCTTGGCCGCCGTCTTGCTGCCGCCGATGCTCCCTCCGCCGTTGTTGGCTGGCTGATAAGGCATTGTCGTGGTCGGCGCCGTTTTAGAGCTTTAGTGGGTGTACTGCGTCAGCTGGAAAATAACGACAAAAATTGATAAATGAGATGCGAATTGAACTTTGGCTGTCGTCGGGGCTTTCCTCTTCAATCTTCAATCCCCCGACTATAAATATAATGCGCATACGCTATTTGCACTGGCTGCTATACTGCCCGTACTGCTAATTATCGTTATACAACCACCTGAATCTGAATGTATTCTTTTGGCTAATTGCAAATCGTGTTCAGAGAAGGGAGGCTGCGATGGGATGGTATGGGGTTGGGGGGGCTAGTGTGATCCATGAAAGCCAATCCCATAGACATCTGCGTCACTGACAAACCTGTTGCCTCTATCAGCTGTCGTTCCAGTGCACTTGGACTTGGACATTATATTCTTTTTTTTTTCTATTAAAATTAAAATCAATTCCAGGAAGTTTTTGACGATTATTTATAGCCTTGAATTATTATCTTCTCGTGATCGTCTCTTTACGGTTTCGATTTTATCTCTTTTGAATGATCTCTCGATTTATTATTAACCCACACGACCTTCATTATAAAATAAAGAGAATTCATTTTAAAAACAAGTGAGCTATGTATATATAGATTTAAATCTAGGCCTATACAATTGCGAAACGCACTGTATGGCTGTAATAAAATTGCACTGAAACAACGTCATTGTGGGGTCCCAGCCGCCAAGACAATAAGCCAACAGTTTCTCAGAAATAAAAGCCAGAAACCAAAATTAGAACAAAGTCGCTAAGCCAAGCTGAGATCACACCTTGGATCGGATCGGATCTTTTGTCTGATCGGATCTCCCAGTGCAATTCTCACATTTCGTGCCGTCTCATAATTAAGAAAAATCTTGCAAAAAAATTAATGAAGCTTACAATTTTTTCGTTTGTTTGCCCGCACCTCGCATGTGTGTGTTTTTTAAGTTTTGATTTATTTTGGTGTTGGCCAAAAGGGGGAGACCGACCGTGTTGCCAATCGTTAGGCAATCGTACAAAAGCGAAAGCTAAATTGGCCAAAAACGGCAACCGACGCTGATGACGCCAGCCAGAGCCAAGGCGCAGTCGGGTTATAAAATAAAAAAAAAATTCGAAAAAATAGCACAACGATAGCTTTCCAAGCTAAGCTCCAAAATAATAAAAAAAAAAAATCCGATGGGTTCCACGCTGAGAGAGCACCCTGTGTTCCAGCGGCAATTGTGCGCAATTACTCAAACAACTGTACACTCATTGTTTCCAAACGACAAACAAAAGATAATGTCGGCGACTAAACCGCAAATATGCATATGATTATGTATACCCAGTACATGGGATTTATCTACGCACATATAGAGATGTCGCGGAAGTTGTACTCGCACTTGTAGATACATATACATATATGAGATACCGCCCCCGCAGTCCTTCCCGCATCCGCATCATTTGGAATGCAGACTGCGTGCCAGATCTGGATATATAAATCGCTTCAATTAGTAGTCCCGAGCAACTTGACATTATTTTACAATGGTTATCACTTGGAGGGAATTGGAGGCTAGAGGAGCTAGAGGAGGTCAGCCTCTATTATTTCCTTGATTTTTTATGATTTTTTGTAGAGGTTTTTATTGAAAAATCTTTAAAAGAAAGATAATAGAACCTTTAAAATTATATTATCTCTTTCTTAAGAACCCTACAAAATAGGTGTCGGTATTTGGTAAGATATTTCTAATCTAAAGTCCTTAAAAAAGAACAAAAATTTAAAGAAAACTTTTAAAATTTATATTTTTAAAAGAATGTTTTAAATTTTTGAAAGATCTTTTACAAAAGTTCTAAAAAAGAGGTTCTATAAAAAGACCTATGTAGAAATTAAGAAATCTTCTTAGGCTAAACTTTCTTGGAATACATTTTTTATGAAAAAACATCAATAATTTTATGGATAACCTTTCCCAACTTCCTCAATACTATAACTATATAAAACCCATAGAAAGATATTGAAAGGAAGCCAAAGTGCCAGCACTGATTACTGTGATTGCCAGAGCCTGAGATTAGACAACGTCGTAAAGTACATTAGATATGTAAATGCGGTACTAGAATATGCCCGAACATGCTTGCTCCCACCACCACCTCCAGGAGGAGGAGGAGGAGGATGGAGTTGGGGGAGTTGGATAGCTGGGGAGCTGCGAAGGCGGTTTGTACCCAAATTCAATTGGGCCTGCGGTGTGCACTGACTGTGAAATTATTGTGAGCCATTTTCATTTCTCCATTTATGCCCTTTTTGCTGACGGTGGGGTTTTATGAGGGAGGGATGGGGGGTACCTAGCTATGTTGCCATGTGTTTATGAGCATTTTCTTTCTTTCTTGCTGGCCCAGACACTTTCATCGGGCGGCATTCAACAGGTGTTTGGCCAACACCATTGCACAAGGCTAACAAAAACAAACAAACAAAGCCAAGTCCGAGAGCGGGTTTGTTGGTATCTGTTTTTTATTTTATTTTTTTTTAACTTTCATAATTAGCAGAAGCTGAGAGAGGCTGGGGGACACGCGGACCTTGCGTGCTGGTTTGCTTTTGTGCGTGACTGTTTTTTTTTTTTCGAGTGTATTGTCCGTTCGTGTGTGTGTGTTGAGAGTGTTGCAAGAGCAAGAGGGACATGCGAATAATAAACACCATTATAAGATGCCATTAGGCACACTGGCACACAAATGTTAATTTCAATGATTAATTTAATTGCTTTTTACTTTTGCTTTTATTTTTTTTTTTCTCTTGACTTTTTCGCACACGCATACCGTTATAAGCAAAGTCTCTTGGAGCTCGGTAGGTTACGGCAGGAGTTACAGCAGCAACGGCTCCAACAACAACAACAATAACACGATTCACAATTCACCGCTATTCCTGGAGCGCCACGGCGCCAAAAGCAAAACGAACTAATGCGGACGCGAGACAGCAGCGAAATGTTGGAGCCCAGCTCCAACTTTTTCAAGTCTTTTCGTTTAATTCACTTGCACTCGCACTCATACACTCATACCCACACGCGATACGGAGAGCAAGAGAGCAAGGGAGCCAGAGAGCGAGAGAGATCTCCCCACGATGGGGACGAATCACACTCCCGAGTGGGCGGAATAAATACCACCATATATACCATGTATATAATTAAAAATCTCCTACAATGGTAAATAAAAATATAAGTACTAACTATTTAATATATCAATTTTAATATTTTTACTATAAAATCTTGTAAGATTATGATGCGCCTTCGTCACCTACTGCTTTAGTTGACAAAGACCGGATTTTATTTGATAAGCAATTGTAAAGATTGCCGTTGTGAGATTATCGGTGGGGTGAGAGCCAGTTAGGCCAAGAGAGAGTAAAGAGAGCCCGAGCACTGGTGATTTGTAATTTTAATTTTCCAAAAGCCATTAAACAAATTTCCAGCCAAACAAAGACATTGTCTTGATCTCTGGCTCTGAGGCTGTACGGTGGGTCTCTCGGCCCCCCCTCCATACATACCTCCCACTCAGCAGTCGCTCTCTCTCTCTCTCTTGACCTGCCTTTCGTTAATGACTTTGCAGAAAATGACGTGTAAGACAAACAATCGTTTAAGATTCAAAGCGCGGATTTAGTTTAAGATTTAGATTTAGATTTAGATTTAGTTGCTGGTAATAGGCTCACTTACTTTGCAGCCAGTTAAACAATTTTCGCTAGTTTCACTCGCCGCCTGAAATCTCGCTTTTCTTTACGCTTGCCTTGTCCGCTGATTGAAGAAATTAGTGCAATTGATGCGACGACGGCACAGTTTAGTTTTTCTTTAGCTTTTTTTATTTTTTTTTTTTTATTTTTTTAGTTACACGCGACGCAAGGCGAACAAAGCAATAACAATAACGCTCGGATGCTGGGGTAGGTAGGTGGGGCTGGGATGGCAGCAAAGAAGGGGGGGGCGGCAACGGCAGCGGTTTTGCGGACGTTTCTCGGCTTTAAAAAAAAAACAACCGATAAGTTTTTATTACAGTCTTGCCTTCTCACTCACGCACTAGGCACTATTTTGGCAACCTGCGCAAATATTTCAAATCGAAATAAAAAACATCCAACAGCAACATCCAACAGCAGCAGCAGCAGAAACAATGCGGTCAAATGGAGTATCCTCGGCACCTTCACGGTCCGCTGCTTTAGTGAACGATCAAGAGAGCCCCAAGAGACTGAAACCAAAACACGGCTCGGCCGGAGAGGCTCTGCATTCCAGGGCTGTAAAGTCGGCTCCAGTTGTAATCAGTTCGGCTGCCATTAACTCTCAAGCGCGTTTGCGCAGCCCTGGTCGCCTACAGATGTAAAACTTGTTATGGAACAGGTGACGACCAGGTGAACTACCTGAATACCCTGCAGAGAGAGCTACACAGATAACTAGTCAGGGTTATAAGTCTCTCTTCGTCCTTGTGAGAGAAGGCTGGAGAACACTAAGTGTTGCCTACTTCTGGGGATAGCCTAGGCAGCCATTATGGAATTCTTAACTTCAAATAACAATAAATATTTAATCTTCAGGTGCAAATGCACTCAAAAACACCTTTATTAAACCCATAAGACTTCCAATTTTCAAAGCAGGTGATCCCCTGTAGTTTTCTCTTTTGCGGTTGGAGCTGCGGACTCACTCGGCTTGGAATGAGTGCTCAGGTGTGATTGTGGTTGTTTCTCTATGTATGTGTGTGTGAGTGTGTGGGTATTTCTGCTTGTTTACCTGTTGCTTTTCAATTGTTTTACAATTTGCCAGAAAAGTGATTTTTGCACAATTGCCAGAACATACGGCACTGTCTCGAGATTCTAACGAAATCGTTTTAGGAAATTAAATTATTACAGCAACAGGTGGGCATTTCTCACTCACTCACCCATGCAGATGGGTTGCCTATATGTATGTTTTTGTAATCTTAGACTGACGTTAAAACAAAGCCTGGTTGAAAGACAACATTATTTTAGTGTTGTTGTTGCTTCATTCGGTCACAGAAAAAGACGAGGAGGCCACCAGCTCCACCAGCAGATACGATAAATATATTTATTTTTGTGATACGTAATTTCTGGTGCTGTTTGGTGGCTTGAATTGCAATCAAACTGGTTCCTCCAGTCGATCGTATAATGTACCAGGATTTCGATTATTGCTGACAATGTCGTTTGTTGTTGTTGCTGTTGCTGCTGTTTGCTGGTTGGTCTATTGTTTTGTTGCATGCCTTGCATTTTTCCAGTACACATTTTCCTTTACCATTTTGCCACATTTTGACTGTTGCCCCCCCGAGACCCTCCCCTCCCCCCATTTTACACAAAAACCGGCTTAAGTCGAAGATGTGGTTGTGTGCAGTTCAAGTACAGGTGAGAGCGTATATGTGTGTGTTAGAGTTGCAGTTTGGATGCAGGTACTGTGGAACAGAAATCCGCTTAGAAAATTAAATTGGCGTGAAATCATAAATACTTTAAATACTTTCTGGTATTCGAGTGCAGTCGAATTCTTCTGTTATCCAATCACCTATAACACTTAATGGCCCCAATTCATATTTCAGCTTTTGTATACCCATTTGTACTGCCGACTCCTATTACGTTTTAAAAAATTGTATCCAATTGGCATAAACTGATTCAGAAAAAAAACCCTAATTTGCATTGTCTGAATCGAGTCTAAACAGGTTTCTTGTAAGAGTCACCTCTCCGAATAAAGCCCAAGGGATTAAAATTGAACCATAAAATATAGAATTTATTGGAGTGGTTATCGAATCAAGCCCACTGTGACATCCCGATCCCATACACCCGCTCTCTGAGATCGCCCGCTCTGGAGGCTGTGGCTCGTTGTCCTGGCCTTTGGATCTCCGCTCAATGACCGTTTACAGTTAGAGGCCGCTGTTGGCTGCAGTTGGCCCGTTTCTCTCCCGCTCCAACTTGATTACCAGTTGACTTTCCGCCGGCCAAAGGAAAGCCTGGCCATTCAATTTCATTGAGAGATTTTTCCCGACTCTGGGGGCCACAGGGTGACCAGTGCGTTGCAGCCAAATGTCTTGTGGGGGGGCGTTTGATGCCGCCCCCCTTATTTGCAAGTAATAATGGCCTTTAAAAATTCGCAATTGCATTTTGATTGGTATATGGTTTTTATTATTTTTTTTTTTATAATTGTTATCACGACCCAAGGGGCGTTGACTGCGGATACGATGAGGAGGCGGGCAGGAGGGGTTGGTCTGGGGGCAGACGTCGAGCTTTGTCTTAAATCAAGTTTCGTCGCATGACTTTATCTTTGTGGCGTTTTCATCATCGCAATCGCGCATATTCGAGTTCAAAGGCCCAATTAACCAAATAAATGTTTTTTTTTTTGTTATTTGGTATTATATGGCAAAATGTCATTAAATGGTATTGTAAATATTTGTGTGCTGCGATCAAATGGCAGCCGTAGCTGGTTATTCTTGTTGTTTCTTGCTTGGTTGCAGGTTGTTGGTGTTGTTGGTGTTGGTGGTGTTGCTTTTCCTCCTCAGGTAGGAACGTGCTGGTATTTTTCAAGCGCAATCATCGCAACAGTATTGAGCTGGCTTTTCAGTTTTCAGTGCTGAGCTTTTCTGAGCCTGGGTGCGACGACAAGTCATCAGCATAATTTACGTGCTGATGCCCGGCCCGGCTCGAGTCACGTTTCCAATTCACGCTCCTTATCACATGTCGTTACAAAAAAAACAAAAAAAAACCCAAAACACACGGAAAGAAAATGAAAATTTATTAAAAGAAAGCATTAAAAAATAGTATGATAGTTAGACTTTTAAAAAGACCTTTAGTATTCATAAAGATGCTGTTTTTCAGTTACCCAGTGTACCCACTGTAAATGCAAATGAGCAGCGCTTATCTCGTTTAAGCTGTTGATCAGAGCTTATCAGCAAGCCCTGAACGCCCCCCAATAAAAAACACACAGACACACGCATACGGGACATGCACACTTTTCGAGTAATTCAATTATTTTGTGTATTATTTTCAATGTGCAACAAAAGCGACAATAAAATAACAACCCAGCAGCTATAGCCAGTTATCTATATGTGTGTGTTGATGTTGTTGCAATTGTTGTTAGTTTTGTTGTTGACGATTACATACTGGCACCGACTGGCACTGGCACTGGCACACAGCAATTATTCTGGTGTTCGCTCCATCGCCGACCGACCGACCGTTGATAGAGCCGGGGACTTCCGCTGAAATTGCGGCCTGGCCTGGCCGGGGCGGTGTGGTGTGGACTGGAAGGTAAATTCAAGGAAAGTTTGGCGAAAGTTCGGTACTTATCAAGGAAACGGAAAGACAAGGGCTTACATATAAACAATAAATAGATAATAAAATGGCTTCAAAAGCGGATTATAACATCTTCTCCAACTTTGCAAGCTTTCTATACTTGGAGTCTGAATATAAAAGTCTATTTTTATTTGAGCTTTTTAAGTTACATTTTGCTTAATCAATTTAGAGAATAGCCAGAAAAAATTCAGTTTTTAGTCGCATAGTTATACAACATAAACGTAAAAATAAGGTTTTCTGTTTAAAATATTTTTCAAATATTTGTCTTTTGGCGGGAAAATTTTAAATAACCAGTGCTGCAAGTCTCGTATGCAACATTTATTGAGCCTAGGTGGCGCTCCGCAAGTGTGGATTGTGAGGACTCTGTTTTCATCTCCTTATATATCGATAACTATATATTTTTCAGATTTTTTACCATTAATACGAGTTTTTAAGAATTTAACAAGCTTTTGCATCCTAAATCTTACTCCCCAAATGGATTGTGTGCTTTCTTGTATTATATCGGCAATATATCGATATTTTATTTTCAAAGATTAATAATTTTTTTTACTGGATTTAAAAAAGAAATAATCTTTTTAAAAATCTGTTTAAAACCAGAATTTCTTTTAGATAAACTGTATAATTTTAATAAAACCAATTAGAGTATGTGGACTGTATTCTCACATTCTCCCAGCTGACTTCTACCACCACTACACTCTCATTTCTATCTGGGCATATATCGATAACTATTTATTTTCCAGATTCTGTTGACAACTAAAAACATTTTCGCAATGGGTTTTTTTTAATAATTTCGCGTGCAAAACGGTGATATTATTGATTTTCTATTGCATTTAATGCATGAGCCGCGGCAGAGGCAACGAATAGCACGCGGAATTGCACACGAAGGTGTGGAAAAAGTTTTGTTTACCTTTTTTCGATATCCGAGAATTCTGCTGCGTTCTGCTGCTGGTGTGTGTGTGTGTCTTCGGTGCCCCCGTGGGTGTGCGTGTGTGTGAGCTGGTGTGCAAAAATGGAAATGCATCTCAATAAATGTGCCACAGCCAGAGGATAGTGCATTCTAAAATTGTCGCAAAAGCTGCGCCACATGGAAAATGTGCCCGATGTTTGTTCCAGCTTTTCGCAATCTTCTTCTTCTACTTCCAGCCAGAAACTCCAAAGTAAGTGTCACAGAATGAGCCACCCCAGTCCCCCCACCCCCTCGAAAAGGGGATTCCTTTGAAATATCTGTCGCCTCCCCCAATATCTGTGGCATATTCCCCGTATCTCCCGATTCCAACGCAATGATAGATAACGATTACGAGTGGCCCGATTCGATTTCCCAGCATATTGGTTTTCCAATTAGTTTTGTTTTGTTTCGTTTTCTTGTTTTGTTTTGACGTGTCTTTGGGCCCTTAACCCATGGGTTTTCACTGGGTTTTCACATAAAAATTCCTATACACAAAATCAGCTGTTTTGAATCAATTGTTTACCACCCCAGCTATAAAAAAAAAAACACCCCACTATTGGAACTAAAATAGATGTCTTATCTCAGAAACTCATTAAAAACTAATCAGACAGTACCTCTAGTCTATTGATAAGCTTAATCAAATATTATTTGTTATTTTTTTTATATTTTCTATTTGTGGTTTCCTTAAACCTTCACAGACTCCTGGTTGATTCGGCCTCTTTCTTAACCCTTGGTTGGCAATCTATGTCCAGAATCTATTGACATATTTATCGAACTCCTTCCCCGGCACTCCTCACGCTCTATCTAACGCTCTTTTTGATTTATGCTTCTAATAAAAATTCAATAGACTTGCAATTTGTACAGCTATCCGTAAAGTTTTTACCGCCAACCCCGCCAGCTTCTCCTCCCCCCTGGGTGGGCAATTGTCGAGACCACGTGGTAGGATACAGTGGGCTAAAATAAAGGATATATGTGGCAGGAACTTTTTAAGATCTTTTCTCACAAGTATGAGTTATAACTTAAGGCCAATAATAGATATAATTTTTGAAATATTTCTATTATTTAAATTTATTTCCATTTATTTTCGTTCTTGCCCCACTGTACCTTGGCCGTTGCACATCAAAAGCCGCGACGAACGCAAAAATATGCGAAGCTTCAGCCCGCCCTGGCCAAGAGTGTTTTATGTGTTACGCGGACAGCTCTCGGGCCAGCCCCCCCTCTCTCCCCACCCCCCTCTCTTGAGCCCCACATAGGTTGTTGTGGCTGCTCCGCCATACATTACAATGAAGTATGTGCGCCCGAATGGATGGCCATCCTGCCATACTGCCGACCGTCCAAATCTATTCTGATCCTAGTCCGATTCTGGCGGCAGGCGACCTTTTCGCACACAGAGACATGGCCACGGGGGGAGGGCCAAGGGTCACAGACACTCGTCCACTTGGGGTCAGATGGGTCGCATGTGGCGCTGCCTCTGTCCCCTCCCCCCCGCTTTAGCTGAAGGCGGCGTCAACGGCTAATTATGACCCGCACGTTTTTGCGAAAAACAAACACACACATGGACACATGGACACAGTTGTAGTCACATTTTGGGGGTGGTGTTGGCCCCTTGACCCCCCTCAAGGGGTGTGCAACCAGAAGAGCCGGACAAGTGTTTAGGCTACATTTTGAAATGTTTCCGGCGCGCACTTTACGTTCCGTGTCGCCTTCAGCCTTGAGAGTCTATATTTGGCAACGCATGCAGGACAGAGGATACCCCTAACCCTTCTCCAGGATATCCTTTGCTTTAGCCATCCACTGTACTTTCTCCTCCTTTCTTGGCTGGTAACTCGCTGTTTGTTTGTTGCACTTTTATTGCGTTTTTGTGTTGAGGGGGTCTCCTCGGCTAAGTAGTCCTTCGTCCCTGCCATAAACATGTCGTCTTTCGCTTGATTTAGCGCTGGATTCTCCCCTCCACTGGTGTCCAGTGGAATGACCCGTCCCGGCGTACGCGGCGGATACGTAATGCTTGCCGCCCCTTTTTCCGGCCAACAATGGCACGGGGCGCTTCTAATGCCGCCAGTTCTCGATGCTCTCGATCGAGATGGAGTCATAAATCTTGTCGTGCTTATGAACTTTCCATTGAATTTGCATACAATGGGCTTGTCGGCTTGTCAGCTTGTCAGTTTTTATTCGAAAACTTGTGGACTTTCAGGATATTTATTGGAAATTACTGATAACTCTTTTTTTTTGTTTTTCAGGTCAAGTCAATTCCAAAAATGTTCTAATCAGATCACTGAGCAGCGGCAAGCTAAGCAATGAAGTTGATTCCATCAAGACAGCAGCTAGAGACACCAAGACAACGACGACTCTGCGAGCGGCCAAGCTCAAGATCGGGGCCATGCAACAGCCACAGCAGAAGCAGCAACTCCAGCAGCAGCAGCAACATCAGTCCGCCAGCAATATCATTCTATTGCGGGGAACACGCAACGAAAATGGACAAATTATCATCCAGAATAAGCAGGATATACTTAGCCTGCTCAGCGAACAGCAGCAGCAGCAGCAGCAGCAACAACAGCAGGACAACAAAAACCACTCGTCCACGGCCATTACGCTTAACCAACTGCCCACAACCACCACTGTGGCACGCAAAACAATTGTCCAGAGTTCGAATCCCGGCCAGAGCAGCACCTCGAACTCCATTAGCAACGGTAGCGGCAGCAACTCTACCATCTCCATTGTGGCCAGCGGTAACAACAAGGAGGCCAGCAGCAGCAACACGATCCTGTTGCAGACGCCCATCAATGCCAGCCAGCTGGAGAGCGTGTTGAAGGCCCAGGAGCGATCCAAGCAGGCCAGCGGCACGCAAACCAAGCTGGCGGAGCGGCCTTTTATGCTTAAACATGTAAGGAACTGTTACTTTAATTCTTAAAAAACTATAAACTAATTTTGTTAATTATTTTAGGCCACGCGGAGTCTCAGTTCCGAGAGCAATGGCGACACCAAATCCCCCTTTGTGCTGCAAACTCTGAAACGTCTGGAGAAATCCCAATCCATACTGGTTATTCGAAACTCGACCACAGCTTCAAGTAGCACTTCCATGGCCACCTCGCCGCCGGCCAATAGCTCCCAGCTCTCCACAGCGAGCATCCTAAGCGTGACACGCACCACGAAGACGGCCAAGGGCGTACCCGGGTCGCTGCACAAGCTTAAAGCGGCGGCGGCATCTGCGGTTGCTGCCACGCCATCGTCATCAGCGGGCACAACGATTCTAAGGTTGGGCAAGAGTGTCACCACATTGGCCATCAACGGAGCTGGAGGCAACAAAGTCGAGGCAGCGGCCAGCACCACAGCCACATCAGTAGGAGCGGCCACCACAACATCAAATAAATTGTCCAGCGCGGTGACAACGGAGCAGCAGCAACAGCAACAACAGCAGGCGCCACAATCGACAACAACGCAAACGAATGTGCCACTTGGGAACGGTAAGTCTCGAGGATTTTGTAGACCCGAATATCAAATGCGGCGCATAAATAGCCAAAGGGTAGTTCCAGCAGGTGTATCGCTGATGCTGCAGGTTGCAGGTTGCAGTTTGCAGGTTGCAGGTTGCAGGTTGCAGGTTGCATTTGCATCGGAGCCCTGGAAACAAAGTCCTGACGCAGTCTCCTGGCGTAAGATTTCCCGGCTTTTGTTCCGTCACTTTTTGAGGTTGAAAGGCTCGTTTCAGCTTCAATGGAGATGGCTAAAGATTCGCTGATTTCGTCCAGGCCTTGGACGTGGCAGGACGTGGCATGACTAGCAATTATTCAATTAAATCGAGAAGCGTCTTCAACGCCCCCCGAGGGCACGGCTGCTGCACTCAGCTGTGAATGCTATTGCTCCCATCGTCCATTGATTTTCACACTCCCTGGTGGCCGGTGTTTTGCTTTTGGCCAGGCCAAAATAAACAATCGGTATAGGGGGCTTCATTAGTGTTGTGTGTGCTGAGTAACAAGTTATCGTAAAGTTTCCGTGAGTGGCCAGAATGGCTCAATGATTTTTCCAGAAAGAAAAGTGGCCAACAAAATCAGTTCGTTTGGGCGTAAAGTGCTCAAGACTTGGCCAGAATGATGCCAATTTGTGGCAATTGAGAGTTGCAACTTTGGGAATTAAGGAATTAGCTTGTAAGCACGTTGTTAAGAAGTAATTTTAAGCTAAACTAGGACTACATATTGACTTATATTTAAGGTTTAGATTTAAGAAATAAAGCACACCGTTCTTTTGTTGGCTTTTTTTTTTTTTTTGAGATCCAAGCAAAGATTAGCCAAGCTGACAATGTGCACCCTCGGGCCAAAGCCAAAATATCTGCTGAGGTCCACAGAAAAAAGACTACCAAAGTTGGTGGGGAGAGACCGTGTTGATTATTGCACTCGATACATGAGTGTCGTCTTGGCCAGCCGTGTGTTCTGCTGACGGGCCAAAACGGATAGAGACACTAGTCTTAAGTGATTTTTAAGCCAGAAAAGGCAACATCCTTCGACTCCTTATGGGGGTGTTGAATTCCTTTCGACATATTGCATATTGCTCAAGTATTGCTGATGTTTCAATTGCCGGCCAACACACCCTTAACTGGGCTTACACTCGGTAATGCAGACATTTGTAAGAGATCTCTATCTGATTTGCAGTTAAACAAATTCCAAACCCAAATCAACCAAAAAAAAAGCTAGCTAGACTACCTCGCTAGCATTTTATTGATAAAACTTTTGCTAGCTTTTGAATTTAAAATATTTTAATTTAGTTTGACTTTAGTTTCTCTTTTAATGTTATTGTAGTTGTTGTTGTTGTTTCCATTATCCTTTATGGCCATTAGCTAAAAGGCGGCCAACCTTCAAAAAAAAAAAAAAGAAAAAGAAACAAATCTGAGTAGAAAAACTGGAAAAGCCACGAAAATTTACCTTTCGGTGAGGTCTTCTATCAGTATTTTTTTTTTTTTGCCCCCTCTTCCACCCGAAAGGTAAGCAAATTAAACAAATTACCCCCACACATGTGGATCTATCTATGAGATACTTTTGCATGCAACTCCCGTCATGTGTTGAGTCGCGAAAAAATTGTTGGAAAAGCGTGTTACGATTTATTTTCAACTTTTTTTTGTAGACTTTTCTTGAAAAATCCTTTTGGCCGAGCCTCGTGTGCTTCATTATCATTATTTGACTGGGCTATCCAGCTATGTATCTCTTTCTCATTCCACGTCCCGTCTCTTTCTTTGAGCACATAATTGCCAAGAGAAATAAAAAAGTTGGTGCTTTGTTTTGCACAAAAACTTTTGCATTTCCGTTGTTATGAAACTTGAGCGCCTCTAAAAAAAAGTGGAAAAGGAAAAAAATCCAGTGCCAAAGCTAGTCCAGAGTTTGTGAAAAAATTTACCAAAAAAAAAAGGATAAAGAAAAAGGGGCAACAACAATCTTTTCGTGTGAGTTAAATTGCGAAATATGATGGCCGGCGCCTGGCACCACTTCACACACACACACACCAGAGCCAACGAGTGGTTGTGGCAGGGGCATAAGGTGTTATCTTGTAGGCGGCTAATTAGATAACACTACTGCCTAATTTGACGCTGCCACGCCCACCACCTGCTATAGCTATCGGGCTATGCTTTTTTCCTTCAGTTTTTTGTTGCATCCACACACAAAGGACACTTCGTTTGATTATTGTGTCAAAGTCCTGTTTTTTTTTTGGCTACTTTCAGGACTTGTTTGCCATGCCCTGATTTACTTTTGTCAGTATGCCGCATTTCAATTTAGAACTCTAATCACACATCTTTTTTTTGCGAATAATCATTTAAGCGAGATTTTTAATTGAAGTGAAAATACCCTTTAGAATCAAACTAGAGCTTAGTGTTCTCTGTAATTGTGATATTCCATTGATCCATTTAGTGTTAAAGTCACTTTCTTGCGGACTATCCAACTCATTTGGGCAGCATACTCTCCTGTTTCGATGGGGAAACGAATACGGAATTTTTCAATATCGAATTCTAGATCTGTACACTTGAGGAGGTGATTTTTCTAAAAAGAATTAATTAGTTAGAATACGTATTATACATAGTTAGGAGCTTCAATCACCAACCTTAAAAGGACACGTGTAATTGGCTACCGGAATAAAGGGCTTCACATATTCATAGGCCAGTCCAATAATCATATTATTCCTTTTTGACAAAAAGTCACAAAGATTAAAGGAAATATTGTAGAGAAAAGGTCGCCAGCCATTGGCTCTTTTAAAAAACTCCACTCGCATCTGAAAAGGATATATTTTATAGGACTCTGAATGTCCTTATGAGAGATAAACTCACATGAATATTATTAACGGTCTGTTTCTGTCGGAACCAAATACTTATAGAGTTCCTGTACCGGTTGATGGCCTTGATTCGGCATTGCAATATTGTCCCCAGCGATTCATCGTAGTTGGTACAGTGAAGACTCTTGAATTTCGTCTCCACATTTAGAGAGGATAGTAGAACTAGAAATATTATCCAAAAGGCTACCATAGTTCTTATAAAGCCAGAAGTCAAACTAATGGGGATTTTATTGAATTCGGCAACCACGGATCCACTTAAATGAACCTTATAATGAAAACATTAGGTCATTTTGGTAATTGGACGTTAAATTGCACAATGGGGGATTTTTCTTTGGTGACTATTGAATGTTTATCGCGAATCATTTTTGACCAATGAAGCAACAAGTCCATACTATAAATTGGTTGGCAACACACTAACTTGTTTCTAATTTATTTCCCTGGTTGAATTATAGTTTAGAGTAGTTATAATCATTGAAATTATACCAGACATTCTTTATTTAATTATTTTTTTCAGTATTTAGCATCTATTTATCTCCATTTTTGATAAACTTGGCTGATCCGTTGATGGAAAGCCTCAAAGTCTTTTGTTGGAAATAACTAACTTGAAGACCGTATTCCCCCGACTCTAAGGGGAAACGGGATGTAATCTTTTGAAAATCCATCTCTAAGTTTTCACATTTTACAGTGTCATTCGGCTAAATATAAATAAATAAATAGTATAAAATCAGTATCTAATATATGTATATATATATATATTTACCTTAAAGGGACAAGAGTTCTTGAGAGTCAGGTAAGGCTTCAAGTTTTTGAAAGCCAGTTTCATTACAGCGTTGTTCTCTTTTCCCAAAAACTCACACAAGTCGATTGTAATATTGTAAATAAAAGGTCGCCAGAACCCTACACTCTTTTTGAAGACTTCAAAACGAACCTGAAAATATTTATTCAAAAATAATAAATAAATAATAATATTCTATAAATAAGTTCTAATGCCAACCCACCGTAACCTTCTTGGCTGCTTGTTTCTGTCGGTACAAGAAATTAATCGAGTTCCTAAAACGATTGATTTCCTTTATGGTACAAATGGGAAATTCTCCAAAGTCTTTGTCAATCACTTCACAATGGAAGCTACTAAACTTGGCCTCCACTTCCATGGATGTTACCAATAGAATTCCGCCAACAAACACGGCCAACATGGCAGCTGATTTGAAAATGAATGTAGAAATGTACTAAACTGGGTTACAAATTACTATTTAATGTTATATTTATCTATGGAGGGTTTACAAATTAAAAAATATTCAGCGCACTATCAGCGCATTTAAATCTAATTTTAAAAATAATATAATTCATGTTCATATAATATATTTTAGTCTCAGGTTTAGTTTTTCGTTTTCTTCCAAACATCTTTGTAGTCGGAGTAGTTGACTGAACCATTAATAGATACTCTTCGAATATTTTCATACAGAATTGTGATTTCCACGGCATACTCTCCTTTCTCTAAGGGAAAACGATTGCGTAATCCATCCAGGTCGAGTTCAAAGTTCGTACACTTAATTGTGCTATTTTCCTAGTTGGAAAAAATATTAAAATCATATATAAAATTCATAAAAAATAGTTACCTTCCAGGGACAAAAATTTGTTATTGTTAGATATGGCTTTACAAAAGAAAAGGCCCGAGTAAAGACAAAGTTTTTGTTCTTTTTCAATAAATCGCACATTTTAAGGGTGCTGTTGTATATATATGGTAGCCATACCTTGCCTTTTTTAAATGTTTCCATTCGAATCTGTCAGGATTTTAACATTTCATGATTATGTTTTAGATTTTTAGAATATTTTTTACAGAAAGCATACCATGGCTTCATTAGTGGCCTTTTTCTGTTTGTACAAGACATCTACTGAGTTTCTGAATTTATTAATTGGATTTAATTGGCAAACTGGTATTTCCGCATAGTCCTTATCATGAACAGTACAGTGAAGACTCTTAAACTTGCCTTCCACTCCCACAAACGTTCCCAGCAACAGACCAAAAATTATCACAGGTGCCATGGCATTGGCTTTGAAATCAAAATCGTAAATAAAGGTGAGGATGTGATGTGTATTTTATTTTCCAAACAAATGAACCTTAAAATAATTGAGAAATTATAAACAAGATTTACATCTATAATTGCAAAAAATGTTTAATGGTTGAAGCGAATTCAAAACAGTAAGTGAAACATGTATTATTGGTCAGTGGTCTCTGTAATTAATATATTCCGCTGGCATAATTTTAAGAGCTGGTTACTTGGTTTCCATATAGTTCAGGTATTCCGCCGAACCATTAATAGAAGTTTTTAGAACATTTTTGTAGTAAAATGAAACCTGAGCAGCATATTCCCCAGTTGGAATGGGAAAACGGTCACGTATCTCCTCCAGATCTAAAGTAAAGTTTTCGATTTTTCCCCAATCGTTTTTCTGAAAGTGTAACAGTTCTAAAATTATTTATTTCTATTTCTAGAAGCGGATTTACCTTTAAAGGACAAGAAAAATGAAAAGTAGTAAAAGGTTTGAAATAGGAGTAGGAAATTTTGGCCACCAAATGATTTGGCTTTTTCAGAAAATCGCATAGATTGATTGTAAAATTGTATAGAAAAGGTCTCCAGCCATTGGCTCTTTTGAAAAATTCCACACGAACCTGTTGAGATTTATTTTATTCACATTATTTTACAAGTTATTGGAAAACTTACCATTGCATTTCCGGTATCAAGAAGGTGCACATAGTGTATATTAATGGAGTTCTTGTATCGATTTATTGCCTTTATTCTGCAATTTACAAATTGTCCATAGTCCTTGTCAAATGAGGTACAAACAAGGTTCTTGAACTTTCCCTTCACAGCCACTGAATATATTAGTAAAAGTCCAAAAATGATCTTGCATAACATTTTTGCAACTAGTTGTCGAAGCTATTAATACTAAATGGGGAATAGCTTTATATTATAAAGTTTATATAGATGGCCAACTTTTGTGTTCACCAAAATAAACCTTTAGTGGACAATATTATATAATTTCGGTAATTTCTCAATAAATTGCAAAATACATGTATTATCAGGAAATGTTGATGTGTATTACGAACAATTTAAAATGACCTGTGCAATAAACCCAGACAAAAATAATAATGCTTGATGGCCTAAAATAGGATCAGAGTATTATTGGCAAACTTTTTGTGCTTCAATGACTTTTCCATTTTGTTTAAAAATTACGCTCATATATATATTTGTATAATAAAGTATTTACAAATTTGATTACTAGGTTTCCCTGTAGTTCAAGTATTCCGCCGAACCATTAACAGAAGTTTTTAGAACATTTTGGTAGTAAAAGGAAACCTGGGCAGCATATTCCCCTGTGTCAATGGGAAAACGATCACGTATCTCCTCCAGATTTAAAGTAAAGTTATCCAGTCTCCCCCAATCGTTTCTCTGAAAATTTTGAGTTCTATTATTTATAACTCCTTACTATAGAAAATAATTTACCTTGAAAGGACAGGAATAATGTAAAGTAGCATATGGTTTAAAGTAGGAGTAGGCAATTTTGGCCACCAAGTTGTTTGGCTTTTTCAGAAATTCGCATAGATTGAGAGTGAAGTTGTACAGAAAAGGTCGCCAGCCATTGGCTCTTTTGAAAAACTCCACTCGAACCTGTTGAAGTTTATTTAATAGAAAAGACCTCACAATTCAATGAAATACTTACAATTGCAGTTTCGATAGGAAGATAGTGCACGTAGTGTAGATTGAGGGAGTTCCTGTATCGATTTAGCACTTTTATTTTGCAAGTTTTAAATTCACCATAGTCCTTGTCCACAGAGGTACAAACAAGGCTCTTGAACTTTCCCTCTACAGCCACTGAGGAAATTAGTAAAATTTCAAAAATTATCTTCAGTAACATTGCTTCAAGTCGGTGTTGCAATTTGAGCCGCAAACCAAAGCAAAGGTGCCTTTTATAGATCGGGCACCATGGGACTCACCTTTTAATGAAAACATTATATCGTTTAGGTAAGTGGGCACCAAATTGCTCAATCGATGTTTCTTCAGCGAATCTTAAATGTTTATCGCGAACAATTTTAAATCAATGAAGCAAAAAACTCAACCCAAAAAAATGCTTTGTGTCAACAACCTTTTTAATGCAGATTATAACGAAACGAACAACAAAATGGCTTAAAATTTAAGCTAATTCGCTTTCGAATCAAATAATTGATGGCAAGGATCGCCATAGTTCCAGAAAATTTCCCAAAAAAATCTATAAAAAAATATGCTCTCTGATTTTAATGCAGATTTGTGGAGAAATTATCTACAAATCGATTAAGGTATTCCGCTCAAGATTCGGATGCCTATTGCCAAAGATAAAGCTATCGCTGTGGGCCAACTAGGACCTTTATTCATTTGTCACGTTTTTGAAGGGGTCTCACCCAGAAAATTTCACAAAATATCAAAAAAAAATTATGTTCTTAGATTTTGATGCAGGTTTGTGGAAAATCAATCTACAAATCGATTAAGGTATTCCGCTCAACAATCGGATGCCTATTGCCAAAGATATAGCTATAGCTGTGGGCCAAATAATGCCCCCATCCATTTCCAACGTTTTTGAAGGGGTCTCAGAAAATTTCACAAAATATCCAAAAAAAATTATGTTCTTAGATTTTGATGCAGATTTGTGGAAAATCGATCTACAAATTGATTAAGGTATTCCGCTCAGGAATCGGATGCCTATTGCCAAAGATATAGCTATCGCTGTGGACCAAATAATGCCCCCATTCATTTTCCACGTTTTTGAAGGGGACTACCCAGAAAATTTCACAAAATATCAAAAAAAAATTATGTTCTACGTTTTTGATGCAGATTTGTGGAGAATTAATCTACAAATCGATTAAGGTATTCCGCTCAAGAATCGGAGGCCTAATGCCAAAGATATAGCTATCGCTGTGGACCAAATAATGCCCCCATCCATTTTCCACGTTTTTGAAGGGGACTACCCAGAAAATTTCACAAAATATCCAAAAAAAATTATGTTTTTAGATTTTGATGCAGATTTGTGGAGAATTAATCTACAAATCGATTAAGGTATTCCGCTCAAGAATCGGATGCCTATTGCCAAAGATATAGCTATCGCTGTGGACCAAATAATGCCCCCATCCATTTTCCACGTTTTTAAAGGGGACTACCC